ATGTGTTTGGCATGAGCTCAAATCTGCTCTGCATAATCTCAGGCATCCTCCAAATATCTAAAAATAGCTTCAAGCTGCTGTCCATCATGTATGGGATGAATTACCTATAGAAGATGTGAACAAGCACATCAATTGGATACCAGACAGAGTTGAGGCTGTCTTGGATGCTCATGGTGGACATACGAGTTTTTAAATATATAGATAGCTAGAATAGATATCTAATATATTGTATATACAGTTGTAGTGCTGTCTGTTCCATAGACAGTCTATTGTCTCCTCCTCAAATTGACGCAAGTCACGTAACATGATGCACTGCATATTTGACACTGGTTACTTATTGTGGGCATGAGTATTATATCAGACTTCTGTCTGTGTTATAAGATACCTTTGGCAAGTGACTCTTCAACAATGTGTGCCAATGTGGTGGCAGTTTTATATCAAAAGGTATACAATGTGATATTGTTTTCAGTACCTACATAGAAGAGTCAACAATGGAACAAGCAATAGAACTGCTTTGCAAAGTGCACCTTCCAAGCCTACTCCAATGCATAATTTGCACATATACTGGCATGCAGCATCCTCAGACATTGCTTTTGAATAATCCAGCTTCCAGTCACCAGGAGTGGCAGCAACAAATACAGGCAAATCCAAAATGTCCAGTTTCCATTCAATAATCAGCTCATCACCATCAAGCAAGGAGTTAAGAGAATTATAATTCTGGAAAGCCCCTCTTCTCAGACCAAGAGACACCAAATCCATGCCAACATTATAGACGAGTTCATCATCATCATTCACACCCTGCAATATAAAGTCTTGCCTGTAGTTGCATGTGTAAGACATCATCATTGAGATATACAATGTATAAATTACTTATATCTAATGGACATTACCATGGCCACCTTTCCAGACCCCCACAGTAAGAACTGTATCAAAAACACCCCTGTATTTAGTTCACTATAGCTGGACATTCTATAATCATTGTGAGACAATGCTTCTACAGCTTGAGATCATGGAGCATAGGAATACCTTGTATGTCAGATAATCATCTGGATACTTCTTGGTCTTTACAACTGAGCCAGAATAGAGAGCAGCATATAGCATATACTTCTACAAGAGTACATATTGCAGAGACTATGCCATCAAGAGAGTTATATCAATCTTGCATATTAGCACCATTATGAGGCATATATTTTCAAAACTATGACCTGTACTGATGGCATAGGTAGCTATCAGTTTCAGCTCAATAGGTCCAAAGAAGCATTTTTCCTTCATATTTAGTAATAGTGCAAAAATCTTAGTGATATATTTAAAATGCTATATATATATAGCATACATCTTATGGCAACAATAGTGACTTGTTACAAAGTAAACATACCTGTTTCATAATCCCATATCACTTCTTAGCTATAGCTTTACCATTAGCACAAAATTGAGTGAGCTTGGAGAAGAACGAGACTTTAGGAAGTGACAAGTTGCAGAATGGATTTATGCACCAGGCCCAGCATATCCCAATATAAGGTTCAGGCAGACCTATAAGCCATCTTTTTATCTGGCTCAATGGATAAATGAGACTGCTGGATTCTAATTAGCAGAAAGTATTTAGCATGATCTGTGGTTGTTTTAGTCTATTACTATAATATCTGTATGTGATGGAAATGCTAGACAGATCTATGAGCTGCTCTTCATCAAACTCTCATCTCTCTTAGGCTTCAAATGGTCTTTTTATAGCATGCATTTTTAGTTAGTGTTTCAATAGATATCTGCACTATTTCTTTGTGCTCTTTGCTCAATTGATATACTTCTTTGAGTGCTCACCTATTTCTTTTGCAAACTTGGCAATTTTCTCATTAGCAAGGAGCTGCTCAAATTATACAGAGTATTTTTATCTGTTTAGAGCATAATTGGTCCACAGTGCATTCATAACAGTAGTGTTTTAAGTATAAAGAGCTTTTGAGATGTCAGTGCAAGATGCAACTTTAAGGTCACACAAGACTTTCTAAAATAACATCACATATAAATACACACTAGGTACACAATAATATATAGTTATAAATATCATTTTTATATAGTACAATTATAGTTATCCAATTCTGGCTAGTTTTCTATTATACATATATAACTTCTACACATTATTCAATCAAAATTATCAATCCAGAGTACTTTTATATTTATAGAATCAGTCAATAAGGAGACAACAGTTTATACACATATCAAGATATTATAGATCAATCATATTGATCTATAAAAAGAAGACATACATTCTTTGCCACTACAACTTTATTATTTCTCATTTCTCCAGATGCACTCCTTTTACTGCTAACTCTGCCTATTTGAATAAAAACATTTTCATCTGAAGACACATAAGTGCATAAATTGCACTTTTTGAATCTAGAGAACCTTTATATAATTCTTATAAGTAAATAGAAGAGAAAAACACTTTTAGTTATGTGATACTTGATATGCATATCTTGTGCCAGTTGACTTAATATGCAGACATATAAATATGACTATATACAACTTGATACAGCTTAGAATATAGGGCTAATCTAAATTAGCAAAATAGATATGAGAGATAGATTATTATATCTAGTTGTAACAGTATTGGCTCAATGCAGATAATGATTGTAAAGCTTATATAGAGCAAACAGCATCTATTTTGAAGCTACACTCAAGAAGTTCAAGCTGGGTATATGCATCTAGCATATATTCTTCTTGCTCTCTATGATCAACCTATTTTTATTATATTATGCCTCTTGCAAGCAAGTCTGCCACTAGAGTGGTAGATCTTATCTGTAGTTTTCTTGGCTATACTGCTAACTTCTCTGAAGAATCAACAAGTTATTACAGTGGCTGAAAGCATTTACTACTTGACTTCTCATCTATAATCTTATTATTGCCATAATTACTGTATTATCTATCTATTGCACTATAAATAAAAATAGTGTAATATAAGCTCTCAAAGACATTCAATACTATTCATGCAAAGATTAGATGTGTTTGCTCAGTCTTTGTCCATTTTGTGATTATATCACTTATTGAGTATTATTAGGCAATTGTCCTTTAACAAGCTGAACTGACCAAAGTAGTTATAAATCTTATCATTTGTGAACCTATAGAAAGGAGTGCTCCTATAGATATCTTGTCTAATAATAATGCAGTTATCTTTCTTGAGAAGATTGGTTATTGTATCTCAACTTAGTTGTTACTAATCTGAATATTCTTGTAGGCTATAGTAGACATCAGAGCTGCAGTTGGCTGATCACATATTATTACTCTCATTATTGACAAAGTTATTGCAATCAGAGCAGCAATACAATATGCAAAGGAGACAGATATAGATCACAAAACTAACCTTCTTGATAAGATATTTCTATTATAAGGCAATAATGCTAAGTGATTTTCTCTTGATTATCTAACTTAGAACTTTGATATAGCTTGCACAAATTGGTATCATAGCACTCACAGAAAGATTGTTCTTGAGTGCAAGAGACTTATAGAACTGTACTTTGGTGTCAGTATAATAATACAATATTCTGTCTTTAGTATAGATTAACAACTCTATTTACAGCTTAATCTAATAGTTCTCTTTGATTACACTTAAGATTATATAGCTTAGCTTGCTGCATCTAGAAGCTATCATAAGATACACCAGGACTGTCTTTTAAATTGCATAGAGCAGATTTCTTGTAATGATGGCTAATTAGAGCAAGAGATCTTATGGACTCAGTGCACTTCAATCTGCTATCATTATCACTATCCTCACTATAGCCAATGCTCTTGTTAGATCAGAAGTGATCAAATTCTTTTAAGATTTCTTAGTGGAGACTGAGTCCCTCATAAATATGATGTTGTACCAGATGGTGAGTCACTCAATGATTTTCATACTTCTGATAACCTAACATGCTCAGGTTCATAGTTGTAGCTGGTATCATTTTTTCTGAACTTTTATTTCACCTTACAAACTCATAACTTTCTTTATTGTACTTTTGTTGCATTCAAGTGTCCATGATGACTATGTATAATTAGTCTGTCCAAATTTCACCATATTTATGTGCACTCCTCAGTGTCCATCACATCTAAGAAACAGCTTTTGAACTCAAATTGATGCAATATTAGATGTCTCAGCTGTCTGAAAATGTCTAAGAACATCTGATAGCACTATCTCAGATACTCTCAGACACTTTTGCATAATTCTCACCTAGTAGATTGCCTGTCTGACATGCAGGCATTCTATAATCAATAAAGTTATTTGTCATTGAGTGAGCAACTTTGCCCTAGGAACAAACCATGAGATGCATCTGAAACTCCAGTGTAAAGCAACAAGTTGGATGGGAAGGGAAAGCAAGTCAACCACCAGACTGATTGGAAGCATGCACTCAGCATCAACCTGAAGATTTGAACTCCAAATTCACATTATTTGCTCTTATTATATTTCAAAGCATTTGCCTTTTATGGAATTGTTCTTTATTTGCTAACATTTTCTTCTAGGCTTTTCTGACTTGACCATTTCTTGCCTACATTTTCTCAATAGAGTCGATACGCATGCATGCATGAGCAGCATAAAAACATCGACCAACCTGGGAGTCGAACCCAGAATCTTCAGCTAAGTCAGGCTGCTCAAATAACCGGAAACTGACGCCTTAACCATTAGGCCAGTCGGCCGATACCATCTTGTATTCGCCATTTATAATCATGTAATTTGATGATATTCCCCGCCCCGCCCCCCAACCTGTTTCATTTCGTACTTTGCCTAGCCTTTCTCTCTAGCATCTCGACATTCGCTTATTAGTTCAATACCTAGGCATTGTCGCAGCCATTCCCCGCCCTTCAACGATGAGTAAATCAACAGACACTATAGTTGATCCCACCTTTGAGTCCCTGAGACTACCATTGTCCCATGTGAAAGGCAGCTACCGGAGCTGTTCCACATACGAAGATTTCTACCAAGACAAAGAGATAGTCCGTAAGTCTATCTAGTCATCTGGTTCGTCGTGTCACTCAGACTGGTAATTTAACGCATTGCATGCTTGCATCCACATAATGGATGGCCCATCTTCATCCCCACATGTGAATCATAATAAAGTCCATATCATATTCGACTCTACGTCGATATTTTAGCCACTACCAATACAAGAAAAATGCGTACCATCCAACATAAGCAACGCAATGTTTATGTTCTATAATACAATGTATAAATGAGAGCAACGAATTCTCAACGAACGTGTGTTTCGTCAGAAGTACTATGATGGGTACGCAAGAACGTCAATGCAAGAAATACTAAGCAAATCAGGGCATCATGTTCGCCGCTTTTCTTAAGCCACAATAGGGGCAGGACTTTGGTCTCTGTTGGCGTCGCGCTCTTCCCGGTGCTGCTTCAACAGCCTGTCCAGTGCCTCCTTCTGGCCCACAGCGAGTTGACCAGATTGAATACCGGAGTGGTAGACACGCAAGAGCGAGTCGACATCGTCCATAGACTGAGTACGGACGTCTGCGAGCTCCTTGATCTTGGCGGTGGCATCCTTGATCTGTGAAAATGGAAAGTCAAACAATGTGCACTTTAAGACTAGATGAGGGATGCCAATGTACCTCATCGTCCGTGAGCTTCAAGCCGAGTTGCTCGACACGGCTCTTGACGGCGTTCCAGCCAGTAAGACGGTGACCGATCGAGACATAACGAGTGAGACCGAAATCCTCGGGCTTGAGGATCTCATACGTCGAGGGGTTGTTCAAGATGGCCTTGGCGTGAATACCAGCCTTGTGCGTGAATGCGCAATAACCACTGGACCAACGTCAGGATTTAGTTGCAAAAAGCGATTAGAATCCGACTTACGTGATGGGGTTCATGAAAGGAACGTTGACTTCGACGGCCTCAGCGACCAAGTTCTCGATCTCACGGAGCATAGGGAGGTTGTACTTATTCTTGACGTACTCCGGATTGGCGGCGTAGAGACAAGCGACGAGACCACCAAGAGGGGTGATACCGACACGCTCACCGATACCAAGGACTGAAGTATCGATATGAGTTGCACCAGCCTCGAGAGCAGTGTAGGCATTAGCAATGGCTGCAAATGACGTCAGTATATTGCGGATCACCCGAATTCTGCAGGCGACTCACCCATTCCAGTATCGTTATGAAGGTGGATTTCAATGTCGCAGCTGACGACGCCACGAAGGGTGCGAACGAGATCATAAACTTGACGAGGGTTGGCGCAACCAACGGTATCGGCAATACCAACACGGTTCACACCAATACGATCAACAGTTTGGTAGATGGAGAGAAGGTCCACCAAATCAGATCGGAAAGAGTCCTCAGAGGAGAATCGGACCTCGATGCCTGTTATAATGCCATGAATATCCCTTGATGAAGGGGCTGTGACCATACGGGATACACACCCTTGCTCTTGACGAATTCAATAACCTCAATGGCAGTCTTGGTGATGTAGGCCATGTCCTTTCCGTGCGAGAACTCACGGAGGAAAGATGATGTGCCAATGACAACGTCAACACCGTCCACACCTAGAAGGAGCGGAGGTCACCATGCCATTTCCCATAAGGAATGTAAGAATGAAAGATTATACCCACCAGTCTCAACGGCAATTCGGGCGTCATCCATATGGCAACGGATGTGAGTGAGGATCTTGGCCTTCAAACCAAGTTGGCAAATTGCCTCGCAGTCTGGAAACGATTACGAATGAGCATATATTCAGGATTGACTGTATGCGCATACAGCATACCTCTCCGGGACTGTTCTGATGCAGCGGGGCTCGTCAGCTCAATGTAATCAACGCCGAACGCATCCAGTGCCTTGGCAATGGCGATTTTAGTCTTAGTGTCAAAGAATGCATTAGCGAATTGCTCGCCCTCTAGAAAGGATACATCATGGCGCTGATCAGTATGATGCTTCATGGTATCGGCCGCGATCAAATTCCAGCATGCTACGTACCCCGTAGGGTACTTTCAATAATCTTGAAGTTTGAGACGTTGCTCAGGAAATCTGAGGCACGAGGAGCGTAAGGGTTCCTCTTCTGTTGCTCTTGGATAACCTTGATCGAAGGATTGTTGGTAGGACGGCCGTTGACACCATTTGTCTTGACGCCATTTGATAGATCGACCTGGACCATTTCAGAGCGATCGCTGGAGAGACTGTCACCGTTGGTGTGGGGGCACATTTTTTATGCAAAGCAAGGAGACGTCGAATTTTAGGAGAATAAAGGGGACAGGAGGTACGAGGAGATGAGATACAGGTGAAAAATGGTTGGACGCTGGATGCAGGAGTCAGGAAAACGAGTCAGGCCATCTGACAGCATGACTTTCCCACGCCTGCTGTACAAGAACGTCTATTCCGAATTCGACTTGTATCCTCATGGTAGGTGCATAGAGTGAAACCAATGGCAGATAATATATTGTAACTTATACTACTCGTCTTTCGCACCGAGTCTCTTCATGTGTTGCTTCGCAGTTCCTATCACAGTAGGCCATTCCACATCGCCGACAACGATACTTCCCCAAATATCCGCACACAGAACAAAGCATTCTGGGAGGCTCACGAGATGGTGGAGAAATAGCAGTGAGGTAGCTAGGGGTGTCGGTGGGAAGACCAGATATCCCCTGAATTAAAAATAATAATGATAAACATCAGTGAACGTCAGCAGGACAGCCTTATGCGTACAGATTCATCAAGCAGTTGTGAAAAGGTCTTCTTGTACAGAACGGCTGTGCGGACGTTCATGCTAGATTTCTTCTTCTTAGCACCCTCTTGGATACGTTTGTCGGATATTGTCTGACGAGCACGACTCTTTGCGGAGCGACCGGCAGCCTTGTCTTCATCCTCATCCTGAATGAAACCAAGAAGGCCAGAAGGCTCCGAATAATTTGACCTCTGCAGCATGGTGTCAGGAGACGTTTTATAAGGGGAACACGCTGAATATACTTCAAGTTCGTCAAGATGTCGTTTCGTTCGCTTCGCGATCACTTCAGGGTCATATTGAGCAGTGACCGCATGTGTCTGTCGAACAGCTGACAGCGGAACGATGAGTCTTTGCAATTTTTAGATAACGTGTCCTCACATTGTCTCCTAGGAGGCATTGTCAATTCCCATCGTGGTCTAGCCAGAAGACCGCGCTAACGTTGTAGACGGCTGTCAAGTTCAAACCTTAAGCTTCTGACGATCAGAAGCACATAATTTGATTAGCGCCAGAAAGAGTCCATAAGTAGCAGGCGCTGTGGATGGGAAAAAGAGCTGAAGGTCTCCCGCAAATAATGAACCTCCGAAAACGGAATCTCCGTCCATTTCATTACACTCAGATCAAAACAGGGCACATCTAAGAGTACACAATGCACAAACACATATCACACTGCATATCAAACTAAGATCGAAACGAACTGGAAAGCGACGTTTGCCCTGTGTTCTAGACGTATAACCATCGTCCTCGTGCCTCCGCCCATTGTGACAGTTCCGATGTATCCACACTACCAAAGTCCGAGTTCAAAGATTCAAAGACGATGTTCTCCTCATCTTCGTCGCCAGGCGTCTCTGGAGGAGTCATCGGAACCTGCAGCTCATTCCGACCAGCAGCGGATCGAGCCCGAGGTCGATGAGCTTGGTATGGAGACAAAATACCAAGCCCTGAACCGCCTACGGCGGTCAGGTACGACCTGAAGTTAACTCCTTCTAGGTCTGAGACCAGTTGCCGCAATGCGGCCTCGTCGAAGTCTGCAGAACGTAAATTCATCAGGACGAATGAAAGCAGATATGAAGAGGAATATCGCTTACCATCCGGAACGAGAGTGACGGCACAACCACCACCTCCGGCTCCGGTCAGCTTGGTGCTTAACCCATAAGGATTTGCGGCTGTCATCTTGCGAATCTTCTCCAATGACTCATGAGAAACTCCTAAAGTGACTAGGTGTGCATGATTCTCATTGATGAGAGCCTAGAATGATGAGTTTGCAATTAAAATTTGGGTACGTAAACGGAAAGTACATACCGTTAACGCTGCAAGCAAATGAGTTCTGGGGAGCTCCGGGTCCGAAAGTGCACGTCTGGCCTCATCAGAGATACTTTGGATGGTTTGTAAGATATCGTTGACAACCTCGGGCTCCTGAACATCCGATCAATCATTCATGTGGTGGAAATAAATATGATTGTAGACTCACCGCCGCCCTCTTTGCGGCAACACCTGCCACAAGCTGCTTCGTGTCCCGAGGAACTTGCGAATCCACGAGGAGGAATTTCAAAGATTTGAAGCTGCAGGAACCAAAAGGTTAATCTAGAATGCTCTGATGTGAAACATTTGACAATGGAACATACCCTTGAATCTGATCCATGCCACTCTGCCTGCCATACCCGGGTTTCGTGTATGCCAACGCACCACCAAACACGACCACCGCGTTGTCAACACCGCTGGGGTTCCCATGCAGGACCTTCTCAGCCACAAATGCCCACTTGTTAACCTCGTTGGCTACGTCCGGGGGGATGGCACGACGACCCTGGTGTGAGAGGTGAACGTGTCCCGGGTCTCCTGCGCGACTAGGGGCGCGCGAACGCTTGGGGAGGGGCGGTATGTTGATGCGTTCGTTCACTAGGAGAATCGCGGATGCAATGCAAGAGGAGAAAGCGGCAGAAGAACCAAGACCCGCGCCAACAGGTAGCGTGGACCGAATGGTGAGATGGAATGATGGCCTGTTGAGCCACATATCAGAGGCGTTAGATGGGACACAGAAAAATAAAAGAACAAACCTTTTATTGAGTCCGCCGTGGGTGAGTGTCATGTAGAGATATAGGAACGCAACTGCTGCGCTGTGCGACTTCGGAGGTAATCTGTCCGGAGTTGGCAACGCACGGCGACCGATAGCATTAAGGAGTCTCTGATCTAGGTTGTCGGGATGTGTTCCACCCGGTAATATTGGCACCGCAGCATCCCAAGGTAAATCGTTGACATCCCATTCATAGTATAGATCGCCGATATTGCATAGATGGACAGATATCTTGCCGTCGTTCCGGGGAGAGGCTAGCCCATAACAGCGAAGGTCGACAGATGCTGCGATAGCGGTCTGGCACTTGTCATGAACAAAGGGCTAGGAGGAAAGATACTTAGACAGCACTTACCACACCATGCACCACAGCATGTTCTCCAAAGAGAATGACCTTTCCAGGAGCGCTGACGAACCATTCTCTTTGTTGTTCACCTCCTCGGCGGACCATTGGTTCACCCAGGGCGAGTTTCTCGACGGCCTTGTTGACCGCGTTGGGAATACGAACGAAATCGTTCGCCGCTAGAGTAACAGCTCCAGCCTCGAGGAGGGCATGCTGAAGGTCATCCAAGAGGTCTCCAGGGTCCTCAATACCCACACAAAGACGAATGAGATCTTCTGGAAGGCCACGAGCAGCACGAACAGCAGGATCGATAGAAGCGTGCCTGCGAAAACCAAATCATGGGATAAACAATACAAGAACAAGGTTCAACATACATACGACATGACACAAGGCATACTGATCAAACTGTTGACGCATCCGAAGCTGACACTGATACCCCAGAGACGTGTAGCTCCGACGATGCGTTCACTGAGTTCTTTGTCACCCGTCTCGAAAGATAGTACAGCGCCGTATCCTATGATGAGAATTTACTTTTTCACAGAAGTTCAAAGGACACGAGGACAGTGACATACCATCGGCGATTCGTTCGTGAATTTCTTTACCAGGATGATTCGGTAAACCTGGATAATGAGTCACAAAGCCAAGCTTGGACAGCATCTGTGCCACGAGCAATGCAGTCGATTGTTGGCGATCCATGCGGATGGCGAGCGTCTTGATCCCTCGCAAGAGAAGGAAAGAATCAAACGGAGTCAAAGCATTTCCTATCGAGTTAATGATGAAGGCCATTTGCTACATTGACGCATCTCAGTATATTGTCAAGGTTCAAATTAGGAGGTCCATGCACCTTAGCCAAGTCATCCTTGTTGCAAGTAATGACGCCAGCCATGAGATCGTGGTGTCCGCTGAGGTACTTCGTAGCACTGTCGTACACAATGTCGGCACCATGCTCGAGGGGACGCTGCAAGTATGGGCTCATCATCGTGTTATCAACAACAACGACAGCTTCTTCACACTTCTCCTTCACCAATGCACTGATGCGTGCTATGTCACAGACCTTGAGAAGCGGATTCGTCGGGCTCTCTAATAAAACCATGGCTGTCTTGCCAGGATTCAAGACAGGAATTACGGATGTGGGATCCGTAGTATCGACATGGTGTACGGTTACACCCATGTGGGTTCGCAAGTACGTCAGAAGACGATTCGTGCCTCCATACAGATCATCTCCCGCGATGACTTCGCAGCCAGGCTTCAGGAGTCGGGTGATGACATCCAGGGCAGCCATTCCCGATGACACGGTAAATGCATGAGAAGCAGATGATATCTTGGCAATATGATGTTCTACAGAACAAGATCAGCCGTGTGTTCCGTGTTCTAGATGCAAACCAATGGCAATGGAGCGTCTGCACGAATGGGGCATAAGGTTCTCTGATGCCCGGCGACGTCTGAATAAAGGGGGAGAGATACTGGAGTATAATAACTCCCAAGCAGATTCGGAGCCCGCTATATTCGATATGGATCGCACTCAGGCGTATGAATAGAGCATACACTCACCTAAATGAGTTCGGGTTGGGTTCCCACTCCTCGAATAATCGTATTCCCCACCAACACCCTTGAACGTGGCCGTTTGATAGATTGGCACGCTAGAACTTCCATGTTGGTCCTTGTGCGAGGAATTTGGGTTCTCTACAGTAGCACAAAGCGTCGAGAACGCATAAGGCCTTCTAGGATGGAGCAAAGAAGGAGAATCGGGCTCCGGTGTCGGCAGGTCGTGCAGACGTGAGTCCTGAGGCTTTCTGGTATCGTCCATGGTATGGTCTAGCTGACAATAGCAACCAAGTAATGCTGCTACGATGATCGAGGAGTAAGAATAGTTCCTCCAGAGTCGGTAGCGACTTTTGGATAGGGGAGAGTCTTGTCAGATAGCAAGAAACCTGACCGCTAGCCTGGTTCGAGAATAGTACTTGCAACGGTGGTTGTGGTCAGATTCAAAAATACAGTCATACGAGTTTCGATCTGGCTGTACATATTCGCAATTTCGTGAGGATTGCACCATGCCGGCCCGGGCGGACCACTTTCCATTTCGGGGCATAGCTTCCCGCAGTCTCTGACATCAAAATTTGGCAACTGTCCAAGTTCACCGAATTGTGGCACTTGCCACTTGAAACTCACCTGTCAGTGACACTCTACAGTATGTCATGGCAATGACGGAACAATACTCAAAATCAACTTATCCATCCAGTGTGCCTACTCAGGGATACCCGTGCGGTCAAGGTGGTGGAAATAGTACTCCGATTGATAGAACCGTCAGAGCGTAGATCAGGACACTGCTAGTAGGTGGAGTGTAGAAAGCCAGATGCCGTGTACTGCTTATGCATGATTGCTTCCATTATGTCAGTCACTTCTCGTGAAAGACGGTCATGCTCGACCATGATGCCGTAGTAGAATGATAGCTTGGTATGAGCTTGTGTTGCCATTGATTCGATGACCTACCGAGCCTGCTTCTTCCTTTCTTTGAACTAGGCGTTATTTATAACACGATTCCATCGCCGATGAAAACATGTGGGCGCTGCAGACACAGCGTATTGCCTCTGGACACGACAGTCTGTGAGTTGTCTTTGTTCATTTTCGAGAGCTCCAACGTCAGCCTATCAATTGGCAGCCACCCGCTGGGGATGCTGTCAACATCATTTTGGTTTCATTCCGCACATCCGCCACACTGTTTTACCTTCTTGTTGGTGTAGGACCAACAGACCTAGAAAGGTATAAGTCGAGATGTGGTATGAGGATAAATATTTGGATTGTTCCAGGGAGATCGTTTTCACATTAATAGAATGCCATGCCAGATTTCAAATTCCGCGCATTGACTCCATCTACCGTCCTTGCAATCCTACAGAAATACTGATGGATCACAGGGCAAATCTGCGGTTCAACGATGCCTGCGTGCTAAGGTGGTCGCCCACCTCCTATTGGTTGGGGTTTTTACTGAGACAACGTCCCACTAGAAACGTCAATTTTAGGGAAAGGTACGTCAGTCATCAGATGTTTGAACATAGTTTGCCGTTACAGTTCCCGTTTTCTGGTATGGATAACGTTAGGGTCATAGTCGCATTTATTTGGTATGAGGCACAGATACCTCAATCAGTGGCCAAATGACCAATACACTCGTGGTAGAATCTTCCTCAAATTTGCTGGTTTACTCCATTTGTCTCCTCCATCCCTGCGTCGCGGAGGCGCTTCCATATCTTCACTCTAGGAAGAGACTTCAGGACGACTGCTATCTCCTTCCGCAATTAGATCATGTTACTGGGGTGCATAAGGGAGGTGTTATTTGAACGCTGTAGTTATGCCATTCCCGTCGATTACTAGCACACGTTAAAGGACGTCCAGGCTTTGTATCGATGGTCCCCGGAAGTTTGCTGGGAATGCTCTGTTAGGAGAAGGATCGACGAGAGCCCGGGTCCCTGGAAACACGCGCTTAGAGTCAACCTCAGCACCATCAGCAGATATTCACGTCGTTAATTACCGCCATTCAAATTTGACAGAGTTCATACATGTGTTCTTCAGCATGCCAAACTCTTATAGTGACTTTCCTATCATGAAGGTTCTCTCCTACCACAGAGCTGCGTCTCTTTTGGATAAACGATATTTGTGTGATCGCTCATTATGACATGAAACGGCAAGGACGATGCGTTGCTTTACAATGCAGTTGGTAACACCCGAGGATAATGATGAGCATTAGGCTAAGAGCGGTCCGATACATTAAAATTGTGAACAAGGAGATTTTGTAGTACCGGCTCCAACCAAATGGTTGCTCCTGACCGCAAATCTATGCGTGTTGGCGGCTGAAACAACGGTGGCCATCGCGAAATGTCCATCTATGCGATGACAAAATACCGCACTTGGCCATGCAATACAAAGAAGAGCGGCCTGTTATCACCATCAAGTACATGTTTTGCCTAATATGTTATCGACTTGTTCCCTTTCAAACTTTCAGAAAAATCACTAGTGGCTATTCTGGCAAGACCGGCGAACGTCAACCTGAAGCTGGAGCTTGCCCTATGTGCGTGTTCGACGCCCGATCAGGTATCGGCGCTTAATAGTATGATTGCCAGCTTCTTGGATTTCTTCGTCACGTTCACCATCGGAAGTCACGGAGTCTTGGTTCCTACGCAATAATATTGTTTCGATTTCGGTACGCTCTATATGGTGTCCTGACTTGGAGAAATCTATAGGCCCGTCACGCGATACACTTGAGCTTCATAACTCAAGCCGTCGTGTCGTGCCAGTGTCTGCCAGGGCGAGTACTCAAGCCACAGTCATCGTGTTTTATTAGTAGAAAGTGTCGTGTGACTTGTCTTGTATTGTCTAACATAGGGCGCGGCCCTCGGGGACAATAAATCGGGAAAACAAAAAACAAAAAAAGTGTCGTGTGCTGACAGCTTACCGCAATGAATCAAGCAAAGTACGTGAGTGAATGCCTGTCTGGCCTCAGCTAACTGACGTTCTTCCGTAGAAATATAGTGGAAGAACGGTCCTGGGTTTCTATATGCAGCCTTCGCTACCTTGAAACTGGGCTATGAGGTTCGTATGGGAGGAAATCTTCAGTGAATGCGTATTTTCATTATCTATAACGTCACTGACGTGATTATTACTAGTCACACACGAAATATCGCCCTCAGCAGTGCTCTTCTTGCGCCGTGTGATCGTAGTGACGAATTGACACTATATCTCTTAGACGCGGCATCATGCTACCCTCTTATTACTGTACGGAGAGGTCAAATCTCCCGTATCTCTACCGGTTGTATGTTTCTTTGTGAACATCTGACGACGCATATAGTCTTCTCTCTCACGAGCACCAACATCTCGAATTTATTTGAACCAACTCCAGTGAGATGTTACAGCATTTTCTCAAAATTGCTCCATGGGGATTACTGTGGTTTGAGGCGGATTACTCGCCATGTCACCGGGTGGTCATTTACATCGAAGGGAAGGTATCATACCTCCGAAAATCCTTAGCATACTATCCCCACTTCCAAATCGGCGTAGAACTGTTTGTTACTCCGTATTTTCTGGCCAGTTTCAGCTAATAATTTGTTGGCTGTAGATCGCCGCATTGACATAAGGCACATGCGGCGCTCAGGCCAAGCGGCGCCGCAACCAGAAATTTACCACACGTATCCCATACCAAACAATATGCCCTTTCAGAAACAGATGGGCAGAAAGTACTTATACGCACAAGTTCAATGCCTCAGTTACACAACAAGCAAGCCAACCACATCACCTCTACATCCTAGCCCCCGAGAAAACTCTCAATGACATCTATGATCACCTCATTCAAACTGCCTGATCTTCTTGCTGTTGTCCCTCTACACGGTCGTACGAACCCTCACTATGCCACTGCCGCCGCAGAGTCCTCGAAATGGGTTCTCAGCTTTAACGTCTTCTCCGGCAAGAAGCAGGATTTCTTCGCCCAAGGCGGAAGTGAACTCCTGTGTTCGCATGCCTACCCCTACGCTGGCCACGATGAACTCCGAACTTGCTGCGACCTCGTCAATCTCCTCTTCACCGTCGACGAGATCAGCGATGAGCAGAACGGAAAGGACGCCTATCAAACTGGCTCTATCTTTTTGAATGCTCTACGCGATCCCAATTTCAACGACGGCTCCGTCTTGTGCACTATGACCAAGCAGTAAGCCGCCCTTCAGTACGCCCAAGACAATTCTAAAGCAGATCTTCGTAGGTTTAGAGCACGTCTGTTCCCCCGCATGGGACCAGCTTGCTACCGACGATTTGTTAAACATGCAGAGGATTACGTCAATGGCTTCACCAAGGAAGCTGAATATCGGGAACTTGGTGTTGTGCTCGACATGGCTTCCTATGAAGTACTCCGTCGAGAGAATAGCGCAGTCCGTTTCTGCTTCGGACTGTTTGGCTATGTCTTAGGACTCGACCTCCCTGATGAGGTCTTTCATCACTCCGTCATGATGGAAATGCATCTTGCTGCGGTAGACACGGTTTGCTGGTCCAATGCATGTCCTACACCTCATCCGCCTCCAGCCTAGTTTTACTCATTATTTTTCATTTAGGATCTCTACTCTTACAACATGGAGCAGGCCATGGGTCACACCGGGAACAACATCATGACCGTACTCATGAAGGAGAAGAATCTCAACCTTCAAGGTGCCGCCGATTACGTCGGTAAATACTTCAAGGTCCTGATTGGTCGATTCTTCGATAACAAATCACGTCTTCCTTCGTGGGGAGCCGAAATGGATCACACGGTTGACCAGTTCGTCATGGCCATGGAGAGTTGGATGATTGGAAATCTGGAATGGAGCTTCGAGACTGAGCGATATTTCGGACCTCAGCACGAGAAGATGAAGGAGACATTGGTTGTTGAGTTGAGCCCCAAGAAGGCCTAAGTAAGTCCGAGTCGGACTTATTCGACATATACGAAGGAACGATTGTCCTCCGAGAGTATACTAGAGGCTGGAAGCGAGCTTCCTTATTTGTTGTCACCTTTCCCCAAGTTACTTCATATCGGTTCTACGCAATCGGCGCATTTATATAGAGTTTGGATATCTACGTGACCTTTTCTTTGTTACCCCTACGCGCACACGTTTTCACACCATAGAGCAGATTGAGATAGCGATCTTAACGAATCAACATATGTATCTTCTCCCGCGTTCTGATGCCAGCGAATGATCATTATCTTCTTCTAAGAAGTAGTGACACTTTGAAACAATATCCCCCAATGGGGTATATGGAACTAAAGATAGGAGGAGCCCACAAATGCAATTACATACTCAGTAACTACGAACTCACTCAGTCGCTGTTTGAATCCGCTATCTCTGAGGGTCTTAACACAACCATCAAGCTCCTCTTGACCTCGTGGTGCTCAGGCCCAAAATATCTCTGACTTTCGAAGCTCCATGCTAGGTTCCCAACAACCCAATGCTCCAAAGCCTTTACATAGGCATCAACGGCGTTGTCCACTGCCAGTCCCCAGGAAGGGAGCGCATGCTTGCCTTGCGTAAAACATTGCATTAACTCCCTGAAACGATCGCCCACGAGATCAGATGCAGCTTGCAAGCCGATGCCTTTCGCCATCATCAGCACAGTAACTATATTGTTGCCATTGTGACCCTTTGCTTGCTCCATGTTATAGGAATATACGTCCTACGGTTCCTCAGACTTTGAGATACTAGCAATCAAGAATGTTACTTACGTTTGACCAGCAGATCATATCAGCGGCAGCCCAGTACAGGTTCATGAACTCCGAATTTTCAAATACCTCATTTGGCAGATCGACACCTAAGACGAATTCGAACAGACCAAAACAAAGGCGAATCGCGCTATTCTCCCGGCGTAAGGCTTCGAAGGACTTCTCGTCAAGGACGTGACCTTGCTCCCTATTGGCGGCCTCTTGGGCAACGGCATCGACGTAGTCGGCAGAGTGCTTCAAGAAGCGTTCATAACAGCCAGGGCTAGCAAATTTTAGAAAACGCGACCTAAACCTGGCCTGGGCATCAGAAATATCCGCAAGTCGTGAGAGAGAGTTTCTCACTCCTTAGTCATCTTCGACAAAGACGATCCGTCATCCCAATCCGCGTATCTCATGGCCTGGAGAAAAACATTGCCGGTGATGCGGGCGTCCTGGCCGTTCTGATCATCACTAACCTCGTCAACGACGAACAGCAAGTTGACGAAATCGCAGCAGGTTCTGAATTGCTCATAATCCGCGTAAGGATAAGTATGAGAGACGAGCAGTTCATTGCTGCCTTGAATAAAGAATGCGCGTTTCTGGTCGGAGAAGACATTGTAAGAATTAATCCATGCTGAGGACTCTGCTGCGGCCTTCTGATAATGAGGGTTAACAGAGCCCTTCAAGGGGCACATGGAGAGGAGGTCGGGCAATGTGAAGGTGCGCGTAGGGGCAGGCATGTTGTATCAGGTGGTGACTTCGGTGATGAAAAATATCATGCTGCAAAGCACTTGTTTTATACCTTGCAATGTCCCAGGCCCGTGGTAGCCGAACGCACTTTCTCAAGAAAGATGCAAGGGACGGAATGTACTGCTAGTTAGCATCAAATAGTTGATACACGATTAAGACTAGTGCAATCTCTTGTCTGCACCCTGATAGCGGAGCTGCCGAGTAGTGATGAGGATACCATACGATGGAGAAAACAAAGATCGTACCTTGCACAGACTGTTTTCCAGAACATATAAAAATATGAGGCACGGCATGTCGAACTTTCGTCTTGCAAACGACGCCTATGTCATCAGCGTTTCTGCTATGGAACAGGTGTCAAATGTTGCTTCCTTCTGTAGACCTTTAACGAGGGGCCATGTCCATGTTCCTATCCACATGGAATTCATCCCAGCCAATCCCTGAAGAGCAACGACTTGCAGTTGTATCCGAAGCGGATACCCGAAGTGGGGTAGCCAAATGGACTGGCATTTTCAGAAGTCCTCCCCGACATGATGCCGAAGTATGCATGCAGAAAGAAACGAGTTGCCGGTATCTCGCGACGATGGAGGCATAGAAATCGATCCGGAACATTGTCATAGTTGCATCCACATACACGTGCACCTGACGGAATGATCGAGGTAGTGCAGGAGTCAATCCAAGACGAACGGGACCACAACAAATAAGTCTGTTATGGCAGTTGTTTTCATGAGTGATACATTGTATGCTCACACCATTTTTTGGAACCAAGATGTAGGACCAGAATGAGTGACATTTTTAACGGTCTGACTGACATCAATCCTGCTAACAGACGTACAAAATGCTAAAATGCAAAGTATCAGTAATGCTCGAGGAACGTCTAAGTAAACATGCTGACAGGACGGGCAATAAAACCTGCACCGATGTACTGCGGAAGTTACGCCAACCAACTCACAAGCTAGCTGCGGGGAAGGCCTCGGAACAGGAAATGAAGCAGACCTCCGTCACGGCTGACGTCATTTAAGGATTTGTTGTGGAACATCGGGCTTGCAGCATGAACATACATGGTTTACTGTGAAAATTTTGGGTTTGGAGTTCAATTAAATGTCGTCGGCGGAGTACGCAAGCCGTAGGCTGTAGTACACATCAGTCGGCGCGATGCACAGGGTCCTAGATATGTAATAACATACCACAGGCGGTCGGGTTCGAGGCACTCGATGGACAGCTTGTCCTAGGAACTAATCATTCGCATACGTGTCGGCGCGATCGGTTGAAAGTAGTACAAACCTACTTGTAAACCCGCTAGGGTACAGAGAGGCTTGGTCCAAGATAAGAGGAAATCCAGCTCGAAGTGTAAGGACGGGGAAAGATTTGAGTGCCTCTGAGCGGATTTCGACTGTAGAATAAACTTTGATCAGATGGCGCTGATGATAGAGTTAGATTGGTGTTACTGAGATTGTCCTGGAGCATATTCGCTTGGAGGATTCCACCGCCAGAAGCACCCTTCGGTCACACCGCATCCGTCAACAGTCCATCCCCTGACATAAGTATGGACTGTCATAAACATCCTCCGTGGAACATTCATAGAGCCACCATTAGATTTCATCCGTCGGGAATGGGAATTCGCGACATTTCAAGCCGCGGAGTCAACAAAAGAACGATCGTACGTAAGACACTGGTGAAATTGAGTTGGAGTTGACGAGTCTATTGCAATGTTATTTGGACCGCTTTGGATGCGCCGCATTCGCGCACTAATCGAAACATAAGAAAGTGAGATACTGTATTTCACATACCATGATTACTCTATTCCACCTGATTCAGACAATATAGAGCCTGCCCGATCTTTCCGCATCAAAGTAGACAGCACGCCACGTTTTCATGAAGTACCACTATAACTGAATCAGTCGCGGGCTGAGAAGATGTCAATCTTCGCACTTACATCGTACCAATTCGGTTCATGAGTAAAGGCCACTGTTGGAACAAGACGTTTCGCTGATTGGACTCAACATTAGAAGTGGGGAGATCTTGAGGCGCTTCACCATCGGGCAAGAGAATAGAACATGGCATATATAATACATTATGCAGCACCTAGACTTGAAAATGCAAAGCAACAGAGAGAAAGGAAAAGAACACGTAGCGGACTGAAACAACAAACGAAGAAGCCGAGCCTAACACCGAAACCGACGACAAACTAGAAACATATCCGGTAGCTGGCGTATCGTCCACTCGTCTCACTTGGCCTTGTGATTTTGACAACATTCCCTCGACGAAGGCCATAGTATCGTGCGACAGGATCCGCCAGCTGGATTCGAGGTAGTTGGGTCTCTTTCAGACGACTGGACGACATAGTCAGACTCATACAATGCACAGCCAGACGAGCAAGTGGATTACACTTACTACTTGTCCAGTAGTGTCTTTTTCTGCTCCGCGGTGAGGACTTCGTGTTTTGGAACAAGAGTGTGATGCGTAATATTGACAAGAAGATCTGATTCTGAGAATTCTTCTAGTTTGTATTGTTGCGCCATTGCAACGATAACCTACCGAGTATCCACAAATAAGTTGCATTTCATTCAGATCAGCAAACAATACATACTTTTCGCGCAGAAGGAGTCATGTTCCCGGGAAAGACAATGATGCCTCGCTGGATATTCTTCTCTTCCAGGATAGTAATCACCCTTGAAAGGTTGTCGTTGAGTATGCAAATTGTAGAGAGCAACAACTAGAAACGTACTTTCGCATCGTCTTTACGCCAACGCTCTTCTCGTCCGTGAAGAAAATGAAAATCTGGTCCATAGGATTGTCCTTGTGATTCGTGAAGAAATTTAGTTGCGCACGGCTGCAATACATTCGATCATATTGCTTCAGATAGAAAGCGGAATGCACGTACTCTACGCTCCCACTGCTATTTGAATAATGCGACCGAAAGGTTCCAAGGTCCATGTTAAGTTCTTCATCGGAGACTTGGAAGCCCTAATGAATAAACCAGAGATCATGAGATAAAGTAGCAGCAGCAGAAGTCTAAAATGCCAACTCTGTCTTTGACGAGTTCATGTATAGTCCTATTGACTTTCCATAGCTTCGCAGATTCGTCTTGTTCGGCCATGGCTAGTACTGCTATATGGTGGGTCGAGTTCAAGGTCAAAATGTCTTGAAATTGGGCGCTTAGACGCTCTCTTCATACCTTCATCATGGCACCGGCCGCGACCACAAGCACTCAGGATGGCGGGACACCGTCGATGCTCAATCTGACTTCGAACCTCATGGTATGTCGTGAAATGGGCGCGGTGTTTATGTGTGCTCATCTCATGCTGAGCAGATGAAGTTCAAGCCAGCCAAGATCTTCAAAAACGCTGTGGAACCGACGCCGCCACCGTCTCCTGGACCTCATTCCTCTCGGGCGCAAAATAATGGACCTAGACATATCACTGGAATCAGTTTCGATGATCGAGGGGACCAGCTTATAACAGCTTCGGAGGACGAGACATTCAGACTTTACAGTTGTAAGAGCGGCAAGCGAGTTCTCCATAGATATGCAAAGGGAACACACCGACTTACTCTTGTACAGGCAATTGAAGGTTCTTTATTCCAAGAAATATGGTGTAGACCTCCCAAGGTTCACCCACAAAAACACCACCATCCTTCATGCTTCTACGAAAGAGGATGATACTATTCGATATCACTCGCTACACGACAACAAGTACTTGCAGTACTTCAAGGGTCACAAAGACAAAGTGATATCTATGGAGGTGTCACCCGTTGACGATGGGTTCATGTCGGGTTCTATGGACAAGACTGTGCGCCTGTGGGACTTGCGTAGTCCCTATTGCCGCGGCCTACTCAATCTACCGTCCTCTCCTGTGGTCGCTTATGACGCATCTGGACTGGTATTTGCTGTGGCAGTCAACCACTATTCTCGAATATTGCTCTATGACCAAGCAAATTTTGATAAAGCACCTTTCCTAGCCATCACGCTCGAAGACCCGACACTTGCTTTGATTACGTATCCACCTCGAATCCCTTTCATGACGTCCCTCGCATTTTCCTCGAACGGCAAATACCTTCTTGTTGGATGTTCTGGCAATGCTCATTACATCCTAGATGCTTTTGAGGGTCATTTGATTGCCAAACTGGAAGGTCATACCGGCCTGGAGCGCCGGAAAATGAGCAATCAGCCTCCGGGCATCGAACCAGTTCGAGGGTGCAGTGGAGAGGAAGTGTCGTGGACGCCTGACAGCAAGTTTGTTCTCAGCGGGAGTCTGGACGGGAAGATCTACATCTGGGATGTACAGAATCTACCAGTACCGCAGGGTCCTGTGGATTTGAAAGCCCCGCCGATGCGCCTGAAGCCTATGTCGGCTCTTGAAGGTCATCCCGGGCCTTCGAGATGTGTCAAGTTCAATCCTCGGCTTGCTATGATGTGCTCAGCTGGTGCAGAACTCGTAAGCAATTACTTTCTTGCCCATAAAATGATGCTAATCACGTTCTACAGGCATTCTGGCTACCTGACCAATCTGGAGAACCTGATGAGATTGCTAAGGAGTTGCTGAAGAAGAAGGCTGCTGCATCAGGTTGACCTCGGTATCGCACACTGCCTCTGTACTTCAATTAGATATTTTGTTTATGTATTTTGCTTTCCTTCGCTTTTCTGCATTTGTTCATACCGTTGCATCTCTGTTTTATCGAAATATCGACCCATGTGAGGATCGAACTCTCGTCAGACTCGACATCATCTCAACGCGTCCTTCCACGTGCTTCCGCCCTTCCTGATCGGGAATGCGGGACGTGGCATAGCGTTCTCAGAATCCAGATCAACGCCAGCAACGAAGTACCTCTTCACCTCGCTTTCAATATTTCCTAGGTATCGGTCGTCGGTTCAATATGCGTGTACAAACTTTGCTCGGTTATGGTGTTAGCTTGCTTGGATTCCTGCAACTCGTAGCTGCTGGTGAGTAGTTCTCGAGAGGTTATGACGCTGATACGACTACCTTCATGCTTGCTCTCTTAGCTCCAGAGGCGGATGCTATCGAGCCTGAGATTCTCATCGTTGCAAACTTCCCAGAGTCAAATGCTTTCGGTCGTATGTATCATCGTTGTCTTTTGATTCACGTTGTCACATCACAATTTCTGTGTAGACGTTGTAAACGGGGAGAGTAACAAGATCTTCCTTACTATTGAGAACAAGTCCGGCCGTAATGTTACCCTGGAGAACATTGCTGGATCGTTCCACCATCCAGAGACGAATAAGCTGATCAAGAACGTACGTAACTCAATGACATGCTATTCATTCAATGCGTACTCACACGACTGCAGATTACGGCGTTGAGCTATAATCTACCCCTATTGGAGGGAGCTAAGCTCCAGCTTCCTTACCAGTTCTATAGCGAGTGAGTAATTCGTTAAGTACACCGTGTCACTAACTAACTCAGTATGCCTTTTCAGGTTCAAGGTATGTCGCGCTGTACGTCATAGGCGTTCATGTGTATCAACCTTTCTCTAGCCGGGTGATTTGAGATTAAATATCTGGCTTGAACATAGCCTGGACGTAAGTTGTATTCTTCAAGTTGTCAGTGCATCCTAACCTCATGAATCAAACAGGATAACAAGTATCGCGTGACGGCCTACGACTCGATCATCACCGTGGTTGAGCCAGAAACATCGATCTTCGATATCAAGTTGTATGTGCTAGTCCATATTTCACAGTTCCTGTATCTCATTGGCGATCGTTCTTTAGGTGGCTCACATACCTCATTGTCTCTGCCCTTATTGGTGGTCTTGGCTACTACTCGTACCTCAGTCTCGTTCCTCAACCCAAGAAACGGAAGACTCCAGCTGTCAGCGCACCCGTTGGAACTGTAACTGCTACTGGGGCAGGTGGATACCAGGAAGAATGGATTCCCGAACACCATCTCAAGAAGCCTAAGCAAAGGCGAACAAAGGCTGGTGTTGCCGTGAGTGGAGAGGATACAAGCGGCACGGAGTTGAGTGCAACTGAAGGCAGGAAACGGAAGGGCAAGAAGTAGAATGACTCGCCCGACTCCCTCTAGTGAAGGGAGGTAAAAGTAGCTCATTATCAGACTTCGGATGCTTTATATATTATCGTGTTGAGTTCTTCGTCGGATGTAGTGCCATGCTTGTTTCGCGATCAAACATGTCAGATCATGATTTTGAGAGTATGGGCCCGCAACGCAGTTGGATTGGAGAAGCATGGTTCATCTAAACGTCAATATGTTTGTAGCCCTTCACCTAAGATCAAAGTAGATGAGTGTGAGTGATGTTGAAGCTGCTATGCATAACGTACCCTGTTTTCCTTAATCATGGTGATGTACCTGTCTGCGAGATGCTTGCAGCTCTCTAGATGGTTCACACCCTCTATGCGGTAACATTTCTGCAAGTTATCCCGCACAATGCGAGCCTCCATTGTCTTGACCCAGGACTCCCTGATGATCTCGTCCCGTTGCTTCAGTTGCCCTGTTCAACCGAAAGTTCAGCTATACGTATGGCTTCCTAATTTGAGCAAGAAACATACGCTGAAGCTCTGCAAGTCTCGCCTCATCAACCGGCATGGTGGAAATGCAAGTGAAAGTGTTGGGCAAGCGCTCAGTGAGGCTGAGCGCTATTGTTAGAGACGCCGCTGAGACGTCGAGGGACGGCCGACTTCCTACCCGGTCACTCACCGGATAACATGGTTCCTGGGACCATCATACCATAAACCTGCTAGTACTTGAGCCCCCTCTCTGCATCAGAGAATGAGTAATTGAACTTAGCGTCCCATCACCGTCGGACAGAGCGATAGAACGTTGTGACTTGGACGTAAACCATCATGTCTTATCCCCTGCGTTTCCCTACAGAGAAGCCTCTCGTCACTCTCACCCATCGTACGTTACCCTTAGGCAAACAGCGTGGATTCAATCTTGATATTCACACATGTCTAGCTACTGCGTCCATCTGGATAATTGAATTGCACAATGGTCCTGACAGCAGGTTGTCTACTGCACTGATCAACGATGGTCTGCAGCCTGCACTGGATGCAGTCGAGCGTGACTGGCGCAATGGATGGCGCGCAGCCCGAGCGGCGAAGAACAAGACCGGTGGTAAGGGTGCCCTAATAATTGTCGGGAATAGAGGACAGGACAAGTTCTTCAGCAATGGTACGTAGTCCACCCAGGATTCAGATATCACCATGTCATTGAACGAGCCAATTAGGACTTGACTTTGATAGCCTTTCGAAGGACCCTCATTATTCACTCAACTTCTTCCCTCGTAAGTATCCACTTCATAGATATTCCATGTGTGGGGCTGATCTCCGCCATCAGACGTATATAATCCTCTAATGCGCCGGTTGATTACATTCCCAAGTAGGTTGCCTTGAGATATTTCATTTCTGAAAACAGCTGAGCACGTTTGTACAGTTCCTACTATTGCTGCTATTAATGGCCACTGCTTTGCTGGGGCTATGATGCTGTCACTTTGCTGTGACTATCGTGTTATTACAGACGGTGGCAAGCGTAATGTTTGGATGTGTATGAATGAGGTGAGCATGTGTTGCACATGGCCTGGACACATATTCTGATTGTTAGCACGGCAGATACACCTTGGTGCCGGATTTCCGCAGTCGTTCACCAGTCTGATCCGTGCAAAGATCCCCGATGCTCGTACACACCGCAAGGTGATCCTCGAGGGGCATCGCTTCTCACCTTCAGAGGCCCTCGAAGCGGGACTTGTAGACCACACAGTGAATGGTGACACAGAAGCGGTCATTGCGAAAGCTCAGCAAGTCGCCGATACTGTCAGTTCGCTGTGTATCCCTGGATCGTGGGGTATCTCCAAAGTGAGGGTTACCATTGCTTGTGGGGCCGTTGACAAGCTCGCTGATCCCTCTTTGGCACAGCGTGAATTATATCGCGATGTTATCGAAGCTTCCACCAAGGATACGGTGATCGCTAATGTACCTGCTGACGACGCTGTTGCAAAGGCAAAGTTGTGAATACCTTCGTCTAGGAATACATCAGTTTCCCAGATTCTTCCTGTTTCGGGTTTCCGGCTGTCACAGTTCAGCCCTATCCAGTGAGTCGTCTTATATGTTTGCTTGTCCACCTCCGACGCGTCGCGTCAAAATCAGAGGTCAAAATTATTTGCTGGAATATTTGCTTCCTTCCTTGGTTACCCACGTGGGGGTTGCTATACCAAGACTTGGAGACGCCCACCGTTCTGCACTACAATGGAGGGCGCTTACTATTTTTTTGGCTTGTGCCGTCCGTCTTGCCGCCTGCAACAATGATTGAACCAAGAACAAAAGCGACATGGATTCGAGAAGATTTTTTATATAAGGACCCTGCGTCTTCCTGTGCCATACTGACTTTTCCCCTTCCCATTCATCATCCTTCCCTTCCTCGAGGCAGTGCCTATCTTTCTGAAGCTGGACCTTTCTCTTGTTCTCCTTCACTGCACTTCCCAGGTTCCCCGCTCTCTTCTCTCATTGTCATTTTAATTCCTCGAGGCCGGCCTTCCCAACATGCAACTTGGTTTTACATTCTCTTTCCTACTCGCAACTGTTTTGCTTGCTCTGTCACCTAATGTCGAGGCCGCACCTGTAAAACGTGCGGGCATCGTGACCCTTCCTTTGAAACGCATTCATCAAGCCCGCAATGACGTGCATCCTTTTATGGTATGTTTTTTTTTCGGTTCCACATTTGATCCTTCGTGTTGAATGTCCTTTTTTTTGTCTACTAGTTACTCCAACAGCACATTAACCGTGGTCTAAAGCGCTATGCGCGTATGACCGGACGCGAAGCGCCCAGCGATCTCGAGCTGAGAGCTCACATTCATAAACGCATGTACATTCCCGCAACTGGACCGGGATCCAGAAAACCCGCTGTTGACAAACGTTTCAATCGCTCCGGTGTCAGTCATATCTCTGAACCTGTGACAACTTTGGTCAACAACGCCGCCACAAAGGGTGGTAAGGGCAAAAACCGGAACAAGAATGCTGCTGCGTGCGTGACGTTTCTTCTGCAACCTGTCTCGATGCTGATGGAAGGTACAGAGGAACAGGTGCAACCAATGGTACCGCATCCAACGGCGGTGCTGGCTTTTCCGAGGTTGATTTAGAGGCAGCTCTGAAAGGCACTTTGGCTCCCGCGGGAAATCCCACCGCTGACAACTCCCTTGGACTCGATATCGAGTAAGATATTTCTTCAACATTTGATTGCTTTGCGTGACTGATTCCGACGATGCCATCAGGGCTAATGATGTTGGTTACATCGCAACTGTGCAAATGGGGACTCCACCCAGGGATTTCAAGCTTCTTATGGATTCGGGTTCGGCTGATCTCTGGGTCGGTGGGGAGAACTGCCAATCCGAGGATGGAGGAGACTGTGTAAGTAGATGCGAGATCCCCGTGAATGTTGGTCGTAGTGTCTAATTTAATGACGCTTCTAGGGCAACCACGTCTTCCTCGGTTCTGGCAGTTCATCCAGCTTTGTTGACACGAAGCAGCAGTTCCAGGTAACCTATGGTTCCGGGGCCGTGGCAGGAGATATTATCACAGACGATATCAATGTTGCTGGTCTTGACCTGAAGGCACACAAGTTCGGGGTTGCGACTCAGGAGACTGTAGACTTCTCCAGCAATCAAACTCGTGAGTTTTTGTTTCATTATCTATGTACAAGGCAGATGTTGACAGGTTGGACTAGCATTCGACGGTTTGATGGGTCTTGCCCAATCTGTAAGTAATCTCTATGCCGACGCGTGCGAATTTGCGCTGATTTTGTTGTAGACATTGTCCCAGCAACAGACTCTCACTCCCGTGGAAGCCCTCTCAAAGAATGGCCTCATTCAGGATGCCATCACGTCGTACAAGATCTCTCGACTAGCAGATGGCAAGAACGATGGCGAAATCACTTTCGGCGGTCTCGACCAGACCAAGTTCGATGCCAACACGCTCGTTACCTTCGACAATGTGAATAAGCAAGGATTCTGGGAAGGTGCTATGACGGTTTCGGTTAATGGTCAAGATCTCGGACTCAAGGGTCGCACCGCCATTCTCGACACTGGAACCACGCTCGTCATCGCACCCGCGGCCGATGCTACTGCCGTTCATCAAGCTATTCCAGGTGCCAAGTCAGATGGACAGGGCGGATTCACTATTCCTTGCACTACGACTGCGTCTGTCGCTCTTACGTTTGGAGGTCAAACATTCGACATCAACCCTCAGGATCTGCTCTTTGTTCCCGTTGATCAGAATGACCTCCAAGGTGATTGTGTGTCCGGTATCTCGTCTGGCAATATTGGTGGTGATGCAGAGTGGCTGGTATGTATCTTGAAATATCGATTGACCTACCAGCCCATATTAACCTATTTCCAGGTTGGCGATGTCTTCTTGAAGAACGCCTACTTCTCCACAGATGTGACCAAGAATCAAATCTCGCTCGCCAAGCTTGTCTAAGGTGTCGACCCTTTGACTGCATCTTGGAGGCGGGTAGAAGAACACGCACAGAACAATGAGAAACCCGCTTCGCTCTCATTCATTCATTCCCCCGCCCACCCCACAACATTCATTTCTGCTGTTTCGTTTCTCATGGGTTGTTCTCGCTATTGCATAGCTGTGTATTATTATTGCTGCTTTTCTTCTGTATTCTAGGTTAGACACAATTACATGCTCTGAAGCAGCTTCCAAAATGAGCGTACCTATACGATGGGGGCCGTGACAAGATCCGCTGACCTACGGAATAACGCAAGTGCAGTGCATCTCGGACTCTCGTTCAGACGTCTGCTGCTAGTAAGCTTTTGAATCCGTCGCCGGCCGCTGGGAGCCGTTCAAGGTATCCAAAGCGTCCCAAGTTCGGACCTGTCCGTATATGTTGATTCAATGCACCAAAAAGAGGACTATCGCCACACGAGGGTCGTTCCCAAGATTATCCGCAGCGTCCCATGACGGCTCTCGTGCTTTCAAGTTCGGGTTCTGACTTTACACTTTCAAAGTTGGGGGTCCAAACATACGGCTTCTTTGCCGCTGGATGTTCCTGAGCCGGCGAAGTCGAAGCTAAAGAGAGGTCTGATCAGCACGTTCATAGGGCCCGAGCACCTACCTGGTCACGCCCCCAGTCTATACTATTTTTATTCAGAAAAGGAAGAAAAGGAGATGCGAGGTTGGAAACCAACTCTCTTTATCGACACTGGCATGGGTCAATTTGCAAATTGTCAGAGAAGTATGAGTCTTGGGAAGTACAGTAGATTTGCGATCCAGTCTATTTCTGTTCAGTAACGACACAAAGGAGGCCTATAAGCCAGATGAGGGATAAATACACAAGAGTGGGATGAGGGAGGGTGTCGCCGCTAGGATCGATGATTATACCACAAGGAAAAGGCAAAAGAGAGGGGAAGAAGAAAAAGGTCTTCAATGCAAAATGGGTGATGAAAGATTACAAGAATCGTCATAACTATGGGTTGAGTCGATGTATCACATATGCACGAAAACAGGAAACAGGAAATACGCACTATTGCATGGTGTTGTACATAGGGGAGAGTCGAGAACAAGATACGACAGCGGACTGAGACGAGGCAAGGATAGGAGAGGAAGCGGAAACCCGACCCAGGCGAGGACCTCCAAAAGACGTCATAAACAAAGCGTTGGAAAAGATAACGATGCACAGCCCGTAGAAAAGGAGGGGGTTGATGGAGACGAAGTGTTGAAGAATGAGCAATGAAATATCACAATATAAAACGGGAGATATACAATGAATGGATAGCGGGGGAACAACTTGAACTTGTATGTAACCGACCCTAGTCCAAAATATGGAATGAAGGAAGATGTAAATGTAAGGAAGGCCGCAGGCCGGTGACGAAGAAGAGTGCGACATGCGAAGACCATGTCAAGATTCGTTCGCCACGGAAAGCTTGAAGTACGGATGCTGTAAGGCATCCTTAACAGTGGTCCTCTGCGCAGGGTCGAAGGTAAGAAGCTTCTTCACTAGGTCATAGAACTGGCGGTTAATGTTATCGGTTGGAGGGATTATATCCTACATATCAATATTAATGATATAGATCAGGGCGAGGATGGGGCGATGCTGCTTACCGAGAGGCTTCGACAAGCTCGAACTTCTTTTCTACTTTGTCGCGTTGCCTTGGGCTTTGGCCAGTCGAGCTTGCTTCCCTCCTTGAAGTACTCCGGTTTCGACCTCGCACCCGCTCTTGCAAAGCGTTCTGGCATCTTGCCCATAACTTGCTCCATCATAGCTAGGTGCTCTAGGTTGTCGTGTGTTTGGAAGAGGGCCACGCCGGTGTAGAATTCAACCAGAATGCATCCCAGCGAGAACACATCACAAGGGTACGACCAACCCAAACCTGAGCATTGCTGTCGGGTCAGTAACAAACCAATTGTGAAAATGATTAGCGAGCGAACCTAGAATGATCTCCGGCGCACGGTAGTGGCGAGTCGAAACCACACTCGAATGGTACTCTTCCTCGAATGTGGCTGAGCCAAAATCAATAAGACGAATATCTGTGTCGTCAAGTATACGCTTCATCTTCACGGGATTACCTCGCTGTCAGGTCGGAGGCGTCAGAGGCAAGGTCGCGGACGGAAATGGACTTGACGACTACCTTTCCAGGTATAGGTATACTAACGTATTTGTAACCGTTATTAACCAATAAGATATTTTCCGGCTTCAAGTCGGTATGAATGAGATGTAGCTCGTGAAGGACTAGGCAACCTCTATCAGTATAAGACGGTCGAAAAGTCTAGGCATACTCACAGGCAACGCTTCCCAGAAGTTGTCGTGCGAAGGATTGGATATGATGGCGTGGGAAAGGGGCGAAGTCGTTCTCCTTCAAGAAATCGTACACGCACATCCCCAGGAGCTCGGAAACGAGGCATATGTGGTTCCGATGGTCAAACCAGTGCAGTAGATGGATACATTTACTACAGAACAGCCCGTCAACGGTGAGCTCGTCGGATGTGGGGGTTGTTACTCACTGTCTATTCGTCGGATCTCGTTCTTTCAGCTTTTGTAATACACGAACTTCGATCTTGCTCGCATCGCGATACTTTGGAATGGCACGAATAATTTTGATGGCAACTCGTTTGTTCGTTTCGGTGTCGAGAGCTTCGACGACCTTGCCGAATGTGCCCTGACCGAGCAAACGGACAGTGCGGTCTAGAAGCAAGGATCAGAATGCATACCATGAACGTTGAGGGAAGAATGACATACAACGCTTGTAGATCATGTCATCCGGGACTATAATGTAGTGTCCCTCTTTATCGTCACACGGCACGGGGCCTTTCGATGCCTGATACAATCATGAGTCAACTGACAATGAGCATTGCAATATGGAATCAAATAACGTACATCTTCAGTCGGGGCGCCGCTACCCGTCGCCCACGATTTGTTAGTGCTCGCAGGTTGGAGATGGCCATTGACAGCAGGCTTCTTCGTTGCGGTGCCAGCAAGCTCAACATCCCTCTTCCGCTTCTTGGCAGGTGGGGGCGGAAGTAAGGCAGAGTGACCAGAAGATGTACTGGCAGACAATGCTTGAGCTTCAGCGGCCGCCCTGGCTCTCGTCCTGATGGGTGCGGAATAGATCGGCGGCTGGTATGAGGCTGAAAACATATGAGTCGTCGATGGGGACACTGTTGAAGGTGGAGGAGTGTCCTCGATGACGATGACCTCTCGCAGCCTGCCAGCACTGTCAACCTCCTGGACCTCGCTGTATGAAACAGTGTACTGGTGGGCCCGCTTGCGCTTGCGCGTGGCGACTGGGGGGGTGGGTATGGCGCTGGAATTGCCGTTGGGAGCATTGCGGTTGAGAGTGTACTGTGGAAGCACCTGCGGTGCAAGATGATGTTGCACCGCAGCCTGCATCGTCTGGGTGATAGTGGTCGACGTGGTGGTGGTAGAGAAGAAAGAGAGGAAGAGAGAGGTTTATCAGCCTGATAGAGAGTGCGACACCAGAACGACTTGCGAAAGAGGGAGACGCTGCCCAACGGACCCTTATTTGTTTGGCCGGGACGCACGGCACTATTACGGCCTCAGCCACTCTCTTTCTCTTCCATAATCCGCCCTTTTTCTCCTTTCCTGCTATCTTTCAAGCTGCTTTGTCGTTCACTATCGCACGCCACGAAATTCATTCATTTTTTTCCCGAATGTCGCCAGCAGTATTCAACGCAATAGCCCTTGCACGTTCTCACGCATCATGCTCCTTGGCCACTGCCACGGAGTCGGATGTACACCCTTGGACGGCCGGCAGCGACCGTAGCAGTTGCTTGCCACTCCCAGCATCACCGGAAGGGAGGCTGACAAGCAATACATAGGCCTGCAGAGCAATATTCCCGCGTCAGAGCGCTACATTGGGTTCCTGCCGATCCACCACGTTCGATTGTAGGTTTGCTTTTGGTTTCCGTCATTGTGGCTTGTACCAACGACGTGTCTTTATACCCTGCCATGTATGTAATCCATATGGCTATGAATGAAATGCCAGAACAATGGGCACTCGTCAGCCACTGGTCGTGGTTCAAAGAAATCATTCTTAGTTATAAGCGTCCGGCGCTAATACACTTACAGCGAACTCAAGATATCATCTGTAGATGTTCTGTAGCTGCCAGGCCGAAAGAAAATATGGAAGCAGGTCTATAAGTTTTGCTTTCGCAAGCTTGCGCTATCGCAGGATCAATAGCACGAACTGAAGATTTGAACTTCAGCCGAGGATTATGGAATAATTTCCTAATTTGATAAGGTTTTAGTTTACTTCATTGGGACCATTGGCGGTCGTCGCTGTCGCCGTCGACGACAGAGCCCTCATTTCCGCTGTGTCTGTCCTCAAACCTCTGCCAGAAGGCTTCCCGAGCTACTCAGAGACCGCTGCAGAGTTATGAGGGGTCTGGCTTTTCCTACTGCAGCCGTATCTCCCCGAGAATCTTCCTATGACTATGGCACACCTTTCAGTGGAGGCGGCAACGAGAATGCAATTGATCCTGCTCTAAGAGTAGATACACCAATTGACCCTGCATTGTTAGGTGGAGATGGTTATAGTAGCGGAGTTCCGGTGAGTTGACTTGTTCGCATACAATTCGGATTTGGGGGTTGGTGCGAGCGAAGTGATAAATGACCGCGACGCGACGCGAAACGCTCTGATGAAGGGGTCGCGTAACTGGAGCTTATCTTCTAAATGTTAGGTTACTGCACTACCGCCTCATACCGTCCACCAGCCCGCCCCTATACCCATCAGACAATATTCGCAAGGCCCCCAAGGCGATCCTTTTGCGCCTTTACCGCCGTATGTTCCTGTGGAGCAACCCTCTATGCCCGTACAGAAACCGCCTAAGAAGAAACGGAAGGTCGTTCGTGAGATGGAATGTGGTTTCTGTCAGGGAGATGATAACAAGAACAACAATGGTTTTCCCGAACCATTGCTAACATGTTCGGAATGTGGACGAAGCGGTACGTTCGATCTCACTCTCAAGCCTCGATCACTTCCGCTTGAACACTTCTGGCTAGGTCACCCTTCGTGTTTGCAACTCGAAGAGCTCGGAGGTACGCTTCGGTCATACCCATGGAAATGTGCAGAATGCAAGAGTTGCGAAGTCTGCAATGAGAAGAGCGGCGATGTACGTCCATCTTTGTCTTGTTATGAACTCCACCGATAACTTTCGTCGTTCACACAGAGCAACATGTTAATTTGTGATGCATGCGATAGAGGTACACCTTGATCTCAATTTCATCCTGTTGTACTCACTCACAATGCTCAAAGGATGGCATATGGGTTGCCTACAGCCACCACTTACCGAGGAACCACCTGGAAAGTGGTATTGCCCCATATGTCCTCCGCCACTCGATACACAAGAACGTTTCGCACCCGAACACGAATCCAATGAACAATACCTCGAACCTTCTGAGCCTATAGACCCCGAGATTCTTGCTGCCGACATGACAACTTCACCTCGTCATCGTCGGCACCGCGAATCGTCCATTGCTTCGTCTTCTCAGTCCATTGCGCCGTATTCCAGCAAGTCTCGGCGGAAGGGCAAGTCCAAAGCGAGCGTTACTAGTCTTGTAACAGACGAATCCGAAGTGGATGTCGATGGAGATGTCGATGGAATTAACAATGAGCAAACGCCGACAGCTGCTTTAAGACGTCGGAGTAAAGTCAAGTCGCGATGGAAGGGCAAGCAGCCGGCGAAGAATGGAACTGTACGCGAACAAGACGAGGAAACAGGCGCAGAAACTCAGACTGACCTCGAGACCACTCAACTACGGCCAATCAAACGAATGCGTCTACGACTTTCTTCACCTATACCGCCTAATGCCGAACTTCCGTCTTCGCCCCATCCGCCACTCCGACTGAAGTTGCTTCCACCGAAGGGCAAAGGCAAGGAGCGCGAGCACGAGAGTGCTGATGACGGGGATGATGGGGGAAAGAAGGGGATGTTCGATGATCTCCTTACTCCGGAAGATAGGGATACGACCCAAACGACTATCACTCAGGCTGATAAGACCCGCTTCGAGAGAGCGCGGACTACTAGCGAGGTGCGCTCTACACATCGCTTTTTCAACCATGTTTGACGTTTTGATGTTTCTTCTAGCATAAGTTTAATCCACCGCCGCCTCCAGTAACACTGCCTAGCGCATCGGAATCTCCGGAAACACCAGTGGCAGGACCATCAACTCGACGTTCTACATTGCTTCATCTTCCTATCCCACCTCCGACGCCAGGTCCCGCCACACTATCACCAGCGCCGTCTACTCCCGCACCTGATGCCGCCACACCAGTTGACGGTGTTCCAAGGATACGGTCGATACGGTTTGGCGAATACGAGATTCAGACGTGGTATAATGCCCCGTTTCCTGAAGAGTATTATACAAGTATAGTGGATGGACGACTGTGGATCTGCGAGTTTTGTCTTAAGTATATGAAGAACCGATTTGTTGCTACTCGACATCAGGTGGGTCTTTCGCGTTTTAACGCCACCCAGAGTACTGACTTCGTTGTAGTTGAAATGCAAGATGCGCCACCCGCCAGGCGACGAGATCTACCGTGACGGTTATATCTCTATATTCGAAGTGGACGGGCGCAAGAATAAGATCTACTGCCAGAACCTCTGCTTACTCTCCAAGATGTTTCTGGATCACAAGTCGTTATTCTATGACGTAGAGCCCTTCTTATTCTATGTTATGACAGAAGTGGACGACATGGGCGCTCGCTTTGTCGGGTATTTCAGCAAGGAGAAACGAAGTCCGAAGGATTACAACGTTAGTTGTATCATGACGCTTCCGGTGCGACAGAGACAGGGATGGGGTAATCTGCTTATTGACTTCAGTAAGTCGTCTTGCATACGTTGGAAAGTGGATGCTTCCTAACGCATGGTCATGCAGGTTATTTATTATCTAAGAAGGAACAAAGAGCTGGTTCTCCCGAGAAGCCGTTGTCCGCACTTGGTGCACTGGGGTATAGGAATTATTGGACCCTAGCTCTCATGAGGTATCTTCGGACTACTCCAAAGAACCCCAAACTCGAAGGTCCGTCTTCCCGCCCTCACTTCACCGCGTCAAACATGGTCACAATTAACATCAATAATACTTCTCTCGGTGCAGACATCAGTAAAGCAACTTCGATGACCATAGAAGATATCTACAATACACTTATACAGCAAAACATGATCACCGTATTGGACGCGGCGCCTTCTCCTAAACCTCTTCCAGGTCAGACGATCAAGTTTCCGAAGGGCCGCAAGAATGGTATCGCTCGTAAGCATCTTCAGCGGACAACAACCAACGATGACGAGAAGGTGAACAGGCCTTTCATCCCGCCACGCTCGTATAGGATTCACTGGGAAGAGGATTATGTGGAGGAGTATATGGCAAAGTGGGAGGCTAAAGGTTATCTGAGGTTGAAGCCGGAGAACCTGAAGTGGAGTCCTTTCCTGATCGCTCGGACTCCCAAGTCAGCAGGTGTCTCTACTAAAGCGAAGGACGAATCCATGGTGCAGGCTGCTGACGCGGCCGACGATGATTTATGTCAAGCAGACGAAGTTGATACGCCTGGTGCTGGTCCATCATCGAGTAAATCTCATGTCCGTGCCACAGACACTCCCTTTGCGTTATTTGATGATCCTATTGAGGCTCCCGAAGCACGAAATTCTAGGCACAACTCCCCTGATCCAGATGATCCTAGCCAACCACAACGTGAGGGACCTAACACGAGGGTGTCACCACGGAAACGAAACCATCCAGATGTTATTCCTACACGTCGTTCCAGACGTTCATCTAACGTCCCTGTGATTGCGACTCCGTCACCCAAAAAATCACACTCTTTTCCGTCAAAACGCCAACCTCCACCTCCGAGTCTTCGTCGACGGCGGTCCTCTGTCAAGGTCCCTCCAGTCGACGAAGAACTTACGTCTCTCACGCCGGAAGACCATTTGGCTCAGGACGCTGCCCTTGCAGCGAAACTCGCCAGAGAAGAGGGTCGTCCCCGGCGACAGCTTCGTTCACATTCGAACCATGAGTCAGATCTCACCTCATTGGTTTCTACGACACCTAAACCCAGGGCACAACAGTCTCGGAAACGCAAACGTGATGAGATGGAATCCTCTCCCGAGCCTGAGCCATCTCTAAGTCCCGTAACGCCTCGGCAGATTCATACTCGGCGGTCGTCTTTGGCGGTCATTGGCAAGGGGAACCACACCCCAAAGACGCCTGTGAATTCGAGGAAGCCACCCGCGAAGAGATTACCTCCGTCGGTTCCGCTTTCAAGGCGAAATTCGCGGACTACGAGAGCGGCAAGGAGGGTTCGCTCGCCTTCTCATGCGTCGGAGAGTGAAGAGAGGATTTCGCTTCGGCGGGAGGAAGAAGAGGAAGAAGAAGAGGAAAAGGAGGAACATCCGGCACCTCTCCGAGAATCGCCCAAACCGATGGAAGGAGAGGAAGAGGAGCCTGAGGAGGCCCCTCCTGGACAGCCTTCCCGTGAACTTTCAGGTCATGCGTCGCATGCATCTAGCTTGCACGAGCGACACGAAGAGGAAGAAGAAGAACCTGGGGAGGACGTCAAGTTCGAGGCTCTGGACACCCCTTTGACTGGAATTACCAGTCGACACAGTGCCCCAAGTGACGACACGATGTGTGTTCCTGAAGAGCATCGTGACGCCACCAAGGGAACGCCTGGTCCCCTCGCTGCAACCCCTTTCAGAGTTAACGGTCATGCTGCCCCTCCACATGGGCCCATTGGTGCAACTGCCAATGGAATGGCGGTACGATTGGAAGAGGAGGAAGAGGAGGAGGAAGAGGAAGCAGTTGCTCCTTCCGAACTTCCTAAAACGACAAGCAAACCTCCTGCTAGCATCATCCCTACACAAGTTCAGGCTCAGCTTGATGTCGAAGTCGACCTCGACGCAGACATTGACGCTGAGGGAGAGCCCGACATCGACGCTGAAGGCGAAGATGACATTGATGCTGAGGGCGAACCGGATGAAGACGCTGAGTACGAGGTATTTTAGAACGCACCTTTGTTCCTTTGCTTTGCTTTTGCCGTGATGCACTGGTGCTTACGGTTCCGTGGTTGGTTCAAGTAGGAGACATCATCACTATGAACAGTCGAATGCATTTAAGAACATGTGCATGTAGTTTAAGAGGGTATAACCTATGCACAAAGTATAATTATCATCGGGACCTTTTTTTCCCGTTTTCTTTCGTTGCTTAGGGGGGTTTGTGCATATTGTTGCTTTCATACTAGTGTACAATCTTTTCATTTCTGGTTTTCAACACATACAACTTACTTCTTTTTCTTGGGCAACACATCAAATCGTCAATCATGTGCACATGCCACAGCGACATATACTAAAAGGATCCCGATTGGTACTAGTACAGATGTATACAGTACTGTCTGCAATAGGGTACAATCTGAACCTGATTGTCAAAGCCAGAATGTCCGTGATAGGGATGCATAGCGGGGAGCAGATTCGGTGATGTGACATCAGGAGGTTCGTCTCCGATTCTGATCCTTATTCGATTTCGCCTTTGTACAAATTGTCCTCGGGCGTTTCTCTGCACAGACAGCTCAATACGATGCGTTGGACCTACGTCAGAAGCGATTAAATATCTACGCAGGTTCGCCAGTGAGCTCCTGTATGAGCTCACTTGAGCCTTTGTGTCCGGACCATTTTGATATTCCATCTGGTACATCCACGGTTCTATGCATGTATGAGACTCGATGACAAGAAGGCAACGAATCGTCAACATACCTCTGGGAGTAGAAGATGTGAGCGGTAGGGTGGAAGTCCTGGGGCATGCGGCCGTCTTTGAAATGGAATGAGCCAGGGTAAGCTAAGACTGTGTTCCGACCTTCATCGAAGATGGACGAACGGCATACGTCACAGGAAACCTAAGGAAATATTAAGACACGACATATATGGCGTGACAAATTTATTACGAACCTTGCACGGCACATAGTGCTCGCCTTTGCTTATTGCCGTGCTGAAGAAGTGTAGGCTATTGTCTTTGTTCCTGATAAGTCGCACAGCTGTCTGGGGACATAGTGACATGAGGTTAAGAAATTATCTAAGTTTAGAATGTACAGATCGGCACCTTTGGAAATATGACGGCCCACTGAAAGGGTGCTCCGTGAAGCTGTTGGCATTGGCGGCAATGACAATATTTTGCATCTAATGGATTGCCGTGAAACTCGAATGCCACACTGCCACACCAACATTCTCTGGCGACTCTGAGCTGTGGACCTAATCTTTTCTGTAAGTAACTTACGTTGTATATCCAGGTATGAACTTGTTTCCTTCGCTTTTCCACCAATACGGAGGCTTGCTCATGAAATCCTTCTCCTCATCTCCTCCCTCTCTACTCGGAATCTCTGGTGTTCCACGCCATCCTGCATCGGAGAAAGATTTAGACTTTGGTTTGTTTATGTGGTCTTCCCGCGGTGGATGTGGCACAGTGTAATGTTCTCCTTGGTGAGGCGCGGCTTCCGGGTGAGCATTGGGCAGTATGCCGCCCTTTAAGTGGTAATTGTCATTATCTCTGTCCATGGCACACCGAGGGTGGTATCTCAAAAACGATCGAGAAGATAAACCCTTTGAAAATCTCGTCCGTGGCCTAAGGTGAGAGCCAGCGCCAACTATGAGATCACTATGCTGGCCTCCGAAACGAGTTACCCAGGTGCGTTCCCCTGTCGAATCCCTGGCCTCCTTTAAACTATAGACACTGAGGCAGGAAGACGTTTGTTCCAGCCAGGATTTCGCTTTAGACAGGATGTACCTTCAAATTGCAATCGAGTCTCGATGACCAGCGAAAACCGGCCTGAGTTTCTGATTGAGAGCCATGCAACATGCCGCTACTAAGCTGATAGATTTACGCAATTAAGGGAGGGTAAGCCTAGAACTAAGCAGCGATACAAGATCAAGCGTTCAGTCTGGGGATTTATCCAAGGCTCGGGAAGTACTCGATGAGTTTCGATCGGATCTATCATCTCGGCATATCCCCAATTAAGAAATGATTGAGTTTCAAGTAAGTTAACAGTGTACAGTAAGTTTCGATTCTTTAGCATTGCTACCAGTAGGTGCAGTTGCATTTGCGGCCCTGTATCGGCTTTTCTAAAATGATTCTAGATGGTGCTTTCGCCTTGGCTTGGGTCTTTGTCGGGAAAGATCGAGCTGCAGCTCGCCAAATTGAAACTGCGATTATATCTACTCCTTACACATGGCCATTTTAAGGGATGGGAGAGACGCGTGTTATTCTTTCGTTTTGGCATTCCACTTGTTCTCAAAAGGACAGATCAAGTGTTCTGCACTGAAGCCGATGCGCTTCGTTTTCTGAATCGTGCTGTGCCACACCTCCCTATTCCCAAACTGATTGATTCCTTCGAGCTTGATGGTGCCACGTATACCCTCATGACCAAACTGCCTGGTCGTCCTCTACTCGAGATTCCAACGTTGGAATCAGATCAACTGGCTCCCATCATAAACGACGTGCTTTACATTCTCGAGGAATTATGGCGCATCCCTCAACCAGCTTCATTTAATGGACGAGTGATGGCTAGTGCAAGTGGTGATGGTCTTCTTCATCCTGTAGGCGGGTACGAAGATTTCGGTGGCCCATACGCATCGACGTTGGACCTTTACAAAGGCATGATCATGAATCCTGCCGGCGTATCTTCTGAAATCATGCATACATTGGCAGAAGACCCCATTGTTTGGGTCCATACAGATCTCCGTATGCAGAACATGCTGATAGAGAAGGGAAGGGTGACAGGCATCGTGGACTGGGAGTGGACGGGCTGGTTGCCTCGTCACTGGCAGCTCCACATCTTACGACGCCCTGGTCCTTTCTGCGTTGGCGCATGGGTTCGATACTGGTTGTTCGAGCATCATTTCGATGATACGATTGAGGCCGCCTATACGGCTTCGACGACAGAGGGCGTTCTCACTTGGCCGATCTAGAGTACGGTCGGCAAGGTTGCAGAAACCCGTAGCGTTGGGTGCCTTCGATGAGCTTCAAATAACAGTTCAGGCGTGCCATATAGGCAGATTTCATTCTGTTCCTTTGTAAGTGATTGTATCTCGGGGTTCTTATAATGACGAGGTGAGGTATAAAGCAACCTAGACGACCAAGTTAGATGATCAGTGTCGACAAAGACATCCGAGTTCGCGACATATATCAGTGATATCTTGCACTTTTGACGATGCGGCGAGCCTTCGACTTACAATTCTGTAAGTTTGTGACTTAAGATGCCACCTCGAGATAATAATCATAGCAATGCTCGCAAAGATAAGTGCATTGGTACCTATCTAGGTTATCACGAATACAGTATACTACCTTGATCTGCTCTGCGAGGTAAGAACACATGTGCACAGGGAGATGCTATTATAAATGCGCGAAACCTGACATGAAATAGCCCGGAGAAATGTAGTATCAGACAAGTCTGACTTAAACCCTATTTGGGCTCAACTCAACAATCAACATCTCCTTCACCTTCTCGTGCTGAGGCCCAAAGTATCGCTCACTGTCGAAGCTCCATTCCAGATTTCCAATCATCCAACTCTCCATGGCCATGACGAATTGGTCAACTATATGATCTATTTCGGCTCCCCACGAAGGAAGACGTGATTTGTTATCGAAGAACCGATCAACCAGCACTTTGAAGTATTCACCGACGTAATCGGCGGCACCTTGAAGGTCAAGATTCTTCTCCTTCATGAGTACAGTCATGATGTTGTTCCCGGTGTGACCCATGGCCTGCTCCATGTTGTAAGAGTAGAGATCCTAAATGAAAAATAATGAGTAAAACTAGGCTGGAGGCGGATGAGGTGTAGGACATGCATTGGACCAGCAAACCGTGTCTACCGCAGCAAGATGCATTTCCATCATGACGGGGTGATGAAAGACCTCATCAGGGAGGTCGAGTCCTAAGACATAGCCAAATAGTCCGAAGAAAAAACGGACGGCGCTGTTCTCCCGACGGAGTACTTCATAGGAAGCCATGTCGAGCACAACACCAAGTTCCCGATATTCAGCTTCCCTGGTGAAGCCATTGACGTAATCCTCTGCATGTTTAATAAATCGTCGGTAGCAAGCTGGTCCCATGCGGGGGAACAGACGTGCTCTGAACCTACGAAGATCTGCTTTAGGGTTGTCTTGGGCGTATTGAAGGGCGGCTTACTGCTTGGTCATAGTGCACAAGACGGAACCGTCGTTGAAATCGGGATCGCGTAAAGCATTCAAAAGGACATAGCCAGTTTGATAGGCATCCTTTCCGGTTTGCTCATCGCTGATCTCGTCGACGGTGAAGAGAATATTGGCAAAGTCGCAGCAAGTCCGGAGTTCCTCGTAGCCAGCGTAGGGGTAGGCATGTGAACACAAGAGTTCGCTTCGGCTTTGAGCAAAAAATTCCCGTTTTCTACCGGAGAAGACGTTAAAGCTGAGAACCCATCTCGAGGACTCCGCGGCGGCAGCGGCATAATGAGGGTTCGTACGACCGTGAAGAGGGACAAGAGGAATGAGATCAGCGAGTTTGTATGTGGCCGTGGTGGACGCCATTGAGTGTATGCACAGACGCTATGTTGTCGGGGTGGTATATTGGTATTTTCCTGAGGTGTTGTTGAGGCATTGAGTTTATGGGTATAAGTACCTTCAGCTCTCCTGTGCGTGATCAAACGGTCGGTTCGGAGAGTGCATCTTGCTCGCTACTGAAGACCTTGCGCGTTAGATAAATTGCGTAAACTTCAATGTGGCGTCGCCATCTAGACTAGGTACGCCTAGGTATATAATGAGACATACCATACTGGTCTGAAGAGCGCTATAGCAACACGTAAATTTTTCCAAGTGAGATAGCTGACGTGCTAGAGACTTTCGGAGGTAATGGTTCCTCTACGCAGGCCCATGCATAATTACAAGGATACGAGTTGATCTTTGTCACATGTTGAGCGTGCGATAGAAGACTGCAGGATTAATTAGGATGAGTGTACATTAGCCACAAATCCGGGAGATCCGACGTCCCCGTGAAGTGATAAACTGATGTTCATTTTTAGCATGGTGTATCATGCGAAAACTATAGTAGTCATTGGTCATGGCACGGGGATGGCACTACTGAAATTGGCATGTCATGGTGACTCACCTTTACCTTCGTGGTCCATGCGTCCTTCGATCGACATGTTCAATGTCAACCTATGTTAGAGTCAGGCATGGATGAGTGAAAGGGAAAGAAGTCAGAGGAAAGCAGATCTTTTGCCAGGCAGAGTTTTGTCCCCTCATTGAGTAACGCATCAATATACTTCAAGTTGATAATGCCTAAATCAATCATGTCGCCTCCCATAGCCCGCCATAGACATTTTGAATCTCTTTCGATGGCACTTTGGAAGCTTGTGAGGAGACCTATATGTGCAGAAGTGGTCAGCAGTATTTAGTTGCACCCGTACTGTATGCTATACTTGGAATCTCTTCCAATACTCGAACGACTGTCTAGAAAATAGTTCAGCGAAGGGGCGTGTGAAGAACGTGCTGACAGCGCTCAGCGATATTCCTGACGCCGCGTTCTCCAACATTCACGGCAAATATGAATGTGTCTGCCTTCTAGGCAGAGTCCATGCAGAGTCCTGACAAAACGACATTTTGGCAACATGTCAATGCATCTGTCCGACGACAGATTTAAACTCTGCGGGGTGAGTTGGCCAATCAGCGCCCAGAAACGTAAGGATCCATCAAAAGTCTGCCTGGGGGACAGACAATAAGACATGTTGCCAGGATATTCGTCATTCTGCATCGCATCTGTACCAACCACAGAAGGTTTCTTGCGTGCCGTGATTCAAACAAAGCAGTTGCAAAGCGGTGAAGATAAAGACAGACATCGAGAATCGCGCTACTCGAGTACACATTACACATGGTCGTAGCAATTCTCACAACCTTCAAGTTGCCCTTCGTTCCGTCTAGCTCAGCTTTCCGTCTTCTTGAGTATGTAGTAGCAGCGGATTGGATGCTGAGGATAAGCCTGGTGTATACTCGCTTTTCTGTTTGCTTGCTGATTTCTCTCCCCGTCTTAATCTTTTCCCCTTCGCCCAACGGCACGTATCTCCACTTTTTAGCTGATCTCCCTTGATGTCGTCTCGTCTTCCCCTCCATCTTCCCCAACACATTCCCTATCACCTTTCCACAGCTTCTCTACCGGCAGCAATGGCGTCAAACAACGCATATCTGCCTCAGCCGGCCGGCTCTCTCATATGCCAGAGACCTCAGCTGACTTATTGATTCAGCCTTGTTGCTCGCGTTTTCAGGACAATATATATCCGAAAGCAACAAACGCACATCCCTCTCGATTCAGACTCTCGATTCAGACGGTCCCTTGGAACCACCGACATCAACACTCTTGATGAAATCCGCATGTTTGACCTGCCGCGCGTCGTCTCCTCGCTTTCCTCTACTCACAACTGCCGAGCGCGTCGTGATATCTGCCACGTCTCTGCTACTAATGACGTCTCAAATGGGGAGAATCGCTTGGGCCTCAGACATTGTACACTGCCTCCCCTTGACATCTCACATGACATGGCCATACATGTTCTATATCAATTCTCACTCTATGCTCTATTTGTTTTATGCGCTGTTTGTCCTCTTCTAATTTTTTTTACTCCTCTATTGGCAATATTCTATAGCTTACTATCAGAGATAGTTCAAAACTTTCTATACTGACTGTAGTGTCATGGCATTTGTCTTATTTATCATTTTGCAATCACAGATCGAGGGCCACCCAAGATGATATCCACAAAGAGGTCGATAATACACTCGATGATTTCAATGGGTAAGCACGGTGGTGAAGGCATTGGGTGTACTCTTCAATTTGTTCTTGAATGTACAGACTATGCATGCAGCTAGGCATACCAAGGACGTAAAACAGCAGCCAGAGAATGAACGTAGGATCAGTGGCCCGATCAATGGAAACCAGTTAACATCGTACGAAACCTGACATGGTTTCCATCCTAATGGAGGACGACGCTCCGGTGAGGACTATATCAGCTTGTGCGAGGAGATGCATCTACTGGCAAGGCTGTGAGAAATGCGACCACCATTCCAGTCATGGCAGCCTTGAACCTGACGCTTATGTGCGTAAGGCGGATCTTCCTACAAGAGCAAGTACTGGCAATAGTATGAATCGGCCAGTTGAATGCCGCTAGACCTCAATCAATGTGAGTTTCAGCCATTTAGGGTGCTTCGGGCGTTAAGACTCACCGAGAGAACCGTTGCTGACTAGTATCCGAGAAATTGACATTATTATGGGATGAGTACACAACGAGGATACCGCGTTCCAGACACCTCGGCAAAAGCTCTCCAATCGATGCTTCGAGGAGGTTGCAGAGAATTGAGACTTTCCGAAGACGTGGGAAGTGCTCGCTGTTCAATGTACCATCGAATGCCTGCCAAATATACACAGTGTCTGGGTTGTTCAAGTTGGTGAAAGCGGAGACGTAGATGGATATATCTTCTAACGCGGTCGAGGCAGTAGCTGATAATATCTGCGTGAGGTGTGAAAGTATTCGGCCGTCCACCTTCATAGAAACGAGATCGAGGCTCTGTAACTTATCCAAACATAGTGTATCAACGGGTACTGTAGAACCTTGTAGTTAGAAGATGTGCAATGTGATGTTGAACGCGGAAGTACGTACTGACTAACGTACTGAGTGCACCAGTTCGGTAATATGCGTCAAACCCTCCCAGGGTTAGAATAAGATGACTAAGTGTGGAAACATTCATCTCTAACATGGATGAGGCTTGCCGAATCAATTGGAGTGCCTGTACATCCCATTTTGAAGAAATCAAAATCCGGAGTGTCACGAGCCGGGATATCGACGATTGCACTTGCGCAAGAGCATCGTATAGTGTAGCGACAGCACCGGGCTCGGAGTCCCCATAACCATCCTCACGGAAAGTAATGATTAGAGAGCGTAACAGACACGTAGGAAGCGGTCGCAAGGTGCGATATTGTGTAAAAGTGGAAGGTTTGATGAGATCGTAGTTGACTTCCAGAAAGGACAGTCTGGGCAAAATATGTAAAAGTCGCCGGAAGTCCCCGACGTCAATCTTCATGCCCCGGAGAGTTAACATGGTAAGCTTGTTGGCCAAAGAGGACATGTTCTTGAAGAAAAACTTATGCTGAATGGTGTCATTGCAGTCAATCAGGCGCAATGCTTGCAACATTGGAAGCCGGACGAGAAGCATTACAGGTGCCGCCTCTGAAGCGGAATATTGATAACTCGCTAAGGCACGGACAGCCATGAGAAGCTCAGGCCGGGTCCGAAGGGTCTCAATAAGTCCCCCAGGATGAGAGTGCCTTTGGGATGCATCGATCCGGCGTTCGATGTCGTCTAGTCTGAGCCAATGATAAAGATTGAAGTAACTGCGCGGACGCCAAGCTTTGCAGGTCAACGCGCAGTTGAACAACATCCCATACAATGCTCGGCATTCTCTAGTATCGTTGTAGTGGGATGCAATGGCATTTCCGATGCTATCAATGGCCCGCTCAGCGATCTCCGTTGGAAGACGTGGAACCGAGAGAAAGTACAGATGTTTGGTGGGATCCCAATGCGTCGTTGCGTTATTGACGTACATAGTCAGGACGTAAGCGAGGGTTAAAGGTCCGCTACCTAGGTAGGATGATGAATATCGACGTGAATCAGAGATAGAGACACTGACGGTGAGGATGCGATCGAGTCTGCAAGCTAAGGGGAAAGTTCAAGAGATGATTGATCGTCCTCGTGAATGAATCCTTTGGTTGGCAATCGGTATGCTGAAAAGTCCATGATGGAAAAGCTAGGGATACATACTAGCAGGTACTGTACTCGCGCACGGCAGTAACCGAACGAACGTGAGGCGAACGCGTCAAATTCGGCTCGTCAGCAGGTGTGAGATTAATTGGCGTCCATGGGTAGCATATGCCCGATGCACCATCTCAGAATACCTACATACCATCCCCCTCTTCCCAAGAGAGCCGTCAGTGGTCTGGGCACGGGAGACTATGGTTTCAATGCTAGTTGAACCAGCATGTGCTTAGCCTGAGACCGTGACAAGTTGGTTTCATCGAGCGTATTGTAGGAGATCCAGGGGGCTCCATCAGCGTTGGAGCAACTTGGGCGCAGGTTGGTAAAGCTCAAATAAAGACTTCAGAAAGAAAGGATCAAGACTCAGAAAAGAGTTGAATAAGGATACTTGCCGACCCGTGAGAACGACACGGCGTCGATCGCGCTCCTCCAGATCAGGCAACCTTACAACTTGAACTAGAAATTGAATCACTCAGGAGTCAGAACACGCATTCCGCAGACGTCATGCCAGTGCATTTCCGTATTTCTCTCCTCCTCCTTCGCCTCAGCGTTCTTCTACTGCAACCTTGATCTCTGCCAGCAAGCGACGCAATTGGAAGGTTTTTGAATTTCAGCTATTAGTATGGCAATATTCTCTCGAATCGCTTTCGCTTCATACGCCTTTCAAACGGGTATAACAACATCTCCAAATACCATGGAGATTATCTTACTTACAGACACTATGTTTTATTATATTGTTGACAGCTGCAGGATTAATCTTTGTTCCCCTCCAGGAAGACCGATTCTTCGATCTCTGCGGTTCCCTAGGATTCGTCCTCACGAATCTCGTGTCCATATATCTACCCGGTGCGCAGCTCAACCACCTGAGCTCCGGCGACATACGCGCAAAGGTCTTGAGCCCTCGTCGATTCTTGCTAAATGCTGTCTTGAACGCCTGGGCCATTCGCCTAGGCTCGTTCTTGTTATCAGTTTGTGTCATGTTAGTTGCCATCTATGCCTTGATACTGATAAGAGTGTCTTTAGAGGGCTCTGAGACATGGAGGCGACTCCCGCTTTGCAGAGGTGAAGAAGAGCAAGATGAGATTTGCTGTAGCTTGGATCGCCCAAGGTATAATGAATGCATGGTCCCTTGCAGCGCTCGACTATGCTGAGACACAAAATAGCTACATGGGTCTTCGCTGTTGGACTACCAGTTTACCTAGTGAGCCCAATTGCGTCTGTATAAAACCGGGCTAAAATCGAAGCGCATATATGCAGGTCAACTCCGTCCCTTCTGCTGCAGACCCCCCTCTGACTATTGCAGACTACGCTTCACTCGCGTTCTTGGCGAGTTCTTGGATGTTTGAGCTCGGTACGTTATCTTTACCTGCTGGGTTCACGCTTTGTGATACTGACATACTGTATGCAGTTGCCGATTACCAGAAATCCGTCTGGCGGCAAGCAAAAGAAAAGAAACAGCACGACGAGAAGTTCGTCACGAGAGGGCTTTGGGCCATAAGTCGCCATCCAAAGTATGTCCACTCTCATTTCCCCCATCCGTATCCCATCTATCTCTCATCACACATATGCACTCCAATATGCGCATACACCAACTTATTTCCTTCGTTTGATAGCCACGTTGGCGAAGTCGGTATCTGGACAGGCGTATGGGCGCTCTCCATCCCAGCTCTCAAAGCCAATGCCCCACTCGCTGGAGAATACACATGGCTTGTCGCTGGTATCTCACCTCTCACGACGTACCTCCTTACACGATACATATCTGGTGTCCCGCCTCTCGAGGTACGCTATCATTATCCTTCCCCATTCAAAATGCTTCGTTGTGGAGTGACTGACATTGAGTACATGAATATTAACTTATCTTCTTTGTCATATAGAAACAGGCAGATCAGAGGTTCGGAGAGGATCCAAAGTGGAAGGAATACAAACGGTGAATGTCGAATTCTTGCGCAACAATTTTGGGTCGATCGTAGGCTAACCATTGAAAACTTAAATCAGCAATGTCTCCATCTTCTGGCCTTGGGTTCGACCGTCATCGGACTGAACTTTCGGACTCCCTGTCAGTAGCTTGCGCTGCCACGTTTCCAGAACGCTCTGTATTTCTTGCGTCTTTGGTAGTCTATACTGGCGGAGAACGATTCACATGCCCTAATGTCGTCTCTATTCTTCGATGTCATTTTGAGTCTTTGTAGCTTAACTTACTTCCTTCTGTACTATTCTGCAATGTCCCATACACGTAAAGCTTAAATAAGAATGCAATACGTACTGTAGCTAAGGGGAAAAAACCCCGGCCAATGGTAAAGGACTTCACGCACTTGCCACTGGCATGTCGGACCAGAGACTAGCTCGAGCCTCAAGCCCAAATCATGATCACACGGAAAAGAAAAGAAGCCAAATCTAGTTTCTATTGATTTTCTACATCCATTCCAGACAAAAATTAATAGTACAGATTTACATGTACAACTACAACAAAATCGTGAAAATGCGTGTATACAAAACAGACGTCGAAAGAGGTGGGGGAATAATTCGTACACGTACAACGGTACAACAATGCAATACTGCAAGACGACGAGATATAGAGTGGTAACGTGCCGATGTGCGAGACATGACGTCCACATAAGGTATGAAGGGACCCGAAAGCGGTCAGGGAGATCATCATGGTATAAGGATGAGAATGCGAGAGAGGGAGAGAAAGCCGGTGGAGGTATGTATCAATCGAAGACGTCTCGAACCGAAGGAGAGAAAGCGTGCAGAGAGAATGAAATGCATAGACAAAGGCATCTAGTCAAACTTGGGCACGTCGAAAGTACCCTCAGGATCTACGAAAAATCACGCCCCACACAAATCAGCAACCATCACATACCCACCAAGGAGACAAGCGAAAACAAAAACGAAGAAAAAGCAAAAAGAGACACTCACCAGCACCATTAGCATAGATATACTCCCTATCCTTTTGCGCCAAATGCATGACGTAACTAATCATCTCATGCGCATCCACTTCTACTTTCTTATTGACCTTTGCACCTCCGCGAATGGCGGCAGCAGCGACGTGATAACGAGACGTATGATTCTGGAGCATCATATCCAAAGCCGTCGTCGTAGTGCCTTCCTCGCGGTACCTGTGAGATAAGGTAGGACAGGCAAAAACGCAAGTCAGGTCCAATATTTCGTTGACGGGAGGATTGATAGTGAAGGGAAAAGAAAAACGAAAACGCACCCTTCGATAGTAACCCGCTCCAACCCCTGCCTTCCAAACAACAATCCCTTCAACTCCACAGGGTATCCATGATAATTAAAATGAATATATCTCCTTCCTTTCCCATCAGACTCCCCATCACCCGTGAACAACGCATCCCAATCCGTATCCTCCAACGCATGCGGGTGACTCCCTTGAGGTCCCAGGATCATCAAATCCGTCACGTTCACGACACGAACACGGAGTTGAGGAACGAGCTTGCGGAGTAGGGCCGCAGCAGCGATCACTTCGAAAGTGACTTCCACGCCGATACCCACGAGGACGACGTCGGGCTCCAGACCATCATCGGTAGAGGCGAACTTCCAGATAGACGCGCCAGCGATACAGTGCTACAATTTTACCAAGGGTATGAGTATCAGTACATTACTTTGACTCTTCGAGGAATGGAAGGACTTACTCGATCTGCTTCCTCGGGACTCAACCAAACAGGTGTAGGTTGTTTACTCCCGACCATCAAATTCACATAATCCTTAGCCCTTAAGCAATGCGCCACCGTGCTCAGGAAACAATTGGCATCAGGCGGGAGATAGACACGAGCAAGAGAAGGCTTCAGGTCGAGCACGGCGCCGATGAAGGCAGGATTCTGATGCGAGAATCCATTGTGTTCTTGACGAGCCCAGGTGGAGGTCTCGAGGTAGTTAAGAGAACCAACGGGTTGACGCCAGGTTGTCTCGTGGGCCTGTATAATTGCAGACGAAGTCAGCACGGTTTGTTTGACGGGAAAAGATGCTGAAGGAGGGGGGGGGAAGGAAGAAATGTACCATCTTGACAAACTTGCTATACTGCACCATCATCGTATGCACAATTCCAAGGAAAGCTTCATAACTGGGGAACAACCCTGTCCTTCCCGTCAATGTATATCCTTGCAACATTCCCTGACAAGTATGTTCGCTCAAGATTTCGATCACACGACCACCCTTAGCACGAGAAGCAGGGTCCCATTGGAAGTTACGTCCGCTATCAGCGTCTTCAAGTACGGCGTCGAGTTTGTTGGAGACGAGCTCATCAGGAGAGAAAATTCGGAAGGAGGTTGGGTTGCTATTGATACATGGCTTGTGAGTTATTTATTGAACAGCAAGAAGAAATGAAGGGCATACCTGTGAGTGACGAGGTTCAAGAACTTGCCAACAACTTTCATGCAACTCTCCTGAGTACCTTTCTTGACGCCATGATCGATCCAAGCAGGGACATCGATCGGCTCATACGCAGCATAAGCTTCCTTCTTCTGACCCAGTTTCAGTTTGTCCTCCTAAAATTCTCACATCGTCGGACTCTTCATTCGCGCATACGAAAAGCCGAGACAGACAAACCTTGGGGATTATACTCAAAACTTCCTCTGAAGGCTCGCCGTTTGGCAAAACCTCGCTGGGTTTATAACTTTCCAACCACGCTTGAAGCATCTTGCGTTCTTCAGGATCATTTTTGGCTTCGGGTAGAGGTACTTGGTGAGACCGGAATGAGCCTTCGATGTATTCACCATGAAGGCTTTTAATCGTTGACCAGCCCTAGAAGCGAAAAGATGTCAGCATATCTGTGCATCCATACAAGATGACGTCATGGAGTCGAGAGAAGGAACACATACCTTCGGCGTCCTAAGGATAAGAACGGGCCACCTGGGCTTAACGATCGGGTTTCCACTACGTGCAGCCTTCTGAATCTTATGGATCTCGTCGAGAGCCCATTGCATACTCGAAGCGAGATCTTGATCGATGTCATTGAGCTCTTCGACAAATCGAGGTTGGTAGCCGTAGCCGCTGTAAATATGACGTCAGATACGGTCTAGAAGACAATTGGACTGGGCAGAACATACACAAAGAGAGCCGTCAATTCTTTATCGTCCATACATCCGTAGATCGTCCTCTCCGAGATCTTGAACCCGTTGACGTGTACGATGGGTAAGACTGCACCTGATTCGGCGGGATCGATGTACTTGTATGCATGCCACGCGCTGATGAAGTGGAATTATTTTTAATACTTCAAATGTGAGTAGGGAAATGGGGAAGGAGAGACGCACGTAGCGGTAGGACCACTCTCAGCCTCACCATCTCCGACAACACAGCACACGACGAGGTCAGGCTTGTCCATGACCGCACCAAAGGAAACGCTCAACGCGTAGCCGAGTTCTCCACCTTCGTGGATGGAGCCCGGGGTTTCGGCGTTGATATGACTTCAAACAAGTTTTCAGGTGAGCAACCGCACTTTGCGGACCAGAAAAGCAGGGACAGATACCTTGGGAAACCTCCGGGGACACTGAATCCCCTGATGAGTGCGGAAAGACCTTGTCTATCTCGGGTATACTTGGGCCAGAAAGTAGCCAAGGAGTTCTCGAGCCATAGACAGGCGAGAATAGCGGGTGCGCCGTGGCCTGGACCGACGACGAGGAGAGAGTTAAGGTTTGTACGGGTGATGATTGCGTTCAGGTGAGCTAAAGGAACGCAAAAGATAAGCGGATCAAGCCAAGAAAAGGAAGGGTATGAACGTGCCATAGACGAGAACGAGACCTGGGCAGGTACCCCAGTGGCCGAGAAGACGGTGCTTGATATCGTCTGGCTTGATAGGTTCCTCGACGAGTGTATTTGATTTCAAAAAGATCATCGCTGGTCGGGGAACGCGCATATAGTCAGCTCGTTATATGCGTACTCTTTGGAAACAAATGAGACCTACCTGCTGCGATGTAATCTGCAGCCCGCCTGAAACGCCTGATGCTATCGAGCTCGTTGGAGGAGAGAACATTCTTGGGGACGTCGACTCTGAGACTGAGGATGGAGTCGGGGATATGCGACGGGTCGGGCGGGGGATTGGGTTGAGAAAGTAATTGGGCGGGCATGTTGGTAGGTGATAGTGGTAAGACTCAAGGCAGAAAGCTAGAGTGAAAGAACTCTAGCGGGGAGCAATAGAGAAGAGTGGAGCAGACTGACGAACGTTCTTATAGGTCAAATGAAGTGGACGATGTTTCCGGAGTCGAGGGTGCCGGGATAAGTGCAGGGCATGCCTCGGCTTGGAACGCATTCTCGGCTTCAATTCTGAATGCATGCGTTCTATCTCTCTCTCAACAGGGAGAGGTTGAAGAGTGCTCGTGCCGCAGCCAATCAGCGCCCGAGTTCAGGAACGCGAAGCGTCACAGTAACCGGGTGTCAGAAGTCCACATCAATTCCACATCCAACTACACCTGTTTCCAGAGCAATCCAGCTCGTCATGGCCTCTTGTCCCATCGCGTTCTCACTCTCCTCCGTTGACAAGTTATTCAGATTATTCTCCGCAACAGGTCTAGCTCGGTTGGATCATGGTCTTATTCCCACTCTATCTCACATGACCACACATGACTTCACCCCAAGTTTGTACATTCAGACAGTCGCAGCATACTCATGGCCGGCCAAGCGGACACTATGTTTATCGAAACCGATCCCAAGTGCAAATTTATTGTCCTGGTCTACCCTCGCGGACCGGGATTCGAGATATGCTTGTAACACTTGATTACTGCGCGGTCTTCCTCTTCCGTTGTCTTCGTGGGACGGTGGACTGGTGGACGACGTTGACCCTACCGCTCCCAATGCCAAAGCTTTGAAGCTCAATGACCGGAGGGTCGACGTTGGCAGAAGTGTTGAGATGCATGAAATGCAGTTTATGCTCGGCCAGCAGTAGGCAGAAGACGAAGCCCCACCGAAGTGATCGACGTCATCCACTCGATCGCGTCCCAAGCTTTAAACAGAGACTTGATCGTTCCCTCCCCCAGTTGGACCCCTCCTGCCTCCTTCCCCTCTTGCAATCCTCGGTCAACAACCACCAACACTTCCCCTTCTCGTCTTCGCTCGACAACAAACAACGGCTACTCTTACTTCCGATTTCGATTCCGTAGACCCGGATAGACCACCGGAGTGACCGAATCATAATTAGATTCTATCTCATCAAACCTCTCGACTCGTCTGGATCAACTTACGTCGAGAATCTCTCTGGAATTTCTGAAGGCTCGGAGTCTGATCAAAGTCCTGAAGGTACTGGGTATGTAGATTTCACCGAACTATCATCGCAATGCGGTATTTACAATGTCGGTGCATACACCCAGCGTACCAAATACATGCATATACCTCTTTGACCTCTACGGAAAGATACCCGCCGCCATCGTTTGAATTTCGGATACGATGTCTGAAGATCGTCAAGGGAAAGACCTCATACTCGCCGTGAACAGCGGTTCATCCTCACTCAAGATCTCCCTCTACCGTATCGCACCCGCCTTCTCCCCCACTCCCTCCTCCCCCTCCTCCTCCATCAGTTCCCTGGCACCAGGCCAAGAACCAGTCGAGCTTCTTCTCGTCAGCACAATCTCAAATCTCTCTGCTCCACCAGCTTCTTTCTCCTGGAAACCGTCGCCAACTTCGAGCACAATAAACTTTGGCGATAAGATCAAGGATTCGAAGATCCAGAAGATCACCTCGCATACGAATGCGTTTACGTATTTTTTGGAACATTTGAAGAATGCGAGTGGGTTGGAGAAGGGGGCTATAGGGAAAGTCTGTCACCGTGTCGTGCATGGTGGGGATTACGTCGAGCCGGAGATTATTGATGATCAGACTTATGAGAGGATACAGAGGTTAAGTGATTTGGCTCCATTGTACGTTTGTTCCTCTTTCTTCCTTCGTTATTCCTTGCTTTCACTTTAAAGCTGGTGCTCACGTGACTTGTTTGTTCTATGATGTAGACACAACGGTGCCGCTCTAACACTCATCAAAGCAACACTGCAACACCTTCCCTCCGCAACCTCCATCGCATACTTCGATACTATCTTTCACCGTACTATACCCCCACATATATACTCGTACGCGATAGACCCTGTCGTAGCCCGCGAAAGGGGGTTGAGAAAATATGGCTTCCACGGACTCAGTTGTACGTCTCTTTCCTATATCCCTTCCCTCTCCGCTTCGCATTCACAAACTAACATATACCTCTCCTCCTGGCTTCATTCACTCAATTTTATTTTTTATTTTGTTAGACGCATATATCCTCCGAACCCTCTCCACCCATTTCACCGTCCCAGTCCCCACCACCCGCGGTCTAAATCTCATCATCATGCATCTAGGATCCGGTGCCTCAATGGTGTGTATCAAAGATGGCAAGTCATTTGATACCACTATGGGCTTAACACCTGTGAGTGGATTACCCGGGGCAACGAGATGTGGGAATGTGGATCCTAGTTTGGTTTTTCATTGGTATGGAAGTGTACAGGCTGCTGCCGAGGAGAAGGAGAAAGAGGCCGAGGCTCAGAAGGAGGAGGAGAAAGAGAAGGAGAAAGATGGGGATAGGAAGGAAACACAAGGGAAGGAGGCCGATGGTGATCCAGATGGAGACACTGATGACGACGGGGATGGTAAGGATGATATGGATGGACCACACGGTGTAAGCCGACTATCACACCGACACACGGCTGGTGTCGATGTCCGCGTAACGATCGCCGAGGAGATCCTCAATAGACGGAGTGGATGGAAAGCAATGACGGGTACGACTAACTTTGGCGAGATCGTCGCCAAAGTCAAGGCATCCTCCTCGTCCTCCACTACTTCGCCGGACGAACAAGGAGAACAGGTGGATGCAGACGTATACACGCTCGCGTTCAACCTGTTTCTGGATAGGCTGTTAACGTACATTGGGAGTTATTATCTGAAATTGGGTGGAGAGATTGATGCGTTGGTGTTTGCGGGTGGGATTGGGGAGAAGAGTCCGGAGTTGAGGGAAGCTATTGGGAAGAGGGTGCAGTGTTTGGGGTTTAGTATCGATCTAGGTTTGTTCTCCCCCACCTTCCTTACATATATAATCCCCTTTTCGATGGTGGTGACAGACACACGTTGACGCGTTGTTTTTATTTTTATTGTAGACAGGAACGCGAATGTGGGGAACGCACAAGCGGGGGAAGGGGAAGACCAGAAGGTCGTCGATATTTCGGAGAATTGGGAAGGTAAGAATGGGAGGAAGGTTTTTGTCGTTTGGACGGATGAACAGGTACGTTCCTTTCGTTCAAAACCCTTTTGATTTGACTGTATGGAATGAAAGCTGATTATTCATTTTGTCGTAGCTCGAAATGGCAAGGCAGTGTTCGCTAGATCCAAGGTTCTCGCAGTGAACATTGAACTCTTAGCAGAAGTTCATCGGTCCGACTTAACTGGCTATAATGGAGGTATGATGTATTGATTGATATTCACGAAGACAGAAATGAGAGAGATGACTCTGTAGCCTGAAGGAACGGACAGTTGGATTCGTATCGTTGTATGGTTAGGTGTATGATTATTGATACCTTCCGTTTTATAATACCATCGTCTATGAATGTTTTGTTGAACTCGAAACTGGATAACTTGGATTGGTTAAAAGGCAGCATTTGGAAGTCGAATGGATTTAATTTTAAATGTCATTAATGGGCATGTGGTGTAGTTGGTTATCACGCTCGCTTAGCATGCGAGAGGGGTCCGGTTCAATCCCGGACATGTCCAGACTCCATTATGAGCGGTGACAATGTTTTTTGACGTAACCACCAACAGTTGAACACAAGTTGTACATTTAGATATCTTTCTACATACGAGGTGTCCGACGGATGGAATCCACTTCAGATACGCTTTTTTCAAGAGCGATGATGTGCAACAGATGCACGCTCCACAGGCACGCCTCAAGATGACAAGCGCCTAGAACTTGAAGAGACCGTTCACTTGTGCAGACCGCTGTCCTGCTCTCTCCGCAGTTGCATGAACCTACAGCATTGCAATTGCTACATGCCATAGACCAAAGGCGTTCGTTTATACCATCATGTGGTCTGGTACCCCAAAATTTGTCTTCGTCCTTACCCTGGTGCTTAACTGTGTCCTCTGGTCTCAAAGTCGGTACGGTCATCTCAAGAGCGTTCGATCACACGACAGTGGTCTCTTGGCACGGAGAAGTCTCTTGGAGGTTTACCAGGTTGACTCGAACGTTAGTGTTTCGGGATACAGAGAAAAGGTAATGTCGTGTTGTTTGTGAAAGAGCAACGCCCAATTTAACCGTGTGTGCTTCACATTGTTATGTCTTTCTAGTGCCACCCTATATCGTTTCCAGTAGAAGCCCAATGTCCCATCGCACGAGACCTATGTCCTCAATCAGATACCTTCCTATCCATACCCTACGTCCGACATTACTTCTGCTCGGACTCACATTTGCGCCCTCTCATCTTCTCAGGGTACATCATATGGCTCGCCTTTCTCTTTTCCACTCTCGGAATCAGTGCTTCAGATTTCTTCTGTCCAAACCTCGGTACCCTCTCGCATCTCCTCGGCTTGGATGAGAACGTCGCAGGAGTGACGTTTTTGGCTTTCGGAAATGGAAGCCCAGACGTCTTCGCGACTTTCTCAGCTATGCGAAGTAATTCCGGTGGATTGGCTATTGGTGAATTGCTTGGTGCGGCATCGTTCGTCACTTCATGCGTCGTTGGGTCCATGTGTATCATCAAGCCGTTCAAGGTCGATCGAGGACCTTTCCTACGAGATGTCGGGTTCTTCACGCTTGCTGTTATCATGCTTCTGGCCGTACTATGGGACAATGAGATCGAAGCATGGGAGGCTGCGTCTATGATTGTCCTCTATGTTATATATGTCACCGTGGTTGTCGTAGGATCTTACCTCGAGAGGTGGAGGGAACGACGGAAGCAGATAGAAGCCATGAGGCGTGATGAGTTTCGGGAGGAAGCGATCCAGTATCCTCCATTCCATGATGAAGAAGGTATGTTTTCAACTCTATTACGCGCCTTTCGGCTGATTTTTCCCCCCAGTGAGCCTACCAACAACAGGGACAGCAGCTCTCGAGATTCCGTATAGCAGAGCTCGCGCCGTCTCGCAACCAGGGCCTCCTCGACTCGGCTTGGAACTTCCACCGCGACCACATACACGATCACCCTCACCTCTTTCGACCCGTTCATCCCAGTTACGTCACCGACCCCCTTCCACACACTCACATGTAGGTCACATGCCATCGTTCTCCCTTATTGGCGCCCTAGAGTTCCGCCGAGTCGTCTCTGAACTTCAACAACAATCGGCAAGCTCAGCACTGAGCCTATTCGAGAGTCCTTTAACACCGTACCCAGGCGGTCATTATCATACCCATCCTCATCGCGGCTCAAGAGAACGGACGCCAATCGACTATGGCTCTGAACGCGACCCTTGGGATACAGCGCTAGGTCTTCCTTTACATGATCGTTCACCACAAGGTGCGATTCCACCTCTGATAGAAGAGGAGACCACTACGGAGGGTGGTCCGACTCCCATGATTACTATCACCCACACCCCAGCCTCGCCCGTAACAGAAACTTCATCCGAAGTAGAATCCACACGATATACACCACTCACCAAACGACAACGTGCATTCCGCGTTCTAGCACACGTATATCATATCTTGTTCCCGACTTTGCAGGATTTCAAAGCCAAATCTCTCTTGGGGAAAATAGCTGCTGTATTTGCAGCACCAGCTGTTACGGTGTTGACACTCACATTGCCTGTGGTCGTCACAGATTATGATTGCGATGGCGCACACGAAGAGAAGTTCCTGACGGATGAGGGACGTTTGATTGATTTTGAAGAGGAAGGTGTGGAGAGGGCGCTTATAGCGGAGGACCGTGTCGAGGAAGAACTTCGCGAGCTCAAGTTCAATAAATGGTTGATGGCTGTGCAATGTGTGCTTGGACCGCTCTTCTGCATTGCTGTTCTCTTCGGTAAGCTATAGCGAGGTTACTCGTTTTGTCATGTTTTCTGAACTTAACGTCTTCCTTGACCAGATGCAACGGAGCACGAACCATGGCTTCTACTAGCCGCGGGTGTATCAGGCGCAACTTTCGGTATCCTCGTCGCCGTCTTCGCAAAGCATGGTGAAACCTCTGCAGCTCGCCTTGCTCGATGTGCTATGGGTTTCATCGTTGCAATCGTCTGGATCATGGCCATCGCCGACGAAGTTGTCCAAGTGCTACAGACATTCGGCCTCATCTTTGGCTTGTCTGACGCCATAATCGGGCTCACCATTTTCGCGATGGGTAATTCCCTCGCAGACCTCGTTGCGAACATGTCTGTTGCCGTCTTCGCACCTATTATGGGCTTCTCTGCATGTTTTGGTGGACCTATGCTCAATATCCTCTTGGGTATAGGAATCTCTGGATCATATATCATAGGCCAGAACGGTGGTGCTTCTTATCCTCTGCACTTCAGCACGACGCTCCTGATGACAGGAACTGGTCTGTTGGCGCTGTTGATCGTGACGTTAGTGTTCGTTCCTTGGAATGGGTACTTCCTGCCTAGAAGTTGGGGTGTTGCGCTCATAGTGGGTTATGTTGCTCTTATGGCTGCGAATGTGGTTGTAGAGGTCAAAATGGCTTCTTCATAGTACAGTGATACTGGTAAGGAATGGACTCTACTTGGATGTTGCTTCTGATAACTTATGACTGCTTTCTCAAGTTGATTGATAGCTCGCTTTCTTGTATCATTACTTTGCATTCTTCTCATTTGCTCTCCATACATATGCATCCATATCTACACTGACATATCACTATCTGCACCTCACTCTAGTCAATGAAATTGCATGTACATTCAATATGTACTTGAAGGAAATTGAAAATACACTAAAATTACAGGAAGAAAGATAACTAATTCTGATTCAGACTGTCTGAATTATCATCATCATCATCATCATCATCATCATCATCATCATCAAAAGTAGTATCAATATGTCCATACTGCCATGATTGATCTATGTTTTTCTGCAGGAAGTCCTTCAGATGCTCAAACACCAAACCATCATCTATCTTTCCCATTTTCTTCAAAATTACCAAGAGAGATTTTGTGTGGTAGAACCACATATTTGGATCTCCTCTATACCAAGTAACATCTTGAATGCAATCTTTCAGATTCTCTTGCAAAGCATAAATCATGATTTTATGTTGTTTTAACTGATGTGAAGGAAACTGTAAGAGAAACCTGAAGATGTACTGTGAGCAACAAAGCTCCAAGGTAGTTTTGCAGTGGTGATCCTTATGCCAGTCATGAGGAATATGAAGATCATCTTTGGCATTGTATAGCCAATATTTTGCACCTGCAATAAAATTCAAAAGAACTGTAAAGACTTTAGTTATTATCTTACAGAGTAGAAGAAAATACACAAACATACCTTTGATATCTTTATTGTTACTAAAGATATTTGGAATTGCCAATTGAGAGGCTGACCCAGTATTGTGTACACAGCATTTGTTCATCAATGCATCAACCATGCAGCCATAGTCTTTATGAATCATTTGAAAGAGGCCAGTTTGAGGCATAGGTGAAAAGATGTCATGAAGAAGGGTAAGGACATCTGGTCTCAACTCTTCATCCTCCATCAACAAAAAGGCCAAAACCTCTGCTAGTATCAGCTTGGATTTATATTCATAAGAATATTTCTTGACCACCTCTATAAGCATGTCATGCAAGACCTTTTTACCAGAGTCAACTACTGGCAAGTTTCTAGCCCAGGAGCTGTATCCAAAGTTATTTAATGCCACAACTTCAGAAGACCATCTGTGTGATACAATGGACTGTATGCAAGACCAGGCATCATGTTTATAATCATAGCCTTTGTACAGAGAATGGTTATCCTGCAGGAGGCATGGCAGAACCACAAAATGATCATCTGCAATTAAAGCATCCACCACAGTGAGATATTGGGCATCAAAGCTAGTGTTCTTGACAACATCAGCCTCCTCCAAAGGCAGCTTCTTCATTGAATTGGACCAGATCTGTTTCCAATGTTCACTATATGGCTGAAACTTCAACTCAAGCCAATTCATCCATTGGTACCAGATATTCATGAAGCTTTGAAGAAGCCACCACAAGAACCATATGGGCAGCAGAAAGTATTGTGCCACTTGCAATATCACTATAATAGACTGAAAAAGTCCAATAGGTATAGCAGCAAAAAAACTAGAAGATCTAGAAGACAAATGTAAGGTTTGCCATGCCATCAGATAGGATGAGAGCATGAAGGCCCACAGCAATTTCAGTTTTGGCCTAATGACATGCATGACACCCTTCAAAACTGGCAACTTGTATGGGCACCTTGAAAGAATTGCTGGTAGAATAACTGACATGATAGTCAAAGAAGAGAACCATGCAAGAATGAGGCCAATAGCAACCCAGGCTACTAAATCATTGAAGAGGTGTAGAAACACCCCCAATCCTGCAAAGAACAGACCCAATGCAATCTGCAGCAACATAGGCAAGAAGGCTGCAATTTCAAAGACATGAAAATCTATAAGCCCCTGAAATCTGAAGTGTCTGATGCGTAGATATGTCCTGGTTGAGCGATTATTGTGAGCTGTATATTCATGAAGCCATTGTTTGATTAGGATTCCCAAAGATGCTGTCATAAGACTGCAGATAAGACTGGCAAACCAGAGAGTGTTGATTCTGACATTGGAGGGTGTTGCATGAAAGTCACCAAGTGGACCAGGTGGTACTGAAGTTATATTTGAAACAGAGGGAACTGCGAGCATTCTGAGCTGCTGAGAAATCTGTAGAAGAAGCAGCACAGCAGCATCTGCTGGATCTTGCTGCAAGGTCTTATAGGATTCAATAACAAATGCTGTCATCACCGCAGAGAACAAACCAGCCTAGACAGATGTAATTCAAAGGTCACAGGTGGATGTTGGTAGGGCGTATAGTAGGAGACTTACAAAGACAAGCAGAGTATCGATATCTTCCTTGCAATCTTTGATTTTCTCCTCATCATACTCTCTCAAGATCTTGGCAACTTTGGTCCAAGGATCGGCCTCTGCCGGGTCTATGTTATTCTGAAACATCGCTGCTGAGATCGCAGATAGCAGGTTATTAACGACGCCGCTGTCTGAATCATCCGAACCCGATCTGTTGCTGCTAGGAATAGGTGGTGTAGGTCCAGATCCTGTAGGCGAAGTTGGTGGTCCGACTTGGGGATGCTGAGTGGGAGCGGAAATATGGTCTAGATTTGACGTAGAGAAATGAGTATCCATAAGTTGAGAGTTATAATTTCGAAGAACCTACCGGCCGCAAAGTGAGCAGCAGTTACCGAATTGAGGGAATTATGGCCAGTGGTGTGAGAGTCGCCAGCGGTGGAAACCTGGGCACGATTTCAACGAGATCAGCAACGCCACAGACCAGCACCTGCATTAAGCCACTCACTCCGACGAGACAGTGTGGGGCCGAACTTGATCTTCTTGTCCGGCGACTTCTTGCCATCGCGAAGACTATGGAGAGAAACGATATTGGTACCAATGCAGTGAGGGGCGATATGCGCAGCGGAAAGGGCGAGGCGAAAGGTTGAGGCCGAAGCTTGCTAGAGAGGGCCGGGTTATATTGTATCCACCATGCTGTCAAACCTACGCGCCGGAAGCAAATATCACTTTCTATCTGGAAGGTCGATATGTTCACTCAATCAGCGCTGATGGAACTGAAGGCAGCGTGAGACGGAGGATCGTACCAACAGTACAATGGGGTCACAGACTAGACCACGTTTGTAGTACTATCGGAGCAAATGTCAGTCTAGTGCAGACATATTTGGCTGCTGTCCTTCAGCCGCTCCACGATCTCTAGTAATTCAAACAGAGTGAGCGGTTTACTTACGTAAATCAGAGAAACAAAGGCCACATGTGCACCCATGTCCGGCTTAGCACCGACGTGTACTTACTATTACGGTTACTTCAACCTAACAGGTGGCCCTCAACTCTAGGGTATCAGGCCCGAGTTGACGATACCTTGAAAGAACAGACTGAACACCAGAAATGTCACAGTCTCCAATTCACGTAGACGAGATTCGGAGTAAGAGTTGGCGATCGCAAAGATTCAAGCTGGAGCAAGCGGCGATACGGCCCGATAGGTCCGCTAGTAGTTTCATGTGAAAACGCATTATCTGCTGCTTGTCGAGAGGCCTACATACACGTCTGCAGGTGGTACATAGTACTTGCCGACACTTTCTTCCTGACGAACATCCTTGTTCTTGGGCGATATTCAAATAGAAGACATACACTCAACGAAGAGAACTACATCACACTTGGCATGTCCACGATCCTTGCGTCCTTATCCCGCCACACTCTCCGACAACTCAAGTTCATCCTCCCTGGAGGACTTATCACATACTATTTGAATACCCATCAAGAATTCTTGCGTATTTATGATGTGGAGGGAGGACTAGCACGGTATGTTGTCTTGTTCGAAGCGTTTAAGCTTTCGATAGTGAGACATGGTCACCATGCGTCTAGGACCCTTGCATCAGCGTCACTGGCATCAGCTTCTGTCACTTTTGCACTCTTCATGTACATTCTTTTATTCCCAATAATCAGAGGAGAACAACCTAACGTACGTGAAATGACCATCCTCGTTGATTAAGTCGTTGAAGCGTATGACACTACCATGTGCAGTATCGTCATTGGAGGGACTCGGGTGTCTTGTCTAGGGTTATTCCTGTGAGTGAAACCATGAGACGTCAAGAATACGCACGTCCATTGGACTTGGGCTGACCATTGGGACAGATACTGACCGCGTCTATTCTGCTGGGTTGGACGTTACTAGCCTACGTCCTGGGACGCTGGTCGAGCCTAGGGTATATCGAGGGTGTAATCGGAGGTACGTTTACTTTGATCTATTTTTATGCTGCTTTCCCGGTTTGAGCTACTCTTGCATAGCATCTGGTCTATACGCTCTTGCATTCGGTCTGCTAGGGCTCATACCTGCACCGAAAGTTTATCGCCATTGAGTGAGGTTCCTACGTCAGATACGGAGGAGGATCTGTCACCTATGTTCCACTTGTCGCAGTTTTGTATTCGTAATTCATCAGACTTTGTTGTACAGTGAGTGATGTTTCGAGTGGGCTACACTTTTGCGGATGTATGACTGAGACTGAGCATTGTACCAGTAAGCTTCTCATCACAGGACGATGAAATTGTACTTTGCTCACGATTTGCATGTAGGAGAGGCTCGGTATTAAACTTTGAAGCGTTAGGGACATCATAGTAAGGAGAATGCCTCGAGCGATTTCATATCGTTCTTGCTGACTGAAGGTACTTACACTACGGGATAGACGAAGGCTTTTCTCTAGGTGCAATTAGCGTATCTATTGAAAGGGAGTTGTGTTGTGGTCAACGAATAGACGCTCCACTTGACCCGCCTCTAATCATCGGTTAGCAAGTATGCAGTTCGCTGCCGCACCTCATTGAAATTTTGTGCTCTTCGTTCAACTCACTTTAATACTTTCTATCATTTAGTGGATTAATAGACTGGCCACATACGTTGTCTGTGGCTTCCATTGCCACATTTGACAAACTGCCACACAAAGGGAAACATTTTGGCGAGGCGGAGTTCCAAACGCCAAAGTTCCCCTGCTCATATATAACCCAATTATACCCCCAATTTGGCCCCCGGCTCTGGTCCTTCCGCCTCCCACTTTCTCTCTGCCTCGCTCTCTGCCAGTCGCGTCGATCTTTCGAGATGGCAACGTCTCCCGCCCCTCCCGACCTTCCGGTAGAACTGACCGACAAGATCGTCGATGATCTTAAGGACGACCGACGGGCGCTGAGGGTACTTACCCTCGCCGCAAGGAGGTTCACTGACCGTGCCAAGAAGTATCTCCATCACGACATCTCTGTCTCATCCAAAAGGAAGGATGAAATTACACGTCTGGTAGTGGCCTACCAGGGGTTCAGGGAGCATGTGAAGGTATTCCGCGTCTCATATCATGGCAAGAATGCCTCGTATATCCATTTGGCTCTATGTGTACTGGATGATCTCCCGCACCTTGAAGAAGTCGTGATAGAGCACACCAAATTCAATCCAAAGGTTTTCCAAGATATGTTCTTCCATCACGGGACGACCGTACACACCCTCCACCTTCACGATGTAACGTTCGAAACTTTCAGTGCCTTCGCGTCCCTCGTTGCGCCGTTGCGCCAGCTGCGTACTTTGTACATCGATACCGTTCAACTTCGTCTGGACTTTCTGAAAACTGCCAAGAGAAACCCACCCCCATTGCTGCAGAACCTCCAGATTCGTACCTGCGGTTTCACTGACCTTTTATTCGCATGGCTTGAACGCCTCAAGGAAGTCCGTATCACGCAGTTGCAGGTGGTCTATGCCGTTCATAGAGACGGAACTCCTCTCTTTAACCTCATGCGACTACTATCAGGGTCTTTGACTCATCTTGACCTTGATCTTTACGTTCATGGTTACATGAGAGATATGCGTGAGTTTAGGTCTGTTGCTATACTATTACGGCAAGCTGATTGACCGTTTTATCTCAGATAAATCATTCACCGAGCCACTACTCTCCAATATGCCTCGCTTACAGTCTTTGACCTTCGGCAGCATTCCTCTGCATCCCGGGATTATCAACGATACTGAGCCCAAACCCGCCTTCGCGTGGATCTCAAAGGTCCTCCAAGACGTCGACATAACTAGTCTCCAAGAGGTTCAATTCAACTGCACTGCCTGGGAATCAGAAGAAATGAAGAACTTCCCCTTTGGGGACGTCCTCTCTGTTTTCAACACCCGGAGCTTCCCCTGCCTCCGCTCAGTAACCTTTCTCCTTCCACTCACCCAGGTCGACACAGACGACTTCCTCCCCAACGTCAGTCGTATTATTCATGATAGCCTTTCGACTCTTGTCGATGCTTCGCTGTTGCGTATTCAGACATGCACTCATAATACACTGGGTCCATGGAGGAGACAGTCCGTGCCTATCCACTGGAATGATAGAGTGTTCATAATCAGTATGCCGCTCAATGTGGACATCCAAAGGCTGGATTCAATCCCGGCCGCCCCCCATCCGGCAGAGGAGGCGGACGAGTCTACTATCACAGCTGGGGCTTTGCAGCCACTGCAGCATCCGAACCCCGCTAATGAGCAGTCTTTGCTGAACGTATCAGATGGGGTTATGCCGTCTGTCGGAGAATCTCAGATGACGACTGTGTAAAATGAATTCTAACATGCTTTGGTGATTGGGAAAAGCTAGAGGGGGAAGTTCTTGGTGTATATCTTGACGATGTTATAGTCCTGTCCAAGTCCTGTCAATTCTGTTTGAAATCATGTACAAAGGAAATATATGCTACATCTGGCTTGTGTATATCTTCGTCACCCTACAATTAGGTGGTAAATCCCACCTATGTCCAGCTCTGTTTTTTTGAACTTCTTTCTTATACGCCATCAACACGATCAGAAGCGATCGACGTTTTCCCACGTGGGTGGAGTCGCACTCGAGCAGGTTCACGTCTATGACTCGTAGTACTTAGTACTTAGTTTTGCTAGGGTCCCTACCAGCCTCTAGTATACTCTCGAAGAATGAAAATAACGATCTCTTGCGCATACAAGAAAATGAAGGTAAACCGTTAAGGGAACTGACTATGTTTCCAGAGGAAGAAAACCCTCGCGAGGATCTTTGCCGGTTTTCGTCACATTCAATTCCTGAGCCTCGCTAACGACAATATCATTTAGCATATCTGTTGGGTGTATCATGTCGGCAAAGGAGTTCAGATCTGTGGTGAGACTCATCCTATTTAGGTCGGATACAATTACGCTGGCTTAGATACCCATACTGTAGTTGGCAGATCACGAATGTGATAAGTTCAAGGTTACCCATCGCCCGTTCACGACAATGCCCGAGCCATCACGCCATTATCTTCCGAGAGGAGACGGAACAGTCCCTCACTTGCAGAATACTTACCCTCAACTCAGCTTTTTACAGCTAGAGATCTGGTGTGCCAACATCCCCTTCTTTTATCTTTCGGCACTTCGGGGAAATCTGTATTCGGCCCGTGTTCGAATGGCTCATGCGAATGGGTGATATCCTGCTAGTTAGACGAGATTGAAAGAACGACCTGTGGACTCCGAAGGGGAAATTCCCCACTACAGACAAAGTTGAATTTTGGCCATGTCAACCGACCTTGCTGCAAGCGGAGTTCAAATCCCGTCTCTCCTCCGCCTTGTATCACCTCATCTAGCCGTCGCAACGTTGAACTCTTAACCTCGCAAAAATTCTTACACCCCAAGTCTCTCCTCCTTCTCCCTCCTCTTTCTCCCTCGCTGTCACATTCTGTCGCGTCCGAATGCAGTCCTTCGTTTCCCGCCTGCCGCAGGAATTAATAGACATGATCATCGACGAGTTAGATTACGACCGCGACGCTCTGAGGGCCATGGCGCTTACCTCGTCCAAACTCGTCGATCGCTCGAGGACACACCTTCACCACCACATCCGTGTTCCATTCAAAAGTCCCCGGGCAGTAACACGGCTCGAAGCTGCCTTTATGGGCTTTATGCCCTACATCAGGATTTTTAACCTCGAGTACCATCAAAAAAATGCCCACTGCATTCGTTCAGCGCGGCGGATCATGCACAACCTTCGCCACCTTGAAGTCGTCGTTCTCAACCTCAATATGTACGAATATGACCCAGAGCTCTTTCGAGATTTCTTCCCCAGGGACGGGAATATTCGTACGCTCCACCTGTTTGACATTACATTCAAGACTTTCCACGATTTCGCCCACCTTCTCGCGCACTTCCCCCAGTTGCGCGAATTGCATATGTACAATGTCACCGGCACATTTTCATCTGACGAGAGCGTGGCTTGCGTCACAGAGGATCCACCATCGTTGCTGGAGGCGATCTACGCTGATGAACATTACTTTGCAGATATCATGTCCGACTGGTTTGCATTCTGTTCGACGGAGGTTCGTATTACACGGCTCAAAATCTTCTATCCTGTTACTCTGGATGGGGCCCCACTCTTCAGGCTGATGCGAAAACTAAGCCCAACTCTTACTCACCTGGACCTAAACCTATTCCCTTCTGGGTCGCGTCTAACATCCTCGAGTGATGATATAGCCGTAATGCGTACGCCCATTCTACTCCAATTTTGTTTATGTGATTCAGATTTAAGTGTTTACTCGATTACAGACGCCTCGTTCAATGGTCCATTACTCGCTCATATGTCAAACTTGCAAAGCCTTACTTTCGGGAGAATACCGTTATGTTATCCCGCTTCGGAGACACCTTCGGAATTCTCTCCGCCCGAATGGATCCTCAACATCCTGAAATATGTCGACACGTCGAGCTTGCGTCAAATAAACTTCAACTGCAGCATATCGAGACTGGAAGACATAAAGTCATTCCCGTTCAACGAGGTCCTCTCGATCTTATCCGCGCGTTCTTTCCCTCTTTTGAACGCCATATCATTCTCTATCAATGATCGCCGCATGTTTTATACAGACCTCGTCGCCGACGTCACTCGCATCATCTACAAGCGACTTCCAGAACTTGCAAGTCGAAATCTTCTGCAGGTTGACATATCTGCAGAATTTACATGGGCAGAAGCGAGCCTACATAGTTTGATGCTCCGTAGGGTGATGGCGCGCCTTGATCGCTCTCCTTAATGTATTTATTCTCGACATTCTTTCGCGACAGGCAAGGAACAAAAGATGTTGTGTTATCTCCCGCACATTGACAAGCATATTTGTGCCTCTCTTTATTTACGCGAGCAGATAAAGGACATTAAGCAATTGAAGTTTATACTTCAATTATAGCAGTATCAACATAATATATTGACTGTTTGGTTCATGAACGACGAATCTGCAACTAGTTTCACGATACTAGTCAATATGAAGTTTTCGGAGAGCAGTCCATACCTCCAGTCCGCAATAGTCTCTATCATATGTAATATTGACTTAGTTGGAGTGAATCAACATCAGCGGCACGTTTGAACTCTGCTGGACCATGATAGCAGAGATCAACCTCTATAGTATACTGGTTGAGTGACTGTCTTCCTTCATGGTTGCTGAATTTAAAGCTTCCATCCAGGTCTTCCGAGCCGTCTAAGAAGTGGAGATCAAATCCGTCGCAGATCACGCCGATCTTGACCGCCACGTGTACCGACATGAAGGTAATAATAATATTGACCTGCTCGGGACTTTCAGTTGTCCATTTACCACCGTACAGTACACCGACTGTACATTAAAAACTCTATTCTGCTTTAACTCTCAATCATTGTAGAGGGGGAAGAAGAACGCGTTAACTATGCAGATATTACGGCCTCCGATTCATTGGTTGTGAGCTCTAGCACTAGTATTGATGCTAGGCTGGGACATATAGCAGGCATGCCGTTCAAAACAAACATAGAGTGAGACGTCTTACTGTATGTTTGCTCAGAACTTGTGGTCCAACACTAAAGATTCAGAAACAAATTATTAGCCTATACAGTGTCCTTTGATGGCGGTTGACATTAATCAAACTGGCTATTGTCACCATTCTGATGGTCTTACATAGACAATCAACGCACCGTGACTCATGTCCCGTATTCATTCTACTAAGAAGGATAGAAGCCATTTCATCGATGCGTACCGGTACGGGAATCCTTATCTGCACCGATTTGCAAAAGGTACAAGAGAACGCGGTAGGTTGTCTGAGTCATTAATCGGCAAAGACGCTATAGACGCTTCCCTCCTCCCATCACGTAGTTCAACAGGCTCGACTGTAAATCGTCCGTTGTGGGTGTACAGAAGGCTTTGACTTAAGGAGCCCAAGAGGCGCGCCATACAACGCCAGGAGGCCCCCCATTACCACTGAATCCACCACGTCGCGTTCCCTGTGCATTGGCCGTTGAGTAAACGAGTTCGAACTCCGCGGTTCCTCCGCTATATAAAGGTGTGTTGACTTTCATTTGACCTTCGCGCTTTGTCTCTCACCATTCTTTCTTCTCCTCAGTCGATTCCTTCTCCTATCGTCCCTCTTGCGCGCCGTCATGGCATTTCCACCACCTCCCCTTCCCCTCGAATTGACCGACGCAATCATTGACGAACTCAGTGACGACCGGGACTCGTTGAAGGCCATCGCACTCACGTCGCCTAAATTCGTTGGCCGTGCCAAGAAACATCTTCATCGCGAAGTCGTTATTTCTTCCGCCAAGCCTGAGACGTTTGAACGACTTGAAGGTTGTTTTAGTGGTTTCAAGGGCTTTGTCAAAGTTCTTCGTTTGGCCTTTATGAAGAAACGCTGTAAAGAGGGCGTCGACTTGGCCAAGCGGATCGCACCTCATCTTCAGAAACTTGAAGAAATCAAGATAGAAGACACGGTATATGACGAGAAGCTTTTTAACGGGTTAATCCAGTCCTTGGATCGTGTCCATACGTTGAGGCTCTCGAATGTCTGGTTCAATTCGTTCGCCGAATTCGCTGCACTTCTCTCGCACTTGCCTAACCTGCGAAATCTACGCATGCATCGTGTCCGTACTGAGGATACACATCATGATGATAGTTACAGGCTCGCTGCCAAGAGCGACCCACCCCCTCTTCTGGAGGTTATTCACACAGGCGGTTGTTTGTTTTCCGGCCAGTTGTTTGAATGGTTATGTCGGCTACCAGAGCTCCGCATTCGCTCAGCGCAACTTATCTTCCCTAGTAACGTTGACGGGACACCTCTCTTCGAGTTTATGAAGCGGACGTCGGGATCTCTCACACACCTGGACTTGGATTTGTACACGTCCCGATACCCGTTAGGCATCTTGAACGGTTCGCGTAAGACCGGTGGGTTGAGCAATTTATTTATTGACGTCATTGTATGGGCTGACTTTGTTGCAGATTCAACGTTCACAAAACCCTTGCTGGTCAATATGCCCAAGCTAGAATCGATAACGTTTGGTAGCCTTCCGTTGTGTCCTGATTCCTCTCCCGGGCCAGAAGGAGGCTTGGAGGGAAAGCTGAACCTGTCGTGGGTCACTGACATTCTCAAAGATGCCGATCCTACTAGCCTAAGCCATATCCAGTTTAACTGCACTCTCTGGGAAGTTCAAGATCTCGAATACTTTCCCTTCGAAGAAGCCGCTTCGGTGCTCACCACTCGCCATTTTCCATCCCTACAATCTGTTACATTCCTTATTTCTCTCGAGTATGCCAAGAAAGAAGACTTCACATCGAAAGTTTCTTGCGTCATTCGAGATCGTCTTCACACACTTGCTAAGGATGGCATTCTGCATATTCACACACCTCCAGCAAACACCCTCGGGGAGTGGCGTCGTGAACGTGGCTCAAATTGGGGCAGAGGGCCGGACTTTCTCTTCCCTAGCAACCCTCCCCTCGGCGACGAACTGCTCCACATGGGATTTGAAACCATAAGGCAGGTCATTGAATGGGAGGCGCAGGTTGACGACATCTCTGTTTCCGATGCAATATTCGAACGACATGCGCTGAACATTCAGCCGGCGTTACCTTTGTTGAGACCACTTGGTAGGGGTCCCGCTCACGAAAACGTGGAACGAGAATTTCTTGCACAGGTGTTGACCACCGATGCTCACGAGTGGGATCCGGAGTACATGGAACCATTGGATAACTTCGTAGGAACTTACTTGGCACCGCCCCCAAATCCAGGTGGCCTCGGGCAGTAAGGCGAAGGGATGAAAAGGAATAACTTCTGTACTGTATCTTGGGGGTGTTGATGTCTGCCCTGCATGTATAATATGACTCTCTGTCAAACTGTATAATGTATTCGTGCAAAATGATCTCTGTAAGTTGGGTAAGTTAGAAGACCTCCCGAGATCAGCTCGATCGTCCGACTCGATCAATTTCACGTGCGGTGACATCACGCTCCGGTGCAAATCCAGGCTGCGCAAAAGTGGCACAACCACATTTGTACAACACCGCCAACTCAAACTCTTATTCTACTTTTTCTTCATCCTCACGACCAACTATTACGACTTTAACTTCATCCCCCACGTTCTATAGTGAATATCATGTACTCGCCTCGCAGGAGTTATGGCTCGCCACCGCCAGAGCTCTCTAATAACCCATTCATCGACCATCCAAATAACGCCCTGGCACGATACCCCGATATCAGTAAAGGCGATATATCTTCCGCAAATTCACAGCAACATACACCTTGGATGCAACCTACGGGATCGTCACTTTCGGCAAATCCAGGTGCGGGATATGGAGCAGGAGTATCTCCAGCGATAGGGATGAGTCCCACCAACAGTTCATTCTATCCATCGCCACCCCCACAGCAGCCTACATGGAATGGCTCCCAAGGATACCCCAGTACTGTGGGAGGCTCCGGATTCGCACCACCGATTCAAAGCCAGCCAACGGGCCTCCCTTTTCAACCAACCAGTTCTTTTGGTCAGCAACTTGCTGGCCAGATGAATGAAGCATATGGAAGGCCACCTCAGCAGCAACAGCAGCAACAGCCACAACAACAGTATACAGGCTACCCAACAAATCCTCAATACGGTCAACCAGACACAGGTTACGGGGCGCTGCCGCAACAGCAGCGAAATCCGCAGTATCTGGCGGAATTTGACCCGTATGGATCAACGTCTGCAACGCCATCTCTTGGTCAACCGCAGGGAGGGGCAGGTTCACAATACAACACCCCGCATCCCAGAGATTACATTCAGCAACATAAGATGGAGATGGAACAGTGGGACCAGTATTCGTGGAAACAGGTGAGGACACACTTTCAGTCTTTGATTGCTACATTCCAACAAAGTGTTTACTATATCGGATGCACGTACACTAGGCACTCAATTGTTTCGACTCCTTGAAAGAAGCGTGGGCTGCTAGGAAACGCGAGATCGAAACAAGGGCCAGGGCGTTAGGTGGCGTCGGGTTGTTCGGAGGTGGAGGATACGGAGGAGCATACAGCCAACAGGCCCAACAGATGGCTCAACTGGAGCAGGTTTGTGACTTTTAGTCGAATTTTTGAATGTACCCGCTGACTTTTGGATCTGCAGATGGCAAAGGAAGCCGAGTCAAACTTCGGTGAGTGACCGTATGATCTAGATTCCCATTACGACATGTTCAGAAAGGGATCTTCTCTGACTTCTATACGTTTCATCATAGGCTCTGTTGCTGCTTCTACTTTCCAAATGCAGGAGGTATTCACTGGCTATCGACAATCTGGGGACCTCGCCTCGAAACGACGTGTACGCGAAAGCATCAATGCCGCACTTGCCAGTTTACCTGATTGGCCGCCAAGGTTGTACTAACATGGAGTGAAGTTGTATATCTAGATATTTGTCTTTGTCTGGGGACTTTGTCGTTGTTCTGATATCACTTGGTGTAAGTAACATGTATCTATCGGTGCCACCATGCTTGTAAATTACGAAATACGGCATTTGTAGCTACATTCAACGGGTTTAAACATGCATGACAATTTGTATCTTGCAACATACGTTTTCTCTTACGCTAAGCAGGCACCAAGAAAGCTCCATTCAGATGGAGGAAAGAGTCATACCCTCGACTTGTAGGTGGTAGTTTGAACGAAAGGAATTGCCATATTGGCACACATGCGCCCAAGGCAGTTCGCGTATCGATATCTCGCTTAACTCGACGCGCTGGTCAGTCAACTTGAATTCCCATCCCTCGCATCACCCCTCACCCTTCTAGAACGTCTTCGTGGACGAAAACTGAATTCTTCATGCCAGAGAAAGGCGATGAACGTACAACCACTTTTTGCCAAGAACAACAGTCAGTTAAACGTCTTCCTTCTTCCTGCGAGCGAACGCCTTCTCACCATTGGGATTGGGATTGAGACCAGACTTGCGCATCACAGCCGTTCAAAATGAACTTCTCGAAAGTTCTGCTGCTGCTCGTCGCGTTGCACCGAGACTTCCTCAGGAATTGATTGAACAGATCATCGACGAGCTATATTCTGACCTGGAAGCTCTGCAGGCATGCAGCCTCACCGCGTCAGCGTGGCTGCCACGCTCCCGACGACATCTTTTCAATAGCTTATCCTTACATCCAGATAATTATGCCACGATAGAGGAGAGGTTCTCTACTGCCTCCTTGTCGTCTTATATTCATCGACTCTGGATATCCTGTGGCGGACGAAATGAGGATGAAGTGCCCATACCGCGCGATGAGGAGCTCACGGTTTCAGTTCTGTCCTGCTTTCACAAAGTCTCTCAAATGGAACTGCATAATATGCGTTGGGACAACCTTCGTTTCGACGTGCAAGACTATTTTGCCACACGTTATACCTCACTTACGATATTCGACCTCTACGACGTCGAATTCCAAAACTTGGATGACCTTCTTCGTCTTGTGCGTGGGTTCTATAATGTTCACTCACTGCAGCTTCGCAAGGTTTGGTGGGAGACAGAGACGGATCCACCAACCATAGTTCCAAGTCCTCCCTTGCATTTACGGGAATTGATGGTATATGAGACGTCGTCGTCAGCCTCATTCATTATTGGCCTCTTTGGCACCACCCATCCCGAGAATTTGCAAAGGATCGCTGTGGACTGGGGAGATGGGGATGACCTCGCTATTTTAGATGACTTTGTGCAATCTGCGGGTCCTTCCCTGCGTACGCTTGAAGTCGACCTTTCTTGGCATGGTACGAGGATACCTGCACATGCCACCCTTGATATTGACCACCGTTCTGTTCCCGTAGCTCCTCTCGCTCCTCTAGACCTCCGTCTAAACACTGATCTTCGAGACGTCTGGCTGGACGGTCTCCTCCTAGACGAACCGAACTCCCCCGCAGCCTTCCAACCAACTTGGATTCCATCTCTTCTCAACAGTATTACATCCCCATGTATGATCGAGGTCGTCTTCTACATCTTCCTCGGAAACTTGGACGGTCTCAAGTTGCTCGACATGGAGCAACTTGATAGAATATTTTCTGGGCCCAGGTTTCGGAACATGAAGGTCATTGGGTTCATGTTGGTTATTCTGCCACATCCGGATTGGCGGTTACCGAGTAGGTCGGATGTACAGGAGATTATTAGGCAGAGGATGCCGAGAACTAATGCTAGAGGGCTTTTGCGATTCCGGAGCCACGAGCTTTTGATACTTTGATTGTGAATTGACACATTCAACATTGCTTCGTTGTTCTTTCCCCTTCATACCATAGTCATAATTTCTAGACAACCTTAGACGTTCGTTATACTTATGTTACCCATGCCCAGTTATAATTCTTGACTTTCTTGCTCATTCTAATGTACTCATGCACATATTTTCAATTTCCATCACTAGTATTGAACGTATCAAACAAAACAAAACAAAGCTAATAGCTTGTACACATACACAAAGTCCTATCAAAAAGACAGTAATGGGGAACGATTGTCTGCAAGGAAGAAAGATGTTTACGATTACAATAATTTATGAAGTCCTGGTCACCAGACCATCAACAAGAACATCAAAACAGAAGACAGAGTAGTACACCAAGCTAAGTCCGATCTTATCCGTATACTGGGAGCACCGTTCGACCAACCCGGAGGCGCCCCTAGAGTTACAGAAGGTAATACCGCAGTGGATATTGAAGTTGACACATGCCCTGCAGCGTCCGTCAAAATGAAGGTCGCCAATGTCGGTGAGGGCGACACCGTCGGAATCGCTGAAACGTTCAAATGATGTGTGCCCAATGCAGCACTATACGTGCTCGTAGCCAAACCAGATGAAACAATTTTGCCTGCGGGAGCCGAGAACGAGGTGTTGAAGGCGTACGGAGGCGTGGTGAAGGAAGGCGTAGGGAGAACAAAGTTAGGCAGTGTAGTCGCGATGGTCGCGGAGACGGAAGAGAAGAAGGATGAGATGACGTCCGGTGTCTCGGGTGGTGCACTAGCGTTGCGAAGCGGATAGAAGCCAACCATAGGAGGTTCTTTTCTGTCGATGCCAAGGCTGAAAAAAAAAACATAAACGTTGACTCTAACGGAACAACTGCAATGACTGCTTACCTGAAGATCGAATAGACTGTGCGCAAGAACGTTGCACCTAGAGATTGCATCAGCTTTGACAATGTTCCCATAGCCGGACATGAGACCGCACCTAACTGCCAGTCAATTCCGTCCGAGCTCGGAGGTTGCGCGCGCGGCCAGCTCAGACATAGGTTCGGATCACCAGCTGCAGGGCCAATCAGATAATCTGTAGGCTGAAGCACATAACTCTGTTGACTGTGGAAACATCAGTGTGTCAGTTACAAACAGAAATGCGCGCGAACATACGCAAACTTGAATGCTATAGTTGAGTTGCTGTCACATGGAACAGCCCATTGTCCTGTCAAACAATGAGATGGACACATCACATACAACTTTGGCATGTCTTACCAGAGGTGTCCACGAGACGGCTTCCTTCAATTAGCGAAAACATCCGTTCCACCTGTTGTTCGTGAGGTATAGGTCATGAGCTGTCTGCAAGCCACTCACATCTTGATATGGGCCAAATATCCCACTCGTGCCTCTGAGTAACGTAATGGCGTGGGTCAAATGCTCAATAGGCACGACGTGAGTACTTACACATCCAATAGCGCCAAGGAGAACCCATTTGTAGCGGCAGCGTAAGTTGGGAGAGGTGCCACGGTCGTACCGCCAACCTGGACAAGTCAGAATACGACCTAGTACGGATCAGACATATTTACCGAGATTCCAGAGAGCTGAATGGTCCACTGCAAGTAAGTGGATGTGTTGCTCTCCGTGGCAAACGGTGCGAATGGCACGACCTCGTTCCATTCGATCAGGCTCGCGTTCCCGACCACGGAGCCGTCAATAGCCCCTATGCGATGTCAGTACTCTTGGCATTGCCAAAACGAATCCAACGTACCAAGTGCAAGTGTTCCTGACGAGTTTCGCGTGAGGCTGAGACCGAATAGCGGGTAGTCCAACTGTCCTCGTTGCGCCATTGTGGAAAAGAATGGCGTAGCTGGAAAGTGATAATTAGCATTTGGTGACTTTGCAAGCAGGTGTTAACATTCGAAGAATAAAAGACCGCTGAGTGGAATAACGGATGTCCTCAACTGCGCATCGCAAGACGACGAATGTAGTTGAATTCGTCTCTCGTAATGCACAGCTTCATGCAGAACCATAGGTCCCTGACGAGTGCATTCAAAGTGCACACTCCGACGAAAACTGCACTCGCTCATGTGCACGGTACCAGGCGTATTTCACATCCTGTCATAGATGTACCAACACCGTCCCTATCAATGGGCGGTAACCCTTCGGAGCGCGACAGCCCTGTATGCGGATCTTCAAAAGGTGACCTATAATTCTACAAAAAGCCGGCGTATTCACAGGTCTCGAACCGTCTACAACCGCGCGTTGGCGAGAACGGTGACACTTTAATCTGAGCGCAGTACCACCTGCCGCTCACCTGAGCACATTTTAGCATGCTCATTTCCATAAGCCAGATGCCGAACTGATGGATGAATCGTGAATTGAAAATTGTTTGTGGGGACTTACCATTTCCTAAGCCCGAGTTGAATATCTGTGACAGCCGTGGAAACCCGAGTCCTAGAATGCCACTGACTTGATCACCGTTGGTGACATTTGTCGACGTGACGACGCCTTGCAGAGTCGTTTAAATGATCGTCTCAGGAACTTGCAGAAGAGAGATTCCATACCAAAAGCCTGATCTGGGACCGTCAAGTTGGCTAGTTGTACCGTCTCAAGCGCAACAAAGCCCGAAGCAGCTGAGGGGGTTGAGAGTGCGTATGCTATCGAAGAGATGGAAACGTACTAGTTCCATCTGCGAAACTGGTATTGAATACTGTCTGGTTGAGGTTGACGGTAGTGAACGATGGGCTTTGGTAGCCGAGTTGATACTTGGGTACAGAAGTGCAAGGGCCGCTGGTGCAAGCAGAAGAAACAAGCCATAGGTCTGCAGATGCCGTGTCTAGTGCGACACGAAAGCTAATGTTCCCCGCTTGGATAACAGTGTAGTATGACCTGGGCAAGAACAATGTCAAGCCGAAGATGCGCGTTGCAAAAATAGAATGGGCACACACTGCTGGTCGCTCGAGAGGGTCAGTGGTACTATGGCCGAATTGTACGTCGTTGAGTTCTCGGAACCTATACCATTCTCGAAACCTTGAAGTATTTGGCGAGCGGGGAAGCGGGGGTTTTTCGGTGGGCGAATCCGCTGCAAAGTCCCTCTGGAAGCGAGAGACTGTTCGAGGATGGAGAGAACGACGACCAGCAAGACAAAGGGAAGCATATTGAAGCTACAGGGGGCTACGAGGTAGACATCCGCAGGTAAGAAAGGGAAAGCACTGATACAGATGCAGAGCACTGCAAAGGTGAATGGAGAAGGGCAACGCTGCCCACGGTGATGGTCCAGGTAAAAGTTTCCCAAAAAGGCAGATTACATAATGGTGATATTCCCAGCCCAACAACGAATACTAGAGGATACTGGTTTTCGACAGTTGACCACTTACCTGCTCGCGACCCCCAGATATCCTCCTCATCTTCGCATTCTTCACGACATCGCTCACGTTCCTTAACGCTTGTCACCCAGCCTGCGGGCTTTTCTCTGTTCTGCACCCTTTCTTGCTGTCGAATACATTCAAGAGCCAGGCTTAACCAACCACTTTGACAGATTCAACTACTACTTTCCCTCTCGTCCTTAGCATAACAACTTTGGCACACCCACCGTGACTTTTCTCAACATGTCTTCTTACTCTGATCTCCCCACCTCCCCTCAATCCCCCAGCGGGATGTCCACGCGACGTCTCACGAACCGGAATACCAATCGCTACAGTGTCACCGCACTGTTTAGCATGGCCGCGGAACAGGATGTCGAGGTTGAGGATGAGCTTGGCCGAGGCAGGTGTTCCGCTAACCTGCTTGTATGCAGTTATTCAAGTGTTCTATCACACAGCGCAAAAGCGGTTGAGAGATCTCAAGTCCAAGATTTCGGCACAGTCAAAGCGGAACTTCGTCCTAGAACGTGATGTTCGTTTTCTTGACTCCCGAATAGGTCTTCTGATTCAAAATCGTATGGCTCTTGACGAGGTCAGCATCATTTGAACCGTATATGCACACTCTTTGTTGATCGCGCGTGCAGCAAAACGAAGTGGAGAAACATCTAGAAGACGTCGACGCTACGGAAGGTCACTTCCCGGATGACCGCAAGATGCAGCAGTATTCAAACCTATTCTTCCTCCTCCAATCCGAGCCACGACACATTGCATCCCTCTGCCGCCTTGTCAGTCTGTCCGAAATCGATACCCTTTTGCAAACCGTCATGTTCACGCTTTACGGAAACCAATACGAGAGCCGAGAAGAACATCTGCTGTTGACGATGTTCCAATCCGTACTCTCATCGCAGTTTGAGACTGCTACTGAGTTCGGATCTCTGCTCCGTGCCAACACGCCCGTTTCGCGCATGATGACGACCTATACTAGACGTGGGCCCGGTCAAAGCTATCTGAAGAGCGTGCTGGCTGAGCGCATCAACAGCTTGATCGAACACAAGGATCTGAATTTGGAGATCAACCCCGTGAAGGTCTACGAACAGATGATCATTCAGATTGAGGAAGAGACTGGTTCGCTTCCGCCTAATCTCCCGCGAGGTGTACCGCCAGAGGTCGCAGCTGCGAATCCAGATGTACAAGCCATCATCGCACCCCGTTTGACTATGCTCATGGAGATCGCCAACAGCTTTTTGCTCACTATCATCGACAGTATGGAGAGTGTACCTTATGGTATTCGCTGGATATGCAAACAAATTCGAAGTCTTACACGAGTATGTCATAAATAGCTTTGATGTTGATTTGTCGAGATCGTAGTGACCGTCCTGCTTCACAGCGAAAATACCCGGAAGCCACTGACTACGCAATATGCTCCCTGATTGGTGGTTTCTTTTTCCTTCGGTTCATCAACCCAGCGATCGTTACTCCTCAGGCCTACATGCTTGTGGATGGCGTTCCAGCGAAGTTCCCTCGACGGACATTAACTCTCGTTCGTGATCACACTTGTTATTACTCTTGCTTTCATTCTGATGCATTTATTCAGATTGCCAAAATGTTGCAGAACCTGGCAAACAAGCCTTCATATGCCAAGGAAGCGTATATGATCACTTTGAACCCCTTCGTAGAGAATAATAAGGCACGGATCAACCAGTTCCTGAATAACCTCTGTGAGGTTGGGGACTTCTATGATACTCTTGAGGTTCGCAAGCGTACTTACCATTTCTTCCTCTTCATGCTGAGTGACGTTCCCTTAGATGGATCAATACATGGCTCTGTCAAAGAAGGATCTCGTGATCCACATCACTTTGAACGAGCTGTACAACACGCATTCCTTGATTCTGCAGCATGTAGAGACACTGGTAAGATCTCAGGCTCTTGAGAGTAGGGAAGAGTGAGAACTTACATGTTTGTCTAGTCACCGAATGACAAGCAACATCTGCGCATCCTTACGGACGAACTTGGTGCAGCACCTCCTCAGGTTCCTCGTAAGGAGAACCGCACGGTCGAGCTCCAACTCTACAGTCGATGGGAGACACCTATCCAAGATATCCAAAGCGCTCTTATGGATTCCGTGTCTTCCAGCGATATGCTTTACATGGAGACTAAGTCTATCTTTGTCCAGCTCATTCGTAGTCTGCCACAGGTTGCGGACAAACGCCCATATAACCTCCAAGCAATTGCCGAACGTGCTGCAACGACCAAAGACGCAACTCTAGTACGCAAGGGCATCAAAGTCAAGGAGATGCTCAGAGAACTCGAAGAGCAGAAAATCATTGATCGGTCGGATGGCTACCAGCTGATGCAAGATGAAGTTGCTGCTGAACTCGTTCACCTGGGTAACTTGCGCGAGAAGGTCATTGCCGAGACCAAGTCCCTTGACGCCGTTTACAAGACCATTTGCGATCACAATAATTACCTCAGGGGACAGCTCGAACAATACAAGGCTTACCTACAGAATGTTCGTCTGACAGCATCGAAGGATAAGGGTGCCACCACAGGCGTGGGCGTTGTCACTGTTGGTGGGAAGGAGAAGAAGCCGATGAAGCCTGTTGTGCTTGGGCCGTATAGGTTCACTCATGCACAGTTGGAGAAGGAGGGGATCATCGTTGAGAGCAATGTCCCGGACAATAGGTATGTGCTCTCGCCTGCCCTGGCGAAGAGTACACCATTCATTAACGTTCGTGATTGTAGGCGGCCGAATATTTACTTCAATATTACTTCCCCTACACCGGGTACATTCATCATTGCGCTGCATTACAAGGGCCGGGAGAAGGCTATCCTGGAGATGGACTTGAATATCGACGATCTTCTGGAGAAGGTTTGTCATTTGTACCTTCTACGATACTTGTGGTGCTCAACTCTCTTGCGATATCAATAGCAAAAGGATAACAAGCACCTTCTCGACCTGGAGTATGTGCAGCTGAACGTACCAAAGGTACTGGGCCTCCTCAACAAGGTGTTCACGAAACGATGAATTTAGAGCTTTCGGTATTCTCTCTGTCTGGATGTTCGTCTACATTATTTTTCTACGAGCTTTTCACGATCCCACACTCCTACATTCCTTTTCGTCTATTCTCTTCCTGTTTTCCTCTCCATCTATTCTTTTCTTTTTTCTGAGTTACCCAGGTTTCATTATATGTTGGCGTTGGCCCCCGTTTCTTTATTCTTTCCAGTATTACCCACGATGATTATCCCCCTCACTCTCTCCACCTGTGATACATATCCGCGCTTTTCGAAATGGTCGGCTTGTATTGGTCCTTTTTCTCCCGTCTACTCTCTAATTTTCTTTCGTCTAGTTCTAATGAGGATGTATTATTTCCTGTATGCATGGCTCTCGGAAAGAAAACACTCTTGTTGTGTTGGATCCATCAATGCATGCGTACATTTCATGCAGTATAAGGGTAATATTAATCAATTCACGGACGAATGCAGACCAGCTTCCATTGATGCTATCCGTACTGTTACGCGAGTCGTGACCGCAAATATTATCTACGCCATAATTTACTACCCTCTAACTTTTCTGCTGCTGCTGCGAGCGCCGACGCTCTTCCCATTCCGTCAACCAAGAGGGCTTATTTCCTTGTCTGTGCTTCGCAATCTCCGCTACAGGATCCGTCCCTTGCTTAGTGATGAGGGTGGCCTGCAGCGTTCCTGGCGACTTGGAAGTAGTAATCTCAATCTTGGAAGAGGGCGATTTCGTATCCGATGCTTCAGGTGCCTTCGCATCTGCACTAGAATCGGGAGTTGCCTGCAGTTCTGCTTTGCCTGGACGCTCGTTCTGTGATTCACTAGTTGAGTCGGGACTAGGCAGCTTGTCTTGACCGGCTGTTTCGCGATCCTTTGATTCGGCAGGTCCGTCGCTTGCAGAAGTTTTCATACCGGCTTCAGAAAGTACGCCAGCCATGTTCTAAGCAAATGGTATGCAAACAAAGTGGTCACAGGGCGTCGTAGAGGGTTTAGAAAGGTACCACATACCTTGACCATGTCTCCCAAATTTGCCTCTACCACTCCCAGGTCCATGTAACTTCGCACCGCGTTCACTTCCTCAGGGACACATTCGCGTATTCTGAGATCATCCCAGTCCACTATACCATCAGGGTTCTCGTCTTTCCAATGGTCCTGATAAGTTGGCATAGCGCCTTCCTTCAAGAATAGGCCATCGATCCAGTGTTGTAGTTCACGCGCACGTCTGCCTGGCAGTCCATGGACTGCGCGAACTTCAGCTACGCGCATAAGGGGAAAGGCATCGGGACCTCGGCTCATGAAGTCGACATCATCTATTACACGAAGAAATTGCGTCAGGCTTGCTGGAATGTCAGACATAGCTGATGCCCAAATTTTGAAAACATTGTTGTGTACGTAGTTTCCCTGTAAAAGATAGTTTTCGTCAGCCGATTCACTAACTCGCAAGTGCAATCGCTGATCTGAGAAACTGTCTTTAGGATCCTTACTTTCTCCCTGTATGCCTCAACAATCACTGTAAGGTCGACTTGATGTTCATCATCAACTTGGGTCTCATATTGGAGGAGATACGCCGGTATGAGAATGGGGTACGCCGCCGTCTTTCCAGGATGGCCATGTCAGCAGAGTGAGAGATGAGAAAGACAGAAGCTCACCATTTGTTCCTTTACGGAAGTAGGGTCAAAGCGGAGGTCGTCAGAAATTACCGCATTCTTGAACGAGGTGGAACGAGCCAACGACGGAAGAGAAAAGGGGGATATGGTGAATGGTAGACACAGTATATCCTGTTCATATTGCCGCTCCAGTTCCGAGGAGAAAGGTACCGTGGTGTACTTTTGCAAACTCGGACTTTTCAATGAGATGCGCGAGAGGGGATCGAAGACGAAGCCTGTAAATAACGTCTAAGCCTTGGCTTCATGACCAAGCAATTTGTATGGTAGCGAACCTGGCATCATCCTGGTTGCATAAATTCATTTATGAAGTCATCGTAGAAGGATGTATTTAGACATACGAATCTTGAAACCATGCAGTTACTGTGTGCTATATGTTCGCGTCAATCCAACCGGCTCAGCTACTCTGTGACATGCTTTACCTGCTGAGCCTCTTCTTGGGTCCTCAGTCTCGACCAGACTTTGGCATCCAATTCTGCATCGATAATCCAAGTTGGAAGATAGACGGCTATCGTGCGTGCGGGTTGTATTGGCTTGAAACCGAAACCAGGCAGGAACCGTGCGGCCAGAGAGCTCGCTATATTACGTCCACCGCAGTATAACGATGCATTGATTCCCATGTAGTTAATGGTCTCATCCAGACTAACAGCGAATGGGTACGCTATGATACAGTTTCGTCAATAACACCGATCGCGACTATACATTGTGTCCTATTGAGTTCTCACCTCTGACTTTGGATGGATATGCAACTTTGCCGGATATCGAGCTGTTGCATCTTGAGTTGAGAAACTTTGGATGAAAAGGCTTTGATATTCGGGGTAATAACATCGCACACTTGGTAGGAGGAACGAAAGAACTCCTCAAACAGCCTGAGCGCTTGAGCATGACCGGGAGCCTGTCTTCCTTGACCTCATACTGCGGGTTCGACTAGTGACCAAACCGATATTAGACGCTCTGTACTCTAGCTCTAAAAGACAGTTCTTGGGGGGAAAAAGTCGAAATGCCGCCAATACAGTAGTATATGGTATAGTGTAATATACAAGGCTCAGAACAAGCTCAAAACCATAGTTGCTTTCCTTTCATTCGCCGCTGAGTCTGCCATTTGGCCAACCATTCTGGTTTCCGCTCCGACCTCATCTCTTTGGCTCTCTCGGCTATCTCACGTACCGAGATTGGTTCAATCTCCGTGTCGTACGCCCACGACCTTGTAAACCAGCTTCCCCTGCGAGCAATATCAACGAGCTTCGGCCGTACTTTCATAACCGTCGAGTCGCCTAATAAAGCCAAGGTATCTCTTGTCACCTGTGCGGCCCTTACAGGATCATGAATGGAAGCTAGAAGCTGCATAGGGAAAATTCAATCACAATCACTTCAGCATTCTACGCTCGACGCTGCGAATTACTTACGTCCGAACGAGAGCTGTAAAAGCTTTCAAACTGCCCCCAACTTAGAAAATCACGGTTTATCTCGACTTCCTCGTCTGCATACTCCCTGATGCGTAGGTCCTTCCAATCAATCTCCTCGGACGGGTTCTCTTCTTTCCAATGGGAAAAATAAGCGGCCATGGCACTTTCCCGTCCGAATAGAGTAGTAATTAAGTCTGCCAGCCCCATCGGGACTTGTGGTGCTCCTGGAGTCTGTACGTCAAATGGTTGTTGCATTCCTGTGCTCTTCTGCGGGCCATCTATGATGAATTCCTGTTCTTCAGGTTTAAACATCTTATGACTATTATCTAGAAAGAGGTTCCCCTAGATGCGAACAGTCAAGTGCGATGCTAGGGAGGCGATTTGGAGGGAATCATGTTGGAGACACCTACGTTCGGCCTATAGGCTTCTAAGATGATACTGAAAATCTTGTTCGCATTTTGATCATCTTGCAATTGCGGTCTGTGTTTATACTGAAGCGCATACACGGGTATGAGAATGGGATATGCGGCCATCTGAAAAGAAATGAATAAGGTAAAGCTTCGTCACATCTCCTGAACCTACGACGTGAGCTTTGAGTGAACCCAATTTCACCGCGTGATCTACGTCTTTCAACTTTCGAACCAAGGAAGGAAGGGAAAATGGCGTGAACGCGAAGGGTATACATGTGATCTTCTGGTCATGTTGTTCTTCCATGAGCTTCGAGAACGGTAGCAGTAAATATTCCTGCAGGTCATCTGACTTGAAATTAAGGCGAGAGAATGGCTCAAGAGCAAACCCTGAGCAGCATGATTCAAGAATCTACAGATTGCGATGAAAGTGCAGCACAAACCTGGCATGAAACTTTTCATTTCAAAGGGTGAAGACAATTCAGAGGTATCCATCAATCTGATTCACTCACGAATTAACCAGATACCCTGTTACTTTGCGCTACAGTCGATACCGCCTGAGTGATTCACACAAACAAGATTACGAGCGAACCCCACCTTCCGGGCAGGGGTCTCATTATCTGGCTTCGGCCAGAAATCCGCCTTCACCTCGGCATCAATCACCCAGGTAGGCAGATAAATGGCTGCAGCGAATTCTGGTTGTATAGGAGAGACGGCGTGACTTCGCAGGTAGTAAGCAGCTTCAGAACGTATCGGCGAGTGCGAAATTGATCCAACTAGTCGTCCAGCATATCGCAGTGCTTTATCTAAACCAAAAGCAAAGGGGTACGCTGATCCACCGTTAGATACTTTCACCTCTGACTATAAGCACTGCAGTAACCACCAACCTTGGACACGGTCGGGGTATGCTGCTGTGGCGACACTTGATTGACTTCTTGAAAAGGAGCGGTTTCTGAGAGCGATCCCGGATACCCTGTACAGATGCATTGTTCATGGGTATGTAGAGAGCAATACACTCTGAGATCTGAACATTGAACCTCCGACTATGTGCATGAAACCTGCGTGCATGCATGTGGTGAACGGCCATGTGAACTGAGACTCCTGATCGAACTTGATCGTGTCCCACGCGCCTACCTGTCAGACACGAAACGATACCTCTCAGTGCAATTACCACTAGTCATTCACGAGCGCAATCATCTCTAGACTTTTGCCCTTAAGCTTAACCGGTAGGCTTGAACGCACCCTTACTGGTGAGTATCTCTATCTCCGATCTACGTCGATGTCTGGATAGGTTACTTTTTCACGAGCCCAATATATGCATTGGCATCTCACCAAGAACCTATATAGATACCTTCCGTCGGCTCCACGTCTTCCACCGGAGATCGCTGAGTGGGCCAACGCATATCGAACAGACTCTCCTAGAGCACTTATTGCGACCCTTCGGACCTAGCCTGAGCTTCTCGGGGTTGTTCGTGCCTTAGTGATTTATCAACATCCCGCTTCAGAGACGTCACCTATCATGCTTTTCGTCCGGCTCCCAAGTTTGCGAACATTGCGCTTAATTGACTGCAATGACATCATTCAGCACAAGCTTTTCTTTGAGCACATGTCCTCTTTGGCAACAAGCTTAACCGTTGACTCTCTAGAGCATGAAGATTGATTCCCTCAAATTGGGATACGCAGGCACCCGAGTTACGATGATTTCCGAACCTCATTCAGCTCGCTTTCGATCTCGGTTCTGCCGGCCGAATACTCTCACAGCTCACGCAGACATTATCAGCTACCGCCACGTTAGACGATATATCTATCTACGTCTCTGCTTTCACCGACTTGAACGGCCCGGAAACCGTGCATATTTGGCAGGCATTGGACCGTATATTGAACGGCAAACGCTTCCCCCGTCTTCAAGTCTCAATTCTCTGCGACCTCCTGGAACCATTAATTGGAGAGCCTTTGCTGAGGTGTCTGGAATGTGGCATACTCATTGTGTACACATTCCATGGTAACTTCAGTTCTTCAGATGCTGGCCAGTGACGGTATTCTCCGTGAGCCTTATCACCAAAGCACATTAAACAGTCGAATTGATCAACGGGTATGGAGAAGGCCATCACCATTTGCACTAGCCATCACTCGTCTATTAAACGTCTGTTAAATGAAGCTGGTTGGGGGATGCGCCGTAATTTCTCGAGAGTGTAAAGCGCATCCTATATGATAGGAGCCAATTGATCTGATGACAGCATCAGGATATCAGGTAGAGCACGACCAGGCAGTTTGGTCATGAGGGTGTATGTGGCGCCATCAAGCTCGAACAGTGTCCTGACACCAGAGTTGTGAATAGCACAGTATTATGTGAGTGTACGCCGACCTTCTGACTCAGAACTCGCTTGGATGCTATCTTCTATTCCCCTAGGATCTGAGCTTGTGGTTCAATCGTGTAATGATGCTCGTATTGCAATGGCGCGCTCTTCTGCGACATTGTGTGTTGTGAACTCGAAGCCGCGCGAGCTTGACTATCAGTTCGGCCTCAGTCATTTGAAGCCGGGTGCTCTGACCCAAATGACTCTCAGGTTCTCTAGGATTCGTCACTGAATGGAACCTCAAACTCAAGCCTGCCGCTGTGGTCGTCCCACTTTCTGTCAGCCCACACCCGACACCGAACATTCGTAAGCACCCGTTGTTAGACGGTATACCGGTCGCCAAAGCTTGTGCATTTAAAGGAGATAGGGAAACTGGCAGAGGGACAGACTCAGACTAATCCACCTCTTCATAACACCCAAAGATGTCTCAAGCTACTAAGAAACTCATTCTCGTTATTGGTGCTACAGGTTCTCAAGGAATAGCAGTCATCGACGCACTTCTTGCTCCATATGAAAATGGCTCTGCATCTCCCTATGCTATCCGTGCTCTTACTCGTGACCCAGACAGTCGTCGTGCAAGGTCACTCACCAGCAAGGGTGTCGAGTGCATCAAAGGTGTGTTGATTCAGGACGTTAAGCTCCCAATATACTGATTCCCAATATTACTAGGCGCATTTGATGATTTCCCTTCTGTTCTGAATGCCCTTCGGGACGTTTATGGTGTGTGGGTCAATACAGATGGCTCCACCGTGGGCGAGCAGAAGGAGGTCTATGCTGGCTTACGCATCTACGAGCTTGCCAAGCAACTGGGGACTGTTAGACACTTTGTCTGGAGCAATCTCGACTACGGGTTCAAGGTTCGCACTTGCGCCTACATTTCCTGTTATTGGTAGACCAAGTTGAAGTACTTTCTCATCAGAAAGGGAACTGGAACCCGGCATACCGTTGCGAACACTACGACGGCAAGGGTCGTGTTCTCGAGTTCCTGAAAGCTCAATCGTCCGACCCGACTGGGAACGGTATGTCTTGGAGTTCAGTCACCACAGGCCCCTACATCGAGATGCTACAGAACGTATGTGCTATATGATTTTCTCTGGCGATAATTACTGTTAACGTTTTGACGCAGATGATGTTCGGACCGCTGAACAAGCGCGAGGACGGGACCTTCGTCTTCGCTACCCCAATCGGAAATGGTCATGTCCCTATGATCGCTTTGGCTGACTTGGGCTTCTTTGCACGATATACATTCGACCACCGTGTCGAGACCTCAGGCAAGGACCTTGAAGTTGCCAGTGACATCGTTGGGTGGGACTATCTTGTCTCCACCTTCCGGAAAGTCACAGGCCAGAAGGCCGTCATCCTATGCCAGTCCTTTGACGAGTGGTTCAACAATCTGGATTACACCGACAAGCCGATGGCGAACGAGCAGACTGAGGTAGGACCTCATACCACGACTTGGAGGAAGAACTTCACGGCTTTTTGGTCTCTTTGGCGAGATGACATTATAAAGAGAGATATGGAGTGGATTCGGAGCATCCATCCAAACGTTCGCACGGTGGAAACTTGGATGCGAGAGAATAATTATAAGGGCCAGTTGAAGACTGATTTGTTGAAGAATATGGAAGACGGCAAGGCTGTCGTACATCGTAGAGAAGTCACTGATCTCTTGTAGAAACATCGGTAGTTTCCTGTTGGACTCATAGATCTAGATATCTTATGGTTTGACCATTAGCTTATCTCGTATTTGTTGAGACTTCCGAATCTTGTACTACCTGGAGCACGTTGTTCTATACTACTATGAACCCGATCGGGTCCTGAACAAACTACAACTATGCCCTTGTAGTGAACAACTTAATAAATCATTCAATAGGGAATTCACCTCACTTCTGCATGTTTCCAATGGAGTTAAGAAGTAAGCCTGTTCGGGATATATCAGGACGGAATTAAACTCTCAGCAGCCTGTGGCCGCCGGCGCCACTAACCATGCCGCGGTTAATCTGAGAGAACGAACAGACGTGCAGGTCTCATTAATGTCATGCAAAAGTCTCAACTGTGCACTATGATGTACAGGAGGAAATATCTGGTAACTAACCTCCCATTGTGCACAAGGCCCTTAGCCCCCACCCCTATTACAAGAAATCTACTATATACTAAGTCCATGAATGTCCGGCCGATAGTCCACACAAAGAGAATACAATAGTCAAAGATATTAACTTCTACGTTCTAGGAGAGTTTCAGAGCTTGGAAGGAAACCAGATTCCATTGCAATATTCTCCTGATGAAACGGGCGACTCGGAGTTCCCAGGAGAAGCCCTGGGTGACACACATTGTATGTGAGCATTGCGATCCAAATCATGGCACCATCCAACGCATCTAGATCGAACAAGGTTAGTTGTCCGCACATCGTCGGGCGTGCAGAGAGTCACATACTGAAGTAGACTTGGGTGGAAATGACCTTGCCGCTCCAGCCGTCAGCAAGTTCGATAAGCCGATAGACAGATCTGTCGAGTGTTAACAAAAGTGCACCCGGGGCTTCAAGCACATGAAGTACATACCGGATGAAGATGCAGACGCAAATGAATGTCAATCCTCCTACTAAAACCTTGATCCTTGTATCCCATTCGCTTCGTCCGTTCTTGTACACCTCAGTGTCAGATGCGTTCTTTTGTGTGAATCGAAGGAATGGGCGATCGTGGATGTAACGAAGGAGATACTCCGACGCTAACGCAACGAAAAGATAAGGGAGACTAGAAATCTACTTTAGGATGAGAACATGTAGAGTAGTGCGAGGAACGTACCAAGTTGAAAGATAATGCCGCCTAGCATAATATTCGCTCCCTGTCATATGTATTAGTTAATAGAATGTCCAAATAATTTCAAAGTTAGGGTTTCTTACCAAGTTGCTCCCCGCATCATCATTGGCAGATGCAGCCAAGCCTCCACCGGCTGCTTGAACAATGAGGGAGATGATATCCTGCGAATCATAAGAAAATTATATAGACTATATTAGTGATGCACTCACACAAGTCAGAAATATCCTCGAGTCTTCAGAAAAGAGTAAGTCGAATGCTCATATGGTTCTAGGTAAATATGACTTACATAGACGTGGAGAAAGTCGACTATATTGTACGCCTAGTCGCTTCGTGAGGCGAGCAAAAGTCATGAAGATGGCGGCCAGGAAGGGTGTAGGTGCGATGATTGTGCATACAATCCTACAACGGCAATGAGCTCAGGCCTGCGCAGAACGAAGCAGCGATATTATACTCACTGAATCAAGAATGGGTTATTTTCTAGAGGGCTAATGGCCGACCATAGACGACCACCCCAGCCTATCAGCTCGCCGGCACCACATAAAACAACTGTGGGGATCAACCACCACATTCGATACCAGACTGATTGGCCGAAGTGTAGTGCTGCGTGTGGATCGCATTAGCAACTACCAATCGTATAAATGCATGGATTACTAGGACACTGTACCTGTAGAAATTCCGAACGCCACCAGGTAGAAGATACAAGCGGGCTTGCTGACGAGATAATGATAGAATGGTGATTGGAGAATTTCTCCTGTGGGTGAAACCACATCAGGCCCATCTAAGGAATAAAGTCAGATCTTGTGCGCGAGGGGAGAACAGAAAAAAGACTCGCAAATAATCGTATTGTTAGACATAGGGTAATGATTGTGGTTTTGAGCTTAACTGGTCTGGCAATGTTGCAGTAAAGTAGGAGTATAAATATCCTGGAGGCAGTATCGCCGTAGACATGCGCTCAACCGCCACTATAGGCATTGCGGCTGCGGACAGCCTTTAGACGGCGCAGCTCTAGTCACTGAGCGACTAGAGCTGCGCCATCGAAAGCACGTACCGAGGTATCACAGACGAAAAGTTACTAGTACATGTTCACCTATTGGGCAGTGTGATGCCGACCAGAAACCGGAATTTTTGTGACAGCGGCTTGTCTGTGTTGATGTCGGCATCACATTACATCAGGAGCGCAAAGATATGTGCAATTTCATGGTCTGGTAACGCTCTGTCCTTGAAACTTCATGGTGGTTATGAACGCCTTCATGATACCTAGAAGAGAATGAACCGACCCTTTGAAGCACTGTTTCTAGGTATTGTCTCTGGATATCTAAAGATTCTGATAAATTTAGCCCTTGCGACAGAACCGAGGCCATCGTTTGACCCCTGACTTTGAAGGCAGAAGTCTGAACGACATATCACTCGCAGAAGATGTCGCACAAATCGGCCTGTCAGTGCAAACAAGGTAAATGCTGCGCCTGTTTCCACGGTATTGCGTCGTTGCGACATGTTGATTCTGAACAGAAAACCCAGTGCTTGAGGTTGCATGTAGACACTGCCTTGCGAAGTTCCAAACTTCGGTCACGGTCAGGGACCGAATCAAAGTTAACGTTCTTCTCGATCGGATCAATCGTCCTAGATATCTAAACGCTCGTTTTACAAAGTTGGTTAACCAGGCTCTTGGCAACATATACTGTAAACTATTTGTAACTTGGAAGAGCGGCCTTCGGCGACAGGTCTTACTCGCAGTTTGATGCTAGTATAATGATACTGCACAACGGATATATAGAGATCAATCCGTACGTTTTGAAGAGAGAGTCGAGGTTCAGAAAGGGAGACACGCATCGATAATTTTACCATGATTGTCATAAATACAGGCTACAAATGGCATTTCCCACATGTCCTGAAAGGTCTTCGGCAAGGGAAATCAAAGCCCGATAAAACTATGCACATGAATCATAGATGTGCAATGAACTTATACGCCTTGAATGATCTATAAAGAACGTAGCGTGATTTCTCCAACGGAGAGTTAGCTGCTGCGTCTGGTGCAAGGCGACGAAATTCACGCCTGTAATAGTCCTTGGATGAAGTTTCGCATGGCCTCTTCATCTTCTGAATCGTCTAGCGATAGCTCAAGAGGCTTCGCTGCCTGGACGTCAACATGTGTAGCTTCCTCGAGGTTTTGGTCCGACCCGTCCCAGCTTGATCCATACTGCCGCCATTCTCCCAAGGTACTCTCTTCGCATTCTACAATACGCAACAGCCCGTTATTGACAAGCGTTGGAAGGTTCCCACAGATGTTACGAGTGGCAATGACCATGAAGTCATACAGGTACTGACCGTTGAAGATGACGCTGAGGCTCGCCGCGGTAGGTACGGATATCAGGAAAGTCACGGTCTTCAGGCAGGGCAAAAGTCGGTTATCCATGATTCGGGTAAGTACTGAGTTAACTGAGTGGAAAGGGAAGAGATCAACACATTCAGGCTGCCAGATGGTGCAGTTGAATTGGATCTGACGAAGTCGAGGGGCGCCGATGTCTTGCAGGACTTTAGGGATCCATAAGAAATTGACGTCACATGTCGTATCACATTTGGAATAGGACGAAAAGATGGTGGTGAAAGATGATTCGAATTCGTCTATGAGTGTGGGATCCAGCGGGAGGCTTCCAAATGTAAGAGACTGGAGATTGGGCATGTCAGAGAGCAGTGGCATCCCGAATGTGACGTCTGTAAAGCAGAATTTAAATTGCGTCATCTAATGGCACGATGGAAGTGTCGCATACGCCGAGACATACCAGCTTCACGCCAATCATTGTCAGCGTCGACAAGGTTGTCTGCCATAGCATATAGGTCAAGGTCCAGATGCGTCAGAGACTGAGAAATATGTTGCATAAAGTTAAAAAGGGGCATCCCATCCGTGTTCATAGGAAAGGCCACTTGCACGTCCTGAACGTTCACTTCCGGCGAGTGACATAGCCATGTAAGAAGTTCATGGATAAAGGTGCAACCGCCTGTATAGAGGCTACGCAAGGAAGGGGGCGGAGCCAAAGATAGAGTCCTCGTGGTCATGGTCTCGGGAAGTTGATCTGCCGCATCGTCGTCAGGAGCATCCGTGTCTTCGTAAACATCCGTAACATCCATGCGTAGGTAGCGTAGGCGGCGAAACTGAGAAACGAGGGAGACAAAGGAGTCGAACCCATTGAAGCTAACCTTAGAGATACGCAGGGTATGAATGTTTTGGCCTTGAGAGACGAAAAGGTCTTCAAATGCTTGCGCATCATACATCGTGTCTTCTATTTTGACTTCTTCGAGATGGCGGAGATTATTGATAATACGCTTCGCGGACATGATCATTTCGAGGTTTTCTGCACCATATGCAATTGTGAGGTCCTTTATATAGTCCTTGAAGCTCTCGTAGACATCTTCGAGTCGTTGTATTTCAGAAAGCCTGTCGGAGGAGATGCGCACGGTGCGATGGAGGTTCCGTCTGGCACGGCCGCTTAACGTTGATCCAGCGAGTGCAAAGGCTTTCAACGTACGGCGGTCGTCGCCCAGGTTGTCGATGATGGTGTCGGTCAGTTCGAGAGGAAGCGAAGGGCATACGGATGTCATTGAGGGAAAGAAGTGTGAAAAGCAATATCGTAGGATCAGAGATACGTCGTCCTGGTGGGTAAATGAGACTCGTCAGAACGCAAAATAAATGTTAGCGGTCAATGGGGAGGATGTAATAGGGAGTTTTATACGAGGAGTTACGAGATTCAGACACGGCTCTTTGAAGGCCAAAGCAATGGTGCTTTTTTAATTATGAGGCAGTCTGAAACAATCTTCACTAAAAACCTATTGTCATGAAGAGCGAATTGCAAGTGCGGAACAATCGAAGGGTGGCATCGAGCACTGGAAGTGAGTTTCAAACATGCTGGCATTGGCTTGGGCCAGGACCATTAGCAGACAATACAATCGACCTAGGCGCACCATTGCTCAGAGACCTTATCCCCGCGTCATACCAGTACCAACAGATTGCAGAGAACCTATTTGTTCCTACTTCACTCGGCTCAAGGAGTTTCTTTATCTTAGGATCCAAAACGGATTCACGGTCTGATACACGAGCGGCTCAACCGCGTTCATACCTGATGAGATTACATTGAAGGCCTGGAAAGGAATGTCAAAGGGGTGAAAACTCTCATTGATCTGCAGTGTTTGACCAAGTCGTGTCGTAGGCGTGCAGTCAATGTTCGAGATGTCGCTGAGTCTTGGAGCTTGGACTGCAGCCTCCAGACATGCATCATTTCACGATCGGCGATCGCTGCGGCCACGTGGACTTTGGGCTACGTGTCCTCTACAGAGTCCGGAATTTAGTAATAGTAAAGGACAACCATCCTATCCTCCTCTTTCATCACCTTTACGCCTCAGAAGCCGGCTTTCTGGTACTTACCTTGGACGGGATGATTCCCTCATCCCTGCTGCTTCTGTTGACACTACTATGTCTTGGAGTCCTCGTTAGTGCAGTAGATTTCTACAAAGTACTCGATCGTTAGTTGAAGGCGCGCATTGCAACGTCCTATCCCAACTAATGTTGACGCTTTCTGTATAGTGGCACGTTCAGCTTCTGATAAGGACATCAGAGCTGCATACAAACGATTAAGTCGAAAGTATGTCTCGATCACTTCCAAGCGAAGCTACCCCGGAATAACATACTACCTGCCAGGTACCACCCAGACAGAAATAAGGATGAGGGCGCGGAGGAGAAGTTTGTCGACATTGCGCGAGGTATGTCTGTATGCATGTTGTCTGGTCGGAATTAGTCTGAACTGCGTGAATAGCCTATGAGGTTCTGTCAGATTCAACGGTGTGTACTGCTCGTTTGCTCCTTCGACGGTATATTCACGTACATTTAGAAACGCCAAATATATGACAGACATGGCGAAGTAAGTTGATGCAGTTGTCATACCGCCCTTTGGTGCTAATAGCTCATATGCGATGTAGGAAGGCTTGAAAGCACATGAGAGTGGTCAGCCGGCCCACACCAATCCATTCGACATATTCCAGAGCTTCTTCGGTGCACGTACGTCGGTGTTCATCGAAACGGCATTGTTGTCTGATAATATCCATTGTTACAGCTCCAGGAGGTCAACAGGCGCGCAAGGGTCCAACCTCACTGAGTGAAATTGAGGTCAGCTTGGCAGACATGTGAGTCTCGAAATGACCTGTTAGATTATCTGGAATTCTCAAATAGTATCACCTCGCAGTTACACTGGTGCAAGTATCGACGTGAGTCCTTTGAGTCCCTATCTCAACCTGAATTGTCGTTAATTCTGATCTCCATTCAGTTCATGATCAAGAAACGTATTCTCTGTGATCACTGTCGAGGATCAGGTGCAGCATCTTCAGACGACATTCACTCCTGCCCTTCCTGCGGTGGCGCAGGCGTCAAGATTGTCCGTCAGCAGATCTTCCCGGGCATGTTTTCTCAATCCCAAGTCTCTTGTAACGAGTGCGGCGGTCGCGGAAAGATCATCAAGAAAGTCTGTCCACACTGTCAAGGTAGCAAGGTCCTGGATCATACCCAGCATTACACCCTTGAAGTCCCGAAGGGAATGCCAGAAGGTCATGAAATCGTGTTTGAGGGCGAGGGTGACGAAAGTCCGGACTGGGAAGCAGGCGATGTCGTCTTAAGGGCAAGAAGTCGCAAGGAAAAGGGCGGCTGGAGGAGAAAGGAATCCGGGTTGTATTGGAAGGAGACTATTGGCGTTGCGGACGTATGTGCCGTTCGCGCTTTTTTGCTTCGTTTCTTTGACTCACATCGCTATCAGGCCCTGCTTGGTTTCGAGCGTAATCTCACTCATCTCGACGGCCACACAGTTCAACTGAAACGAACTGGCGTCACACAACCTGGTTATATCCAGGTCATCAAAGGAGAAGGTATGCCTAAGTTTGAACAGACGGGGTTCGGAGACCTTTACGTCGAGTATAACGTCGTCCTGCCGACTTCTCTCTCGCCAGAGATGGAAAAAAGTGAGTGAAAATATCTATATCGGCGTTTACGTGGCTCATTTGTCTCGCTCTAGGATTCGCCGAAGTCTTCCATCTTGAAGATGGCCAGCCGAAGAGGGACGAGCTTTAGTTGCAATTTTCCCCTTGTAGATTAAATTATTGTGCATGGACGTAGATTGGTTTGGGATACTCAATGGTTTGCATGAATACTGTCGTCGAAACAACTCAATGCAATGCAAACTCAACGTCAAGATCTGCGATCGAGGATTGTCAATCAGTAATCTACAGCAGGCAGCGCTCGTGTTTGGCTTGTCGCCTCGTGTTCAGATGTCCATCACTTTCGGACCTACACGCCCAATTGAGGCCATAAACTGCAGTAAAAGGTGTGTGCTTCTTCTCCACGCATTTGCGACATCTTCCTTCACCTCTTCCATGTTGTGGTTATCGAACAACTCCTTGCTGTCATGTTGTTGATTCTGCTTTCTTTATCTCTTCTTCTGTTAGATCAAGCTTCGCTGGGTCTTGCTCAACAATGTCGGTTACTAATTGGTGGTAAGGACCTTGGCGTTGGCGCACCTTCGCCGACGTCTGCTTCACCAACGCACACGTCTGTGAATGGTGTCGCGACGGGTAGTTCTGGCCCTTCTGCCAGTAGTTCTAACAGTCCTACACCTACGCCTTTCAAATATGGACAAGAAATCATTCGTGGAGTCAACCTGTTAGTGAATTGTATCTAGTCATCAGCGAGAAGCTAATTATTCGTCCTGATATGAAGTGGAGGATGGTTCGTTCTGGAGGTGAGCCGGTGTAAAAGCTCCCCCACAACTAGGCTGTGACTAATGAAAACCTACCCTTAGCCCTGGATAACGCCAAGTCTCTTCCAGAAGACAAATGACAGTGCCATAGTGGACGAGTTTACTCTTGGACAGATGCTCGATGATGATACCGTTCTTGAGATTCTACAGAACCATTGGCAGACTTGGTTTACAGAGGACGACTTTGAAGCGATCAGCGCTGCCGGCCTGAATCACGTTCGGTATGGATTATCCTACAGTATCGTACGAATATGCACATTGTGTTGACATTTTGGATAGAATACCCATCGGCTACTGGTCGGTACCTATCACGTCTGCAGACACGAACCATACCACCTCCATAGCACCCTACACGGCGGGTGCATGGCCATACTTCATTCAAGCTCTCAACTGGGCGAAGGCGCACGACCTCCATGTCATTGTCGACTTACACGGGGCCCCTGGATCTCAGAATGGTTTCGATAATTCCGGTCAACGGACTGGCAATCCCACTTGGGGCAGTGACCAAGACAGCGTCCCGAGAACCCTAGATATCATTCAATTCATGGCAGAGAAAGTCGGTGGAATGATCGACGTGCTTGAGCTGCTCAACGAACCTGCAGCTTACAGACAGTCTGTGAACAATGTATTGCCGAATTTCTGGAAGCAGGGCTACCAGGTCGTTCGGCAGGCCGCTGGGGGTTCTATAAAGATCATGATTGGCGATGGTTTTATTGGTGTAAATGTGCGTATAATTCGAATAACCTGCAAAGTCTATACTGACACCGAACGGAACATAGAGCTGGCAGAACTTCTTGACATATCCTACTGCCCAAGGTGTCTTCATGGATTTCCATGAATACCAAATATTCAACTTCGATCAACTAGAGCTATCCTTGTCTGGACACATAAACGTATGCTCATGCCGTTCTTTGAGACATTATATCATGTCTTCACTGATAACTGATGTAGTATTCATGTCAAGTCATGAACCAACTCACGTCTTACGAACAATCAAACATCTTCACCATCATAGGCGAATGGTCCGTGGCGCCGACAGACTGCGCGAAGTGGCTGAACGGTCGTGGGGTTGGTGCTCGCTGGGATGGGACTTGGCAGCCAGGCAATCCGACATTTGGGTCCTGCAGTAACATGACTGGAGATATGAGCAATTTCAGCGATGACTACAAGACGTTCCTTAGAAAGTGAGTTGTGTTCATTCGATGTGGAGTCGCGATGCTAACTTCGAACAACCATCGAGATATTGGGAGGCGCAAGTCAATATCGGCGAGGCCGTGCAGGGATGGGTCTTCTGGACCTGGAAGGTAGAGAATGCTGATGACTGGAGTTACCAGCGCGGACTTGAAGGAGGCTGGATTCCTCAGGATCCGACAGAAAGGTTATACCCCAATCTTTGCAGTTGAACATCATCTTAGCTACAGTTCGGACCACTTTCTTGAGATGCATCATTGTATTCGTATTCATAAGACTGTTGTAACATATACATTTATCTGATAGATCCCACACGCAACATAAATACAATACACGGTGATTGCTTCATAATTATACAAATTGCTGGCACATCTACCAGAAGTGAAGAGTAGCGGTACAAAACAAAAGTGTCCAAAACGACGATAATTACTTGACCTATGGAATATGAAGGCGGTTCTCTAGCGAATGAAAGCACGGAGAGCCCGCTTCTCCTCACGCATGTCTTTCTTCTGCTGACGCCTTTCCTTCCTCCTGATACGCCGCGCTCTCATACTATCACCTAGCCCAGCCACCTTGATCCTCTCCCCTAACTCAGTTCTCGCCCAACGGTCCCTAATTGCCAGTGCTCTCTCCTTGGCAATATCTGACCGAGTCTTGATGGTCTCTCCAACAGTACACAAGAGTCGCTCCCCCATCTCCTTTAATTGCTTTGATCTTTCCTTCGCATGACCGTTCCGGTATTGAAATTCGTCTCGGAGTAAAGCTATTGTGCCTCGAGACTGCTCCCAAAGAACAGATGTCTGACGACTGATAACGTCTGCGAGATGATCAAGAGCATCCAGGAGCTCTTGCACATCCTTGCGAACAGCCTTGGTGACAGGATGGAAGTCGTAGTGGCCGAAATATTCGGAAATGGAACCGGCTATGCGAGTGCTCAAAGCGTAAAGCGACTTATCCTCTTGTCCAAACTGGATGGTAGTAGCCTTGCCCTTACCCTTAGTACCTCGTATACAATTGTTAACGAAACCAAATACTCCCTTGGAACGAGCGTCTGTAATTAATGCGGGCGCAGGCGTCGACGGACGGACCATGAGGTCTGTTGATGGCATTTTGCCTGGCCAAGAGACCATTCCACATCCGCAGTTGCATTCCGTTGGTGCGATAGAAGATACCTGTGTATGATCGGAAGTTGCAGAAGTGACAGTAGAATGAGTCGCCGATGAAGTGGATGCCACGGTGGATGGAGGATTGAACACTGCTACCTCGAGCTTACTCTGCGACGAAATTGCGATAGCAGGGATAGATGGCGTTACGATAACCGTAATACGAGATTGGTTCATGGCGGAAGGTGGGGATGGCAGTGACCCTGGCGTCCCGGACCCATTCTTGCCACTTATGTGAACCGCAGGAGTATATGAAGGTTGCTGGAAAGAGTGATGAACAACATAACCGAGCACGAGAGATATCATGGCAAGTCTAATGGGCAAAGTTAGATACGACATAAGCGAAAGAATGATGAGTATACATTATCGTCTGACGATTAAGGGCGACTCGTGTCTTCTTTGTTGCTCGGGATAGAAGAGGCTGAAGAGCCTGGTGAATACGTTCCGGGCTAGCTTGCTCGATCTTCTCGTGGTCCACGACCGGCATCGACCATTCGCTCAAACTAGTCAATTTGCCAGATGATACCCCGCAAGAATCCCATTGTTGTTCGGCGTCAAGCAGATAATCCGTAGATGCAAATACATCGACCGTGGCAAGCGGATTGGGCAGGACGATAGGAAGATAGAGCGTATGCTCTGGTAAAGTCAAATCTGAAGAGAAAGTGGGTAAAAAGACGATGGCTAAGGACGGGCAAGCCAATTGACTAGATTCCGTCGACTGCAACAGGATAAAGTTAGGTTTAAAAAGTGAGTAAAGAGCAGACCTACACTGCACGAGTTGTCAAATCCAGTCTTGTCAATCACAGAAATATATCGACGCGTAGGTGAAACTTCATCGTAGTCGCTATGGGTGATAAAGATTTGTGTAGTAACTCCCGGAGCATGCGTCAGACTGCATGCGAGTCTAAGGCCGGAGGCAGATGCCCATTTCTCGAGCAAGGAATTGACGAGGGAAGCCTTGGTTAATCCTGAGAAGCCATAAAGTACAATAGAGAAATCGGGGGTGATTGCAGAAGGAACATCGCTGTGAGGTTTGGTTTGAATCAGGTTCAGTGTGACCTCGGGTGTGGCAGAAGGACCCGGATCAACAACATCACCAATCGAAGACGCGTCGTCTGCTTCCGCGGGTAGTGCGCGCGGGCTCGAAGTAAGATCTTCGTAAGACGTATTGGATAATTGTTCTCGCGAGCTCGTAAGAGGGTCGGGGAACGACAACCTCAGATCGCGAGTGGATCGAATGACCGAGGTCTGCATAGACCCGGAAAGCGAGTTAGAGCGGGAGGAACTAAGTGTGCTCATCATGCTCTGATCTAATGCAGCCTTGACGCGTTCATCTTCAGTGTCATCCTCGACTGTAGTAGTTGGATGGACGTCGTCAGGTGTGATCTCTGCAGAGGTGATGGGGTCAACGAAGGGATCACAATCGTTTGGAGGAGCTTCATCAGCACTGTCTTCAATCAAACCCTCCCATCCTTCAACAACGCCTTCGCGAGAGCTCGCAAGGCTGGTGAAGGACCGTCGTGAGGACGGCCTATCGATGCCTTCACGATCGCTGTAATTGTCAAAATCTATGACTGAATCGTTGTCTGATGCACGGCTACTGGGTATATCAAGCCAGTCAGAGTCAGATAAGGTCTCAAGCTCGGAAATGCTTGAAGGGTGGGATTCATGGGCCACCATGTTCACAATGATGAGAGTTGTGGTCAAAAGGAGGCGAGCGCACTATTTAAGGGTGACTCGCTTCCCCTCCACGTGTGCGTACAACCCGTCATTTGCAGCCGCATCTTATCTTATCCTCCTTTGGCCTCGACGCAAGCCTCGACTACCACAAGCAGTTTCTCCGACGAGCAGCGTTGTTTCGTCTTATACAGAGGGTCTACGAGAGCACATGCGCATTGCTGACCTCCCGGAGGATATCTTACTGAATATCGCACAGTTCTTGTCAGTGCAGGATATCCTTGCCCTCAAGCAGGTGAGAATAATCTTGACACGATCACAATGATGATATTATGACATTGCCACGCAGACTTGTCGTGTCCTACACGCCTTTGGCAGCACAGATTACTTGTGGCATAGGCTGATAGAGCGATTCGACTTGCCGATAGGCATTCCATCCGATGTCCCGATTCATGCTCTGTCATCAGATGAACTGCAGCGTCAGACAATCAAAGCTATCAAGTTAGAACTCAATTGGAGACGGGCCGTGCCTAGTATCAAGCAATCAAGAATGATACTAGGCCCAAACCGCGAACCATTCGCGCATATGGAGCTTCTCCGAGAGGGCAATTGGTTGTTGACTGCGCAGCGATACCATCGTTTGTTGATGACTCGGTTTACCACCCGCATGTCCGTATGGTCATTAAAAGACGTACATCAACCATATCGAGTCTTTAGCGTGGAGATATCGGGAACTTATCGCAGTTCTACGATGGCCCTACATCATAGCAGCTCCTTTGCAACGCTTATAGTCGCTTTCAATGAGGAAGATCAAGAGTGGGCATTCAATTCGCATTTGTTGCCACGTTTCTCTGAGTATTCATTTGTATAAAGGTTACAGGAGATCCATACTTTTCCCCTTCGAGGGGACTCCTATTCCAAAGCGGTCACGTCCCCTTCCGTTCTTAAACGGTTGAAACTACCGCCGTATACTGTGCCTGGCTATCGAGTTATCCAGGACGTCGTATTAGCAGATGGAATCATTGCTACGACAGTAGCCATATTCGGTGATCAGGGCGGGGTGTCTTTTCATATTCTCCTTGCGAGTGCAAGCAAGGGGCTTTCCCAATGGGTTGATCCACAGTTCAGTCAGGTACGCCCTCGCATTCATCTGTCCCTTCCCCCCGCCATAAGATGAAATCCAGGACCTAGGCTCTTTAAAAGTCCGGATGCATGATAAGCAGATATTTATCCTTGGGCAAAAGAGCAACACCACAATTGTTCGTGTTTACAAGCTTCCGCAATATGTCCTAGGTTGGGATTCTGCCACGACCCTCAACGACGCTACTTCTCTGGTGGATCTTGGTTCCGTTGTATCAGAGTATTCATATTCCCTCCCAAAGGGTATGATCAGCATGACAGATGAGCTGCACGTCCCTCGTCAATTCAGGTTGACGATTCCTATTGTTATGTTTGACATTGCCGGAGCTGTTATACGGGGTACCAGAGAACAGTCATCAGGATGTGCGATCAGCTTCCCTTACGGTCGCCACGGCTCCAATGAAGAGGTGACTTGTACCCTCCTTCCCTGCCCGGACGCTACGTCACAGCAACTTGGTCAGATCGGGGCCACTGGTCACAGGATGGTATGGCTAGAGCACGACCTGGAAACAGGTCGCAATCGCGTTATGAAGTTCTCAATGGCCACGGAGCGACGGAAGTCCATTCATGGAGTGTTGCTGCCTACGCAGCCACACTTGCCTTTTGCTCTTGACGCGTGCAATGCTCTGGCTTTTGACGAAGTTTCCGGTCGGCTCTGTCTCGCGTTCTATGACGGGAGCCTACACGTTCTTGACTTTGTGTAGTAGCTGTTCTTAATACCATTCGTAAGTTCGTCGATTTCTCTTCTGTCGATGTACTTGCGCTGAGTCTTTTCTCGCCCAGTCGCGTCGTAATGGCATGACGCATCGGCAAACACTTTCGATCGCGTTTGAATCACGTGCTAAATATATATTCTGGAGGGTAATTAGTGTTGTCTTTCATCTTGTACTTAGGATATCGTATAATGGTCTACGTGTTCAAAATTACACCTTGAGGTACCAGATGAAATAATATGCATTGTACGAGTCACACCAAAGACGGGGACGATATCCACGTGCACGCGACTTACGTGCTGAACGGGATCTAAGGTGCTCGAATTATCTTGTATTACATCCATCACCTGAACTTGAGGCACATTTCGCTGCGTGCCCTCTGTGCACTTGGTATTCTCCTCCGGTCAGGCTAGGCTTTCCTATCTGTAGAATCTGCTCAAAAACTTGCCACCATGGACCAAGATCTAGGTCAACTAGTGCAAGCCATTCTCATCGCATCCGATCCTTCTTCTGGTGTACTGCACCAACAAGCTCTCGAATATCTATCGAACATCCAACAAAATGCTGCCAACACATGGCGACTCGCACTGACGTTGTTTGTAGAGCGGGGCCCCGACGGCGCACGAAAATATCCACCTGCTGCTCGGTTTTTCGCATTACGGGTCCTAGATGAGTTCCTCGATAATAGGTGTGTCTCCGAAAGCTATATTTGCTTCCAAGATTGCAGATATACTGAATGAGGTCTGTTTATTCTGCTTAGATTTGAGCCGCTAGATCCAGAGTCTTTCCAAACATTACAGCAAGCCCTGATTTCTTACATCCAGTCGGAGTATCTGTATGGTCCTGCTGAAGCTAATGCTACCTGTGAGCTTTACTGAGTGCCTCATGATGTTCATACCACTCATATTCTGTGCAGTCTTGCGCAATAAATTCTCTCATACGCTTACACTATTCTTTCTCTGCACCTACCTGGAGCAATGGCCAACCTTTTTTGCCGACTTTTTCACCTTAATCCGTCCGCCAGAATCGACCTCTCAAGCTACATTCAACCCCCACATATCTCTCCTTTTCTTCCATATCGTCCTCGAAATTTCTGGAGAAGTGGCTGATCAGATGATCAAGGCTGCTCGAACATACTCTTCAGCTCGCCAGGGGCGCGATACTCGTGTGCGCGACGCAGTGCGAGAACGAGATGCCGCGGCAATCAACGAGGCAGTCTTGACAATTGTGGCGGAGGATGTGAAGAGGATGTCGAAGTTGCGAAAGGGTGATGTGACTCCTACTTCGAAAGGAGAGCTGGATCAGGCGATAGAAGTGGTGGATTGGGGTATCAGAACGTTTGCTTCATACGTCGGTGAGTTTGTCAGCAACATCTATCTTTTCAGGGTGCCAATGTCTCTTCAGGTTGGATCGATATTAACTTGACAGTGACGCAAACGACGGTCCCCCTCCTTTTCACACTACTATCCGATCCATCCTTGCCTATTCGTCTTGCGACGTCCGTTGCTCTCACTCGGATTGTTTCCAAAGGTCTGAAGGAGGCGACGGACAAGCTCCAGCTCATCAAGGTTCTTTCGCTCGGACAAGTCCTTGACGCACTGGAAACGAAGACGAGGGCAGAACAAGCTGTCAGAGGCTCTGAGGTAGATGAAGGTGAAGAGTCTTACCGAGAGGCTCTCGGGCGGCTTCTAAATGTTTTGGGCCTTGAACTTAGTAAATTAGTCGATGTGCGTCGCCAGCGATATTTCACCAATTGGAATGGTCATATTGACAATTCGGCAGGAAGCTCCTCTTGAGGATGTTCGGAACGAAGCCCTTCAGATGCTCAATCAGATTCTTCCTGTGATGCTTCGATTCATGGCCGACGAATACGACGACACCTGTTCGACAGTGTTTCCTCTGCTGCAGAATCTATTGGGTCGTGTAAGTGGTCTTCGGCACTCTTATGAATACTTTAATGACTTATCAGAATCAGTACAAGCGTATGAGGAAGACGTCCTCGGAACCGCTAGATGAGCAGAAACGCTCCTTCCTCACTTCATTACTTCGAGTGATCCTGGAGAAGCTGAAATGGGAAGAAGATGCTGATCCTGAAGACATGGATGAAGAAGAAAAAGCTGAATTTGATGAACTGCGCAAGGTAAGCGGATAAGATTATTGCCGATTAGGTCGTATTAAACCACGGCACGCAGGATCTGCGGACCTTCATGGACGCAGCTCTGGTCATAGATCAAAATCTGGTCACGAATGCGTTAAGCAATCTGGCTCTCAACACGTTGAATGCCTATCGGAATGGTGTCACGGTCAAATGGCATGACGCTGAACTTGCCGTTTACATTGTGTTTATCTTTGGAGAAATCAATAAAAGTAGGTACACAGGTGTATATTCAACATTTGGCTTGTATGTTCATCTCGGAGACACTTTAGCTGGCGGAAAAGGACGGACAGCATTCTGTCAGACACCGATCGTTGTCGCTCGGGAAAAGCGCAAGGAGACGGACTACTCAGAATATCCCCTCACAAAACATGGCGAGATGCTCTACGCCTTAGTAGAGTCAGGTATTTCAGGCTATCCTCATAAAACTGTGACCATGCAATTTTTCGAGACTGTGGCTAGGTACGGCGACTTTTTCAAAGTGCGGAAGGAATGTATCGTGCCTACCCTACAAGCCATGGTGGATAATCGGTGAGCTGCGTGATCCCCGCTGTGACTGTGTGTTGGCTGAAGCGATCCTTCCAGAGGTCTGCATAATCAAGACAGCAAATTGCGATCACGGGTCTACTACCTGTTTCACCGCTTCATCAAGGAGGATCGTAATGAGATTTCTGTCGATCTTGCCGGTTCGCTTCTCGAGAGTATCCGTGATCTACTTTCAATCCAAGTCGAACTACCTGAAGTCGAAGACCAGGAACACGATATCCTTTCTGAGGCCGTGAACAACCCAGGATCGTTCGATGCTCAGCTATATCTCTTTGAAACTGTTGGAACGCTGGTCTCCTTGTTCTATCGCACACCAGAACAATGTGGCGCTCTCCTTCAATCTGTGGTCAAGCCACTACTGGATGAATTATCGGTCAATCTTCAAGCGGTCAAAGGCCCATCTGATGTGCTTCCCATCCTCAAGGTCCATCACATCATCATGGCACTTGGAAACATTGCAAAGGGATTCCCGGATTTTCCGTCCCCGTTGCCCGAAGGATATGTGCTTCCGCCGTTGGACGTCTTCAATCAAGCGGCTCAGGCTATCCTTGTTTGTCTGGAAGCTATGAATATCTTCAGGGTCGTGCGAGATGCTGTACGTGAACCAATTCTTGACATCGGGGTGCTTTGATTAATGTGCATTCGTAGACGCGGTTCGCTTTCGCTCGTATCTTTGCTACAACCGGCCCGAACATTACACACCTCATCCCTCCCCTAATGGCGAATCTCCTTGCTCACTTTGAACCCTCAGAATTAATCGACTTTATGAATTTCATCGGTCTGCTCATCCATAAGCTCCAGGTAAACCGCCTTATACCCATAAAGCTAAGCAAATTTGCTGATGCCTGCTGTAGAATGACATGTTTGATGTGCTGGATCAGCTCATAGGACCATTAAGCTCACACATAGATGCTCTGTTGTCGCAACCAGTGACTGGTACCGACGACCAACTGACTCATGTTGATACCAAGAGAGCTTATCTCAACTTACTCAACAACATCATGGTTGCCAAACTTTATGATGTCTTCACATCACCGCGTACGTCCTCGTGCTTTTCAGTTCTCTCTGTCAGATGCCAACCCCCTGATTCAGGTAACAAGGGGCAATTGGAGGCTCTCTTCACCAACGTGCAGCGCTTCGCTGAAGATTTGACTGATACAAGCAGCCAACGATCTGCCTTCCAATTCCTCAATCGTTCTGTGACTGCTTGGGTTATTCCGGTGGACGCAGGTAGCAGTGCTCAAGCGCCAACACAAGGCATCCCCGGCTTTGAACGTTTCGTTTACGAGCGTCTCGTCCCCATCGCATTCTCTGTGTTATCTTCTCCACAATTCAATTTGAAGGATGGTCAGATGCTTGTTGTGAGTCGTGATTCTCATGTTCGTCATTCTCTGCTTCATTTCTCTCTCATAGGTATTGCACGAGATCGGCAACTTCCTTCAGACCGTCTCAAAGACAAGAGACCAAGAGGCATTTGAGTTTTTCACGACCGCGTTCCTCCCTGCTCAAGGTTGGCCCCAGGACGCTGCCCTCGAGTTTGCCTCCAAGCTGAGAGAACTTGATGGCAAGACGTTCAAGAAGTACCTCGCAGACTTCGTCCGCGCATCTCGCCCATCTTCATAGTGCAAGTATAAGTACCTCTGTATTCGAACTCTTGCCTGCATCTCCCTGCATTTTCACACCTACGTCGCAATTGCTATGACATTTCTGCATTTCAGCCTCACTACTCGTTCATTTATCATCCAATCGCATTTCTCTTATGCTTGGATCTATTAACATCTTATTGTAGCCAAATATATGATTAGAAACTAAGAAGTAATTACCAGCCTGAGAGACTATGACAGGAAAACATTTGCGAAATGAAAAGCGGAGGGCGCTTATTTGAATGACGTTTACCTATATGGGCGCTTCCACAACTTGGTTCCGTTCGTTCAAACGAGTTGGGCTTTATACATCGTAAATGCACATATCCCGGTAGCCTGTATGAGATGTCGACAGGTATGCTTCACTAGAGCTTAAGTGAACTTTTGCTCAAAGCAATTACGTCCTGAAGCAAGAAGAATCGTGAAACCGAAGATTGTGAGCCGTCAGAGTCAATTCTCTGAGAAGGACGGGATCTAACTTCGCACCAGAAAGCTCCCAAAAAGGTACCTATGTAGTGTTGAAGAAAGCGTTTTCAATCGCTGAACCAATTCTGCTCCAAGCATGGTCCGAATATCTCGATCGATGATACCTGGTCGAAGCTCTCTGTCAACATTGCAGAGATATTGAACCATAGAGCGGAGCATCTCTCCTTTGAAGAGAATCACCGTTATGCCTACAACATGGTACTGTGGAAGGCTGGAGAGACACTCTATAAGGGTACCTGCAAGTTGCTCGCGGAGAACCTGGACAAGCTGGCCGAACAGGACATCAAATCGGTGTTTCCCAGCGGGTCAATCGACGATCCCATTCAACGGAGTCAAGAAGGAGAAACTTTGTTGAAGGCGGTGAGGAAAGTGTGGGACGATCATACCACCGCCTTGTCGCGGTTACGTGACGTCCTCAGATACATGGTATTGAGTGCCCCGATGGCTTTGAACTATACATACTCTCGGCTAAAGTTGACTGCTTAGGACCGTGTTTACACTAAGCAAGCTGGTGTACCGGAGATATGGGATGCAGGACTATTGATCTTCCTGGAACATATCATTCGTCCGCCATTTCAAGACCATATCATTGCGGCGATCCTCACTCAAATTCAAACGGAGAGGGATGGCTATGTTATCAATCGCTCCGCCGTTAAAGGATGTGTGGACGTCTTACTGACCCTCAAAGAACGCGACAGTTCCGTTACCATCTACAAGCGAGATCTTGAACCTGCGATACTGCAAGAAAGCGAACTCTTCTATAAGACGGAAGGAGAAAAGCTCCTGGAGATCTCTGCGGCGCCTGAGTATTTACAAAGGGTATGAGGTTCCACTTGAACCGACTTTTTTTTTGCTTAAGGAATCATTGCAGGTTGAATCAAGATTTGACTCAGAAGAATCAAGGACACACCATTATCTTTCATCGCAAACAAGTGCGCCACTCCGGCGGATTTTGGAGAACTATCTTCTGTCACCGCATCTTTACGCAATCCTTCACAAGCTGCACTCTGGCCTCGACTTCATGATAGACGGCGACAAGTTGGAGGACCTTTTAAGGCTCTATCGCCTGTTCGTTATGGTTCCAGAAGGCCTTCCATCGTTAAAGAAGGCCTTGAGAGAATCTGTAATCCGTCGAGGGAAGGACATCAATGCAGCTGGTGTCACTATCGAAAACATGACCCAGGCTGCGGATGATGAAGGAGGTAAGAATAAGGGAAAGGGGAAGGGTCGTCCTCCGACTTCCGCAGTACAGACACTTCAGCTGGCCCTCAAGTGGGTACAGGATGTCCTGGATCTCAAGGATAGGTTCGATTCGATATGGGCGAAGTCATTCAAGAGTGATCGCGATGTAGAAGCTACTCTAAACGAGGTACGTCAATTTCCCTATCACCGACATCATTCTAACCTTCTCCACAGGCCTTCGAGACATTCATCAATCTCAATGGACGCTCGCCGGAATTCATCTCGCTATTCATTGATGATCATCTGAAGAAGGGCATGAAGGGGGTTAGTCTACATAGCCTATTTGCTCCGCTTTCTTGACTGATTAATTGCTTGATAGAAATCCGAGAATGAAGTTGACGCAGTTCTGGACAAGACTATCACCGTCTTTCGATTCATCTCTGACAAAGACATATTTGAAACGCATTACAAGAAGCATCTTGCAAAACGTTTACTGCAGGGTCGATCTATCTCGGATGACGCTGAACGTGGCATGCTGGCGAAACTTAAGGTTGAATGTGGGACGCAGTTCACCCAGAGGATGGAGGGTATGTTCCATGATATGAGGATATCGGCGGACACCATGAAGGCGTACCACAAGCACCTTGCTCAGACCACGGTTCGTTTATGTGCTTCCTTATGCTTCTCTGCTATTGACTCCGGGATGAAATAAGGCGCCGGATGTGGAACTGTCCGTTATCATTCAAACGTCGACATTTTGGCCGACGTCAGGTAGCCAGACAACTTGCGCATTTCCGGAACTTCTCGCAAAAGCTACCAAGTCCTTTGAGCAATTCTACCTTTCAAGACACACGGGTAGACGTTTGACTTGGCAAAAATGGCTTGGTAATGCCGACGTCCGTGCGACCTTCAAGTCCGGAAAGACCCATGAGTTAAATGTTTCCACTCTTGCCATGGTCATACTTTTACTCTTCGAGGACTTGGATGACTCCGACTTTCTGACCTATGAGGTAAGCCGTATCTTTACTACCTTATACCCTGCTTTCTTCACTGCATGTGAAGGATATCAAATCCGCAACGTCCATATCCGACGTGGAGTTGCAACGGCAGCTCCAATCACTTGCCTGTGCGAAGTTCAAGATTTTGAAGAAGCACCCCCCGGGACGTGAAGTGTCTATGAATGATTCCTTCTCCTTCAACGCCGACTTTTCCGCGCCCCTCTTCAAGATCAAAATTGGTACAATTGCTTCCAAGGTTGAGAATGCCGACGAACGTAAGGAGACCAAAAACCGGGTTGATGAAGAACGCCGATATCAGATGGAGGTAATTGTGTTTCGGACGGATCTATTTGTGATTCTTCTAACTGCTGGAGCAGGCATGCATTGTGAGAATTATGAAAGACCGCAAGCATATGCCACACAACGATCTTGTGAACGAAGTCACACGTCAGCTAACAAGCCGCTTTCTGCCCAATCCTTTGGATATCAAGAAGCGCATAGAAGGATTGATTGAGGCGCGTATTTGTAAACAACAGCCACTTCATGTCTCCTAACGCCATTCTTACAGCGCGAGTACTTGGAGCGGTGTGAGGATCGCAAGTCATACAATTATGTGGTCCGTTGCCCACGAATACAATCCAAGATTGCAATCTGACGGAACTCTCTTTCTACAGGCGTAATAACTTCAATGATTCACTGCTAGGGACCATCTGTCACCCATTGTATTCTACATTTCATTCTTGTCAGCTTATTTTTTGCAAAGTCATCTCACGGAGGGCCAAAAACCGGAATCTATATATCAGTTATCACTGAATACCTACAAGGAGATGATTGTCACAAGGACGTAATTAACGTCGTGGAAAACGCGCTGCTTTGCCCACATCAAATTTGTAACCTTATGGGCAAGAGATGAGCCATCTATCGCCCAAGGATACACGCGGACCTCCGAGGCACCTTTCGAACAGGTTCAGATGTACATTTGCATTGCTTACCGACATGCGTTGGTGCCGGTGAGTGCGCAAGTATCTAGAGAACAGCGAGCAAATCCAATGGTATTATGCCATAATGAGAGACATTCCATGCACAAGATCGCTCTTGTCAACTGCGGATTATTGGCTAGTAAGTCAGATCAAATTTTTGAAAAGGATGTCACTCCCGATCATTAATCGAAGAACAGGATTGAGCCAATGAGTTGGTCACCAGGATAGCGTTCGTTAGAGTTCACTGGGGCCCTATCCTATACTCCGCGAACAGCGAGTCGTATCCAGTACGTCCTCCGGTTTGTCCAGTCTGCTCCAGATCTTTACGGTCGAATGTGCGTCGTCTTGATAAATTCATCAGGGATACCCGATCAGAGGCCAATGGGACTCCGAGTTTTCAGTGCATTGTCATCTGCATTAATGTCATATCGTGGACGCATGATCGCTGATCTCTGGTTTGGATCTTGCAAGGACACGTTTTTCTTACCAAAGCACGAGGATATCATTGAACCTAAACTAAACTATAACGAGAGCTTCTTGTATGCCATGTGTAGTCGAAACCAATACAACACCATATGTAGTTGACAATCCATATCATACTTTTTCGCGGTTTACACAGCCACATTGAATCGTATGCGACCCTGTACTGGGGCGAAATCTTTGTTCCGTCTCACATACAACCCTGTTTCATCGGCGTGTGGATTGGTGCGAACATATGAGTAGATCGCTGAATGTTCAGTATATTGCACATGGCGCCTTTGAGCCCAATGCTGGGGTTTCTGACTCCTTTTTCGGAAAGCTTCAACGCAAGCAGATCTACGAGCGCAGCTCACCCTCTGCCCTTGTAACTAATTTACCCGTGGATTTCCATAGGGTTTGTGCATTCTGCTAGCGGCTGGCTGAAGCGCTGGCGTTATTCTGCGTAGAGCTCGCATGCATCATCGAGAAGCGGCCACTAACGTTGCCTCGCAGTTAACATATTAGAAGTGATAACATAATGTATATATGGGGGCATGGCTATCAACGTGTACAAGATCAAAGTCTGTATGGCGATGGTCACGGTCTCTCTGAAGTGACACGCCGCGACCGTATGTCATATTCTCAGAACTCTCTTGGTCCGACTGGTCGAATCTTGTCGCTTGGGAAGGGGTCGACTCGACGGGCACCATCAGACTCATAGTCAACTTGATAAGCTGCCCCTCCGAACTGTGATCAACATCTTGTCAGTGCCATCCTTACACACCAAACTCAAAAACGTACGGAATGACAAGCCTCAAGAATACCGACAATGAAGCCAAGAACCCATCGGTTAGCGCGGACTCGCACTTCAACCTCTTGTCTCTGAAAGTCTCTCAGGATAAGCGGCGACAAGAAGTCGATGAGCAATATACAGACCATGAACTGTTATATTGATTAGTTCAGCGAACTAACAGTAAACGTTGACCGACGCACATATCCAGCATGGGAGCGTGCAGCAGTTACAGCTCGGTCATAGTAGCCCTGAAGTACCATTCGCATCGCTGGTTAGCAATAGTGGACCCTTAGAGGTTCTCGTGACTCACGGTTCTGGCGGTGGAAAGGGCTGAACTAGTAGTTGCGGGAATAGAACGACGTGCCATCGTATAGGTAAGTGCAGGTAAGTTGAGATGTGAAGAGGGCCGGGGTGGAAGACGAATACAGAGAAAGACCCCTTATATACCTGGGGCCTGTTAATCTCCGACCGGCTTCGACGTCCTTGAGTATTAAATATAAGAAAATACGGAACATACCTCATACAGACCAACTTCGACAGTTACACGAGGCATCGGGACACCAATTGTTGGACTTGGAATGTGGATACGGTGAACCCGCATGGAGTCCTGTGGCATGAACAATTATACCTTGTCTCCGTTATTCGAGACGTCACGGACATGGATCTGCAGGACAATGGTTGAATACGAGCGATATATCTTTGGAGAGCTTCTAAGATTTACTCCGCGTTAACAAGTGTTTACGGAAGTGGGGCCGGGATGATCTGCCCCAAATGTGGATCTGGGGTCGGGGACAGCCCGTATTGCAATGTTTGATAGTTTGCTGAGCCAAAGTGCCCAAGCACAAACGTCACGCCTGTTCACTCGAAATATGACTACGGAATCACTCACATTGAAATGTGCAATAGGGATGACAGTTTCAGCTCAGTGAAACGGGATCGGCTTTGTCACGTTCGACGCTGAAACTGAGCCTACGTTTGACGTATGTGGCATCGAAGACTGTCCAGAAGACTAGCTTACACACAAGGTACCGATCGTCAGAACCACTGGTCCGTGGTGGCGGCGTAGCTGTAACGGATAACGATCATTTCGAACAAGAAAGTGTCGTTCCTTCACCACGCGTACTGAATGATACACGAGTAATGATACACGAGTAATGATATTAGGTTTAGTCGATGAATATAATGCTGCAGAGCTTTCAGCAAGTGTGGATATCGCCGAACCAGCAGCTTTGATACGTACAGCTTAAGATGTCCATCACGAGTATAAGGACGGGATTGCAGAAAGATTCAGGGAATCCATGATTGTGTTGATGTCAATGATAGTTCTTGGTCAGGACAGGGTTTTACAGTATTTATAGAGTCGCCTTTAAGAATACGAGGCTAGTTCGACGCAGTGTTCCTATTTTGGAAGTTACGTTAATAAGCACTTGTGGGAATGCTCACAGATAATTATGGGCTCTCCGAACCTGTTTTGCTGTTTACTTCGAATTGCTTGTTTGAGTAAACATTGAAGTCTATTGAAGTTCCCACGTCTATTGTGACAAGCCCTCAGCTTGAAATTTCGGGCACGCCGTTTCTGCCTCACCCAGCTGGTGGAGAGCATCACTCGTCTAGGGAATGTCGAATCAATTGTCAATTCCTTTCAAGAAAACTCGTTCCATTCCAATCCGACAGGCAGTGAAGGACTATATCCTGTCTGCTCATCCTGACACGCACCCTGATGCATTCAAGAACGACATCACAGAATGGGAAGCACTGCGCAAAGATTGCATTGGCGGTGTCGTCCATCCTGACAGGATCCAGTCAGCAATCAAGTACGTTATATCACAAGCCACCAGGTACCGCCGCACACCCAACCTTGTTTGAAGGTATCATGCACAGCTCGTCTTCATTTTGACGAAATTACCAAGTGACGTCAGTCCTCGATATGATGAATTTTTCGTCCATGGACTGAGCAGATTGTGAGCAGATCGGCCTTGAAGTCCCTTACTGTCCAGTATTCAATGAGTCTTCGCAGCCTTATGCCCTGCGAAGCTTAGCATACGAACGTTCGGCTGTTTTGTTCAATCTCGCTGCGTTACAATCCCAACTTGCCCTTGATGAAGATCGCTCATCGCCCCAGGGTCTGAAGAAAGCCATTGCATATTACCAGGTAAGGTATTCAGCGAATATTGTCCGTCGCATGTCATCTTAAAATGCTTTAGAATGCAGCTGGAACTCTGAATTATCTTAATTCGACCGCCCTTCCAAACCTTCGAGTCCTGGCAGATCTGGACACGTTGCCTCTGGAACTATCCGACCCAGTCATCTCACATCTGGAACTTCTCATGCTCGCACAAGCGCAGGAATGTGTGTGGCAACGCGCTTATCTAGGTAGGCCGGAATCCCCGCGTTCTCATGTGGCATTCCTTATACTCTGTTAGATGGTTTGAAGCATGCGCTTCTTGCCAAACTATCCATGAAGGTATAGTTTCATTAAGTGCCGGCATTTCGATATGTTTACACCCATGTCCAGGTTGCTTCCTTATACGAAGAAGCATTGGCAACAATCCGGGAAAGACCTCCTTCCCTTAGAAATATCTTTCCAACGGTATCCTGGTCTATCTGTCTCCGAGTGGCCCATGCTGACAAACAATAGGGATGGCTGTATCACGTCGAGGCCAAACGTTTCCATTTTGAGGCTGCGGCCCACCTCAGGAAGAGCATGGACGACTCTGACGCAAAGAGGTCAGCTAATAGTGTTCATCGCCTTCATGTCCTAATTCCGATTTCCTGACAGATACGGACACGAGGTTGCTCGATTGTCAGCTGCACATGCTGCCGTCAAGCAGAGCTATGATGCGGCACGACGAATCGGTGTTTCGAAGCTGGTAATGCATGACGCAAAGGTAGCTCTTATCTTTAGTGGCTTTCACAATTTAGACATTCATGGTATTCTCAGTCACTTCTAGATGTCGTTCAGAAAGAGTTAGCACGGGCTGAACGGGACAACGACCTGATTTACCATCATGAAGTACCAGCCCTTTCTGCTCTCCCGCCGATTACGGAGGTGTCCATGGTTCAGTCGTTAGTATCCACTAGTCTCCTCGAGCCGAAGACCGTGATATCACATGGCGAGGCACTATTCAAGGAGCTCCTTGCTTGGGGTGCAAAGACCGCAATCAGTGAGTGTCACATTCACAGTTGTTATATAAATGCCTAATCACTGGCGGTACCCGTGTCAGGGATATACAACGAACGCCGTGATGATTTGATTAAGGGAGAGGTTAGAGAATGGGCGCAACGCTCGAACGACGCAGCTATTGCGTGAGTTTCCGCCGTAAACATATGATCATGTGGAGTATCTAACATGCACTTCTGTAGAACCTTACGTTCACTCAATCTACCCGCAGCACTAGAAGCACTGGAAAAGCCAATCGGCTTGCCTCCTAGCTTGTTGAAGAAGGCAGAAGAGGTGAGGGCAGAAAATGGACCTGCTCAAGTTGAATCGTCCATCGAGGACGTCCGTAACCTTGCTGAGAGAGCGATGCAAATTCTTAATGAGGTATTTTGCTTCACTTCCGCTCAGTACACGCTCTGATATAGCCTCAGGCGATGGACATCCTGGATCAAGAGGCGGAGGAAGATGAGGCGTTCCGCAAGGAAGGTCCCTTCGATCGTTTGTCATCTCAAGAAGCAAATAGGGAACTTGCGGTGAAGGGGGAACGTTATCGGGATATCCTAACTCATGCCGCCGAAAGCGATGCGGTCGTCAGAGAAGGATGGGAAGAATGGGAAAACAATATACTGGAGCTGACCTGGGATGAGGTAACTTTCCATATGTCTCGCGCCTTTGTCTTGACTAACTTCGCCCTCACAGGCCGACCTTGAGGCATCCGTACCATCGTCTACTCTGTCGGGACATTCCCGGTTGTCTTCCAGAAGCCCGAATTTGACGCAGACGCACGCCCGTGCATTGCGTGTTCTCCTCGAGAACCTTGACAATGTGCAACGCGCTCGGAACGAAACAGTGGCTCGGGCGCAACGCCTGGCCGAGGCGGATGATATTACTCTAAGGATCTCCAAGGCGGCATCTGCATTCGAGCAGTGGGTTGCAGTGAAGCCAGAAATGTTGGAAGATATCCTTGACGAGGAATTGTCCAAGTACGAGAAGTTCCGTACTATGTTAGAGCAATCAGAGCAAAAGCAACAAGAGCTTCTCGATGCCATCAAGGTAAGAATTTTATTACCCGTATTCTCCCCGCACGAGCTAATAAATTCCTAGGACCGTAACATTCTCTTTCTTCAATCACGTAAAGATGACCCTATCGTCAAGGAGAGGGAACATGCGTTACAGTCGTTGGATCTGGCATATCACAAATACAAGGAAATAATCCGCAATCTTGACGAGGGCCTTAAGGTGGGCTATTGAAAAAAAGATCTTTACTGTATGCTGACCAGATCATCCGCAGTTCTATAATGACTTCGGTAACATGATGGTGCAATTCAAGGAAGCATGTAAGGTTTGGGCCAACGCTCGCAGAAATGAGATGATGTACGTATCATATCACGGATGGATCTGTTCGGCATTAATCTTACTCGTGGTCGTCCAGGGCTTTGACCCGCGCTATGAACGCCGTAACCTTAGAGCCTGCGCCTATTAGGTCTCGAGAGGCACCTTCGAATTTGACAAGCAGCCGTTCGACTCCTGTGTCCCCGCCACCGCCTGCGACGCCACGAAGTCGTGGAATAGTCGTGGACTTGCCACCACCAGATTCCGCAGATTGGGAGGCAACTCAGTTGCCTCCTGCTCCGATGATGCCGGCAAAGAAGAGTAAAACACCAAAGAGAACGAGCTGAGTCTTTGCCCGGTGTGATGCCGCGATTCAGGCATGCACATGTTATGTCTTACTTGGTACCGAGTCCTGCAGTGCGGTCTCCTAGGGATCACCTGAGAATGCTAGGGGCTGTACTTTCTATCACTGACTGAATCAGAACGTTGAATGGGTGACACTGGTATGGCGACTCACGATGGGTCAGGCGGGGGAATCCGAGGCGATACACAGGCTATTTTGGATATCGAGGGCGATTCATTTGTGATTGCCATCACAGACCAATCGATCTTTCTCAGTGTCGCGATCACTCGACACTGCCCACATAGTAAACACCGCTTATGGACATGTAGCATATATATCTTCCGTGCCATAGTAGCGCTTGAAAGTAATCAATCCCTCTCACGACTCTCAACTACTACTCTCACTACTTTCATTATGGGTCACTCCTCATCTGACTCTGACTCCTCCAGCAGTGATAGCGGCCATGGCCATCACGCTTATGGTACTCCAGGGCATGCCGGAGGTTACTATGTTCCAGGGGCTCATAGCGAGCACAAGAAGAAGAAAGACAAGAAAGATAAGAAGCACAAGGATAAAAAGAACAAAGGCGACAAGCACAAAGATCACTCCAGCCATGGTGCTAGTGGTCATGGCATAGCTCCTAGTATCCTTCCTGGCTTCTTTAATGCGCTTAGTGCTCTTCCTCCCGGTTTTGGTACACCTGCAATACCTTTGGGGTACGGCGCATCAAGTGCCCACACTTCTGGAGGCCATGCTCAGGAATTCTACGGAGCTCAACAGCCTCACGGCTATCCAGCTCCCGGTGCTCCTCACGGTGTTCCCAGTCCTTACGGCGCACCCGCGCACGGCGCACCCGCACCCTACGGTGCCCCTGCACCTTATGGCTCACCGTCACCATTCGGTACTCCCTCTCACGGTGCTCCTGCTCCTTACGGTGCACCTGCATATGGCGCTTCTCGTAGCATGCCTGGCGACCACAGCGGTCATGGAACGCCTGTTCCTGGAGGCCACGGAGCGCCTGGTGCGCCTCCAGGCCACCAAGGACCTCCCCCTCCGTCTGGCTTCCGGGTGCCATTGACCGTTGGACAACCATTCCCTCCACCTGCTCAGGTCGGACAGCCTGTCGCTTCCGACGCTGATGGTTCCCCCGTTTTCCTCGGATCTGCTATCTTGGGCGCGTCCGTCCATCCTTGCAAGATTGTGCCTAACCTGCACCCACCCGTTCGCGTACCTTATGGTGGTACGGAGTTCGAGCATAATGGTCGTTACGATCTTTTGCCGTTCGATCCTAACTTGATGGAGTGGGTGTGGACTGAGAAGGGGAGGATTCCTCATGGTAGGAGGCCGATTGAGGGTGGATATGAGGAACACGGGGGCAAGCTGTACCATGCTTTAGCTAAGATTCATGGCTTGCAAGTACCCGGCAAGACCGGAGAGCATTTGGTGAGTCCCGTCCTTACTGCGTAATAGAACGCTCTGAACTGAACGTATGTTATGTAGCAAGAGGCTAAGATCGCTTTCGGCGGTGCAGAGAGGAGTGAGAAGGAGTACTTCATTTTGTGCGTTGTTTGCATGACATCAATCGCGACCACTTGTGCTGATTGCTTCTCGCTTTGCAGATGCTGGAAGCACTAACGAAGACGCAATTGTGTACAACCTGCTTGTGTGAACATCGAATTATATCGCCCCTCGTTCCATTCAAACCCGTTATCCGAAGACATTCCATGCGTACATTTGAACGTCTCACCCCTCACGTCTACATAAATTATGGGAAAAGAAAAACTATTACATCGACTCTGTTGTACAACTATTGATACCAGGTATCGTGATATCGTGATGTAACTCCGAATTATCTAGATTGAACAGGTTGTCTTCGTGTTCCGTGTATGTCAGTGCATGCAGGTATAAGCAGGTGCAAGTCTACTGGTTAAAATAGTGGACTGAAGTTTAGCCGAAACCCGGGCTAGCAGTGAGTCTCAGTATTTGTCCATGTTTGCCTACAGCCTCTTCAAGAATTGCCGTTTTCGGAACTTGTCCTGAAGCGCTCAGCACTTTCGCATTGCAAAAAGTGCAAAGCAAGTTTGCTCGGATCTGTGCTCAACGACGCTGGAGAATATGCGTAAGATGCCGCGACTATGGTATCACGCAGGTCATCAAAACACAATGCATACATATCAAGTGTCTCCGCTCCACGTAGATTCCCCCCTTGGTGTTGCACAAATGGAACAAGCCAGGTGTTCCGGTTTGTTGCTCCTAACGAATATTCATAGAAATTAGTAGTTGCCCAGACAGCCCAAAAATATTTACCCACAGTGTACACACGAGACACGTCCATTCACTCCCAACCTCATTGTCCAGAACGCCGGTTGTACGACTGGGCTGAGATTGTTGGCGTAGCGAAGTAGAGGGGGAGGACTGGGGAACAGTTGTTTGCGAAGTACCACCTCGAATTGTGCTCGACGGTCCGCCTAACGTCCGACCTGGGCCTAACATGCCCAGAGCCTCTTTCTTTCGATGTTGAACTTCGTCTTCGACTATAGAACCGTATAAGGTCTTTTGTTTCTTCCTAGGCCTCCCTGAAGCGGACAATGGGTCGCAGGCATCAGAAGCAGTCGCTGTAGCAGTAGAGCTCGACTTCGTCAGAATTTGGGTATCGCATGCGGGCTCCTCGTCTGAGTCTTCAATCACTATGACAGAATTCGAGCTCGATGGTATGGGAGGCCGAGATGGGCCAGCAACGGGAGACGTGCTTGCTTGTTTCCGACGTGATGGTTTTGTATCCTGGGTACTGGAAGGGAACACAAAGTCATCTCCGATGGTAGACCATGAGGTCTTCAAATCTTCGAGATTGTCTGCCGTCTCAAGGAGGGTACGACGACGGTCTTGGTCTGTTTCTGGTGGAGCATCTTCACCGTCGGAAGATACGTCGCCTTCTTGATCTTGCGTTGCAATGTCCTCTGCATCACATGATGTCAGTTTAATGAGTTGCAGCTGTTGGATTCTACATGAAACATTTTTACCTGGCTTCTGTGTTAGCATCTTGAGTCGACGCTCAATTGCCAAAGCCCTTTCCTCTCTTGCTTTCTTGCTAGCAATAAGGTGTACAGTTTAGTATAGCCATGTTCTTTCGAAGAGAGTAGAAGCTCACCTTCCTGCACGCTTCCCGAACCCTGTACCCACCACCGCCTCGTTATCGCCTCCAGCACTGAGTGCCATACCTTCGCCCTTGAAGGCATCCTTCGCAGTAACTCGTGAACCTGCTTTCCGCTTCTTCGCGGTCTGGGCACCAGTATGACTCGAAGGACCAGCTGTACGCCTGGTTCTTCGCCGGCGAAAGGATGAAGGACGTGCACGAGTCTGAGCACCTCCACACTGATATCATTAGATAGTTCAATCTCTGAACAGATCGTGGAAGGGGAATTATTCTTTACCATATATTCTGGTAGATCACCAATATCGAGACCTTGCCCGCCGACTTTGGCGCCATCAGCCAGTCTGGTACCAGACGACCAGTAGCCTGTGGGACAATACTTTAGTTAGTCCTGTAAAAAGAAGGGGACAAATTAGGGCATACCATCTCCATAATACCCCCTGTTCTGCAATTCTCGCACGTCTCGACGAAGTCGGGCCCACAAAGCTTGGAAAGCTGGTCCATGATTCATGTACTAGTGACAGAAAACGAAGATGTAAGTCACGCTACATTTCGTACATGATAAAAGGACTACCTTAATGTGCGCGAGCTAATGGGGACCTCTGGAATGAGTACATGTACGCAGAAGGTATTCAAATCGGCACGTACCTCATGACATAATGTACTCATTAGCCAACTGGTGGGATAGTAAGTACCTATAGCATTCCGAAGAACAACCTCTTGTATGGATGACAGTCAGATGCAGTGGTAGCCTGTATGCACAAGACATACCAACGGTTTCCCCATTATTCCAGTTACGTCCTGCGAAGACCTTATTATATTCGTACTGTGTTCACAAGTCAGATTACACCTAACTCAGGTAAAAGCAAGTAAAGTACCTCTTCGAAACTGTTTACTACAAAGCCGTGTGACCTCATGACCGGCTTGACTTGAGCAGCCAAAGCTCGCAGTAGCTGCCTCGCATCCTCTTCCGCTGTAGAGTCGCCTATAGGTAGTGGAGTGATAAAGTTTATGTGGGGGTTAGGGTTTGGCTCCTTCTCATTCAGCCGTACATGAACCATGGAGACGTTAGGAAATAGAAGAGACGAGGGTGAGAACGCTGGTGGCGGTCACGGTACAAGAAGAGATCGGACGCGTGCTCTTCGCGATCGTGACGCGTTGCCCAAAATCTCGATTGCCTTTGCCGAGGTGCCGGTCTGCTTCCCCAAAAGCCCAAGCATGTCAAGACACCTTAAGAAGTCTTGCACGTTGCTTAGGCCATCTACTCGATCGCAGCCTCACTTATCTGGTCTACTTTGTCGACGTTCTTGGTCGATAGCGCCGCAAAATCGAACCATATTTATCTAACGCCGACCGACTGGCTTTGCTTTCTACCTCCAACCCTCTCAAGCAAGCAGACAATATCTACCGGGCGATGGCAGAAGTGGACTTTACCAAGCCAGTAATGAAGTTGGCGGTGTTGACTTCTGGAGGCGACAGTGCGGGCATGAACGCTGTTGTGCGTGCAGTGGTGAAAGCAGGCATCCTCAAGTGCGATCTCGACATCCTCTCTTCCCCCTTAGCCGTTTGATCGACCTCTCCCTCTTAGAGGCTGCGAAACCTATGTTGTTCGTGAAGGCTACGAAGGTCTCGTCCGCGGAAACTCGGATGAGGCGAAACCGGAAAAAGTTGCCCCGCACAGGGATTCTAGTGCGTACTATGGGTCGTTTGTACACAACCTGCGTTTCGGCGATGGTGAGTTGTTGAGGGATGGTACGAGTGACCATTTCGCTGGAAGAACACTGAGAGGGCGATATATCGTCCGTGTTGGATGGGACGATGTTAGAGGTTGGTTTGCTCAGGTGAGTATAAATACTGAGTGTATACTTCGTCCGTTCTCAAAGTCTTCAGGGAGGTACTCTCATTGGTACAGCTCGGTCGGCAGCCTTCAGGACAATAGAAGGAAGACTTTCTGCCGCCCAAAACCTGATAAAGGAAGGAATCGATGCCATCGCTGTCTGTGGAGGAGACGGTTCACTGACAGGGGCCGACGTCTTTCGTGCTGAGTGGCCCAAGTTGGTCGCAGAGCTCCACAAGCAAGGTAGTTACACTTCAGTACAGCACACAGCCGAATCACTGATTTTATGATTTATTAGGCCGGATCACTGCTGAACAAGTCCAACGACATGGATTCCTCAAGATCGTCGGTCTTGTTGGCTCTATTGACAACGATATGTCTATGACCGACATGACGATCGGAGCACCTACTGCATTGCATCGGATTTGCGAAGCCATTGATAACATTGACTCAACGGCTGCTTCTCATTCTCGTGCTTTCGTGGTAGAGGTCATGGGTAGAAACTGTGGTTGGCTCGCCTTGATGGGGAGCGTGAGGTGAGCTATCTTCGTTCTTGATTATGTTTTTGGACGCGTCCTGATTGGTTTCTTGGCGTGTTGCAGCGGCGGTGCAGACTATATCCTTCTCCCTGAGCGCCCTCCTCAGACAGATTCCTGGGAGGACGAGATGTGTAAATTGATCCACAACGTCAGCATTCCATTATACTCGATCCTCTCTCTTCCTGATTTTCTTTTATTCTTTTATAGCATCGTGAAGCAGGCAAACGCAAGACCATCGTGATCGTCGCGGAGGGTGCTCACGACGCCAACTTAAAACCTATCCATGCGGATTATGTCAAAGATGTCCTTATAGACCGGCTTGGCCTGGACACGAGAGTAACTACCTTGGGTCATACACAACGAGGTGGCCGTCCATGTGCTTTTGATCGCATCCTGGTCAGTCACGTTTGAGACGATTAGTCTCGAGTTCCGTATCTAAAGGCATTTGTAGCCTACTCTACAAGGTGTCGAGGCAGTTGATGCGTTGCTCGAGTCGACACCTGAGACACCATCTTACATGATTGGCGTCCATGAGAACAAGATGACGAGAATACCTCTGATGGAGGCCGTGAAGATGGTACGAATTGCAGTTTTTCTCTATGGCTTAAGTTGAATTTTGTGTTTCAGACACATGAAGTGACAGAAGCGATCAAAGTAAAGGATTTCGACAGAGCGATGGCTCTCCGAGGCCCTGAATTTCGTGAGGCTTTGGAAGGTTTTTACGCTACCTCTGTGTTGGAGAAAGAACCCAGGTTACCTCATCATCTGCGCATGCGTGTCGCTATCATACAGTATGCAAAATTTCCTTCTCTTGTCGCTGTATGCGTTCTAATTCACTATCGGTCATTAGCATCGGTGCCCCTGCTGGTGGTATGAACGCAGCGACACGTACCGCAGTCCGTTACTGCGTGCGACAGGGCCACAAGCCATTCGCTGTACACAACGGCTTCCCCGGTCTTCTCGACGATAATGTTCACCAGCTCTCTTGGCTGGGTGTAGATAACTGGATGACCCGAGGAGGTTCCGAACTCGGTACTAATCGTAAGCTGCCAGACGTCGACCTCGGTGGCGTCGCCGCCAAATTCCAACAATACAAGTTCAACGCATTGATTCTGGTCGGAGGCTTCGAGGCGTTTAGCGCGTTGTTGATTCTGGAGAATGCTAGGAAACATTATCCTGCGTTCCATATTCCGATGGTTCATCTTCCTGCGACGATCAGTAACAATGTGCCGATGACCGACTACAGCTTGGGCAGTGATACAAGTTTGAACGCGCTGGTGGACGCTTGCGATGCGATCAAGCAGAGTGCGAGTGCGAGTCGCGATAGGGTGTTCGTCGTTGAAGTTCAAGGTGGCAAGTGTGGATATTTGGCGACTATGGGTGCTCTGGCGGTCAGTAACTATTGTGATGACACTATGAAAGACGACCTGACACATTCCCACAGACGGGTGCTTGCATTGTGTACACGCCGGAACGTGGTATGAGCTTGGATATGCTCCGGAGTGACGTCAAGTACTTGAAGAAACGGTACAGTCTCGATCTCAAGGGTAAGAGTGAAGGTCGATTGGTGATAAGGTACGTAATTTCCCCAAGTTCGAGAAAATGCACTTGCTCACTTCTCTACATAGAAACGAAATTGCCTCAGAAGTCTATTCTACGGAATTCATCACCAAGATGTTCAAAGAGGAAGGTGGAAAACTCTTCGATTCTCGTTCAGCTTCCCTAGGACACACCCTTCAAGGTGGTATCCCATCCCCCTTGGACAGAGCACGTGCCGTTCGCCTTACCCTCAAGTGCATGGCTTTCATCGAACATCACCACCAATTGCTTCTCAAACAGCCCGGAAACCTGAAGAAGGCTCCAAACGAATCCGCTGCTGTTATTACCATTTTGGGATCGGGTGTGAAATGGGTTCCTGTGACTGAAATGGTAGAACACGCAGATACAGCGAACCGCCGAGGATCAGAGGAGAGTTGGATCGGTGTCGTCGATTTGGTGGAAGACCTTGTGGCTAGGAAGCCGATTTTAGAGAAGGAGAAAATCGCTGTGTAGAGTCTGATTGTCTAACGTCATGGACTATGAAGAAGTAGGAATGGATGTACTATACGGACTGTTTATAGAACCCTACTGTACCCATTGTGTATCTCTACGTTTCCGAGTCACGCTTCTACTGAAAACGCGGTGTGACACATGTGACAAGTCGTGTCTGAAATGAGTCACGTTTGACGCGCTTGGTCAGAACGAGCTGGACTGTAAACATGGCTCTTATCTTGTTACGCTCATCTGGCAACGGTCTCTCATACTAAATATCACCTCGCTGGACGGGTAATGCTGCACTATGGGTGTAAAGTCGCTATGGAACCTCCTGGAACCAGTTGGCCGGCCTGTCCTGTGAGTTCCGCTTGATTAGAGAATTACACAGACCTTGACGTTTTCTTCAGTCTCGAAACAATGGAAGGCAAGGCGATGGCCATTGATTCCAGTATATGGATCTACCAGTTTCAGGCTACAATGCGTGACAAGGAGGGCAGGGGCCTTGTCAACGCCCATGTCGTTGGTTTCCTGCGAAGAATTTGTAAACTACTGTTCTACGGAATCAAGCCTGTTTTCGTCTTCGATGGCGGTGCGCCTGCTCTCAAGAAGTCAACTATCGTAAGTCAGTCTTCTCTTGAAAAGACGATTAATAGCTAACCGCACGCTGAAATCCAGGCTGAGCGTAAGCACAAGAAGGCGGGTGCGGCTGCCAGCCATGTCAAGATTGCTGAGAGGCTGCTTGCTGCTCAGATGAGAAGGGAGGCTCTGAATCAGGTCCAAGGAGCATCGTACGTAGCCTCGCGTTAAAGTCGAACCCGGCCTGACATACAATGTTCTAGATCTAAAGGAAAGAAAAGAGATGGTCCTGTTGTGATTGACGAGAACACAGTCTATCTTGAGGATCTTGATGTCGATGCTCCTGTAACCCCGAAGAAGCCTGCTGCTTCAGCACCAACTGAGAGCTCTCCTCCCTCCACGTCAAAGAAGTCTCGCTGGCGCGACCACGACCCATATAAGCTCCCAGATGTTGATTTGAACGAGGCTATAGCAAAGGCTACAAGTTCAAATCCATCAGACCCTCGTCTTGCCACTGAAGATGAGCTGCGTGCGTTCATCGAAGAGATGCGTCCTGAAGATTTTGATGTATCCTCTCCTGCTTTCCGTGAATTGCCCACGGAGGTACAATATGAAATTATTGGTGACCTTCGTCTCAAGTCTCGACAAACGTCATATAAGCGTCTGCAGAACATGCTTCGAAAGGCGAGGACGCCTCTTGATTTCTCTAAGGAGCAGATCAAGAATCTCAAGCAGCGCAATTCCTTGACGCAACAATTGTTGATTACTACCGACACTATCGGTAAAGCGCATGTCGAGATACCCATTCGTATTGCGAGCGAACGAAATAAGCAGTACCTGCTTGTCAAGAATGAAGGTGCTGAGGGAGGGTGGATCCTCGGCGTGCGCGACGAAGGTACCCGGTCAAAACCTATTGAGATTGACCAAGATCTCGTGAAGCCAGCTGATGAGGAGGAGGAAGAGAATAGTGAGATGGAGATGGAGGAAGTCGAAATGTACGTATTGTTTTACTTCAGCATCGTAGTTTAAATCTCATATTATAATAGTTCTACTCCTAATACTCCACACGATCCCGACTTACGAGAATATCGGAGAACTATGGCCCTCAATGCCCTTGCTGAGCGGTACTCTCCCAAGAAGTTGGCGCCTCTCACAACACAAAAGGTTGTTCACAAGCTTAACACGAAGCCTCTGTTCAATCTTGACCGAGACGATCCAGACGCTCAGATCTTGGAGGAGGAAGACCCCGAATTGACGGCTGCCATTGAAGCCTCTGTTGAGACGCAGGAAGAGTTGGACATGCAGAGAGCCATTGAGATCTCCCGCACTGAACGCCTGGCTTCTGACTACCCGGCCGAGACCAACATTGGGGCTTCAACGTCTCGTTCCCCTTTGGACAACAGTTTTTCTCTGCGAACCCCGTCGAGGCCACCTTCTCCTAGGGTCTGGGCTCATAGTGTTGAAAATTCAGACGATGAAGATTTATACACATCTCCAACCCGGCTGGAGACTGCGCTGTCTATTGGCGGTGCAAGCAAAAAACCCATGTCGGGAAGCACAATGTTTGGTACACCCTCATTATTAGTCTCCAGCAGCCATCAGGGTTTCAAGACAACTTTACCGGATAACGGTAATGCCCAAGATGTATCATTCGTGGAGCGTCGATCTATGTCCGCTTCTGCAGTCTCTCCACAAAAAGTGTCGCCAACCTCTACGAAGTTACGGCGTGAGAGGGCAACTCCTATACCGGTTGTTTCTTCGGATGAGGAGGAAATGGATGAAGTCATACCTCCTGCTACTTCGGAGGTGATAATTTCCCAAGAAGCTACGCGACAAATATCTCCTCCACCGGTAGAAGTTTCGCCATCTGACGAAGATGAAGATGAGGACATGGAAGAAGTCGTTCCTCCACCTGGTTCCGTTATGAACGAGCAACAGGAGAGGTCAATTTCTGTTGTTTCAAGAACGCTAGGCGTTGAGGTTGAGACCTCGCAAGCGGTCGATACTTCAATTCCATCTCCGGTTGCTTCAGCATCTCCTGAATTCGAGGACGTCGCAAGGACGAATGCCTTTTCTCATCCTATTCCCAATATTGCACCCGTCATTTACACTGAAACTGCGATTGCGACCCCCGACGAATCTTCTAGCGATGAGGAGGGCTCACAGCATTGGTCTGGTTCACCTTCGTTCAATCATGCATTGGACAATGAAGATAAACCACTCGAGAAACCTGTACAAGTAGTTGAGGACTGGGATGCAGCTCAGGAGATGGATCCTCAAGCTGAGGAAGGCGAGTATGTACGCTTCATGTCCCAAGTCAGAGGCAAGGATCTGGAGAGCGTCCGAAGAGAGATCGATGATGAGATTCGATCGTTGAATCAACAACGGAAAGCTGCCATGCGCGACTCAGAGGACATTACGCAGCAAATGATTTCACAAATCATGGTACGAAACTTCATTTCATTTCGGCCAAACGAGTTCCATGCCACTGACACTCCTGCCTCCTTTAGATGATGCTACGTTTGTTCGGCATCCCCTACATTACCGCACCAATGGAAGCCGAAGCTCAATGCGCAGAGCTTCTTGCCCTAGAGCTTGTCGACGGGATCATCACCGACGACTCTGACGTGTTCCTCTTTGGCGGAGCGCGTATCTTCAAGAACATGTTCAACCAGTCCAAGACCGTGGAATGCTTCCTATTATCCGATCTTGAACGCGAGCTGGGATTGGATAGGGACAAGTTAATTCGATTGGCGTATCTTCTTGGCAGTGATTACACTGAAGGTCTTCCTGGGGTTGGACCTGTTGTGGCCATGGAGCTGTTAACCGAGTTTCCTGATAAGGATGGCTTGCATAAATTCAAAGAGTGGTGGAGAAGGGTACAAAGCGGCAAGGATAAGCCGGAGGAGAGCGCAAGCAAGTTTCGCAAGCGTTTTGTGAGTGTTTCAATTTCGTTTTTTTTTGAAATGAACATACTGACATTTCAGCGCAGAAGAAGCGGTTCAAAGAACTCTTCTTGCCCGAAGATTGGCCAAACCCTGCTGTGGTGCGTGATCTCTTCTAAGATGACCTACTGTTCATGTGGCTGATTGATATTCAGAGAGATGCTTATTACCACCCGACGGTCGACCACTCAGAAGAGCCCTTCAAGTGGGGCTTGCCAGACTTGGACGCCCTTCGCGAGTAAGTTCATTTCCCTTATCGAAGCCTATGGGGCAGTGCTGACGCAAGAACCTCAGCTTCTTTGGTGCCGAGCTTGGTTGGAACCAAGGCAAAGTTGACGATCTTCTGCTGCCCATCATTCAGAAGATGAATAAACGAAGCCAGGTAAGCAAGGTTACTTCCATAAACATAGTGCTTCTTAGCTCATAACTGTATGGTGACGTGTAGCAAGGGGCATTGAACAAACAAGGTAACCTTACGGGCTCCTTCGACGTTCCTTCAGGAGGAGCTGCCCCTCGCAAACGACAAGCGTATGCAAGCAAGCGTTTGCAGCAGGTTGTTTCCGAATTTCGAAAGAAGCAGAAGGCTGAAAGTAACGCTCCCTCGCCGGAAAGCAGTTCTGAACAAGATGACACTGAGCCCAGGCCGAAGAAGAGGCGAAAAGCGAGCGAAACACCATCGGCCTCAAGCACGAGGAAGAACGGTGGGGTAGAACGTGGTACAGGTCGGGGTCGGGGAAGAGGACGTGGAAGAGGTAGTAAAGCCACTCGGGGTAAGAGGGCTGCAAAGGGTAAGGCTCGGGCTCAGTCAGGGTCAGAGGAAGACGAGTTCAATGAGAAGTCTCCTGCTGCAGCTGGAGCTATACCGGATGCACCCTTGTCTGTAGAGCTTAGACCGCGTCCGAAACCGAGGCCCCGACGAATGACCGAGGTGGAGAATGCGATAGATTCTAGTTGATGTCATGGTCCAACGGACGTAAAATAATTGAGACAGAACGGTTCCGAATCGGACGTTAAATGGCAGGTATGCAAATTGCGACATACGGTAGCTCCGCATTAACGTCCGTTCGTGAAGACAGAATCAGATAGATTGGGGGCTAGCGCTACGAGATACATCTATTCACTCCTCTGGTTCTGATTCATGCTCGGGGCGGGCCTATAAGGAATGCGTTTGGAAAGAGCAAGATAACCTTACCAAACTTGGGACTTACCTTGTTCTCCTCCAATCCCCCGAGCTCGTTTACCAGACCTGAGAATGGATACTCCCGTGGCACCGCTGGTCTGTCCGGTATCAAAGCGAACTTGACAACAAGACCAAAAATCACGAAGCCGAGGACAGCAATCGAGGATTGCTTGAGGGCGACGTTTGGAGGAACGAGAGGAATGTCGGGACCCCACATGGAAAAGGCCTCCTCGTTCTCATGCAACTGCACATAGCATATTATTGTTAACGTAACGTGATGAATCCGATCTTTGAGTAACACATACGGGCTCTCCAAAGTTACGCCGCATCTGGGGGTCATCCCATCCCTTAGCAGGGCGAGTCTGCTTCGAAATCGCAGGCACTCTAGGATAATCTGCCAGCTGAGGGTCCTCCTCCTCCTTCAAGTATGGGACTGGCGTAGCGTAAGTTCTGACTGAGCATTTTGCCAATGATGTAAGGGCTGCCGGCCGTCGCTGTGCGACACGGCGAGCAGCGAGAGTCGCAGCTTGCATGGTGGTGACGGGACTTGAAGCAACCAGAATACTGAAAGCGGTTTGGGTATGAGCGTCGCGTAAAAGGGCTTACGGGGTTGGCCTCGGTAAATATTAGCGCTGGGCTAGGCTTGTCAGTATCCACGGTCGCACAATTGGTCGATTGGTCCAGCAGAATATGCCCGGCTGTCTCATGTTTCAGTACAAGCTGCCGTCGAAGCGGCTTTACACGACTATCATATTCATTTCACCAGCGGTAGAAACACCCTTTCGCTCCCGAACTATCTCGTTGACCTTTGTATCCCCTCCTTGAGGCTTCAACGCGCTTCCAAACTAGCTTTCTGGCTCATTTTCGTTCCTTTATTTTGTGTTGTCATTGTTGTCTATCATGTCTCAAGAGGGTGTTAGCAAAGATGTACAAGACCGGTTGATGAAGGCACGAATTCATCATAGGACGAAGGGTACCGTACCTTGGCCAGTCAAGCTTTCTCAGACGCATCTAGCATTGTAGGCACTTGCGAATTGTGGCACTTATTTAGCCGGCATACTAAGATGACCTGGTTTCAGCGACAATTGGAACCAAATGTTCATGAAGAACCTGTGTCGTAATATCACTATGCACCAGTTCGATGCTCCGCCGTCGCGAGTATTGGACTTAGGTTGCGGTTGCGGACTCTGGATCCTCGAGGCTGCACAAGAATGGAAAGATACACAGTTTGTTGGCTTTGATATATACAATAAACAACCAGACCTTCAGAGGTTAGGCAATATTGTAGACGTGATAAAGGAATCTGGATTACGACGTATATCCCCTCGAGTGCATTGGGTGCACGGTAATATGTGAGTTAGCTATGATTGGACCATATGTGCAGCAGACTTATTCAGCCTTACCTCAAGGCTGGAGCGGCTGCCTTTCGAAGATGGTGAATTCGAATTTGTTCGCATATGCAATGTTGCCCTCGGTGTTCCAGAGGATGAGGTGAATATGTTGCGCACTTGAGTTCAATTTTGGATTACGTGCTAATATTTTCCACAGTGGCCAGACATATTTCAGGTACGGCTCTGAGGATATCGTCGTGCGGCAAGAGTTTTCACTGACAGTTCTCACCTATGTATGTAGGAAATAGCTCGAATATTAAAGCCAGGCGGTGTTCTCGAGGTTCGTTTCCATCTCCCTAAGCTGTTCGCATTATTGGAATAGTTCTTCTTAGATCGTCGAGGATGATCTGATATTTCCTACTGGTCCTGGGCCGGAACGACGTTCACTGTTTAAAAGCCATTCATTGCTCTCAGTCCCTCTGTCCTTTCAAGGTGATGACCCCTCCAGAAGATCTGATGGAGGAGACCTCCTGACTCCTACAGTAACATCACCCATCTCAGCTGTTTCAAATCCGGCCCCATGGAATACATCCCCGCAGCTTCATGTCGACGACCCGACTCTCCAACCGACCAATATCATTCATCCAAGTAGTCTAGCTGCATCTACTATGCGACAAGCATTGAAAGCTCAGCAACGACAGGGGAGCAATGAAGACTTGTCTGATTTCATGAACCCGCAGGATCATACAAAATTGAAACAAGCATGGCAAAAGATGCTTCAAAAGAGGTGGATATCTGCGAGACCTCTGTCTGTCATTCCGCTATTCCTTTCTGCCGAGTTCCGTGAAGTCCGAACACATCCAACTTTACGTGTTCCTATTCCACCCAACTCCGATTCAGTTACCCTTAAAGACACTTCGTCTGTCCTTTCGGATACCGAACCTGACTTCATCATCGACCTCAAGGCACATTCGATCCGAAAACGGTCCGTTGAATCGCAGACGCCTGCAGGTGACACTTCGTCAATGCACTCTGTGCAATCAGATTCAGCGACAATGCATTCATGGGCTGCCATGCATCTGGCAAGGGCCGTCAGTGTCGTCGAGAGTTGCAAAGAAGCTATTTGGCAAGAATATAGGAACTTTGACTTGATGTTTCCGGAATTGGATAAATATGACCTTCGGGATGAGTTTGAGGCTTGTTGGAAGAACTGGCATAAGTGAGCCCCCTTTCCTTTCTTCTCTGTCGACTCGTTATTGACATCTCTCTCAGTGATATGGTAGACCGTATTGGAATGCGTAATAAGATCGGCCGCAGCGTCGGTTGGCCATTACCCTTCGAAATCGCACAAGAACTACCTGATTGGCGTATCTGGCGTGCGCGACTAGGCAAAGTCTCCGATTCAGACATCCTGAAAGCTTTGGACACTGATCCCGCTGAAAAGGATCACGATGAAGACATATGTAGATGCCTCAAAGGGTTCGTTGCTTGGAAAGCCTTGGACGCTTAAGGTCACTCCCACATGACTGTAGACCTCACGAACCTTTATGCAAACTTTAGGACGACCGGACATGCCTACCCTATGCTCATGCTAATACTTCGGTTTTCATTGGATGCTATGTTTCATATACCATTTCTAGTACATATACCTTATATCTATTCCTTCACTCTGCTTCGTGCAACCTTTTCTTTCTAACATAGTGGATTGCTGCACATTACCCATGCCAATGCTCATGATGTTGACGACTCGCTCTTGCACATGGGCGATCCACGAACACCATGCCTGCCTAAAACAGACCTTCGCTTGTTCCCGAAAGCTTGAATTGAGTCCCTTTCTTCGGCCTCTTCTACACCACCCCCAGCATCGATTATCGCACTTGTAATATCCTTTCAGAACATAAACAATCATGTCCGAGCCAGCGAAAACAGAGGAAAAGCCACGTTCGACCGCAGAGGTTGATTTCACAAAGTACAAGGTACATAACCACCTCTTTGTTTGTTTTTCGCTTGTTCTCGATCACATCTAATCGCAAACTTTCGCTTGTCGAAATTGGCGATATGAACAGTAACATGTCTTTGTGGACTTATGATTCTGAGAAGGAGAATGGGACAAAATGCTGAATTTTATGATCGTTGTAGACCGCTGCAGACATTGTGAACAATGTCATAAAGAAGCTTGTGGACCTTTCCGTGGAGGGTGCCAAGGTCCTTGATATCTGCATTGAGGGAGACAAGCTCATCGAGGAGGGTACCGCGGCGGTATATAACAAAGCCGTGAAGGGTGTCAAAGTTCCCAAGGGTGCGTAACATGTACTCTCAAACATCGTCCTAAATGTCTGACACTGTCATTCATGTTTACCTGCATTGCGTAAATGCAGGTCTTGCCTTCCCCACCTCTGTTTCCGTAAACAACTGTGTTGCCCACTTCTCACCCCTTGCATCGGATCCTCTATCAGCACAAACACTTGCCAAAGGCGATGTCGTAAAACTTCACCTCGGAGCGCACATCGACGGATTCGCTGCCGTTAGCGCAGAGACACTCGTTGTTGGTGCCACCCCAGAAAATCCTGTGACTGGTCGTCAGGCCGATGTCATTCAGGCTGCATGGCATGCCGCCGAAGCAGCGATGCGTTTGGTGAAGGTCGGAGGCAAGAATTGGGATGTTACAAATGCTGTAGCCAAGATCACTTCCACTTGGGAATGCAAACCTGTAGAAGGTGTGTTTTAATTGCGCTCCAATTTGGTGGCAATAGACCAAAGAAAATTGAGGCGACTGTTGCAGGCATGCTTTCTTGCCAACAATCACAGAATGTCATTGACGGAAAGAAGCGTATTATTCTCAATCCCGTACGTCTCGAACCTCTAGTCGTATGTCAGCTCGTTGCTGATCCGCCACCAGTCTGAAGCACAAAAGAAGGAGTTCGAGACTGTGACATTCGCAGAGGGCGAGGTATACGGCATTGACATCCTGGTGTCATCAGGCGAGGATGGCAAGGTCAGTCTTCCGAGCATTTGATTCTGGTGGTGGCTTAGATTGATTTATCGACCGTAGGCCCGTTTGGAGGAATCGCGTACCACAATCTACCAGAAGGACTCAACCGTCACCTACCAGTTGAAGATGAAGACGTCTCGTGCCGTCTTCCACGAAGTCCAAAAGAAAGCTGGTGCTTTCCCCTTCAACCTCCGGTGTCTCGAAGATGAGAAGCGTGCACGACTGGGCCTTCAGGAGGCCGTGCAGCACGGCCTTGTCAAGCCCTATGAGGTCATGTAAGTGTTCTCCTACATCGATTCTGCTACGCTATTCATCTCATCACATGCTGCGCCAGCTATACCCCCAACAATACCTTTGTTGCCGCATTCCACTTCACAATTGCGCTGTTACCCGCTGGACCCGCACTTATTACCCACCCTCCTGTTTGGTATAAGCCTGAACTCGTCAAGTCAGATAAGAAGCTCGAGGACCCTGAGCTCGAGGAGCTTCTCGTCAAGAAGTTGCGAGAGGACAAGAAGAAGGCAAAGAAAGCAAAGAAGGATAACGAGGAGCCTGAGAGCAAAGAGTGAAGGCTGTAGTGACTATACAAGAGGCGAAAGAAATCAAAATGTATTTGAAGCCGAACATTACATCGCGTATCGCTAGCGGACATATATTAGTATAGCTCGTCATGTCTTTGTGACAATTCAACGAATATGACATACGAACTACAGAGCTAATGATGAAGGTCTTCTCTCGGCGTCTTCACCAAATTCTCCTATTGTGTGGACGACCAGATCGACATTCTCGAGGAAAGCATTGACTGTAAGGCGAGCAAGCCGGACAGTCAAAGTCGTGAATGTCCTGCATAAAACGTGGAAGTATGAAACATACATACAGTTATTCACGGAGAGATGGACTTACGCAACCAACTCATTTTTGTCCACTTCGATTGTACGCTTTACGACGTCTGGCTGAAGCTCCCTGTCGACTTCAATTACTTGTTTGGCAATGGATGCATGTTGCTCTGATGCAAATGGGACTCGAACGGTACTATCTAACGAGTATAAATTAGATTATCATGGGTCAGTATATACATACTTACACTGTGTGCCATTTATTTTCATCGCCGTTGGACATGGTGGCGGTAGCAGGTCAAGTCATGTCGAGTTGAACGATCGAGGTACGATCGAAACCCGATTGCAGTTGTAATAGTTTGATCGTCACAAACGGCTTTCTGCCATCCAAGGATCTCAGCGAGAAGGGTGAGGTGACATAAGGAAAGAAAGACATAATGCAGCCACCAGCCTCTGATTCGGAGCGTAGTCACATCATATATGTAGTTGTGAATGATGGAATGTCATTAATTATTCATGATGTAGCAACATTCGTCCCTCTCCCTTATGCAGAACCATCTATGTACTGCTACTCACAGGTAATGTCGGAATATAATGAGCATTGCTATCGTTAGCCACCTTGTCGGAACCATCCTGCCGTTCAAAATCCCTCATGCTGGATACCTATCAACCAATAATCTAGTTAAAAAAGGAGGGGAATTCAAAGACTGAGATCCGCCTTACCCGCCGTAGAGAGAATGTTGGTAGGAAACGTGAAGTAGTGGGACTATCCGCCCTTGGTGAAGACAGTTCCAGCACAGTCGAGAAGACTGCAGTCTCCCCTGAACTTCCTGATCCCTGCTCGACGGTATACGTTGGCTGTGCGCGTCTTGCGTTGAGCATAGCAAGTAGTGAGTTAGCGTAAACTGCATAGGTACTGTTTAAAACCATAGAATAATGCGAGGAGAAAGCACTTACTTTTTCCCATGCCGAAGTCGGCGGCCAAAAACCACAGTGTCTGTGGAACGACTACGAACTGCGGACCTATTGTCAATGTTTCAGCGCATTGATAAATGGGGGAGATGTACTTGCCGTTATGAGTCTCGCAATGGCCACAATCCTAATGTCTTCAGAGAGGTGCAAACAACTTCTATCGTACGTAAACTCACGAAACAAGCACGCAACGCGTGAGGGCGAAGTTTATTGCACGATCTAGTATGGAGTTCAAACTGATGGTAGCTCGCCAGGGAGATCGTGAACTTTCGAAGACGACTAGGACCAACCTTTCGAACCCTGAACGTTTTGTTCGTAGCAGAAGAACCAGTGCAATTGAGATTGCGGTATCCGAAACGACCGCAGCGAGCGTATATGGCACTATAGCAGACAACTGTATGTATCGACAACGTTTAATGTTGTGAAGTTGCCTTCAGGTAGAATATGCGCACCGAAAGTGTGTTGAGTGGTTTGGCCTCTGATCTATGAAAAGAATTGGGAGAGTCAGAAAGAGAACTGAAGGAAATACGATGATTTTACACTGACACACTCAGGGCCTCTATTACTCGTACAACGGCGGCTATATTTTTTTCTCATAAGAGGTGTTGTAAGTCAATATTGAATGTATAATATACCTGAGCCGAGAGCTGGAATGCACATTCAGTAACGAGGTCTTCTCATCCGAGATGTTGACACTTACCGAAGTGTGTGAGCACGAGAACAGACTGTTGTCATATGGCAAATAACCGGGTGAGCTCCAAAACCTGACACATTATCACTTACAAGCACGGCCAATACCCAGTACTTCATCTGCTGGTCACACACTGATCATCCACTGAATGTTAAAACAGCTTTCCAAGACTATCTAACGGTGAAATAACTTACGCTGGAAAATGCGCTTCACGAAGAAGCTATGACTGTCTGAGTAGCCATCAAGGTTTAAATCAACCGCAGATAGCGCACCATTGGACCAAGATCGCCACCAGGACCTGAATCAACATCAATCATTGACCGTCACAAACAGCCCCGCATGTACTTACGTTCAACCCTGCAGAGATCTACATGGAGGACCAACAGTAAGCGTCAAGGCGTCTAACGAATTCCGTGGATCGCTGAGAATACGTACGTCAAAAGACCTGTTTCAGGTATAACAAGATTAGGGATCACGGAATGGTTCGGCATATTTTAAACTTGCCTCTTCCCTCGGTCTGTTATCGGGTTGTCTTTATTGGGCATGGCATGCCCGAACTGCGAAGATGTTGACTTGTCGGATCCCTACATGGAAGGGAAAGAGCGTACCAATAGCGTGTACAGGCCATGACACACTATTCACGGGTCAGATGGTCTCTGTTTGAGCGAAGCAGCTCAGCTTACCAAGCGCGATGTTCACTGTGTCAATGATCCTAGTACCAGGTAAAGTGGATAGTACAGAGAAAATAACCACATATTGGCCCACCATGTCAGCCCAACCTGAGTATCGTCATGCTATTAGTATGTCAACAACTCAACAGTGGTGCACACGAACCCAGATCTTCAGTTCCCGCTTGTCCCGAGGGAACTTCGTGAAGTAGACATATGTCTGTAATATTCCAGCGATCGTAAAAAATCCTCGTGGTGAAGTAAACATACCTGAAGAGTACTAAGTCCATAAAGGCTGTGCGATTAATCAGACAACTTTGTTAACTGGAAATGGTAGCAAAAGGCACACACAAGGTAGCAACCATTTGTCCCACCAGCAATGCACCTATGCCAACGAAGATCAGCGTAAAGGATTATCGAATCTCAGGTCAAGTCAAACTTACCCATGCTATCATCAAACGTAGCCATACTTCCTTATGCAAGACAGGGTGCACACCTAAAGAACAACGGGAAATGAACTACTGAACATGGACGTCAAATAGGAAAAAGGACTCAAGGACCACTAGGGGGCTTTAAACTGAAGTCTCAAAGGTGACGCTGATCTGCACCCGATCAGCAACCAATGGCAGGTGACCGCTGCTGCAACGGAACACCGAGGGTACGCAGAAGTGCAAATGTATCTTGGAGCGTATATCAAAAAGGTTTCAACAGATAGAGTAATCTTCACACACAGCAGCTCAATGAATCACTGCGCTATTCTCTAGCATCAGACAACCTTTCCCTGAATGCAGCCGGAGCGCTGTAAATTGCCTGGGCAGCTGTTCCGGCACGGTGACAGCAATGATCTTGAATAGGATGACAGGGATTACAAAGTTGTCCAGACGAAGGGTAGGTGAGTATCGGGTATCCCGTCTTTCATTGACAGGCATCTGGTTCTGAAAGACAACGCATGGAGACGATCGTGACACTCAGCTTATATCAACCGTGGTGACTTCACTGGAAGATACGCATGGTAAGCATGCTAGATGAGCACGGAGGACATTTGCGCGCCATTGCGACTGCGACCTTTCAAACTTTCATTACAACGTCAAGCTTCCCGAGTCTCGTCAGTGTGTCAGTCCGGACTCCGAAGTGATCGACAGGTGCCCAGTCAGCTATCACCCGCTTGCAGAAAGGGATAACAGTCAATCGTAGAGCGGTGAAACCCTTTGAAATCTGCAAGATTTGCCGTTCGAAGGATCCGACGGAGCATTCAACAAAGCCTGTTGGCTGGTGGCGGACTCCATCGAGATGATCGACGCCACGAAGCCCGGATTCGATCAAATCTGCGTCCCGCCGGCTCACAAAACATTCTATCATGTACGTACTGTACAGCACGCCCAGCTCAACAACCATTGACAGCTATTTGCGGAACGATAGGCCAGCCCAGCAAAAAAATCCAGGACAGAGGCTTTCGAGATCCGCTCTCGGCTGAAGGTGGCACTCACTCAGGCTGAGGCGCTGCAAGATCCCCTGCTCCACGAATGCTCTAAATTCTGTTCGTAATTGGCTCGGTAAACTGCAATCAGCCTTCGGGGATTCAAACTCGTGTGCTGGATTTTTTTTCAAAAGGTGGCCTATCGTTCCGCAAATAGCTGGAAATAGTCTACCATTCCAGAGATAAACGCACAATCATCATACCGTATGTCAAGAAATTACATTAATCAACAGCCAAGTTCCAACCAACTGCAGGAGGGGGGCAGGGGGGGAGGGGGTGGGAATTGAACATATCATCAAGAATAGTGATATAGACGTATAGACATCCATCTGTTCACAATGGTAATAATCGAGACGACATGGAAGAACCGAAAACGGAATTATAGAAATCGAGGTGTCGCGAGCCAAAAGTTAAAAAGAGGGGGGGGAGGTATGAAAGAGGAGAGGAGGAAAAAAAAAATGTTACCTGTTAATACATGGGTAAAAAGAGCCCGCAGAGGATGTAGGGAAGGTATGTATAGCAGCAATACCACAAACCGTGCTTGAGGAGGAAAAAAGAGACGAGAAGAGACGAACTATCTACGGTAACGGCAACGAAGCTGGTAAAATCAAGACGAGAACACACGGATTCGGGAAAGGGCCCCCTCCCTTGCTAAAAGAAATGTGGCAAGTTTGGCAAGAAGGATCTGCACACACAACGAGACGAGTCAATACACATCAAAATAGGCCAGCAAAAATGTTCAAAAGCTCACATCGCACCCCACCCAGCAGCAAAGAACAAAGCCCCCCAAGCGAGTTGCTTCCTCTCAGGCGCCATACCCTTCCGAATCCTACTATTGGTCACAACAGCACGCTCCTCCTCAACTTCCGCCTCCAACTCGGCAGGTTCCTTGATATTAAACTTCAACTGTCCCTCCTCTTCACGTGCTCGTTTCTGTGCTTTGCTAGGACCCGCACCCGCACTGGGCTCTATCAGCGTAGCCTCCTCATCAGACATTTCCTGTGCCTCTTGCGTTGCCACTGCCTGTGCTTGAGCCTTGGCCGCTCGTTCAGCTTTGAGACGTTCAATGAGCTCTCTCTGCTCGCGAATATCTTCTTGCATATCTACTTCGGTCGCTCTCGCCGCATGAAGAGCATCCTCATCGACCGCGGTTTCGTCAGAACCGCCAGGCGTCAACTCCTCGTGAACTGGCTTGATAGGAATCTTGGGGGTCTTGGGGGAAATAGTTCCGACGAGAGTAGCCTGAGCAGAAACAGCTCCAGACGGAGGTGCGGGACTCTTCAATCGGGTCGATCGTCGCAAGGATTGTGGGGTAGCAGGAGGGGGAACCTGACGTGCGGGAGAAGCCGCGCGTTTGGTGCTGACTGGGAGACGTGAGGGAGTAGGTTCGGTGACAACCTTCTCAGCACGAGAAGGCGATGGGGTACCTTTGGCCACCAAAGGTGGTTTCGCAGGTGCAGGCGTAGTTTGTGGACTACGTGCAGGCGATGCTTCTCTCCTGCGTTTGGGCGGGGCAGGCCCTGGTTCTTTGGGAGTAGTCGCGGATACTAATTGCGCAGGAGAACTGACGGGAGTAGGTTGCTGTTGTTTCGGTTTACGATGAATAGCATCGGGATCGGGAGTGGCCAAAACGAGAGGTTTGATGAGGGCTGCCAGAGAATAGCCCTCAGCCAAAGACTGAGCGACTTCAGGCGTGACCCAAGTCCCAGCAAAACGAGCCTTGCCGGACTTGTTTGCACCGGTTACCTCGTAAGTGGTCTTGACCCACAACGCTTCTGCCTTCTCGGCATCATCGGGTGCAGTGGGGAAGGCAGCGCGGAACATGGTCGTGAGGCTGATAGCGCCAGTGTCTAATCGACGCAGAATGAATGCATGACTTCCAGGCTATAGGTTGCAAGTGTGAAGTGTAAGTTGTTGAGCCAAGATCGAGCAGGTATAGATGATGTCTGGAGTGCATACCGTTTGGATTTTGATTCGGGCAACCTGTGCGAATGCTGAGTAAACGGTAAGAGCATAAGTGGGTAGTAGGACTCACGACAGTTGCATGTCCATCCCTAACGATCTCCTGGAACTTTACGGGGGGCGGTCTCTGTGGATCAACTGCAGAGAACGGTCAAGGTGAGGCAGGTTAGTGTCCGATCTCCTATTGAGCGGATAAAGGCATAGATACGGACTGAGTTTGATAAACGGATTTGTATGCTCGACTGGAAGCGGAGGGCGCGCGAGCAAAGAGCCCTTGGGCGCGACATAGGACTTGGATTGCTGCATGGGAGTAGCTAGGATGGAGGATTCACAGTGCTAGTTGATTCACAGGCCCGGATCGCGGACGCAAGACAACATCGCGCGCGTTGTTTGCCTCGCACAAACACCCTGGCCACGTTCACAGTCCGCCGGGGTCTGCCGAGCCCTCTCTCTCAGGCAACTCTTGTTCGACGCAGGTTCAACGCGAAATCATCACGGCATTGCACTGTCAATGGATGGCAGACAACATAGGTATATCCAGATAAATGTAGTAGTGGATAAAATGCAAAAGTGTAACGAAACGAACGAAAACATGTCGATTAGGAGGAGATAGTAACCAAAACTCAAACAGAAACAAGTCTCAAGAGAGCGTCCGTGGGTTGTCGATTGCAGTGCCAACAAAAGAGCATAAGCCAGTGCGGCCAAACATGAGTCATTAATGAGTGTCCAAATGTCAGGGCTGTCCGATGAAATGAATGAAAAACCAAAAAAAATCCAAAAGTCGAATTTTTTGTCTTGGTGGATGGATCGTGGAGGGCAAGGCAAAAAAAGCTCATCGAGCAGGGACACTCGGGCTTGCATTGGCCGCATTCCTAGGAGGTTCTCCCACTCCAGAATCGCCAGACCTGAATGCCGCAGGTGACCCCTGGCCGCCACCAGCAGCCACAGTGCTGTTTTGTGAAGAATATGGTCGTTGAGCCGAGCTACCTGTACCCGCACCCATCTCACTCGGTGTACCAAGCCCACCACCGAATCCTTGCGAAAACCTAGGATCGAACGAACCGCCAGTCATTTGAGGACCCATCCCCATGCCCATCGGGTTCATACCCTGTCCCATTCCCATACCACCCATAGGACTCATACCTGGCATCCCCATCCCTGCTGGATTCATCCCCATCGCAGGACTCATCAGGCTCATCATCGACATGCGAGGATCCATCATGCCAGCTCCCGTCATCATAGGATTCAGAGGAGTTTGATTCCCACCATCGGGGCCTGCTTGAGAACCAGCTACGGAGAACGCCATCATAGCTTGCTGGTACGCTTGCGCCGCTTGCTGAGCCGCAAACATATGTTGAGGGTTCATCATGCCAGGGTATCCTCCCCAGCCACCAGTCATCATAGGCATCATGGGGTTGCTCATCATGGGGTTACCCATCATCGGATTGTAGCCCATTTGAGGCATGCCGTACATGGAACCAGTTTGCTGCATCTGCTCGAGCTGCATACGCTGGTATTCGTCGAGCTTGCGCTGTCGGTCTTCTGCCAGACGTTTCTCACGCTCCCGCTCAGTCAAGGTAGCACCAAGCCCTCCGTCACGTTTGCGCTCGCGCTCATGAGCAGTGACAGCGCCCAGAAGACCAGTCTGTGGCGGCGGAGGCTTGTTGGGAACGTTGATAAGGGATGCGCCTGTCTCTCGTGCAAGTTCTTCCTGTCTCTTAGCCGATCGGTCCTGTTTGTCTTGAAGGCCCGCCGACAACAATCCATGAGGTGTGAATGCCTTGGTCATAGTAGCCTCTACCGGCTCTATGTTCACAAACGTATCGCGTCCATGGTTCTCCGGTTGAGGACGACCAGGTTCGAGAACCTGACTCCACATTGACTGGCGAGCAGCACCTGGCTGAGGGAATTCGGCTTGCGAACGAAGGTTGTTGTTCGGCTGTGGTGACGCGCCGCGCCGACTGCCATCGGGATACATTGACCGCCTGCCAGCGTCCGAATACTGGTCCGAGACGAAACGACGGGATTGAGGAGGTTGAGGTCCCAGAAGTTCATTGGAATATTCACCTGACAAACAACGAGGAGACATTGAGCAAAGTTCCGCACCATAAAAATACACGAAATACTCACCAGACATTCCAGGTACCTGAGGCAGGTCCCGAGGCCGTCTTGCTTGGGGAAAAGCACCTGCCGCTTCTGCAACAGATCCCCCAGGCGACACACCACGCACAGAGCCAGGATAACCAGGACGTCCAGCCATGCTAGCACTAGCACTAGGAGCATTTTGCTCTTGTCGACCACGTCTCGGAGGAGCTTCCTCGTCAGAATCTGCGTCCTCGTCATCCTCCTCCTCCTCTTCCTCTTCTTCCTCATCACTACTCTCCGCCCAAGCACCGCCCTCCTTCTTCACTTTCGCTTTCCCATTCACCCGACCTGGTTTAGTCACAGCAACTTGATGTGCAGCTTGCTGGGCCTGAGCCTTCGCTTTACGTTCTGCTGCGGACCTGGAGGGTGCGAATGATGATCGGTATTGATGGCTCTCCGTGCTTGGTTGCGGTGACCCGTCCCTAGGTGGTTCAACCACCTGGGGAAGAGGAGGAGATCCAGGTATTGGCCCCTTCTGCGACGTCGATGGTTGTTCCTCACGGTCCAAGAAAGTCAATGCTGCCAGAGCGTCAGCCGTGTCATCAAGTCCATGTTCCTCAGATTGTCGTCGTTCTGGTTCAGCAGCATAGGCAAGTCCCTCCGCACTCTCATCGTTATGCATGTCCCGTCCTCTATATTGCTCGTTGGGTTGCGCGTATGAAGAAGAAGGTTCTGCAGGAAGGGGCGGTTCGCGTCGAGACGAGGAAGCGGCTGCCATTTTATTGCCTGGGGCAGCACGTGCGCCAGAAGGTTTAGCGACAACATTGCTGTATCGGGAGGTAGCCGGGGTCCCCGCGGCGGCGGTTGCCTGGTCCGAAAGTGGGCCAGACACTGCTTGGTTCGCGGTCGCCGTGGATGAACGGTTCGAGCTCGCCTGCGATGCTTGATCGAAACCAGTGCGCATACCAGCTGCACGTCTCGGTGGAGAGTTCGCTGCTGCAGGCGGAGGAGGACTGGCCGGTTTCTGAACGCGGAGAGGCGAGACCGTGCTCTGCCGTGGAGGAGGCGTATAGGCTGATCCTGAATCAGTTGATTCCTCTTCCTCGTCTTCGTTTGCAATTGGAGGAGGTGGATGGCGAAATCTGGGTGGTCTTGCATTGTCTCCCTCGAGATGACGCATGTAATGTAAGGCAGCACCTGCATCACCTAGCATGTTATCTTCATCCTCCTCCTTCGTTTGTGGAACTGGAGCAGTAACTTTCTTGACGGGAGAAGGCGGGTTCATGCCCATAGGTGAAGGCAGCGGGAAAGTGTCTACAGAGTTATTGCGCGAAGATACCGGTCGAATACTAGGTGGGTGATCTGTCACATCGCGAAGTGTAGTTACACCCGATCCCTGTGCTGGAGAAGTAGCGCGACCGCTGAATGCTGATTGAGCAGGAGATGCAGTGTGCGGTGAACTCCTTCCAAACTGATTGGCAGCTTGAGAACCGGTGGGAGGAGGAGAATGTGGGCTAGATTGGGTATTTGAAATGGTCGTGAAACTTTGTCTCTCCCATTGGGGAGACGCGGCTCGTCTGACATTCGCAGCGAACGTTTGCAACTCTGCCTCCGGGGACATAGGTCGACTTGTGGCATTAGACTGGAGGTCCGTTTCTGTTGATTTAGCCGAATGTCCATTCGTAACCAGGCCTGGTGCGTTAGGAAGAGGAGGTGATTGCTGCTTCAGATGGCTGAGCTTTGAATCAGGCCGAGAGACGTTGTGCGAGCCTTCACTTGACTTCGTATTGAAAACCACATCAGAAGGACTAGCCGATGTCGCACTTGGACTCATTGTGATAATGCCCGCGTAGACGCTATGAGCAATATCACTCTCCTGAGATACGTCCGGGACAGGATGTGGTGGACTCAATGAGAGTGAAGGCCGGTTACTTGGGTGCTGTTCACCAGAATGCGACCGGCTAGCATCCTGCGCGACGCTACGTTCCGTGATTGGACTCAAAGCCCGAGGTGCAGAAGCTTCAACGGTAGGCGTCGCATGTTCGCGTTCGCGCTCGAAGTCAAGAGGAGGGAGATGCATGGACGCCTGCGCAGGCTGCTGAGACCCTGATGCCTGAGGTTGATCTGAATGGCCCAAATCGCTCACTACAGGGAGCGGTGGAAGTGATGGAGGCTCGTCCTTCGGTACCGGCGGCGGAGCCCTGTCGCTTGCAGGTCCGCGCATTCGGTCCCAGAGAATCCGACGCAAGGAAACCCGAACAGTTGAAGTTCGGTCATCGCGAATTTCCAGTCCCTCTGCGAACTCACGGTCCAGAAATAAAAGCTGTATTGCGTTCAGCACACAGAATGACAGAAAATTATGATATCTTACCTCCTTGTGGGGCCCAATGGGATATGCGAACATCATTGATTGTGGATCTCGAGGATCCCAGCTATAAATGCGCGGACGCCCATACAGCTCGAATGCATCATGAATGCCTTGAGACAACTGTGAGACATGATCTCAAGCGTAACGTGCATAATAAACGTACCAATGAGCCACTTGAGCATCTCTGAAGCCCTTGAATTACCGCCTTCAAACTCTGGCATAATCAACAGCCATCCCTCTTTATTCTTCATCATTCCAGCCATTTCTTCATCCCCAAGCTGACCCTCAAGCTTCATCAGCGTGCTGCGACTTATCAACTCGGGTCGCTCAGGATAGACTGCAAACGCCTGATTAACTTCACGGAAACTGAGTAGCGCCTTCTTCCTATCTTTGTGCTTAGGCGACGCGAAAAGCTGTAGGATAGGTTTGGCCGGTGCAACAGGACGCGGAGGACTTTTTTCACGGGAGAAGAGGTTAGACATGCGCTTCTTCCTGGGCGGCGCATTGGGGGACCCGGGTCTAACATCAGTCGAAGACACCGAAGCACCGTCCTGGTGTGCCCCTCCAGCTGTGACGACCATCCATAATCGCTTCCAATCTGTCTGGCCAGCTAAACGAATGCGAACCCAACCTTCCATTCGGCCTCGAACAAGAGGCGAAGGCGCGTCACGACCGTCATTCAGAGTGATTCGAAGAAGATGAGCTGTGTACATCTCCTCCAGCCTGGACTTCTCCCAAGCTGAGAGTCTAAGTGCGGCAACCCAGGAGATAAGTGCTTGAGTAGTCGGGCAGGAGAACAGCAACATGTTCAGTCCTGCGGTATTCAGGGTGAAGACGTTCATGTATTTTTGCGGCGGTGAGTTTCCCATTGCAGGGATGCTAATCGCACCGACCACTTGAACGAACTGGCCAAGGCGGAAGTTCAGGAAATACTCTGATTAACATATGCAAGCATACTCACCGCATCGGTGACATTGATGTAACTCGGGGGTACCTGTCTACCCTGCTTGCTAGCTTCTTCAATCTCTTTCATGTCCCACAGACTAAGTGTCGTGCCACCCAGCTGAGCCCATACGTCCCGCCAGCCTTCGTCCTTTGCTGGTTTTTGTCCATCCGGTTGTCGTTCCAGTTTGCGCACCATAGGCCCTGAGAAGTAGATCTTCTGTCCATGAGCCAAAGTAAGGTTGACTATTGACTTAATCTCGGGATGTAGGGGTGGTAGAGGTTCAGGTTGTCGAGTTGTAGATGTGCGATTTGGAGCTGAGGCACCCTGTTCCCCAGTAGTCTGGGGTACATCACCAGAGGTCGACAGTTCTAAGGGTTTATCAGGACTACGTCGTTTCAGAACGTTAGACTGCTTTGATGCGTCATTCGGCGCATTCTGTTGTTGATTAGGTGGTATCGGTGGTTGTGGGGTGTCCTGTTGGGAGTGTTTGTGCTTAAAAAGTGAAAATGACGATGTAGTACGAGTATGAGTAGGAGCTGGCGGTGCAGCTGGCGTCGAGGGACCGGCAGAACTCTGAGCACCCATCGGTAGTTGAGGATGCGGGTCCTGGTGTGGTGGTGGTGATTGGAGGTCAGAAGGGAAGTCGTGAGTACTTGCACGCTGTTGCTGTTTCCATTGTTGGAGTTGCGCAGGTGAAATGAAACCTTGGTTGCGGCTATCCCATCTAGGACTTGAACTGGGCGATATCGAGGCCATTGGAGAGGAAAATCAACACAGGACGGGTACAAAAAGCATTCAATAATGATGGGTAACGCCAAGGAAGAGCTAGAGAGCAGTGCAGGACGCGTGCCGTCCATAATGATATCATCTACAGTGCTCTCGGCTTCGCTGTTTCTCTTCTCCCGTACATAGCTCACACATTCGAACATCTTCCGGGAGGGTTGTGGAAAGGCAGAGGACCCGGACTGTGGCTAACGTCGACCATCAGACACCCTGTCAAGGACGGGACGTGAAACATCCCAGGAATACATTCGAAGCGCAGAACTAGTGTCATCATCATACATTCGAGCAGGTGCTTGCAACTCTACTACTTTACAATCTTGACTGGGTAACATCTGCAACCTTGACAACCCTTCAAGAAAGTTAGCTTTGCGTATTCATGACAAAGGAGTATCCTTACAATTTGCCAGTGTTTCCGCCGACGAAGAGCAGCTTTAGGGCTTCTGAGGCATTATCCAACCCTTCAACCAGGTGGGTCTTACGTTTGATTTTGCCTTCTGCAAGCCATTGTGAAAGTTCTTTGAGAGCTGACGGATACTGCGCGGCATAGTCAAACCTGCAAAAGCTATCCTCAGAAACTTTGCAATAGGCCAGTGAATAAGTCAAGCACGTACACAATGAAACCTTCCAGTTTTGCGCTTTGTGCGATCAAGTTCATGTAGTTCGTGAGGCCCTTAGGTAGCGCATCTATAGAAACTCAGCATCAAGATCTCAGAAATCTCGCTGGCAATACTCACTATAATCCGCGATCGCTCCACAGAAAACGATCCTAGTGTGTTTCTTCATCCGCGTCAGAGCCAAATCCAGGATCGAGCCACCAACGTTATCAAAGTAGACGTCAAAGTACCCAACAGCTTTCTTGAAGTCATCTCGGAACGTGGGACTCTTGTAGTTCAAAGCCTTGTCGACTCCAAGCTCGTTCTTCAGCCATTCGCACTTGTCCGGGGAACCAGCAAGGGCAACGACCTTCGCGCCGACTAACTTGCCTAGTTGACAGACGATGGAGCCAGTCGCGCCAGCAGCCGCTGAGACTACTAGAGTCTCACCTGCTTTAATTTGGCCCACATGGAAGAGACCCTAGTATCAGCCAGTTTCAGTACTGAGTAGTACCACGTAGTTCGGGTTATGACATACAAAGTACGCAGTGAGGCCTATAAATGCATGAGCGACGTTGCTTAAGGATAAGTGGGAAACTTGGCACACACCATTTATTCCAAGTACACCCAAGAAGTCAATAAGCTCAGCACCTGGGGGAATGCTGAAGCACGAATCTCAGTCACCTCGCAAAGTAATAGGTATCATGGGAGAAATGCAACCTACACGATCTTCTGAAGACCCTTCGCGGGTACTACCATCCACTCCGACCAGCCTATCAGCGTTTCAACACAAGCGGACCACTGCAGTATCTTGAACTTATATTCATGCACATACCAAGCATTCCACTAACAAGATCCCCCGGTACAAACTTGACACCCTCTCCCACCTGCACAACCTTGGCAAGCGCACCCGCCTTCATAGTCTCACCAATCTTCACAGGTTCGAGATAACTCCTCTTATCATCCAACCACCCCCGATTGGCAGGGTCAAGCGAGACATAGAGAACCTGTACAAGCACTTCGCCCTTGCCAGGCTTCAAGTCAAGTGGGAGCACCTCTTTGCGAAAGGTGTTGGCTTTGATAGGACCTGTTCCCGGTCTCTCATTCAGAACATAGCGTGTATACTGAGAAGGAGCCATAGTGAGTTCTGGTATGAGATTTGTGGGAGGAAAAACGTCAGGAGCTGGAATAAGTACTCACGACGTACTCACGTCGGTGACCTGTATATGCCGATTGGTTCAAGCAACATTTGATCTAGTCCGGAGAGAAACAAGCCGGCACTTGTTACCAAGCAGTGAGTGGAGTCTACATAGGAGGATCACGTTGGTGTGCAAGGAAAGAAAGAACGTTGAGCTGACTGAGAAGGTTCGGCCATGTAATTTCAAAGCGAAGGTCATATGTGAGGTATACCCGAGCTATGCAAAATATGGCCAAGTCGCGTACTGCTTAATTACTCAGACGCGTTCTGAGTTGAATAACTTATTGAACATTGCATGCAGCCTGACAGTCGGATATATAACGCGTCTTGCGGGTCGTGTTGAACACGTTATGTGCACATGGAAGGGTAAACCGAAATTCAGAAATGTGATTGAACCGTAGCCTATTAGTACTAGGATACATCCTTCAAGGCTTTGAATCATCTAACTACATCAAGACCGGCTCGCTACGCACCGACCATTGCAATCGCCAAGAACAACGGCCGATATCCTGCAGCCGCGCTTCCAAGAAACAACGGTACGATGCCTATGTACAAGACATCCAACCAGGGAGTACAAAAACTTAACTTATCAATAACAACCGGTGCCGCCCAGATGAGTACAAGGGATAGAATGTATTGTGTAAGATGTCGAAAGGGTATACGCGGTGACATGACCGCAGGTTAGGAAGTGAGTAGGGTTTCTCAGAGGGCGAAGGAAACGACGACTGCAACGATGGCACTAAAGGCCAAAGCGGGAGCACTGAACTTGTGGAAAGCAGCAGCTCCGGAGCCGAGGGGGTCGAGACCAGCGTTGGCTGCTCCGACGGGGACAGCAGCGTCGGAAGTGCTAGTGGGAGCAGCAGAAGAAGCGACACGACTTATGGACCCGGGGGGTACAACCAAACTGCAGAAGATGTCAACGAATATACATCCCAAGAGGTTAGATATATCTTACGTGGTGGCGGGGGTCGCGATGTCCGCGACGGAGGAAGAACCACTGGCAGAAGCAGCGGACGAAGAGGAAGCGTTCACAGCGGCATTCAGGGCCTCTGGCAAGCAGGCAGAGTTGTCGCTACCCTTGACCGTCACCTATGCCCGGAATCAGAATAGGTTCGTTTCAAAGCAAGGGATGGAAATGCGTACAGCACCACTCCAGGCCTCCGCGCCATTAGCATCCACAAGGGAGAACATAGCCTGAGTACCGGCGGGGAGGTCGACGGTCCAGGTGATGGATTGGCCCTTGTGGTCATCTCCAAGGTCAGCACTGGAAAATTTATTGTCAGCTTTGGCCTTCAGAGCGTTGCAAGAGGCGTAGTCACGTACAGGACCTGGTTGCACGGATCTTCCGTGGGGGTAACGATGAGGTCGAACGGTGCAGCACCCTCCTTCCAAGTGACATGGACAGGTTGGCACTATGGTACAGTAAACATAAGCACTAAAACACGTCGTTCGATGGCTGAAAGCACATACCTGAACGAGTTCAGTAGGGGTATCGATGGTCAGTTCCGCCGAAGCGGCGAGGGCAAGGCTCGAAAAGATCGCGAGGGAAACGAGTGTGGAGTACATTTCGTTAGGATGTGGGGGGGATTTTGCGGCAAGGGAAGGGAGCGTTATAGCTCAGGCCAGAGGGCGGCAGTAGACAACGAGGAGGGAGGAGGAGAGAGGCAACGGAATTTCTGCCGGTCCAAGCAAAATAACGAATGCTGAGATCAAATTACCATTGTGATATCTCCAAATAAGGAATATAATGCCAAGTATTTCAAACTCAGATGGCGATTGTCACCGTGCGGGAATTGATCCCCGGTTGCAGGACGCCTGATATTCCATTCTCCCTTTGGCGTCGAAGGTATGTGGCAACATGAAACAATGGCATTGACTCCAGGAAATGCACAAAAGAAGGGGCACGGAGCCGTACAACGATATCGAAAGGTATAAAGAAACCCCAGGAGAGACAACGGTCATAGTTTAGCTTTACCGTCGAAACTCGCCAACATCGTTCTCTTGGTGATGCTGTCAACATTTCAATGTCGGAGTCAGTATGTGGGAATAGGGGAAAACATCATCAGCCCCACAACGTGGGTACCGTACTTACCCTCCGTGTTCGACGATGGACGGGGTCTGTTTCAAGCCCTCGACCGCAACGCGGTCCTCGGCCGGGACGTAGTCTCGTTTTGTTTCCCCCACATAGACCTGAATATCCCAGCGTCAGCATGCACAAACACCGATACCCCTTCATCCCCCACCCAGAGGGGCACGTTATGGGGCACACATGAACACGAGATGATGATCAATGACATACCTGACGGGGTCGCCAGATCTTGACGCCTCCTTCCTGCAACATCATTTGTCTCCAATGTGCGAGCCAACCAACGACTCGGGGAACAACGAAGAGTACAGGGAAGAAGTCCAACGGAAAGCCTAATTACGCGAGACGCGGAAAGAAACCAGTCAGCGCTCCGTCAATGAGGTCCTTGCATGATGCAACGTTTCTTCTCACCCATTGCACGGTAAATGAGACCACTGAAGACGTGCTTTGTCAGTTTGCGCTCATACGAGGGAACATGCGCTATAGTCTAAAGCGCGTTGCTTACCTCCTGTCGTTGTTAGAACGTAAGTCAGTACAACTCAATGGGTAAAACGTGTGATCTGACGAACCAGAAATCCACGTTGGGGGCGAGCTTACGCTTGATGAAGTATTCATCCTTCATAGCGGCATCATGCAAGGCCATAGCGGTCTCTAGCAATTCATCCTTGCCAGTCCTATTTCATTCAGACGCCATTAGTCTCAGTCAGCAATGACTCAATGACAGAGGCGCATGTAACGGACACTTTAAAGACCTCATCGGCAGTTTTACGGACAATGAACGATCTTGGATCAGACTGCAGACCTTACATTAGTGATGTAACAGCGAATGAGAGCGCTAGCTTACAGTCTTATATACCCTGCAAGACATTACAATGAGTCAGAGGATATAAAACGAGAATATGAACACCCTCACCGATGTCCGAAGCCAGAAAGGGTCTTTTCTCTCCGCTTAACTGCTTCAATGAACGCAGGGACATTCTCTGGTCTGAAACATGCGTTTGAACACCTGTATGATGAAATACCATGCATCACCACTTACTTTCCAATGGATAAGAGCATTCGGATGACAGCTTCGTTGGCACCACCATGAAGCGGTCCGCTGAGGGTCGACGCCGTCCGTAAATGACAGCACGGCGTGTTGAAAGAAGAGAAAACATACTATAATGACGCACAACCAGCACTATGCCAAGAGGTTAATATTCTCGTAAGAGGATATAAAGACTCAAAACCCACGCTATAGCCGAATACGGGTCCACAAGTGAGCTTCCGGTTTGCAGGACTGTCGTACATGAAGCATTCAGCTCATGATCAGCATGAATGAGGAACAGAACATCCAGAGCCTTCTCCAGCACAGGGTTTGGTACATAGTTCTGCTCGCTCAGGTGGTCCATCTGGTATAGAAAACTACGACAATGCATGGTCATTCAACCTGACGGAACATGAGTTGTGAAATGAACCCACGAGCCAGTGTAGCTGAGTCCGACAGGAGGGGTCACGAAGTCTCGGCCTTGCCGAACACGATATGCCATCCTACATACCATGCTAGGTCAACCCAAAGTCGCTAAGGCAACTAAATTGAAAATGACCTACGCTGCTAGCGTTGTTGCTTTACCAATAATGCGGTATATTTGCCTATCCATAGTGGCGAGTGACTCCTTATTGCCTTGCGTATACAACCGCTGACCTGTAACGCGGGAATCGAGCAGTCAGAGTTTCACATAACAGTGGGAAAACTCAAAACGATAATACCCTGTAACGAAGGATTCGCTTCACCGTAGTACGAACCCAGCATCGCAAATGCACTAGTCAACATACTCATGGGATGTGCGTCGTAGCTCCATATGACAGAGTCAGCGGTGCGGTTCGAGCTTCAAAGACAGATATGAAGGGGCTAACCGGAAAGAACGGAAGAAGCCCTCAGCGTCAGAGTGCATGATACCATGTCGAAGCACTTCCGATTCGAAATGCTTGTGCTGGTCTTTCGTGGGTAAAGAGCCGTAAATAAGCAAGTACGCGCTCTCGAGATGCGATGACTTCTCAGCGAGTTGCTCGATTGGGTACCCTCTGTTACACAAGGGGTCGTAAAGCAAGAGTGCCGGCGCTGCAATTTCGAATGCACTAACCGATAACGCAAAACTGCACACAAGTTAGATACCTCGCTTCAGAATGCATTATTTAACACTGTAATGTGACCATACCTCCAGCATCTCCGTCAATGAACGTGATTTGACTCCGAAGAACAGCAGTATTCAAGAAGCCTTTGTCTTGCACGCGAAGTCCCTTCTCAGTTTCATTCTCGGCCCGTTCTCTTGGTTTCCGGGGAGCTTTGATATCCTTGAAAGCGGTCGCAGGAATCGCATTATCCTCAATCCTAAGCCGAACCGAAAATTGCATTAGCATTCTTTAATTCTAAATATGTTGTATTAAGTAGTGTCAAGCTCAATACACACGGAATAGTGTAGGTCTTTCCAGTCCGATTGTCACGAACAGTCAAGGATTCCTGGGAATTAGACTGTGTCGGTTGTCCCATGGTTCAGAAAGACAGTGAGGGGAAGAAAGAAAGACGTACGACACAGACCACTGGATCCGAGCTCTGCCTCTCCGGCTGGATCCCCAACGCGAACCCCACTTGACAGTGATCGGGGTTGTAAGCGCTCATACATCTATGCTGTGACATGCCGGCGGGTGAATCACATGTAGGATGCTTGGGGAATGAAAGGAAACGCGTTCTATCTTAAACATTTTATTCATTTGTGAAGTTGAAGCATGAGGTAAGTAAGTCGTGAAATACTCAAGTAACTGAGATAAAGGATTCAAAAGGAATATAAGATTCAAAGATCCCAAGAACGATACGGCTACAGCGACTACTGTATGATAATCATCCAAGCCAGAACAAAGTAGAAGAGACTGTCCCAGGAATCTGGTCAACATTTATTCCAACCATGCAATGGGGCACTTACAACAGAGGGTATACTGCAAGTAATATGCGTTGTTGCTCGATCTTCGTACCATCAAGGAAGTTCACAGAGGCTGGGACAAAGGCATCAGTACTTCAGCTGCAAGATTCTCTCCCAGGTACTTACCCCAGACGCACCAAGCCCAGGCTGCCAAAGCTACCGGTGCTCTCACGTAGATCAAATGCACAAAGGTTGAGACTAAAGCTGCAATATTTAGTGGCGCGACACAGTATCCTAGAACACAGAGGCCTTGGAAGAACGACCTGATTTGATGAGAAAATTAGTACCAGCAAGACGCTACGAAATATGTCTGGAAGGCATACACTCGTCCACCAAGAAGCTAGAGCATAGAAGATGGAAGATCAGCGGCACATTCTGGTAATAAAAAGTATGGCCTTGCCTTCGCCTGAACAGTGACAACCAGTGACCCTAGCGAGATGATGACAACCACACTAGTGAACACACCAAGCGACTGAGAAGGAGGTGCCTGAAAACCAGGTAAGCTTGGTATTTCAACTAATCTCCAAGGCGGTTTAACCTACATTGATGCTAAGGAGGATTCCCAATAGCAGACAAAGCACAAGTGGACCCCAGAGATCCCAATCTCTAGAGTATTCAAGGTGAGTCCAACCAAAGTTAAGTTCATGGCTCTCACGTACCGAAGAAGTTCTCGACTGCTTCCTGAGCGAGGAGGATATAGCACTTGTACCAGTTTCGTGTAGATTGAGAGGAGGTCGCGAGCCTGATAACAATATGAGATACTGAGCGGTCATACACTGCCGCACATACAATGGTTGTAGTGATTGGTTCGTCTAGGGTATCAACACCTGTATACCTATGGATAACGGTCGGAATGCACCACGACAGACCACATTGACATGACCTACCTCGTCTCAACCTGTACCCCACCTACTGTTCTTCTTGATGACGGCGGCACGCCATTTGGACCACTACCAATATTTCCTGATACTGGTGTACGAGGGTAATCGGAACCGGAAGGGGTAGCAAGCTGTTCTGCGGCGCGCCCTTTGCCTTTGTCTGCCGCAGTAGCAGACAATGGTGTCGTCTGCATTGAAGGGTGCGAGAAACCAGGGATAGCCTCTTCGTCAAAATCCTCCTCGTCATCTACCAGTAGGTCAATACATTGGCTTAAGCGTGAGGTTGGTACGAACCTGCTTGAATGAACTGAGAGGTAGATGTCAGTGGCGTTGTCATACTATCCTCTGGATGCTGCATGTTGAACTTTGTGTCAGGGCGTTCAAATCAAGGTGAAGAAACTAAAGAATTAGTAGAATGAGGTTCCAAGGTGCATCGAGTTACAGCAAGCCGTTCACGCAGTTCTTGTGGGCGCTCTAACTGCCACGTGGGGAACGTGGAAGAGAATAGACGCCCACTGACGCGTCGCGCTTAGACTAGCGAAAGGCATAGGCTGAACTCGTCCTCTGCATCTTACGTCCTCCTCACGTCCTCCACCTCGTTCTAGCCACACCCGCAACTAAATCATTCTCGCATAGCTATGGTATGTAGAATATAAAGCCCGGCTTTAGATTGAACTGTTGCTAACGTAATGTCGCAGGGTAACGCACCGTCCGGACTTCCTGGTGGCCCACCGGGAGCCAACCCACCTCAGCAGAACCAGAAGAAAGACGAGCAACAACAACAGAAGAAGAAATGGGAGCCCCCTCTACCCACTCGTGTTGGAAAGAAGAAGAAAAAGGGTCCGGCTTCCGCCTCTAAGCTTCCCCAGGTCTTCCCAACGACTCGTTGCAGACTGAAACTACTCAAGATGGACCGTATCAAGGATTTTCTGCTTTTGGAGGAAGAGTTCATCCAGAACCAGGAGCGTCTGAAACCGGAGACTAGAGAGGACAAGAATGAGGAGGACAGGACAAAGGTGGATGATTTGCGAGGCAGCCCAATGGCGGTTGGTACTCTGGAGGAAATCATTGACGATGATCATGCTATCATCTCGTCTGCTTCTGGTCCGGAGTACTATGTGTCCATCATGAGCTTCGTCGACAAGGACCTACTGGAACCAGGCTGCTCCGTACTGTTGCACCACAAGAACCAGTCTATTGTCGGTGTTTTGCAAGACGACACAGATCCCATGGTCAGCGTCATGAAGCTCGACAAGGCACCAACGGAGAGTTACGCGGATATTGGTGGTCTTGATCAACAAATTCAAGAGATCAAGGTAACTACCGTTATCGTTCAGTGTTTTGTTTTGTTTTCTGACAAGTGTGACGTACTTTATAGGAATCTGTCGAGCTACCTCTTACACACCCAGAACTCTACGAGGAAATGGGTATCAAGCCACCAAAGGGTGTCATTCTTTATGGTGTACCGGGTACTGGCAAAACCCTTCTCGCCAAAGCCGTCGCCAACCAAACGTCAGCTACCTTCCTTCGAATTGTCGGTTCCGAGCTTATTCAGAAGTACCTCGGAGATGGTCCTAAACTAGTAAGGAACGTCTTCCGCGTGGCTGAGGAGCATGCACCCAGTATTGTCTTCATTGATGAGATCGACGCTATCGGTACCAAGCGGTGAGTCGCATATATGCTCCCTTTGACAGTCTGGGATTACTCATAAATGTGAAAACCTACAGATACGAGTCAACATCGGGTGGTGAACGAGAAATCCAACGTACGATGTTGGAGCTGCTCAATCAACTAGACGGTTTCGATACACGAGGGGACGTCAAGGTCATTATGGCGACGAACAGGATTGAGACACTTGACCCCGCTTTGATTCGACCGGGTCGTATTGACCGTAAGATCGAGTTCCCATTGCCAGACGTTAAGACCAAGCGACACATCTTCAAGTGAGTCCATAACATCAGTTTCATGGTCTATCCCATTTACTTACGCATTTCCAAACTTAGGCTTCACACTTCACGTATGAGTCTCTCAGAAGACGTTGACCTTGAAGAGTTTGTCACTACCAAGGACGATCTTTCCGGCGCCGATATCAAGGCTATCTGTACAGAGGCCGGTCTGCTTGCGCTTCGAGAACGGAGGATGCGTGTGACGAAGGCGGACTTCACGGCGGCAAGAGAGAAGGTTCGTTCAATCCAACTTCATGAGATTGTTAGGTGCTAACTGAGTTTTCGTTCTATAGGTGCTGTACCGGAAGAATGAGGGCACACCTGAGGGTTTGTACCTATAGTTTAGATCTTTATCAACTGGTTTCGAGTGGTTGTTTCTAGCTTTCTACTTGTTTATCGTATGTCTGCACGCTCTGTGTAATCCATGCATCTTCGATTACTGGAATATTTTGAGAAAGCATCGATTTACACTGGCAATCGAAAATAGCCTGTGTAGGGGGGTTTAGATGAATTGATAGGATGTACTTACTCAGAGGAAGGATGAAGGGGATCTCACTGTCTTATCAGCTGTATTTAATCAGATCAACCCGACGTCACCAAAGTCTCGGCTGTTTTTAGTCTCGTACCGCGATCAATACACTAGTACTACAATGACTCTCAGAGTAGGCTATGGTTTGTTTCATCGTATTGACTATTGATTGTGATGAAAGCGGTCTAACGTGCTTGAGTTTGTAGTCCGAGAGCACTTTTCGTCCCCTCTTCTGCAATACGCGGAAGCAGACGGCGGGCAGACATTCACGCTGGTAGAATGTCCAAGTGAGTCTGTCTAAGTCTGACTTTCCACATCGTTCTTGGCCTGACTATGCGAAGGTGGTACTGGACAACTCATCTCACGACTGACTAACGATGAGGTTGATGTCGCGATGTAAGCCTTTTTGACTTGAGTACCAAAGTCCGAATTACACTGATCTACGACGTTGGCCCAGTGCTTTGACTGATCCTCTCATTTCCGGGATTGCAAAAGGATCCGAAGCGTATAAACTCGTTGGCAGCTATGTCACGACACCATTGAATTGGTATGTACTCGTATTGGTGGATCGCTAGTTGACATCATAAAGTCTCAAACGAGACCTGTATAGGGCCGTGATCACAGGAAAGGATTCAAAGTATCAATCGATACCGGACCTCAAGGATACGACATTGGGCATCTCGCGCCATGGTAGGTGAGTATAACTCCATCTGTGTACGAAGGTGACGAGACTCAGTCTGCGATGGAAGGATAGCGGAAGCCAGACCATGGCTTTTGTGATGGCTCTCCAGCAAGGTTGGTCTACGGAGGACCTCAAATTCCAGGGTGCGTGACTAGAATCCCGCAACGTGTTTACATGGAGCTGAATGGATATTAGTCAATAACGACATCCGAGGCTTGATCGACTCTGTCAATGACGGCTCTACCAGTGCCTTCATGTGGGAATGGTTCACAACGAAACCGTTCGTAGATGCCGGAGAAGTTCGGTTTGTGAGTATATAGTTTTCGTTGGGACGATATTTGGAATGTGAGCTCACCAAAAGTTTCTCAAGATCGGTTCGGTACCGACACCTTGGCCATCTTGGTTGATTGCTGCACACCCCACTCGTGCTCGGGCCGACGTTCTGTCTACCTTCTTGAACACGTTGTCTACATACGTCCGCACATTCGACTCCGAAGAGAAGAGAGCCAAGGATGATGTTGAGTTCATCAAGGCCAAGTTCGGATACTCGGAAGAAGATATCAAGGTATATCTCTTCCTCTCAAAGACGGTAGTGAACATGACGTTTTATAACTCGTCTGCAGGCCTGGTTGAAGACCGTTGCATATCCAAATGACTGTGCATCGATCCCGGCTACCGTCATCAGCGACACCTTAGGGTAATGTTCATTCCGTTCTGTAAGTTTAAGTTGATGACCTGACTTCGTAATCTCAGGGTGCTTGAGAAAGCTGGTTTCATTAAGAGCCCTGAAGGCGGTTTCGACATCGCGCAATTTGTGAATAAAGACGTCGTGTCGCTCACTTGACACCGTTAACCGTTCGAGAAAAGACTGAACAAGATAACATAGATAGAGATGGAACGTCTGTTGTACAACATAAGTGAAAGAAACTAACATGCTAATAAGGTCCAAGGCCACCTCAGCTCTTGGCAGCCATCTTTCGCGTGAGACTCCTGAGTCTGTCTGCATTCTTCTTCCGCCTCTCAATATCGACATCCACGGCCGTGCTTCTCGCGAAACCGGCATTCGCCCTGGGCGCAACCGTGTAGCTTCCCAGCTCCCTCTGAGGGATCATAACAGCGTTCTTGCGAGTACGATTCTTGTCCTCTTCTCGTGCCCTGGCAAGAATAGCGTTGAGCCTCTCACCGCCTCGGCCCTCTTCGGCCATTTCCGCTAAAGGAATGACACGGTCCCTGTAGGATGCGCTACGTTTGATGATAGGTCGCGACCAGGCTGAGACCAAGGCATTCGCGGCACGCGCAATGTCGGGGGTGACACGTTTGCATTTGGTGTAGAAGACAACGACACGGCCGAGTTTAGATTCTTTGAGCACGTTCGTGTCGATGAATTCCATCTTCTTCAAGATGGGGAAGAACTCCTTTTGGATGTCAAGCGCAGGAAGGGATCGGTCTGGTAAAGGTTCCAACCATTTCCCAACAGCTTCCAGTAGATTGTTATCAATGATAGACTGAGCCAACGCTGTCCTAAATAACCAATCCAGATGAGTGCCTGAAAGGAAATGTGATGAGGTGATACATACTTTCGCAATACCTCCATCACCTGAGGCAAAAGCCTTAATTTAGCTGTGGCTGGAAGCTTCTCACGATTGGCCTGTTCGTCGTCGACAACGGCAGAAAGCATTGCTTCGCGAAGACGAGACACCTCCTCATCTGCCGCTCGATCCAAAACGTCCTCGTCAGCGTCCTTCTTCTTCCGCTTCGGCCGCGAGGTCTTCTTTGGTTTTAGGATAGCCTCAAGTCGCATATCCAACTTGAGCTTATTAGCTGAATATCATATACAACATATGTTTAGTCATCACATTTTGCACGAATTTGAAGGGCCTAGGTACCTTGCTCGGGAGGAAGTTGACTCAAATCAATCTCCTCCAACTGCTTTCGCTTCCTCTTCTTTGTACCCTGTCTTCTCTCTCCATCACCACCAGACCTTTTGGATACTCTACGTTTGGGCTGAGGAGCTCGTTGTTGGACGTATTCATCCCCCGAGTCGCTCGACGATTCAAATGCGTCACCGACAGGTGAGCGAGACGTTCGCTGACGGACAACGGGGCCCTCTAAGAAGAATGAATACCAAACTATGGCTCATACGGGGAGTAACTCACCGTCAAGGTCAGAAAGGTCCGAATCGGAACCGAAGACCTCTCGTTCTAGGTCGTTTTGCTGGAGAGATGTCAGATGAGAACATAACATAGGAATAAATGCGTACGTACATCCATTCTACTTGTACAATCGAGAGGTAGTGTTGGAAAGAGTGCAAGGTTGGAGGTGCAGTCGAAGGTGCAACGGACACGCGCTTTGTCAATGCGATCTCCCAAATAAGGACATCACGCCGTGACACGTTGTTGATCGATCGTCCTGAAATGGAAAGTTATCATTCTTAGACAACGTTCAAGCTTTGAGCAGCAAAACCTTGGCGGGAACGAGAGCATCATTTGCAACTACTACGATTCATATGCACGGAAAGACAGATGGGTATGTTACACTGAGGATAAATGCATGGTTGTCTCTCAATGGAGTGAATAAATGAAGGATGAATAACTTAAAAACGTGGAAGTGATTCGGATGGAGAGGGATTTCTGGCGAGCCCGCCAAGGTATCATGATTGAAGCATAAAATAAAAGAGAAGTGATCCATCTAGAGAAAATGACAAAAGTTGTTTCAGCCTTTGCTGTCTCATGTATCCTGATCTAAACTTACCAGTAAATCTCCCCGCCAGTTACGATCTATCTTCAATCTGAAGACAAACAGAATGTGCACATGCGGCATTTAGCTTCGCTCCTTCCCTCAGCACCAGATCGCCGTCCGGCCTAATGGCGAGCCAATTAGCAATAAGTATATCTCCTTGTGGCATGATATTTTCGTCCTGAGGATACACAATGGTGCCTTGAAGAGGTGCGGCGGTGCTCATGACGAAGAGGGTGGCCAAGAAGAGAGCGCAGAAATGCATTGAGGAATGGAAAACTCCAGCGAAGGGAAAGAAAAAACTGAAATAAAGGAATGCTGCAAATCCCTGAGAGAAGACCACGTCAGCACACCACAGAAATGCAAAGCCATAATCCTTCGGACGTACCTCGCCGTAAATCAAGTACAAGAAGAGATGACCGCAGACTGCTTACAAGCAGAGAGGCAAGTCTGACGAAAGAATGAAGGAACATACCTGACAAGTGCCTTGCATTATATATACATCTATCCTGATATCGCTGATTATGCCTATCCGATGTGTGGGGAGACATCTGTTCCCATGAACGGGTGACAGGCCGTCGAGTGTCTGTAGACTGCTACTACTATGGTAGGTAGATGATGGTGATGACAACGGGCGGTAATTGTGTAGGAAGGTTGCCGCGATTCGGTAGTTATGAAATGTTGAAGACAGCACTATACCACAAAGACAAGGATAACGCTCAGAGTATCATGTTCGGAGGGTCATGCCGACGACATCACGACGCTGACCTGCTTCGTGTGTTTCCCACAGACGTCCACTATTGACAGAATCGCCAAGTCAGTATCACGGTTCTTGCACTATGGGCGTCCGGACCAAGAGCTTGGTCGAAATGACCGTGCTTCAGCTGTAATGCACATAGTATACCTGGAGAGCATAAAGTTAGCACTACACAGGGAATGTGGCGCTATTCCAACAAGTACAGTAGGTCGGTATGTTATTAGGAATGAATGAAAATCATATTACTCTGCACCGCCGGCGAGGCAATCCTCGATGACAGATTGCTGTTTGTTCGCGGGGTGCACGTTCGAAATCCGAACTTTGCGGATTGCGACGAATCCCACGCCAGGCCCTCGCGTAGGCCACAAGGAGGTCCAATAGTTGCACGAACAGCTCTAGTCACGGTGATCCATACGAGAACTATAATCAATGTAGCTCTGGTGAACTGGAGTTGGTTGTGCAGACTGTTCGAACCCACCTTGATTAAGGGCCTAAGCGCTATCTCCATTCATCCGAGCGAGAATGTCAGCTTGCGAGGAATCCATGGATGTCTTTGTCCGAGACTGCACGGCAAGATTGGTTCTTATGAAGACTTTCACGAAGGTGATTTACGTGGAAGTTATTCGCAAAAAGGTTATTCGCGCTCCTTCTTTTGATGGGTGTCACCATTATTCTCCACTTCCAATCGATTACTACGAAGCGAAATACGTCACCGAGAACTTGCGGGCAACTTGTGTATCACAGTTGGTACTTAGAGGATGGCCGTATCATTAATTGAGCTCCTTACTTTCAGGCGTAGGTATCGCCGTCGCCTGCATTGCATTGAGAGGGTCATCGCGGAGTGTGCCAGAAGTTATCATCTGGCAAGAACATTTATTGACGAACTCAGGGCAGGCGATAGACGCTGCATGTATCTGAAGCGCCCTGATCGAAAGACGTAACCGGAGGACCGGTTCCTCCTCAAATACAGTACCTTTTCTACCTTTACCCCCATGTTCTTGTACCACCCGCTGTTCTAGTCTGTCTTTCCCGGCCGTCAGCTCTGGCCGACACTTGTACCATGTCCACAGCTGTACTGCCTCCGATGGCTGCGCTGGGCGGTCCCGATGCTCACTTGGCTGCTTCAGCTTGTGCACCGAATCCCCCGAAACGAATAACACCATCCGCGACCAGGACGGGTTCAAAAACAAGAGACAGACCTCTTCCACCATTGCCGACTTCTCCAAGGCCCGAGGTACGTGCGAGCAAGCATCCGCCAACATCTTTCAGGACGTCCCTAGCCCGATCGGAACGACGGTTTTCAGGCATTGTACTTCGTCTTTGGATGCAAAAACTATTGCAATCGCCTCGAACACTTTCGACGTTACTATGCTTCACGACCTGGCGCGACTTCCACGCTCTGGCAAGCTCTTGCCGGAACTTTCGGCATATTTTGGCCTTTCAGGAATGCAGAGATGTCTTATTGTCGCAATATGTCCCTGGATACCGAGTCGCAAAATGCACCAAGGAAATGCAACAGTATCGCGATGTGGAGATCGACATGCATGATCTCTCACTCCTGAGTACGTCTCCGTGCCTTGACGAGCCTAATGCCTAATTAAACGACTTGGCCGTCCTAGTGATCGCCCGAGCCCTCCCTCTGCATCATTACCCGATGCATGCGCTCGGAATGCTCAGTTCACCGCTATACGTACCCGGCTTTGAGGACGACGAGTCAAAAAAACTCGTTGCTTTAACTCAAGCACATTCACGCTTTATCCTACTCCTACAATCTCTTGTTCACAGCGCGTCTACACCTCCGTCTCCAGAGGAATATGAAGATCTCGGCAGTCCTTTAAATCCTCGCTTTCGCGGACGCCCAGTTCGAGAACTAGTGTTCCCTCCACCATTATCCTTCATTGCACCTGATGACACTCAGGAGAATACTCCTACCATGCCTGTTGCGCCAGGCAAACACCAGCGGACAGCGAGTATCGCCTCGTCGAATGTTCGCGCTGATCCAGCGTTGAGTCCATCTCGCGCGTCTACAACCATGCGGCCCCGGACCAGCCTTCGTATCAAGAACTCTATCTTTGGTGGGGCCATGAAAGCGCCTCCACCACCGCCTTCGTCTTCACCGTCGTCGCTGAAGTATTACAGTGACACATGGAGACGGAAGCTAACGTCGAAACGAAGTGGCGCGGGCATGACTTCTATGTCGGACGATGAAGGAGACATATTTGAGTTGAAGATGCCTCGTAGACGGTTTGCATCTGTTAACCTGTCCACTGACTCTTCGCTATCTAGCCCAAGCCCGGAGTCACGGAGTGTAGCTGATGCTTCGCCTTCATCTTCCCGAGTACCTCCGTCGACGTTACGTGCGAGTGCTTCGCCGCATGATTTGGTCATGGCGACTTCTCGGTTCCGCGCTCCCATCTTACGGGTATTTTTCCCGTGTACGGAGTTAGACGAGACGAGCATTTCTGCGTGCGAAGACCAGTTGATGGAGGGTGGTCTCTGGGAACATCTTTCCGCCGGCGACATCGTGTGCAATTTTGGTTACGTTCCACCGCCAGAGCCGGAAGAAGAATCCCAGACGTCCTCGGTCTCGGGAGAGTCTACAGGTCATCGGAAGAAGTGGTTGCTATTCAACGGCTATTGCTTAGTCCATTACATTCCCCCGTCACCTCCTCCTGTTGAGAACTCGCTGACGCTGCCATCACCGTTCTACTTCTCATACATTCTCCCACCGACCACCAATCCAATATACATTCTTTCACTTCCTCCTGTTCCCCGTACACCGTCCCCAGCTCGAACACAGCATGGTCGGAACAGTTATACTCGATTGTCCATTGATCAGTTGCATCTCACGTTGGCACATTTACCTACCAGAGTAGCCAGCCCGCATTCGCCTTTAGGTTGGGCAATGGCGAAAAAGTACTTGTGGCTCGCGCGTTTGTCGCACGCCGGGTATACTTCGGGTGCTCAGGATGGTGTTCTGCCCGGTGAAGGATGGAAGGGGGAGTGGGTTTTGGAGGCGGAGGGGACGAAGGAGGGGCGCCAGAGCCTTATCGATGCACTGAAGCCTGGCGCGAACGGTGAGTGTAAAAGAGGTATGTGGGAGATTTTACGAGACAAGTCTGGTAAGGGCAGGTTGTGGATGAGGTACGAATGTTTTGCCATTTTTGACTTAGTTTCTCGCTGTATACACGATGCTGACTCAGGGATGTGCTATTCCAGGCTGCTACATGCTAACGCGGATCCGGTGGAATGCCAAATGGACTACGACGCTGTGTCATCTGACGATCATATTACGACTTCGAAATCTTCTCGGACGTGAACTTGAATTATTTAATGTCCATCCTATCTTCTCATTCCATCATCTCTATCTGTTGGAACAATCATAGAAACATCTTGGACTTGCTTCATTATTCATTCATATTGTAATTTCCCCCCTCCTTCTAATGTGCTTCTGCATTTACAAACCCCATTTACTGACATGATTTTCTCATCGCTTTCTCTCTTCTCTACCCCTTATCCTGCGTCATTCAGATCTACGCGATTAACGCATATACCATAGCCTCCCAGCATATAGTACACCATGCTTCGCCCTAACAGTTAGGAATTTGTCACATTACACATTCGCATATGTATAGTACTTTACATTGTTTGTGAATACGCTATGTATGTATATACCTCCTAGCCTCTTCCGATTTTTCGTACATTTACTCTGTGCATTCTTCAATGTATCACATTCCTATTGACAAACATGACGTCGCCTTCCAAGCATTTGCGGATCCGAGTACGGCTCGGCGCTGTGAAACCGGAATGAAGGATAGGATATTAGTATCGATACAGATTGCGATCAACTTGTTCCCGTCGCTACGCACAACCTGAACATTTTCACGACCTCGCTACTTATATGCTTCATACAGTTCTACATGCAACCCATGATGTGTTTTGTTCTATAACTGGTGCGTCATGGGAAATGCGCTGATCGTGTGGACATCATGTCGGTGGCGTTGAGAAGTTGAGACTGAGTGTTGATGTATGTTCGTTTAAACCATTCGTTCTTGACCATTGCCCTCGTCCCTCTCCCCCCCTCGACCCCGTTCATGGCAAACGCATTTGACGCCTTCTCAAATATTCTTATATGTTGCCAGGGGAGTCTTATGCGCCCTCGTTGTTCAGTCAAGAGTGAAGGTTGTTATGGGCGTGCGCTCTTTGGATTCACGGCCGATGTAGGTCCCTGCCTTGTTCTCTTGGTCGAAAACTAATCATCTCTTCTCAACACCCTCAAAAACTTTTGTATAGACTAATACTGACCTCTGTGGCCCGTCTCCACCCTACTGTCGCTGCTCTTCTTAGCCTGCTCAGAAGCAGGGCGGCAGTGGGGTGCGTCACAGGTCAGACGAGTAGCGTAGCGGGCACAACCTCCTTGACTGGATGGGGTTCTCTTACACTCTCAACGTCACTGGTGAGCCTGCCTACAATGTTGATCAGTGCGAATTCCAGGCTCGAAGCGTGATCGCCTGTGTCCCTCAAGAACGGAGGGCGTTTGATGCACGTTTGAGCGGCGATATTGCGTGAAGGTGGGCATCAATGTTTTTTCTCTGCTTCCCTCGACTTTATACGTTCAGGACTACTCTCCCTCGTTCGATTTGGCAGCAAGTTTCCCTCTGCTACGAAATTGATCCGCTAGCCCAGGAACGCGTCGACGCGCCTGTGGCTGGAAAATGAAGGGACTGACGCGTAAGAGCCTGCCCTGAAGAACACGTGGCTGTGGGTCCGGCGCTAGGACTCTCATACGTAAAGACGCCCAGCCCTGTTCACGCCTTGTTCACTCCCTCCATTGTTCCGTCCATATCTTAGGTCCTCCGTCTGTAGCTTTCCCCGGTCGCTCGTTAACCCTAGGCAATTATGCAAAGACGGCCTCCTGTGGCTGTCGGCACGCTCTCTCAGGCTCCTTCAATCTCTCCTCTCACTCGCAAACGCTCGTCTCTCGTTTCTTGCGTATCATCCCCGCATACTCCAACAGGAGGAGGCAATTCTCCTCTGCCTTTGTTTGCTTCAAACACCAATAGAAACAGCTCAAGCAGTTGGAATAGCTCAAACTATGATGCAGATGATATCGAGTGGGAGTGGCAGCCAGAGCAAATCAAGCTCTTGTCGAGGGTGAGTCGCGTTCAAGCAAAGCGCGTCGATACGCCACTACGCGTATCGAAGGTCTGACATCTTTCTAGACCTTGGATGCTCTTCCTCAGCACTTGCTGACGCCTTTCAATGGGCCTGTTCCGCCTTCTAACCTCTTGGATAAGATCGCGAGGGGTGTCTCACAGGCGAAAGGACCCATCGATTGGCAGCATTCCTTACGGGCTACTCGCGCCAAGATAGTCGAGTTGGCTCGCAAGCGTGCTAAGGAGTCCAGCGATGATGACACAAGTGACACCATTGCAGAGGAAGATAGCGCTGGTTCCGACGTGCCGCTTCAACAGACAACCAACACTGGTCTCAAGCGACCTCTGTACAGGCAGTCAAGTATGGACTTCATGCGATCCGCTAAGATTGATATCAATGACAATGGTAATATCCGCCGGTGCGTTGTGTTTCATTATATCTCGCTTATCGGGCTTGGGGATCTGTTGTGCTCACGGGTCCGTGCAGTCTCTCTCACCGTCTTCAACGAACGGAACGTATGCTTTCAAGCCCGACTTATCACCCATATGCACGTTCCATTCGTTCCCCGGCCCCTTTTGAATCTTCCAACCGCGTTCAATCCCTTCATCCTTCTACTCCAAGCTCAAGCACCCTGAACTCGAGCCTCTCGGGTTCTCAAGAGTACGACCCTAGAAAGTCGTTCTCGTCCAACTCAAGCACATCAGAAGACCCGTTCATTCAGCCAATCAACCCTCGCGTTCGTCGCATCAAACGTGCTGAGACGTTCACGTCCTCTAGCCTCCATAGTCCCATGCGCTCCCTGAAGCGAGCCCCTTCTTACGGTGGTAGTTCCCGTAACAGCTTGGACTCAGTCGCAATGAGCGTCGACTATAAGGCTAAAGATTCTGATGTAACTTCATCTGATGAAGAAGAGAAGTTGCGGAGTAAGAAAGCGAAGAAAGCTCGCACGCAAGCTTCCTCGCCTACTCCCACAACTCCCTCCGTCCCATTCACACCTGCCTCTTCGAGGCCTATGACTCGTTCCAAGACGAGCTCTTTAAAGACGCCCGCTCCCAAGCCTGTCAAGTCTACGTCCACAGTCATTAAACCAGGCAAACAACCGTCTACCCCTTCATCCAAGGCAGCCTCGAGGCTTCCCCGGGCCAACCTTCAGCGCAATTCCAGCATTATCGGACCTGAGTTGCCTAACCCTCAACCCAATTTGGCCATGCCTACTTCAATTCGATCGCCTCGTACCGCCAGACCGGCGGCATCCAGCAAGATCGTCGACACCCCAACGAGTATCAAGACCAACAGTACCGGTAGTGTCGCTCGTAGTCCTCCTGTCAGCTCTCCTGTTGGCAGATCACCATCTGTCCAGAGTCCTCCGAAGACACTCCGACGAAGCAAAGGCACCGCTCCGGCTACCCGTCGTGCCCCTGCTCGAAAGATTTCTTTCGGGAGTTTGCTCCCTGCTGCCGAGGAGGAGAACGACCCTGAAGGTGGCGCCGGATGTGGACTCGGACTCGGAAGTGCTTTCCAATTGCGTTAGGTGACTCATCGACCACCCTTCACAACTTGAACCTCGTGCTTTTGATCATCCCTCGTGTGTGCTCCATCACGTTTGGATCGACTTGCATTCTTGACAAATTGTTCAAGATTATCATCACCAATCAATCACTCATCATCGATCCTGGATGCAGCGGTAGTATTCCTACTCTCTGCTTCGACGGATCGACTTCGGCTCTATCTTTTTCCCGATTGCTTCATTATAAGTTCATAACTCACCCTCATTGCATTCACTATTTCCTTGCTTCCAATTCTCAGATCATCTCGGCTCCCGGATGCCGCATCCTCTCCTTGCTTCTTGCTTATGCTCAATCACACTCTCTGAAAGGATTTCTCTTGCTCTATCTCTCTATCTATACCGGATGGCATCCTTGCATCAACCACACTCATTCGTCTCCCCTCTACTCCAATCACCAGCTCGGTTCTGGTTGTGACATAGTGTATAGTAGGAGCTTCGTCTCCACCTTCAGTCAACTAGATCTATCTGTTCATTTCCTTTCATGTGTTTACTCAAAACACTGCCGCTCACACCTTCCTTATTGTTTAACCTTCCCTCTGTGCTATCATTCGTCATCTCTCCTCTTCTGCCGGGCACGCATACATGCCTTACCTTTCTGTACGGATGGGTAAGTGCTACATGGGGCCCCTTTTTCCTGTGTTATTTTTTTTTCTTGTATATATGTTGTACTGTTCGACCTTTGTTTTATTTCCGGTCGTTGTGTCAATAGTTCGTCGCGCTTGTTGCTGGGCACTGTAGAATACGCGTTGAGTGCAATGTATTCTGACTGTCGTGAAGTCAAGTTCCATCGGCCTGAAATCTCGAATATACTATCCTTCAAAGTTGAACGTATAGCAGGAAAGGCAGACGGACGGCCGATCCCTAACTTCTTGGTGTGAACTCCTTATTGCATTACCCCATTTTATTTCGTAGTTTGCTGAGCTAACCATCCAGTCAGTTCCATCGCTATGATAGCTCACGAATGGGAAGCGGGAGCGCTCTATTATTGCGAACTACATGAGAGGCAGATAGTCAACATCATACTGGCGGGAAGCACATCGATAGGAAGCTCACAGAATACAAAAACAGCCAGGAGGAGATCGAGAGATCACAGTCATGATTCCCCTGCACGCTCCGTCACTCGCTGCTGCCTCCTTGCCGCGATCTCAGCACGCTTGTCCGCTAGCAGCTCAGCAGCTCGTATGTCCCATCTGTACGCCCAGTATCCTGCATATCCAAATACTGCCATGGAGATGGCATGTCCGCCCATGTCTAATGAGAATCCACAATTGTATTAGTTTGAGACTGAAGGTACCGTGGAAATAGGATCGGTAGGCGTACTATCGAAGAGGTTACGCTTCTGGATGCCTAGTTGACCAAAGCGAGCCAGGAGGCCAAAGAGGGAGAAGCCAACGATGTTTGTGAGCATAGACATGGCGGGCAGATTCGACTTGAACCTCGTAGATATGGCTTGCCAATGTGAAGTGGGATGTTGGAGGCGTAGTGGACGCCGGTAACTACCAAACAAAGCGTCTGTTTTGGCGCTTGATCCAACTTACTTAGGCCTCATTGTTGTCTTGAAATTCTTGGTCTTATTCACTTACCTCCGTACGCCACATTTCTCCTGTACCCGTTAGAATATCCGCTAGATATATCTCACTCCCTGACACGATATTAAAGCTCTAAATATGTCTGCTGAGGCTGCCGTCGACGCTACAAACCCCGAGATCGAGCAGAAGATCGCAGTGGCTAAGGAGAAGAAGGACGCAGGCGATCAAGCATTTAAGAGTGGCGATATCCAGAATGGTACGAACTATCATACTCTGGGAGATTCCTTTGAATGTATCCTGAATCTTCAGCTAATATTTCTCATCATAGCACTCCTTTCATACCACCAGGTGAGGGCACTAATCTAGCACTCTTCTGAGGAAATGTCTGATATAGACATCATTGGTATAGGCCATATTATATCTTCAGGGTCTCTATAAGTGTGTTCTTTTCTATGCGATGTTGAATTTTTGATCTAACTAAGGTCAGGAATACGATGGGACCGGCACCACCAATAAATGCAGAGGGTGAGCCGGAGAAACCCAAGACTGAGGTAAATTAATCGATCATGTCAGAGTCGAATCGTGGCTTAGTTTTGTAATTTAAAGGCAGATGAGATTCTTGAGAAGATATACGCCAACATGGCTCAATGCCATATAAAGAGGAGCAACTGGAAACGTGCAGTAGAGACTGCGGATAAGGTCAACTGTGAATCTGCTAATAAAAACGCACAGATTCCTCACATCTTCACCCCTGTTACAGGCTCTCGCGAAGAACCCCAAGAATTCAAAGGTACTGTTTAGAAAAGCAAAGGGTCTGGGCGAACTAGGTCACTTTGAGAAGGCCGAAAAGATCTTGGAGGAACTTCTAAAGGAAGACTCATCTGGTAAACGGCTTTCTCTCTGATTGCTTCCGACGAGTCTCACTCATTGTCGAGCAGACGCCGCTTCTGTGAAGGCCGAACTCGAACGTCTTCGTGCTCTGGATAAAGAACGTGAGAAGAAGCATAACCAGAAATTCAAAGGTCAGATCTAGTCTCTTCTGGATGCACAGTTTGTTGATGCGATATGCCACAGGCTTCCTCAATAAGAGCGAGAAAGCAGCGGGCAAAGCTCCAGAAACATCTTAGTTCTGTTCATATTTAGTCACCAGTCTGATTACTCGAGTCCTTCTTTCGTGCTTTCGTCACTTTCCCCCGTTGCATATCATTAACATCATCTTGTACAATCATCCTGTCACCAAAGTGTATCTTAGCTTTCTTTCCGAATTCATTGGTTCGTTGACTTCTGTATTTTTGTGACGCGTTACTCACGCGTCGCACGTGCAACGTGACAGTGGCGCCTACGCGTTCATCATTTCAGTAACCTCAGGATTCGTAGACATAAGTCACATAACCCCTTGCGTATCACTGATAATTCTTGCACTAATAGGTGTTTTTAGAGCAAACTACAGTGTGCAAATTCAGTATCATGGCCTCTAGCAACCCAGTCTCGCTCAATCTCCTTCGATCTTATTACCCCGTCGTGGAGACTCTACAATGTTACCTGGCAAATATTCTGGAGAAGGGCTCCTGCGACACACAGTACCTGACGCATGAGACGGATACAATGCTGTACCGTACTTTACTTAAGGAATCATATGTGGCCAATCGATATACGTTGCCGGAAACGCGTTTCAAGCCGTTGAAGCCTATGGTTCCACTTAAAGAAGTCAGTCGGCATATCCTAGCAGCTCAACTTCTACCTGCTGATCTTATCCTAGGTTATTGAGCGCGCTCAGGTGAAGTTGCTCTCTAAGGGCAGGGGATCGGGCGAGAATGTGATAACTGCTGGCTACCGTCTGGTGGATACTCCTTTCTACCGAATATTGTGTTTTCACTGATTAATTCATTTCAGAATTATAAGCGGCAGCCAGCATTCCAAGCTAGTGTGACGAATTATTTCTTGAACACCATCGTGACAGCATTGCACGCTGTGCAATGGAATGACCTGTTTCAGAGGTGATTACATGCCCCTTGGCTTGCCACAACAACTAATATAAGTGATTTGAAAGGATCGGAGAGGATGCTATGTTACATCTGCTTACCGAGACTTCCGTCTTTATTCCTCTTCCTAACTCTTGCTTCTGCCAAATGACGGGGAGTCCCATCGTCCATTCTAAGCCTACTTCAGACCGCCTTATTATATCCAGTAATCCTCGTGACGTTACCGGTAAACGGGAGGCGGAAGCGGCTCCTGCGGAGGAGGGGCCGCCCAAACGACAGAGAAGAAAAATTACAGACATTGGACAACGGAGGAATTCACTGAAACCATACTCTACGTCAGACAGGTCAGTGGCCAAAGGTGCAGCATGGCTCATGGCTAACAGCATTCACAGGAGGTCTCCAGCGGACATCGCTCTTATTCGAGCACGCATGTTTTATTTCCGCCCGTATTTCGTCGGTCGTACCAACCTCGTGGTCGTTGGCTTCCCACCAAAGCGTGCGTCGCTCCGTACTCTTTCGTTCTCGCCGTTCTTGACATCTATGTAGATGTTCTGAACCGCCTGAATCCTTCTATTCATAAAAAGAGAGATTCAGGTCAAGTGTGGGTTGAACCGGACCCTCGCAAGCAAATGGAAAATGCGCGACATCTCGCAAAATACGTGTTCCCCACGCAATACGAACTTCCTAATCCGTTCACAGTGGATAGAACATGTTTTCAAGGCCATCGTCTTCCTAATTACTTCGACCGAGAAGACCAGATAAAGGTAATTTGTGGCGTGTTCAACTTCAAGTTTATTACTTAGTGTGGAGTAGGCAAAAGGATCCTGTAAAACCCCAAAGCGACTGAAGCCCGTTCTTCCTATTCTCGAGAAATTGATCTGGCGACATGGAAAATGTGGCTACAAACCGCTGCTGAACAAAATCTGTCCATCCAAACTCAAAACAAATCGTGAACAACCATTGGACAGTAGCATTATATTGGTGAATATTTTGACGTTTTCGACGTGCTCTTGCTCATGATCTGCATCTAGGAAATGATGTCAGAGAATTCGATCATTATCAATTCACAGCAACCCGTTTCTTCAGGAAATCTTTCGATAGACTCCCATGGGAACACCATCTTACCAGAAGGCCTCACCCAGGCTCGCAACGAAGTCAAGAATAAGCCTCGCTTTGCGGAGTTCGCTTGCAGTTATGTGGAGGTCCGTCTGATCCGTCTGGTCACGAAGGGTCCCTGGCTAACAGCCTATTCCCAGGTCTTTTGCTTTCTTATGGTCATCACTAAATCTATTGTTCCTCAAGAGCTTTGGGGATGTCAAAGGAACTTTAAGCTTGTCGCTAAACGTGCGTTGTGTCTTTTGACAACGTTCAACATGACGTAACCTGTTTTCGACCAGACGTGAAAACTTTGATTAGCGCAAGACGCTACGAGACATTGACTCTGCATAATATTCTTCAAGGATTCAGTACGTCTGAGTGCGATTGGCTTATTCCAGGCGGTCGATCTGCTCAGCAGAGTCGTGTTTCCCTATCGGATAGTCAGAAACGATTAGAACTCTTGTCAGAGTTTCTGTTCTGGTACTTCGATTCGTTTCTGATCCCCTTGATTCGCGTGAGTTACATCGTACATCTCAAGTATGTGTAGATTTGCTTATATGGCATGGCTGCCATACAGACAACGTTCTATGTCACAGAATCATCAGCATTTCGTAACAAAGTCTTGTACTTTCGTCAAGATGATTGGACTACTCTCTGTGCGCCCCTTATTGAGAGACTCAGTTCGAACACATTCGAGAAGCTCGATCCGGTGCGTTTATATACAACTATGATTGTCCTTTCTGCCATTTTTCTCATTCCATCGTAATCAGTTGGATGCGCAGGAACTTCTCAGGCAACGGAGGTTAGGTTTTTCCTTTGTCCGTCTCCTCCCAAAGGAAACTGGCGTACGACCTATTGTGAATCTCAGGAGAAAGAAGCAAGTTAATACGGTATAGTGATTGATTGGATATCTTTATATGTCTTTTGCTCATAGGTTCCATCACAGGGTCTTTTGCCTGGAAAACCCGCACAATCTATTAATCAGATCTTGCAAGCTGCATTCCAGATCCTGAATTACGAGAAGGTCTGTACTAACGGTTCTTTTCCTTTTACATGCACAGACGTATATATTTACCACTTTGTTTCAATAGGAGAATCAACGGTCCTTGCTCGGGGCGTCAGTATTTGGACCCAATGAGGTGTATACCAGACTGAAAGCTTTCAAATCCCACTTGTTGTCTCAAACAACCTCTGGCATCCTGTAGGTGAACCGTAATACGACGTCCTGCGAGATCCTTCTCATTACTTGTTCAGACCTAGACTATACTTCGTCAAGGTCGATGTCCAAGCCTGCTTTGACACAATTGAGCAGACTAAGCTATTGAGCATCCTTCGTGATCTCATCTCGGAGGTGACTGATCCCAATTGATGTTAATCCACTTTGAATGCTGACTTCAAACATAGGAGTCGTATGTGCTTCAGCGGCATGGTCAAGTGTCTCCAGTTGCTGGCAAGATTCGACGTGCATATGTCAAGAAAGCCATGTCGGATGGTAAGACCTACGCAAACGTCGGATGTGCAGACGTGAGACTTAACGCTGCGTGATTCAGATGATCATCCGCATTTCCTCAGCCTTGCAACTAAACTAGCTGGTGCACTGCGCAACACCATATTCGTAGATCAAGTCGTCTATCCTTACGCTCAGAAGCAAGAAGTTCTGGAATTACTCGAAGAACACATTACCGAGAACCTCGTGAAGGTAAGATACTCTTGTCTTCTTTACAACCTTTGTTCACGGTAAATAATAGATTGGAGAGGACTATTATCGTCAAACAGTTGGCATACCCCAAGGATCTGTCTTGTCCGCCTTACTCTGTTCCTTCTTCTATGGACATCTTGAGCAGGACCGCCTGAGGGTCACTGATGATTCAAACAGCGTAGGTCGCGACTCTTTCTTACATACTTCTATGAACTCATTTTGATCTTTAGGTCCTACTGAGACTTATTGACGATTACTTGTTTGTCACAACGAGTTCGGGAAGGGCTAGAAAGTTTTTGCGAACGATGCAGGAAGGTCATCCTGAATATGGTTGCTTCATAGCTCGTGACAAGACATTGACAAATTTCGAGACGGATGATCCCACCACCTTCATTGGGCCAGAGCAGAAATGTAAAGGCTCTTTGATCTCCATTTTGTGTTCTTGCTAACCTCATGCTTAGCATTTCCCTGGTGTGGATACCTGATCAATATGTTCGACCTTTCCGTGACGGTTGATTACGGCCGGTTTCACAGCGATTGTGAGCAGTGATTTCTGTCGCAACGACGATCCACTGACCATCCTGGTAGATCTTCAAGATTCTCTGACGGTTGAAAGTGGCCGTCACGCAGGGACGACGTTCGTTCAGAAGATGATGCAGTACGTGTTCTACCGGCCTCGTGGATCACTTGCTTGATCTTTTGTAGATTGGCAAAATCCAAGAGTCACATTATATACAATGATTCAGTGCTGAACGCCAAGCCTGTTGTTCTGAAGAACATATATCAGAACTTCATGCTCTGCGCGATGAAGATGCACTACTACCTACAGAATTGGGGATTGGATGTACTGAAGAGTCCCGCTTTCATCCTGAGTGGGCATAATTAATTTTTTTCCACGTTGTACGATCACGCACTGACAGCCGTCTAGAGACAATCCGACAGGTGATCCGATATACCTACGCCACCATCCGAAACAAGGCAAAGAACGTAGTCGCAAAGGCTTCCAATGCACGCTTTGAAGTGCCGAAAGGCCATGTGTTCTGGCAAGCTCTCCAATATTTCGTCATGAACGTGAAGGCTGATGATGCCTTTCGGTTGTTCAGGTTAGGCACACATGCCGTTCATACCGTGTTGTCACAGAAAGCCCACCTTTACCCGCAAGTTTTGAATTCTCTGCAATTTGAATTGAACCTTGCGCACAACAGGAGGCTTCGACCGGGGCTGCGTAAAGTGGTAAAGGAAAGCAGGCAATTGATGGCTGTCCTCTCATTCTAATTCTAATTTTATCTCCAAGTTGCAGGGCATGTATAGTAGCCGGTAACCCCCATCAGTTTCTTTCCGATGTCATCCTCCTTTTCGCCGTTTGGTCGGATCCCGGCAGCTCTCGAGGCTGAACATTCGGCTGTAAGGTGGATAAAAGCCTGGTTAGACACCAACCCATGACTTCCGGGTCGTTGGTAGTGCGGCTCGGGTCGAATTTGTAGGGTGCTACGCGTGGCCCAAGCCCCAGAAAACGCTAGTGTGGAGGTAAGAGAATACTTTCTAGAAAGAGGATGATATTCGGTCGGTATACGACCGAGGTACGACAGCTGTCTGCACCACTGAGGCCATCATCGAGAGTCTCGTGTTGTCCTTGGACGAACGTTCGAATTGAAGAACTGATATGCAGACCTACGAGCCAAGATGAACCTCGGACCTCTGACTTTTGGAAATTGGACGACTTAGCTGCGTTCAGCATAGAAGTCGCAGACGGAGGTGCATAACTGATACTAAGTGAGCATGCGTCACCTCATCCTCGTTGACGAGTATAAGTACACGAACCCTTGAAGTGTATGATCGATTCCGTAGTAGTCCTAAATGTCGAGCACACATGTACGAAGTAGTGTGTTGCTCGCGGGAAGACCAAAACTTAGACATATCCGGATATTCGACATTGAGGATCCGCCGGGGTCCTAAGAGCATGTATAGTAGTCGGAGACCTATAATTTAGAGCTTTCTTTCGGACATCATACTTCTTTTCGCCGTTTGTGCTCTCCCGATATTTGATGTCCCTCTTGTCAAGCTGCCAAAAATGACAGGGACAGTCGATGTATCGCAGCTGATTTACGACATTTGAGACCATCTGAGAAGAAAGCAACTAAAAAATGTTGTCCCCGAGGTTAAGGAGATCGAGAGAGACAGACGTTTCGCGCTCAGGAAAAGCATCTCTATTGTCATTAAGAATTTCATGTGTACACCACTTCACTTGTTCACCTTCTCAGTCGCCACTTCTTCCCTGCCCGTAGTAGCCGACCGATGCGCAGTTTATCCTTGCGAACATTCCAAGCGACGCGTCCAGCATTTGGTCATCGATTTCATCCCACAGCCTTATGGGCATCGTCATCTCGACCGCTATCGTGGGCTTATAAATCTCTCTTTGTTCCCAACCACCATCTGGAGAATCGTACCCTCTCTTTTCGGACTCTTCGCCGTTCTCTAACTACTTCATCTCCATCTTCCCCAACTGGAAACATGTCTGAGTTCTATAATCTCAAATCCGAACTTCCGAGTGGCTCGCCGTATTATTTTGAGCAGCTAAAGGGAAAAGTGGTTTTGATCGTGAACGTTGCGTCAAAGTGGTGCGTCCGTTTTCCATCATACATTCATTGAGATATTCTAACGTGCTATGATAGTGGGTTCACACCGCAATACAAGGGTTAGTCTAAGTCCAGTTTCGGCTAATAGCTGATCGTCAGTTTGATCATGATATCATCCAGGCCTTCAAGAGCTCTACGACAAGTACAAGGACAAGGGTTTCGTTATCCTTGGCTTCCCTTGTAACCAGGTTCGTCGATTGCTGTACTTGACCACCATGTCTAGGAATAACTCATTTCTGTCCGTGGCAGTTTGGTGGTCAGGAGCCTGGAACCGACGATGATATTGCCACGTTCTGTGAAAAGAACCACGGCGTTTCATTTCCTCTTATGAAAAAGTCTGACGTCAATGGTGATAACACGAATGAAGTTTACAAGTGGTTGAAGAACGAGAAGGCTGGTCTCCTTGGCATGACCCGTATCAAGGTATGCAATAGAATCTATGTTGCAACCCTCTGGCACTGATCTTTTTGTCCTCGGCTCATAGTGGAACTTCGAGAAGTTCCTCATCGACAGAGAAGGCAAAGTCGTCCACCGATGGGCTTCTACGACTACGCCACAAGCCATCGATGCTGACGTTGCCAAGCTGATCTGACTAAATGGTCGGTCCTCAGATGGCAGAGCTAAACTTTGACTGAACATGTATCCACCTGACTGAGTATTCAGTGTCGGCCATTCTTGCTTCTTTCACCTACAGCCGTCTGCAGTTGAAAAGCATAGCGAGACAAAGTGTATTCTATTCATTACCTGTCATAGGGTCACTGTAGTTGCTTAAAAATATGTCCTTGGAATGTTAGAAAACACCCATTGAATTTGGATTTCGTCACAATACGGGGAACATAACGCATCAGTGTAAGAGCAACATAACAACGTGCTGCTGCTTAAGCGGAAGTGGCCAAATAAGGAAAGTACCTACCTACTTTAGGAAGCATCCCTCCATAATAGGCAGATAAGTTGCGGGACGCTGGTGAGATCGTTTGATGAGATCTGGCGTTGTAGCGTTTCGATTTACAGCCTCGTCAACGGTATTCTTCTACCACCTCCTTCATTTCTATACCCTTTTTGAGATACCAGGCCTTGGGTTTGAAAGTTAGAAGTGTACTGCTGAACTGCGGAGTCTTCATTCCATTGGAAGTCTGACCAGGATCACAGGACTTGAGCCCGGAAGTTGAACGCGCGTGTAAGTACTAATTCGTGGGACCTTCTTTTAATCGTATTAATCTGCATTCCACGGGAAGTTCACACATATATGACACGTTATACCCGTGCATTTGTGGTCCTCGTACCACTTGTGGCGACTTTCCTCGTGTTCCGCACGTTCGTTGTGGACCTCGAGTTCCTTCAAGTCGTCGCAGCGAAGCTGAACCTCTCATGGCCTCTCGCTGTTCACCCGGATGCTCTACAGAAGCCTCTAGCCGCAGAAGATGCGTCTCAATGGCCTATAGGACACGACACCGATGACTCACCGCCAAGCAATACTCCCCACGATTCACATCATCCCTCGAAGGGACGTCCTTACCATGGTCAATCTAAATTCCCGCCAACACCCCGCTACACCCGGAAGATCGTGGCTGTGGGTGACCTGCATGGTGACATGCCAAATGCACGTTCGGTTCTACAAATGGCTGGTGTGGTTGACCGTCAGGGCAATTGGACTGGTGACGTGGATATCTTTGTTCAGACGGGAGATATCATTGACAGGTGACTAGCTTTGCCTTCTTTGTTATTCATTAGTTGTTGATTGTTGTGAAATGGGAAACAGAGGAGATGATACTATCAAACTGTACTTTTGGATGGAACAACTGCGCTCACAAGCGGAAGCGAACGGTGGCATTGTGCTTTCGCACCTCGGGAACCATGAATGGATGAACGTTATTGGAGATTGGCGGTTAGTGCCTTTGCTGCCTTCCTTGTTGGACACGCGTTTACGGTACTTTTCCCAGTTACGTGCATCCATCTGAAATTAAGACCTTTGGGTCAGTCGACAGTCGTTTCAAGATGCTCACGAAGGGCCGTATAGGCAAAGCTTGGGCCACGAATTATACCACAACCTCCCGTTTGCCACTTCACCCATCGCTAGGCCCACCCAACACAGACTACGACCCGTCGTCTACCTCAACCCTCTCACATGCCGCTATCTCGTTTGTTCATGGTGGTCTTGCTCCTCATTATCCGGATCTCACACCATTTCCGTCGCGTATTAATGATTTAGGACATTCCTTACTACGAAAATTACAACACCGCACGCCACCACCCGTGCATCCTCCCCATCCGTATCCTGGACTTCCCATGGATGCGACTCCGGAAGAAAGGAGGTTATATGCTGAGAATGGACCACTTTGGTATCGAGGTTGGGCTTTGAAGCCAGAGGAGAAGGTTTGTAGAGAGGTGGATGACGTTTTGGAGAAGACGGGGACGAGGAGGATGGTCATGGGGCATACTCCCGACTTCCAGGTATACTTTCGACGTGTCTACAAGCTTTTTGTATCGTTTACTGACTTCTGATGTAGAAAATCGTCTCCAGATGTGGTGGCAAAATCATCATCATTGATACCGGTCAGTTCTTTCCTACCTTGGTACATACCTTGCGTCCTCATCCAACTATCTATGATCTATACTCCAGGTATTTCACATGCCTATGGCGGAGCCCTTTCCGCGCTTTCAATTCAGTACACGCTTACGCCTATCTCGATAACGCCAACAAAAAAGCTGTGGATAGAACGCGAATTGGTCTCTGCGGTATACCCTAATCGGGTGGAGATCCTCGCGGACGTAGAAGCTGAAGTCGAAGGCGACTTCGCGTGATTTCGCGATTCTGGAGATCTAGTCTTTGTGCCGTTTGTTCTTGTTTTGTATGATTCTGTGATGGTTGGCTAACTTATTTGCATCCTAATTTATTTGGGTTGGACTTCTTCGTCGCTGTTGCATTTCACGATGAACGTACCTGAACATTGTGTTACTATCAACCGTGAAGTAATCGGGCTGCTTGCGAGGGACAACGGAATGCATAGTCGCTACAGTTTCGCCACCAGCGATACTAATGCCTCTCTTGCTTGATATGTGTTCCTGTTCTCGAACAACGACAGTCATACGTCAAGGTATTCGACGCTTCGTGGCGGTCATGTTGCTTTGTCTGATATCGTCGTCATCAGGCACACAGCGTGCAAAAGGGCCCGGACAACACTTACCGACTCTTTGCGCAGCTCGACACTGCGGCACTTTGCAGGATGTACTGAACAGATGATCGCAGCATCTTTGCCAATTTCGCCCTCTTTCGCAGAATTTATGCAGCCGAACAGCATATCAAATAAGGGTGCGTGGTATAATGGACTCTCATGCACGTTGCTCAAAGTTGCCCTTCCGATAGGGCTTTGTCTATCGCACCAGTCTTGAGGAAGGACCACTGCCTCATTCCAGCGTCTGCATACGTTGCTCCATGCTTACTGCTGAACTCAGCTTCCGGTCATGTTTTTCTCTTTAGTAGGCCTGGTTGCTCGCAACATCTGTTCATACCGGAAGTCCTTCCCGTCCGATTAGAGGAAACTCACTCGCGTGGTACTGCGACGCCGGTGCTGCTTTGATTTGGACTAGACGCGGAGTTAGCCCTTGGGGGAACGCGCCTTGTATTTTTTTGCTCGTCTGGCCGAACCACCGCCTTAACGACTAGAGTTACGGGTGGGCTGTAGAGTGTTTAATTTATCCCGATGTATGTTATATATGCGCTGTTTCGCAGAATGTTGGTGAGTGAAACATTCTCTTAGCAAGTACTACTGAAAGGTACATTGGTCTGCTAGGCTCTCTTTCTCTTCTTTTACCAGGAGTTCTTCCCTGTGTACGCTTAGAGGGACGTTGGGTTGACTGCTCGCGTACAAAACCAATAACGTCAGTGTACGCATTTTGATCAGCAGCTACGTCCCCGCACGGCGATACTAAGAGGATAGTAACTTCTCGACGAGGCTCTCATTATTCGTCGATGCACAGTCAACGTCGATGCGCTGCAGCATGATCGGGGAACACTGCCTGCTCAAAGTCAGAGCGGACAACTCGAAGCCCTGGCCTACTGGTGTTGCAAATGGTCGGTTTTGCCTCGGATGTAGAAACCTACCTTATCTTACTGACCTTCCAAAATGAGCGTTTTGCCAATGTTCAAGAGCGTCAACTTCGCGTCCGACGCTCAGGCTTCCGTCCCTGGCCGTCAGTGAGCGGACTTCGCAAAGGCAATGATTACATGCACTCTTGAACACTGCTGTGCTACTCAGGGTTAATATCTCGCAATCAAATGTGTCTGCTCTGTGCAATATCTTGGAAGCCAGCGCAGTCGATCTCATATGCAAATACCACTTTTGCACCTATCCAAGCTTTCCATTCGTGCATAATCTCCCGCGAGACTCAAGTGCGTTCACATTTTAAGTTAGATGCCAAGTCAATGGCAAAGAACATGTTGCAAAGCTACAATATGATCACATCCACTGTTTGAATCTTAGTAACATAATAGTTCAATGGGTACGTTCGTTCTTGTCTAATACACAGGGTACTGCGAAGAGACCTATGATCGTCATGATGCTTCGCGCAGGCTATGTACGAGTGGCCGAACGGTATCACTGAAGGTACCGTAGCGTCCCCACTGGCAGTGTAATATGTCGATGCCGATATGAACTTAGACAAGCCGCTGTCATACAACCTCCGGTTTGTGGTCGGGATCACACCGCTCGACAAGTAAAGTTGTACTAGTGAGTCTTCATTTGTGATATCTCATTACATGCTTCAGCCAGCGCAGTTTCAGTCTTTGTGCGCAGTGTGATGCCTGCAGCGGCATGGGACCGCATGTTCTCGGTCTACTGGCCCCCAGGAAATATATATGTATCCCTCCTAATTTCCTGAAGAATAACCAGACCATCTAAGGCCCAATCGAAAGCCATCACACTATGTCTAATGATACGACCATGTGTAAGTCTTTATGAGGTGTTCTCTCTTCGTATACAATCCCTGACATGATTCCTTAGATGGTCCCGACGTTATATCGCCCACGGGAGATATTCTCCAGTCGCCATTCTATCATTATCTCGTTAGCAAGCCTATTTGTATTTTCTTCCTAGTGGCATTTGGGACTTCTACAGGTACAGGAGTAATACATGCATTTATACGACTGGTGGATGCTAACTCGATTTAAACAGCATTACACTTCGGCCAATCGATCTGGTATCGAATGTGGTGGTTGATGCCCACGGTTGTTTTGTGTGGCATTGGCGAGTTGATAGGATGGGGCGGTCGTTTGTGGTCGGCCATTAGCCCTCTTGAGAATAATCCATTTTTGATTCAGTGAGTATAATATCGCCGCTTCGTTCTGCACCGGCCTGAGCTCATGTCCGTTGTAGGATTGTATGCACAATCATCGCTCCCACACCCTTCCTGGCTGCCATCTTCATAACTTTCGCTCGCCTCACGAAGCGACTAGGCGTACAATATAGTCGACTTTCTCCACGTCTATGTGAGCTATAATTAACCTGAAACTGTATGAGCATTCGACTTACTCTTCTCTGAAGACTCGAGGATATTTCTGACTTGTGTGAGTGCACCACCAATACAGTTTATATAGTTTTCTTATCATTCGCAGGATATCATCTCCCTCATTGTTCAAGCAGCTGGTGGAGGCTTGGCTGCATCTGCCAATGATGACGCAGGAAGCAACTTGGTAAGAATACCTGTGTTTGAAATTATTCGGCACCTTATTGACTATATACATATGACAGGGAGCGAATATCATGTTGGGCGGCATCATCTTTCAACTCGGTATGTTCCTCATACTTCGCTGCACGTTTTCGTCCTGAAACAGGTTTCTAGTCTCCCTTATTATTTTCGTTACATTGGCGTCGGAGTATCTCCTTCGTTATATCCATGATCGCCCATTCCTTCGATTCGCACAAAAGAACGCATCTGACACTGAGGTGTACAAGAACGGACGAAGCGAATGGGATACAAGGATCAAGGTTTTAGTAGGAGGATTGACATTCATCTGTCTCTGCATCTTCATCCGGTATGTGCTTCGTGTGCATGAATCCGAGTACCCTTTGTGCTAATATCCCACAGATCCATTTATCGGACTATCGAACTTGCTGATGGCTGGGAAGGTAGAGTCATCTCCACCCAAATATACTTCAGTACATCATTTCCACGCACCCGATGCATGCGTCTATAGACAGCTGACATCGTTCTGTACAGACGCATTGGATGGTGCCATGATCTGGATTTCAATGCTCGCGTACAACATCTGTCACCCAGGGCTTCTTTTGAGGACTGACCTATCGCATGAAGACACCATTAGGATGGATTCCGGATTCCTTCCAAGCTCGGAAACTCTCCCCCGGAGAAATAGAAAATGAAATCCTCAATGGCTACCGCGCTCTCCTTTTTTCTTCTCGGGACTACCGGACGGACATCCACGGACTTGACATATAGTAGTTTTATTGTACTTCGAACAGGGGCTCGGCGTATAATTGGAGGACTGCTCTTGCTCCCCTTAGTAGAAGTCGAAGCCGAGCGATAGAGTAGCGGAACGCGACGTAATGTCCGTTGAATGTTTGCTCGCTTTCCTTTTTGCATTATTGTCCTCGAGGGCTGCGCCCTATGGTAGACAACAAGATGGACTGTAGACCCTGCCAAATAGTCAAAATCCTCATCTCGAAAGCCGAACGCGCACATCAATGGCAATGAACCTACTGGCATACTAAAATGAGACTTGCGGAAGTAGCCGGGCGTTGAGTATGGAATAGGCCGAATGACGTCAAGAGCCACGGCCCAGTCGAGCATGTTGGATCGGGCATGATGCATGGGCTAGCACGGATCGCAACACGCCTGTACATCCGTCCGCTCCACAAGGTCTATAAAACACTACCACCGCTGATCCCTCCTAAACCCTATTTCTTATGTCGAATCGTCCCACTTACGTTGATTACAATCACTCTTCCCCTTCCAGTGAAAAGAGTGTATACTTCGACGCGCCCCTGATGCATTTCTTCTCAAAGTCTGATTCAAAGGACGCCACCAACAACTCCACTACCGCGGATGATACCAATCGTTCTGGTGCCGCTTCACCTAGCCATGACGATCATCCACAGCCTGCTGTGACGTCTCCCCAAACCTCTGAGCAGCATGCAGATAACACCAGCAATGATCGGCCTCGTCGTGGATTCCAGCTCCACGATGCGCCAGTCGATTCTCGTCAACAAAGAATGAGCGACGACTCTGGTTACGCGTCACCGACCAGACGCGCCAAGTCTGTCAACGCAGGCTCCGCCCTCCGTTCAAATGAGAAGGAAGAAGAGATGAAGCCAATTCCCGTACTTTGGTCTGGTCCTCCCACTGCTGAGCATGTTGGCGACAACGGTGCTGCCAAGCGTGCCTCGTCGTTGCGTTCGTTCCGCTCACCACCCACCGGGAATGAAGACGCGGATAGTATCCGTACCGATCCGTCTGGAAGACGCACGCCTAGCCGTCATCACAGACGACTCAGCATGAGGGGTGGAAGCTTTGTCAATGGTCCTGGTACTATTGGTCCTAATGCCAAACTCGAACCGAACGATTCATTCCGTGAAAGGAGTGAAACGGCAGATTCGCTGCTGAGCAAGAAGGAAAAGCTAAAGATTAGCAAGTCAGAGTGTACGTGTCTTTTTCTACTTGCCACAGAATATGGCTAATATTTTTCCCTCAGTGAAAGAAGGTAGACGTTTGGCGAAAGTCGTCAAGGATGAAGCCAGAGCGGAACAGGAGGCATTGGAGCTTGCCATACGGGAACTCTCTGAGATCCAGAAGACACAGAGAGCTGCAGTCAAGGTGGGCTGATTTTTCAAATTTTTGTTCACCTCGCTGTACGACCTCTTACACTCTATTTCGTAGGAGGAAGAAAAGACTTATGCGGCTCATGCCAAGGCTCTCCGCGTGTTCCACAAAGAGGAGATAACATTCATGGCTGCTCGTGCACGGTTCGAGAAAGCGCAAGGCGAACTCCGAGTATGTTTGCACTACATTTCTCACCCGCACTTTTTTGTGCTCATTTCGTGTCCGTGTTTTACTTTAGGCATTTGAAGAAGCACGGGAAGCGGCGCGTCAACATGCCCTCGACGCCACTGACATGCTTCAAGAGAAGAATCATGAAGTCGAGTACTTGCGAGCTCAGAAATCTGTTGATGACGTGAGTATTTTCTCATCTCACTTGTTGTATATATCTCGGCCTGAGGCTGACTTCTTCTGAATCCATCCCTCTAGCGAGAGCGAGAACTCAAGTTGCGTCAATTGACTGGCAAAAAGTGATGCAATTTGGGCTGGTCTGCGTTGTTTTTGTGCTATTTTCTTTCCTGTACTTTTATCATGTTGGATTTAGGGATGTGCTATATTACTTGTTGTATGTTTTTGCCGTTGTTACCCTATGCTGTTTGCTTACTGGAAATACTACTACACACGATTTAATCTCGTTCGCTTACTGTGTTCCTTCTGTCTCCGCCAAGTGAACCGTGCAAATATCATGTTGGGCGACCGTTTCGTGCTAGGTCTATATATGAAAAGACATGAGGTCAATGACAATAGTGGACAGTGGGTTGGGGTTCAGGGGTTCACTAGTAGGAAAACTCTGTTCTTCATGTTAATCCGCACATTCCTCCTATACATTACCTGAGGTCCGGGAATGAGGTGCAGTCAGACAATCCAAATCTTGGAAACCAACGGAACACTATGTTTGATATTGGCAACGGGAACAATTGTGGCGAATCGTATTCCGTCTTTGAGGGTCCGAGAGATCTTATACATACTGTGATGGCGTAGAGGCGCGGTCGTGAATGGGGAGAACCATTTGACTGTTGACGTAGTAAGCCAAACGACTCGGGAGTGATTCCTGGAAGAATACCATCATACATGGTTGGAGATAGAGCGAGAAAACTGCTCGAACTTGTTACTGCAATGCGATAGCCTATATGGGATAAGTATCTCAGACGAACGAATTCTGTGCTTAATAAATAGAATGGAAGCACGACTCGAGCAGCCGCGCGCTAAAGTCGAAGACCCGATCGCTTGCCCGATCGCGTTGAATCCTTCATAGCTTACGAGCTATATCATAGGCAGTTAACGCGTTCCGAATGTCGAAGGCGCCATACTCGCATACCAAAGTCTCGAAGTCAACTGCTTTAAAGGTCGGATGTTAAGTTATAATAATATGTGGCTGATGTATAAGTCACAGGTGAGTATTCCACAGTCATAGTCGCAAGCGGCTCATTTACGTAGTGACGTCAAGACGTTGCAGCTGTCGAAGGCTGCTAGCCGCAGCGTTACACATCGAGCTTCAAACCGAGGTGTCGGCAACAACAAGACATATGAAGAGTATACGAACCTTGTCCTTCCGACACGTTCCAATAGCGCGCTGTCTATAAAGGCTCAAAGTGACGAAGTCGAGCATGTCCTCCACCGTGCAATAGACATCTGTATAAGCAAGCTATTTTTCAAAACAGCGTTCTCGCTACTCAGGGATAAGAAACGCGACAATCGTTCGGCGTTGATCCAAGCCGCACGAGATTGTGGCGATAGAGAAATCGAACAACGCTTGAAGGACGACAAGCGATACGCCATGTGGATGGCAACAGTTGTGAGTGGTTTCTTTTATGAAATCAGAGGTTTGGAGTTGTTTATGCCATCATAGCCGAATGCACGCGCAAATGTTCTCAAGACGCGTATGATGAATGCTGCCACTCGAAGTGTTGTCGAGCTCTACGGACTGGAGATCAGTGACGTCGACGCATGTAAGGCACGCGTCGCATTCCTTACGAGTCGTACTCCAGAGTATCCATTCATTTTCCCTGAGGATCCCCAGGTATGTTTGCCAGTTATAATCAGTGATGGTGCTAACAATCGAGCACTTTCACATTCGATAGTCCGGGAAGCTGCTTGTCGACAAACCCTTCCTTCACCCTTTGATAATTCGTGTTCTTTCTCACTCCCAGACTCTTTCTGAGGCAGTTCAACGGCTCCTTCCTGAGTTCTCACCAATGAAGGGAAGTGAGCCAGAAATACCGTCCTCTCTATTGGCCCTAGCAAGTTCAGCAGTAGGCGTATCTCACTTTCATTTAGATGCTGTGTTGATAGACTGTTCATCCTGAATTAGGCGTACTGTGCCCTCATGGAGTGGGAGAACGGAACAAGGTCGTCGATGACATTTAATAAGAAGCTTGCTGCGAGTGTTTACCAGGACAACCTCGCAACACTTTCCAAGCTGGCTGAAGATACGAAAACGGCTTCTTCCTACCATCCTCTTATGCGGAAGATATTTTCATTGGCCTAGTAAGTCCTCCAATAATATGTAAATCTTCCGACCTGATCGTGAGTTATCCTAACACAGTAATGAACCCGGGAACATTTGTTTACAACGTCCTCGGACTGTGAATGCACGCATGAGTGCTACTATTGTCGCTATCAATCTAGATTAGTACCTTTGGAAATATCTATGTAATGTCACGGTGTATCCTATGCTATGCTCTTTGTTATGTGTGAAGCAGGTATGGAAACGGAGCAGGGCTTGGAAATGTTGATCGGTGTTGTATGCGCGGTGGGTAAATCACGAAAACACCGTAGTAGTACAGGGGTCGTGACGGAGAATCGACTGCGTTAGATTCAACAATACTGCATTCGGATCTATTTACTGGCAAGTTCTGTTCGTTCGGTTTGAATCGCTTGGCCTTCGCACGTAGAAATATTATGACCATGCAAAAACACACTTATATGAAGTCAACCAATATGTGGCAATACGAGAACGTATTGCTTGCATCCAACTCAGTCTGGTCCGGATCCTCACTTTGATATTACACATATGACTAACTCATTATCTTGCCAGGAGACGACCAGTCAGAATCATATCAAAAGGGCTGCAAAAGGAATGCTCAAATCCTGTAGTCATCCGTAGTCCAAAGAGAATGCAATACAATCTATCAAAATACTAATCATAGTAGATGAACGTCCACAAATGTCCAAACAGCCGATAGTCCGCCTCGCAGACAAGAGCGCAAGAGCAAGAGGATTAGTAGCACTAAGTTCTACTTCTCAAGAGAGTGTCTGAGCCCGGTACAAACCCAGACTCCAGTCCAACGCTATACTCCGGCTTTGGCTCCGAGTCGGGGTCCCTCAACAGCAGGCCTGGGTGAAATATATTGTACGCGAGCAGCGCAAGCCAGATCATCGCGCCGTCGAAAGCAACTAGTCAAAATAAAAATAAAAAAAGGGTCAGCATCCTGGTTGCCGTCTCGCGTGTAAGATATAGACACGCACTGAAGTAGCTTTGGGTCTCGATCACTTTGCCGGTCCAGCCACCGATCAGTTCAATTAGTCGATAAACAGACCTGCGGGATGTTGACGTTAGCGCGAGGCAAGTTACTATGAGGTTTTGAGGATGCTGAATACCAGAACTTACCGGACCAAGATGAAGAAACACATGAGTGCTAGCCCTCCTATCAAATATTTGACCCTTTTGTCCCATTCACGCCGCTCGAATCCGTCTATCTCCGTGTCAGATGCATTCTTCTCTTTGAGCCACCGAGACAGAGGTCGATCGTAGATATAGCGAAGGAGATACTCCACGGCCAACAGGAGGAACACGACGAGAGACACTGTGATCCTTGTGTCAAATTATATGTTCTGTTGTGAGTTTTTTGGGGCGGGCAGACTTACAGAGCTGAAATGCGATGCCACCTAACATAATGTACGTCCCCTGTTTGGATGCATATGGTCAACGAAACCATGCGAAACAATAAGAGAGTGAGAACTCGGGCGTCATACGATTTTGACTACTAAACCATTATCATTATCAGTTATACTACCTCCCCCTGCTTGAACGAATAGGGAGATGATATCCTAGAACGCCACTGTGAGAGAGATATGACTACACGAATTCGACGAGACTCACACATGTCAGGAATATCCTTGAGTCTTCAAAAGAGAGGTCAGCGGCTAATTATTTAGCTCACGTAGATTCGATTCGTGCTAACTCACATCGACGGGGTGACAACCGACTGTACTTTGTGCCCAGACGTTTTGTAAGACGAGAAAATGTCATGAAGATAGCGCCGAGGAATGGAGTAGGAGCGATGATAGTTGCTACAATTCTACGTCGTGGGTCAGCTTGAGTTCAGACGGTGAAGTATTACATAGAAGACTTGAACTTCTCGTCTAAACTTACTGTATTGAGAATGGAGTGTTATTGAGAGGCCTGATGGAAGACCACAAACGACCACTCCATCCGGCCATTTCCCCAGCGCCACTTAAGACAGCCGTAGGGATTAACCACCACATTCGATACCAGACAGATTGCCCGAAGTGTAATACTAGAGGGTGAATTTTTCCGTCAGGACGAAAACTCTCGCGTGCATACGTTTTTCTTTGGGGGGCACGCGTACCTGTTGAGATCGTGAAGACTGTCACAAAGAACACCGAGGCCGGTTTGCTGACGAGGTAATGATAAAATGGGGATTGTAGGATTTCTCCTGTGGGTAAGATTACGTCCGGGCCGACTGCACATATGTAAGCCTTCGAGTATGGAGAAGAAAAAGCAAGCGAGGACACTCACACTCCGAGGAATTAGTTGACATTATTAAAAGGTCTTCGTCTGGAGCTCCAGCTCACCAGGGACTATTGCAAGAACAAATGACCAATGTGACATAGCCATATATATGGCCGCTGTTGGGCACCGAGGGGAAAAAAGGCAAGAGAGCGTCGAGACTGCGATCAAAGGCAGACTGCACTACGTAAGGGTGTATTGCAGCGTGCTCTGGTCTCGCAGTAGGTGTGGGGATTAGTTTACTGTAATGCTGAGTAATCCCGAAACCGAACCGAAATGCGTATAGTGGAAGGTTAGTCTACTTTCATAGTGGTATCATGTCGATGGGCTGGCTCTAATGATATCTGTATGAATGTATAAAATGAGGCAATGAGCTTCTTCATGACACACGCAATAGAAACGACTAAACTAACCTGGATAGACATGGTATAGATAAGTATTCGTTCTCCTGTTCAGACTGCGAATATTCAATCCAACAGATAACATTACCTCACGACATAAGCACTCACAGCCATGCATCTTCATCCAGCTTCATGGTTTGAACGACCTGGCCACTCGCAGCATAATCGTACGTTGGTGCGCAAGCCCTATGTGTGCGATTTGGAATTCAACTGCGATTGTTTCCACGACACTGCGTTTAGATTGTCTTTAACCTAGCGGATATCAGTTTCGAACAGCCTTTTGATATAATGTGTTGTGAGTACTAGCAAATGTCGCAATAGAGATTTATTAGAGCATCATACCGTTCGCCGCCAGTGCGTTTGAAAGAAAATTGAACTGCATTCCAAGGATGCAGGTGTTGGTCCTGACTTTGGGGTTAAACGGAGAGAAGCCTTCTGGAAGCTTTTCAAATGTGTTATTGTTTGAGAATAGACGGGAGGGAGGACTGTCATTAACTGTAGGAGCCTGTCCGAAAGCCGCCGAGTCAAAAGGCAAGTGCGAGGCTCGAGCACCCTTATCAGGGCATTGATCGGCCGCCAGCGAAGCAAGATTGATCACCTTGAAACCCAACCTGTAATCCGTCAACCAACGAATGCAAGGGGTGGCATCTATGCACGTCAACTATATGTATTTCGTGGAAAGACATCAAAGGGGTCCATTGACAGTCAATCATTATGATATCTAGTAAAAGTAGTCTATGGAAGCATGTCAGTCTATCATGACGATGCAAGTCCATGTGATGTCAAACCCGTTACAGCCATTACGAGTTATGCGTGCATAAAAGGGAAACCAGTCTATCACGCCTCCACAGCTGTCATGGTCTGTTCGCTTTTGCTCTTCTCATCTTCGGATGGATCTGGCTTATGAGGTCCTCCAACAACGCCAACACCTCTTAAGAATAGGACAGCAAGGATACTCGCTGCGGGAATGAGATAGTCAGACATCTTCCCAAACATAGGCGGGATTAAACCTTACCCAAGGCACCAAACCCTAAGATCGTCCATTGAGCCGCTCGATATGCTTGCAATTGGGCTTCGCGAGGAGCATTCGAGCCCTGACTGTCAATAACAACACCTAAATTCAAGGACTTCTGAGCCCTGACACGGTCGAAGACAATCGTTGTGATCGCCAACCCGAACGCAATGCCGAGCTACACAAGTACGTGAGCCGTATAGCGTCACGTAGCGATGGAGATGAATTTAGGACTCACCTGAGCCATAGTTTGAAACAAGCCTCCAGCGAGACTCTGTTCATGTGGAAGAGCAAGCTTGGCTACGAATAAACTACCTCCGGCGAAGACGAAATCAGCTCCGACGACGGTGAGGACAGCTGCGGGAAAGCCGAATGCCCAGTATGATGCAGCTGGATTAATGAGAGCAAATAGCAACCCTGCGATACCGGTGCACAAACACCCAATAGCTATAGAACAGGCGAATTAGGCGGTCTGTCACCCGAGCAGACTGTTCTGAGCTCACCGATAAGGACGACGCCAGGGATCTTCCCCACCAACAAGCCAATGAAAATATTGCAGAGAATTCCAGCAGGAATCATGGGAAGCATACGGATCATACTCAGAACGGGTGTGTAGTTCTGGTAGGTCTCATAGTACAACTAGAGACGTAGGAGATGAACACAATGAGCCATGTATCATAAAATCATACCAACGCACCACAGTCCAAAGTAACCAGCTTTGAAAGGCACACATGAGGAAGAAGACAATACATTGCATGGCAGCAAATCTGCCATTCCCTCTACTCCATAGAGAAATCTTCATAAGTGGTGGTGGTGTCCATCTAGAATATGTCTCTCGTACGCTAGGGCGTTCGAGGTACCATTGCCAGACGAAGAATGCGGTGGTCAAAACTACGCCAACAACCAGAAGCGCTATGATATCTACATATCCATGGTGAGTCTCGTCCTGTATTCCAAACACTTGACGTATAATATGACTCACAGGGTGTCGACCACTGTCTTGGAGCAACTTCACCGTCGCTAAGCACGAAGACAACAAGTGTCAATCCAGCAGTGACGAGAATAGCTCCCAGCCAGTCCACCCGCTTATCTTGCTCGGTAGATGGACGATCACGCTCAACCAAGAGGAGAGCACCAGCGATGCAGAGCACTGATAGTCCGGCGACAACGAAGAACATGGAACGCCATGTCGCACTGCACGAAGGATGAGTAATCTGCGACATACAGCACATGCTTGCAAAATAAAGCTTCACGTACGGGGCGAACTCTGTGAGGAGACCACCGAGAGCGAAACCCACTCCGCCTCCGAGAGGTTGACCGGCTGAGAACGTAGCGAAAGCAAGGGACCGTGCGTTTCCCGGAGGGAAGGCATGAGCCAGAATGCCAAGCTAAATGTGGATATTAAGTGGACGAATGCATGCACATTAACACGGAGAATACTAACAGAAGCAGGTATCGTGGCAGCAGCGCCAAGACCTTGGAAGCCTCGTAGAACGCCAATTGTTACGAGATCTACAAACACAAAGAACGTCAGAACAGTAGTCCAACTCGCTCATATGAGCCGTATTCACCATTTGCAAAGCCACAACCCAACGCAAACGCGCCCTGAAGTACGCAGCCAACGATGAAGATCATACGTCTACCGTAAAGATCCGCAAGACGTCCGAACGGAATCAGCAGGCATCCCTGACAATATGAAACCATGAGCGAAAGTCTGTATATAGAGATAGATCAACCTCACCGAACTCAATGCGTAAGCAGAGAGGATCCATTGCAATTGGTCCTCACGAATACCGAGGTCTGCTCCAACAACTGGCAGAGAAATTAAGGAGGAGGATGTAGTGACAGACTATTAATGAGTTAGAGCGATAAACTGGAAATATTATCCGTAGAAGCCACGCACCACTAGCATCATTGACAAAGTGCATACGCTTGTCAAAGCAATGCCTTTGAACGCACCTGGAGACTGGATAGGCAATTCGACATCGTGTTTTTGCTGTTCGTCTGACAGTGCAAGAGGTCTAGATGGTTTGGATTGTCCGGAGTTGTCTAGGACTTTTTCCATGACCGTCAAAGGGTAAGCAGACCTTTGAAAGAGGCAAAGACTTCAATCGGCTGGGGATCAGGGTACATATACGGTTCTTGCAGAAATCGTCTGACGCATCGTACTGCATGACCCACAGAGGATGAAGACCCTAAGCGACAGAAGGAAGGCCGAATGTTTGGCGTTCCTCATTGTCGTAAGTACAGGTGACGAAATCAGAAAGATACAAGGTGACAAAGAGTTCATCTTTGGTTCATTTTAAGAAAAACATGTCGAAGGTTATAACGTTAATTATCCGAGTGAGCGCTTCTGAATAGTTTCTGAATGCGGTGAAACAGGACCCCCGCTAATTCCTATAGGTGTCTCATCCCGGTCAGCCCGAAAACTACAGCTGTACGGCCGGCATGTCTCAGGGCTGCCAGCCCGAAAATGGTACTGAACTGACCGCCCCTCCCCGGTGCTCAGTCGGCCCGAAACAGCAGCTCGTGGAGGTATCCCTCATCCCGGGAGCCCGAAACAGGAGCTCATCCGAGATGTCGAAGGGCCTCTCAATGTCGAGCTCGCTGAAGCCGTGTGAGAGTTCCTCAAGTCGTCTCGCAAATGCAGTAAGCCTGAAGAAGTGGATGCGGATGGAGTTGCGATGCCGGACAAGCACGGCGAAGGTTGTATAGTGTAATAGTATCTGCATTCAATGTACGGTAGAAGAAATGTATCTTACATGCCTGGTCAGCCCGAAAATCGACCGTCTTAGGGCATCCTACATGCCGGAAGCCCGAAACAGCCAAAATCGGCCAAAATTCCCCAGCCCGAAACAGGCCCAAACTGGCGATTTAGGGATGAGACATATATAGGAACTAGCGGGGGTCCTGGTGAAACTCATGCGAGTGACGGAATATTGAATTCACACCGTCGCCTTCGTTCAAGTTCGTTGCTCTTTCTTTACATTCATTATGACTCTCCTCCGATTTGCCTCCAAGATAATGCTGCCAGACTTCCTCAGGCCGTGATAGGTTCGCTTCCGGTCGAATGTCAAGATTCCGTCACACAGCGCGAGTTCGGCTGAAACGACCCACTCAGAGTTCCGTCTGCCCTTTTCAGACACTCAGAGGACTGCCTTACGTCTTGCAGCGATATGTGGATACCTCTCACGTTGGCTGACATTCATGGGTCCCTTCTTTGCTGCCATCTCTCTTGGTCGCTCTCTTACTCAGCTGGACGTAGGGATCAGGCTGACAAGTACTAACCGATTTACCGCCCTTAGGAAAGGCTGCGTTTGTCACTGGTCCCCCACTCCCGTGGAATCAGCACATCTATCTCTCAGGGCCTCGCCGTTGGCGGTGCGATTGTTATCATCAACTATGACGCAGACCCCCCACTCCCCCTCCGCTTGTGTTGTTGCCAATATTATCAACGCCCATGAAGGCTGACCAGCAGCCGTGATGAAAGCTGATGGAGAAGCTTGGAATTCTGGATATGCCTTAGTCTCGAGTGCTGGTGTTATGGGGCATACGCCGCTTGTCTGCGAATGATATGACGCTTGCTCTTACCTACTGTCTCAATCACACCCTCAATATTCTTAAAGCAGTTTGAACGAGTGCTAGCATTATAATATGACGGGTGGGAAGGTCTAACACAATGCCTCCCATAATGAGGTCTGCCTGCACTAGTTTCATCACCCATCAATTGCGAAAATTCCCTCGCTTGACGTTCTTAGGCTTGTGACCACGCTGCTGCTTCGTTCAGTGACTCCAATTTCGCCGGCCTCGGTGCCGGTACTAGCTGAATGCGTATAAACAAGGGTCAAGGTTGCTTCTCTAAGATGTAACTTCCAGCCTCTTTGCATATAGCCAATAACTACTGTATCTTGGACTTGTACAACGCGACATTCGTTAATTGGTAATCACCGAACAGTTGGGGCCATGAACACACTTCTTGATCAAACCAAAGTGGAGTCCATCGCACCTGATCTTGAGGCACAGAAACTCTACATGTACGTGATGCATTCACTGAGCCAAATCTGATTTGAAGTGACTTGTTTTGAAGTTTTCATCCAGATACGCTCGCGATTCCAAGTATTGCTACCGGTCTCTCAATTCTCGTCTTACTTTGCCAAGCACTGGTTTCCGCGTTTAGGAGATCCAAAGCGCGGCTTCGAAGAGCTGAAAATATTCCTCATGAAGATCCTGTCGAAATCACTAACCACAAAACTTCGGTTCGAACTCTAGTTGACGCAAATGGAGAAACGACCATCCTCACATTTAGAGTCGCGAGGCATGTGGCATGTCTTTGTCTCCTTAGTCTCACTTTATCTACTGCTGTTTCGACGCGTCATTCTGTATCGCGTTGCCACTCCGGTTTTCAGGTCGGATTGTGTATCACCTATGTAGGTCCACTTTGAGTGATGATTGTTCGAGCATGGTCTGACCTGTTAAAACAGGGTTATATGTCGCTCCTATCCATAGCCTCGCTTCTCCCGACGTCGTGGAGGAGGGCCTCGAATATTCACCTTTCAGTTCTTCTTTTGTTTGCTTGGAGCACTTTCATGTACCGCGATGTCTGGCCTCTCGCAACGTACACGTTGACACCTAGGGACATTCACGAAGGTTGGCTCATATGGCTCAAAATCGGTATACTCTCTCTTGCAGCAGTCGTGATCCCTTTGGTCGTTCCCCGGCGATATATACCTGTCGATCCTCAGGTACGCTTAAGCTCTTGGAAAAGTGTTTCTGAAAGTTTCACACACGTGTGCGATCGTAGAACCCAATGCCTGTTACAAATCCAGAGCAAACAACCCCTCTCATTTCATTCCTATTGTACTTCTTCGTGGACAACATCATCTTCAAAGCTTTGCAAATGCCTCATTTAAGCATTGATGATCTTCCACCTTTGCCTGACAGGGATCAAACAACGAATCTGATGAAGGCTAGCTCCCAGGTATGTCTTTTGTTTTCTCTTAAATGCCTCGTTTACTGAATGCTGCATTACGCTACCAGTACCTTGATCCACTTAAGTCGAAGGAAAAGCGGCACGTCTTCTGGAGTCTGTTGAGAGTCTTTGGTAAGCACTATAGCCCACCGTGACCCGTTCTGAGACTCAGGTGTCTTGGGAATCAAGGCAAGGTGCACGTCTTTATGACGATTTTGCTTGTCGCGCGCGTAAGCAACTGTCAACTCACTATGTGAACGTTGACCAATCCCGGACGGTAGGTATTTACATCGTTTGCGGCCCCCTACGGCATGAAAAGACTCTTAAAGTCAGTTCATATCATGTGGTTGATTTTGCCTCCTAAGCCAATTCCATTAGTTATCTTGAGGATCGCGATCGAGAGACTTTTGTTCGCCCTTGGGTATGGATCGTCTGGCTGCTCGTGGGGCCGCTTTTGGCCGGTGTCGCAATGCAGTGGTATTACTTCCTTTCTGTATGTTTCACATGACCTCATCTTTTCGTCTCTAACATTCTCGTATCGCAGGCTAGAACTCGAGTGCGGTATCAAGCGCTCCTGACCCAGTTGATCTTCAATCATACCTTACGCATGCGAGTCAAGGCAGACATTGCGTTTGAGAAGACATCGACAGGATCGGGCGCAGCTGAATCAGATGAAGTCGAGTCAGTCACCAAGAGTAGCAATTCTCTGGGTAAATTGTTGAATCTGGTGACGGGCGACATGGAAAACCTTGAGCGTGGTCAACATTTCCTATTCGTTGGTATGCAGCCTGAATAGTGTGCCTTGGATGTTCTTTGTTAATCCTTGGCTTGCAGTTCTCTACTGTCCGCTTCAGATTGCGTTGAGTATATATTTCCTTTTCACGACTCTGGGAGTCAGGTGAGCTTACCCTAAGTCATCGCGTTCTCTCTTTAACGAACGTCGTAGTGTCATCCCGGGTGCCATACTGATGGCTCTACTGATCCCAGTACCCGGATATCTCATGAAGCGTATGCATACAGTCCAAGTTGATAAGATGCGGAAGGTATTCGATTGTCCTTGTTATCGTTTATGATTACATATGCCTAATTATCTTATATAGACTGACGCTCGTATCCAAAGCTCGACGGATGGTGTGTTATGTCCTTTGGATATCGCAAACTTGCGTAACTCAAGGGTATTTCACAGCAATCAGCGTCATACGCATGATCAAGCTTTTTGGCTGGGAGCAGAAAATGACCGAGCAGATCGACCGGAAACGTGAAGTAGAACTCAAAGCTGTGAAAGAGTTCAAAGTCTTGCGGGTCATCAATGGGACGATGAGGTTTGTTCCTCACATCTGGTAATCACAAGCCTCCAGTTGAAGGTGTTGTATGCAGCTACTTCCTCCGATATGCCTCTATGGTCCTAACATTCGTGATCCACGTAAGTGTTTCGCGAGAACGGAGTGATAATATTCTCATGCATCACAACAGACCGTCATTCTGAAGAGAGAATTCACTGGTCTGTCGTCATGTATCTAGCTCATGTATTCGATCTCTGACTCTGAGCAGCCTCCCGAGTGTTCTCATCACTTTTAGGTACGCATTCTACGCGCTAAGGCTTTAGTGGCCTCACATTTTACTCTCGTAGTGTTTGAGCTATTAGGTGAACACCTTGATATGTTCTTCCGAGCAGTTCCGGCCATGATCACAGGTGTGCTAATAACTCGCTTTGTGTTATACGTTTCGAAGTGACTTATCGCCTTCCAATAGCGAAGGTATCATTAGACCGAATATACGAGTTCCTCCAGAAGGTGGTTAATATAACAGCTAGAAGTTGCATTCTTTGCTGATGGCGAGATACTAGACTGAGCTTCTGGATGTATTTGCTTCGGATCATCCGCAACATGGTGTCGATTCAGCAAGTGATATCGTAATTCGTGCCTCGCGCTTCACATGGACATCCGATACTGAGCGCAGTAACACATTCTCGTTGAATGTGCAAGATGAAATCTTGTTCCGGCGAGGAGATTTCCATCTCATCACTGGTCCAACGGGCTGTGGGAAGACTTCATTGTTGATGGCTCTCCTCGGTAAGCTTCTGTTTGTGTTATTGGATGATCTGGATTAGCAGAATAATTTCAGGCGAAATGCATTACATACCCCTTCGCGAAGACTCGACAGTGCAGTTGCCTCGTACAGGTGACGTTGCATATCATGCACAAGAACCTTGGATCTTCAATGACACGATACGGGTGTGTAGTATCATGACACTGCTAACAGACTGCTAAAACTCGTGTGTCTCACTGTGCGGCAGAATAATATTCTCTTCAATGAGCCATATGATCAAGATCGATATATGAAAGGTAGAAAAGCGGTTGTTGGCTGAATGCTGTCTTATTTGTTTGTAAGTTGTCGAGCAGTGCGCATTACAGGAGGATTTCGAACAGTTTGACGCTGGGGATGCAAGTGAAGTCGGTGAGAAGGGAATTAGTCTAAGGTATGCACGATGATCATGTCATATCACCTCCGGGGACCAGACTGAACATTTAATCTCACAGCGGAGGTCAGAAGGTAATTTGTCTCGTAGTTTATCTCTAAGCTGGACTCATTGTCTTGGTTAGGCTCGCCTGTCTTTGGCTCGTGCCATTTATTCACATGCAGGGATCCTCCTTCTTGATGATGTGAGTCGCATCATGCTGAAAGAATTGGGGATTCTTGTTTAATCGAGTATAGGTTTTGGCAGCCCTTGACGTTCGGACGACTCGTTGGATTATAGAGAAGTGCTTCAGAGGAGAGTTGTTGAAGGATCGCACGGTCATCCTGGCGGTTAGTCATTTTCTCTCCTTAGCAGACCTGCACTGAGGGAGAGATCAGACACATAGAATAGCAATGGTTAGACACGCCGCAAATTCAATACTCACAATGGGTCTCGACGGCAGGTCCATAAAGCAAAGTGACTTGCAGGCTGATGCATCCAACTTCTCCACGGAATTTGAAGCACAAGAAACTCAGGATAATCAGATCGACATTCCTGATAGAAAGGGTGTTAGCGGGCAACTAATACCGACAGAAGAGGTTGCTTTCGGCCATGTCGGCGTATCAGCGTGTACGTTAACCTTCGTACAGTCTGTTCTGATGACTAAATGTATTGTTTTGGTCACATTCAGTCCTGCTTTTCTTCGCAAACATCGGCCAAACTGTGGCTTCTGTCTTCTTTTTTACGCTTTCCATGTTATGTTTGGAGTCATTTGGTCAATTTTCTGGCGTTATGGAGACCTGGTCTTTGGGAAACTGGTCGAAGCAATACGACCTACAACCTCCATCTGAGATTCCGATCATACAGTGAGTGGCCTGTCACTCATCCTATGCCTCTCATTAACCTCATTTGCCCCAAGCTATTTGTCTATCTATCTTCTCTTTTCGCTGGGCTCTATTACAATGACCACCACGGCATTCATCGTGTTCATTCTGGGCAGTGTTAGGTCGTCACGAAGGATACACGAGATCCTACTGAAGTCGGTTTTGGGTACCACATGGCGGTTTGTTTGCCTATCATGTTTGTGGTGAACAACATCTAATCGTGTAGCTACGTAGGTGGTTGGATGAGACACCTGCTGCCCGGATCATTGTACGTTTCACACAGGATATTGAGACTGGTGAGGGTTCAGACGTTGATGTAATGACGTTCCTGCTAACACGCGTCAGTTGACGGTCCTTTGGCATCCTATTTCTTTCAACTATTTGATTGCTCGATGCAGATGATATTCAGGTTCACGGCGATCTTGATGGTGACCCCGTCTTTTGCTCTATTAGGAGTAATCATAGCTGCACTGGGACTTGCTGCAGGTCAAGCGTTCATGAAGGCTCAACTACCAATAAAGCGTGAAACAAGTCTGGCCCGTGCGGCTGTTGTTGGGCATCTAGCAACGTCACTTTCTGGTTTAGGTGAGTGTATACACGTACGCGTTTCCATCAATCGCTCATAGGTTACAGTAACAATCCGCGCTTATGGGGTGCAGGAACGATATGGCCTGGAACTCCATGGTGTAATTGATCAATACTCCAGAGCTGCGAGAACAACATCTAACCTGAATCAGTACGATATACACTACCTTCTTTACTCCAATCGCTGAGCTCAAGTAGATGGATCTCCACCCGCATTGATATGCTTGGGGCATTGTTTGTGGCTAGTCTGTCCGTCTACCTCGTCTACAGAGATAGCGCGGATGCATCCATATCAGGTTTCTCTCTTACACTGGCAGGTATGAAAGAACCCCCCGCCGTATAATTATATCTGACTTTCACCTTATAAAGTGAGCACCTGTGGACTGCTATTTTGGTGGGTTCGCGTGGTCAACGAGGTCGAACTTAACAGTACGATGAATAGTTTCTCACTCTCGCACTGCGTCTAATCTACCGTATTTCTAGGTAATAGGTTAGCACTTCGTGTGATAACGGGGTGTCCTTTTTGTCACTTATCTTGCTTGGCAGTCTGGAACGTATACAACAGTTCACAAGGATAGACCAGGAACCGGTACATGCAAATTTCATTCCTCCAGCATATTGGCCCTCAAGTGGCGCACTGGTTGTCGAGAACCTTTCTGCACGATACTCTACGGTGATTCTCAAATTTCATAATTTATTCGCTTTTGCTAACATGATCATCAAGGATGGTCCATTAGTCCTCCAGGGCATCTCCTTCCGAATTGAACCAGGGGAGCGTATAGGTCTCGGTACGTGTCGCAATCACAAGATACACAGCTTTCTAATTGAGTTGTCTACAGTCGGTCGTACGGGTAGTGGCAAGGTAAACAGATGGTGATTCCATTGAATACATTCAACTGATGATTTAATTTTCCAGAGCTCCCTAGTTTTGTCTCTACTTCGCTGCATTCCAACGGAAGGAGAGGTCTTATTCGATGGCATCGCCACTGATTCCATCCCACCCAATGCTCTAAGATCCAAAGTCACCGTGATTCCACAAGTGGTAAATGATTCCAAATGGCATGAATATTGGGAGCGTACTAACTGATGCGCGATAGCCCGAGTTATTGCATGGCACATTAAGACAGAACTTAGACCCCTTCTTCCAATACAGCGATGCTGAGCTCAACGATGTACTTCGTGCAAGCGGCCTCTTCTCACTTCAAAGTGAGGCTGTCGAAGCACCGAGAATTACACTGGATACCCTGATGTCTGGTGGTGGAAGCAACATATCGGTTGGTCAACGTCAAATCATTGCTCTTGCCAGAGCTATGTTGCGGAGAAGCAAGCTTGTCATACTTGATGAAGGTGTGTGCTTACCTGTAACGTTTTCCTCGCCGAGTACTAAGAATTCCCATTCACAGCGACCTCTGCCATTGGTGCGTATTTGCCACGTTATCATACAGCAACGGGGTATCGATCACGCCCTTATCCTTAGACAACAAGACGGACTCCACCATCCAGGCCTCTTTGAGAGAGAACCTTGGCACAGATGTATCCATCATAACGGTTGCACACCGTTTGCACACCGTCATGGATGTTGACAGAATCGTACGTGCATGATCTCTTGTTGGCGGAACATCTCCTTACAAGCTACGAACAGATCGTGCTCAGTGCCGGCCGCTTGGTAAGCTTCACGAATGGGTTGCAGCGGAAAGCGTTGACGGCAATGTTGATCCTCTACGATAGATCGAGTGCGGAAGGCCCGAGGATCTCCTCACAGATGCGAACAGCGCTTTCTATGCGATGGTTAACGAAGACGGTGACCGAGACTGGCTCATCGAGTTGGTCAAGACTAGGACAAAACCATCTCAGCCCGGTGGATCAGAGTAGTAAGACGTGCGGGAATTGCATTCCTTCTCTTTCTGAACAATGGTGCGACTGGCATCGTGTATGGCGATGGATGTATTGCCGGAAAATGAAAAGATAGATAAAGAACCTGCGTGGAGGAATCTACATGTAAAATAAAATTGTCAGGAACTAGAGGGAAGGATGGGTGACCAGAATGGTGTCCATGCAGGCTGAACGAACAACAACAACGATTGATGATAACGACGTACCGGTTAGATGCAGAGGATTGACTAGGAAAACGGTCGAGAAGGCGTTGATCTCTTGCAAAACTACCTCTAGTTGCGGCTGTTGCGTTGAAGGAGACATATGGAGCCTCGACACTATGTGTGAGATGTATAGCTGTCCTGTATGTTGTCCGTCGTGCGCGGCTGGCCTGTGGGCACTGCCAAAACACCGTATGAGTAAGAATCGGAAAGGCAGTATTAACTTTAAAACGTAACACACGTTCAGCGGCGGAGGAAACATTCACCGAGGTTTGAAGTCCAAGTATATGGCGAACGAATAATTATGGGGTAGCGGGGTATCTTGTTTCGTGGTTCCTTGGACAAAGAGTCAGTACTTTGGAGCAAGGCGAGCGGCCGCCGATCGCATGGAACGTTTGATTTTTCTTCTAGTTCAGCCTCGGTGTGGTGACTGTCAGAATTAATGACTCCATTGAGGCTATGAACGTTATTGAAATCGAGAGGTGTAGCTTCAGAGCCTACTGGACGTGGTACCCGAACGAAGTATGGAGAAGACCTGCCGTGTCCTCTGTCATGGTTACTGAAGAACCCCAGGATGGAAATGAGATGGAGAACAGCTTCCAATGACTATCGTCGTGGGGCAGGGACGGAACTCGTAAAGATACGGCCAGTGTACAAGCCATGAATAAGCGTGAGCTGTGTCCATCGGCATCGACATCTCCATCACTCGTACTGATTGAGAAGGGCCCACATTTGTGACACAATACGGGACGGGAAGAAACGATACCTGGCATACGCACGTTCATAGTAGCAGCGCGATGTAACATGTGCAGAAAAGAGTCCAAGCTATGCACTCGCCTCTGGGCTGTGAACAATGGTCTACGTTGAAGGCGGTATCGCTATAGCCAAGATGTTCATTCTCCAATGGCACTGTCTAGAAAATGAGGACTAGGTTTTATGCCGGCGCCAAGATGTCACTTGGAGGCTTGGGGCGGCCAGACTTGGAGTCGACACGATAAAAAATTCGGAGTGGTCATCAATTGATTAGTAAAGCGTTCGCTAAGGTGGACCGAATTCAATACAAATTTACGCTGCACATATTCAGAGACGTCTCTTTTTTCCGATATTCGGATGAAAGCGAGCCAACGATAAACAGCTAAAGTCACTATCAGTGAGAAGAGTTCACGTATTGGGCTTGGAAAAGCAGAAGCAAATGGAAACCGAGGGACTTGCATGAGAAGATGCAAAGTGCTACCGGCTCCTAGTCCTGACAGCCAGATCAAAGTCCTTTTGAGAGGAATTGTGGGTAGGTGGCAAGTGTTAATGTGCCTAGCTGCACGGCAGTTACTTGACAGATCTGCTTGCCCACCTGGAAGCTGGAAGTTTGATGGATCTCCACTCGGCCCAGAACGGAAGGAGGAGCATGAGGACCTTGCGTACGGCGAGTCGGCGGCGACGGTAAACATCTGAAAGTGCGCAGCCTTGAGCAATTACATAGGCCCTGGATTCGCACAGGAAGTCTTCTAGTCTTCTGGATCCGTATATACCAGAGGAAAAGACCGTAGAGGCGTGCGGACAGAATCTATCTATAAGCTAATATCATATCGAGAAGTTGTTTGTAGCTAAGTCAGTTGCACCTTTGTGGCAGTACTTACGAGTACAACAAGGGAAGATAGCTGATGTTGATGAGTACAGGAGAAGTTCCCTATGTACAGGGCTAGACAGCTCTCGGAAGTTTTCTTTTGATCGTGTTGAGTATAGGCCTCATGACGACGACATCTTGAGAAAAGGAGATTCCTCACAGATTTCAATCAAAGCAGTACATGACATACACAGGAGAGACCTGGGGAGAAAAAGATGCCGGAACATTAGGTTCTGTCTGGGACCTCGAGGCGATTTCGGCGGGGTCGGACAGCGAGGGGTGCACACAGTGACTAGCTTGACAGACAATTCAGGGGAGCCGAGCAAGCACCACGCGGGTACTCTGTGCAAGTCCATTCAGTCCATAATCCAAGGCCTCCGTTCAGAAGACAAGAATACGAGGGAGATGGAGTGAAAGCTTTGGCGGAAGAGTGTCTTGAATCGGACGGGCGGACGGAAGCGCACGGTGGTGAAAGGCGGTTTACCCTGATGTCGGGAAGGATTAACAGCGACGTTTTGCGGAGGAGAGATAGAAATTTTGTGCTGAGATGACCCAAGAGGGTGTTTTAGGCATGAACGTGCATACCCAAGACCTTGTGGGAAAAATACCTATCCGCCGCAAAAGGCAAGAGAACAAACAAGGATCAGCAACGGAGGAGGCGCTGATTGGCTAGCGAGTACGAACGTGCAAGGAACAGCTGCAAGTCTCACACTCCATCGAGGCTCATCGAGGGTGCTATATTTCTCTATCGGAATCACGCGAGCCAAAATGATAGATCCATTTCACGAGCATATAAAGCCGCTCAATATGCTTCAGGAACAGTGTCCTCTCTTTCTCCTCCCGTCCGCCCGACAAGCAGGTAAACGAGATGGCATCCTACGCTGTGGACAAGACTTCGACCAGCAGCACTGAGGAAAAGGTTCAAGATCAGAGTTACATACTCGATGAGAGGCGTCGCGCAGCCCTCGCAGAGATCGACAATGCCAAGTTCTCGTAAGTCTCTCACTCTTTTTTTTGACAAGCTGTGGATCATTTCTGATTTGTTTGCTAGATGGTTTCATTTCAAAGTCTGCATGGTTGCCGGTGTTGGTTTCTTTACCGATGCGTCAGTGCAGCCCTCGCTCCCACATGTTCTGATTTACTCAAGTGCGCGCTCTATGTAGTTATGATATCTTTGCCATCAACATCGCGTCGACGATGTTGGGTTATGTCTACGGACCAGGTCAAAAGCTCACCCCCAATCAGGATCTCGGTGTAAAGGTCGCTACGCCAGTTGGTACTTTGGTCGGTCAGCTTCTCTTCGGATGGCTTGCGGATCTTCTTGGCCGTAAGAAAATGTGTAAGTGTTCTCCTTCTTTCGACCGTCTCCCGTCCTGACCCTGACCTTGCAACAGACGGTATTGAGCTTATGATCATCATTATCGCTACTTTCGGTCAAGCTGTCTCCGGTCACGCACCTGCCATCAGCATCATCGGCGTTCTCGTCGTCTGGAGATTCATCGTACGCTATTTCCTCTTTTTTCCCTAATGAACATACGTTTGTTCATACATGCTGGTTTCTACAGATGGGTGTTGGTATTGGTGGTGATTACCCGCTGTCTGCAGTCATGACTTCGGAGTTCGCATCAACACATATTCGTGGTCGTCTCATGACCGCCGTCTTCGCTAATCAGGGTTGGGGACAGTTGTGTACGTCCACTTCTCTCAGGAATTATCCATGCTGCTAACTAACATGTTTATAGCGGCCGCAATTGTTGCCCTCGTTGTCGTCTCGGCGTACAAGAGTACTCTGCTAAACGATGACCCAGCCGTTCTCGGGAGCGTAGACCCGATGTGGCGTATCCTCATCGGTCTTGGATGTGTACCTGGTGTCATCGCTCTTTACTTCCGTCTGACTATTCCGGAAACCCCTCGTTTTACCATGGACATTGAACGCAACATCCAGCAAGCCACTAAGGATGTGCAGACCGTCGTCGGTGAAGGTCACAAGGTAGACCCCGTTGTTAAAGTTGACCGCGTCCTTGCGCCGAAGGCTACCAGACGCGACTTCGCGGCTTATTATTCCAAATGGTCAAACCTCAAGGTGCTCATCGGTACTTCCTACTCTTGGTTCGCTCTCGATGTAAGTGTCTCGGCGTCTTCACAGCTTGAAAGTCATGTTCAACTTGGTCTCAGATTGCGTTCTACGGCCTCGGCTTGAACTCCTCCATCATTCTCTCCGCGATCGGTTTCGGTGCACCCGATAAGAGCCTGACGGGCACTGCTGCTGTGTACCAGAACCTCAAGAACATCTCCGTCGGTAACCTCATCCTTGTCGTCGCCGGCCTAATTCCTGGTTACTGGGCCACTTTCCTCTTCGTGGATAGCTGGGGACGTAAGCCGATTCAGTACATGGGCTTCATCGTCCTCACGATTCTCTTCGTCATCATGGGTATGCCACTCAAAACTTTGTTCGTCCATATTCAAGACTAATTTGATACGTTCAATCTAGGATTCGCCTATGACAAGTTGACTGCGACCCCTGCCGCAACGAAGGCTTTCGTATTCCTTTACTGCCTCACCAACTTCTTCCAGAACTTTGGTCCCAACACGACAACTTTCATTGTTCCCGGAGAAGCCTTCCCTACTCGTTACCGTTCCACCTCTCATGGTATCTCTGCCGCCAGTGGCAAGCTTGGTGCTATTGTCGCCCAAGTCGGTTTCGCTCGTCTCAAAGATATCGGAGGCCCGAGCGCATTCGTCAAGCATATGTACGTATCTCTCTTTCTTTGCTATTTTATGACCGAGCATTGACGGTTGGCACCTCTTCAGTTTGGAGATCTTCGCATTGTTCATGTTGACTGGTATCTTCTCAACGTATCTCATTCCCGAGACGAAACAAAAGTCACTCGAAGACCTTTCGAATGAGGAACAAGACGGCTTTGTCGCTGGTCCTGCTCCCAGGGACGATTCATTAGCTTGATAGATGTCGGTGTTGTATCAGTAGAGCTCTACATCTCCCCTCACGTCTTTACATGTTTTTCGTATTCTGGAACAACGCCTCCTATACCTATGTGCTCCTTGCGTTCTCTGTAATCCCTTCTGCTGTACGAACGTCCCCGGAATTTTGTGGATCGTTACATGTTGTGCACGCTTTCGTTGGAGGAAGTATAAAGAGTCGGTGTAATATCATTCGTAGATAGTTCTTCATGCCGTATAATGAATGACCTTTGCTGTATTCTGCCTATCTGAACTTATGATACTCCCAATATCCAGAACGGTATCCTTCATGAACGTTTGAACTGTTTAGAAACAAACGTTCAAAGCGGCACGTAGGCGAGGTTGCCCTTTCGGATATCTTCTCGATCATACGCAACGATCGACTCCACTGTACACTTGGCCAGCGGGTGTTGGGGCGGCGATGACGTTCGGCTGACGGCCGTCGTAGAGCCTCGCATCCGCCGAAAGAATCAACTATGTAGCTAGTATCAAACTTGACTAGAGACCCAACAACTTTAGTTTCAACACCGTCTTATCGAACCATTAGAATCATCCGTTTATTCTCAGATAACGGCACAAGAAGCTGGTGAATAACACATTTATATAGTTGAACCTTCTCATCCACTAGCAGAATAACCGAATGTGGCTCACATGAACCCTTGACACGATGCAGATCTTCGAAGTCATATTTAGAAAATATTCACACACCCGCATTCAAATATCTCCCGCCCAGATCTGCCTTACGACAATAATACACTCAACAACCCAAGTACACGGGTCTAATCCAGATTCCAATTATGGCACCCAAAGAAGATAGGAAACCAGAACTCCTCCCACCCTCGTCCTTCTCCGAACCCTCAGACCCTTCCGAGATCATACCTGAGGACAAGGGGGAAAAGAAATGGACGGGTGAGCAGGGAGAGAATCCTCAACTCATTGCCCATACTCCTGGGAAGCAGGGTGCTGATAGGAACCGAGCGGGAAAAGGAAAGGGCAAAGATAAGGGAGGCAGGTCAACGTTGGGTCCGCCGGCTGGTCAGGTTGGGACTGCCAAGGCATATGATGCAATAGAGAAGAAAGGAGGCTATGTGGGAGGAAAGTTGAACTCAAAGTTGTAAATTGAGAGTTCGATGGCGGGGACGGGTCTTGGTGTCAGTGTGAAATATCCAAACCAAATGCGGAAGAGACAGTTGGGATGCAGGGTGACGATGTGTTGGCCCTCGGTGTTCTATGCATAGCCATTATATTGCATACCTGGATTTGTCAATAAGGAAGCCTCTTGAGAGATAGATGGAGGCGTTGCTGCGTGAGAGTCCGCCCACAGCAAATTTGCATTCATATTGTATTGACTCGTAACCGGGTGAAATTCCCATCGTACAGCCTACACCACGGCAGAAGAGCAGACACTTATCTCGCTCATTTTTCCTTGGATCTGGCATCGCAATTTGGTAAGGTGATGACAACAGATCCGTTAGATTCACATTGTACTAGTACTACGTCCAAGTCTTGCCCCTTCCTTAGAACACGAAGCTCAACTTGGTTCTGAGGGAGTGGCTACCTAGTGACGCATAGGGCAGTAACTAAATCCTGCGAACAATGATTAGTATGACCTAATTGAAGCCGGTAAAAAAAAACTTAACGATAGCCTTCAATTCAGTGTACTTACTATCACCACTAAGTTCTGAAGGTGTTCTGAAACGGCGCTTATCATTCCTACTACCCCAATTTGGTAAACAAAAAATAAGTTTTCGGCTTTGGTTTGCCACTGCTCAAATTCAAACTCATAGCTACAACGCCAGTCACAACTCGTATCCGACTGCGCTGCTGAGAGGCTGGCACAGATACTATACGACGTAAGCTAACTCATGAGTCTTCCGTGGCGAGGGTATGTGCTGTCCTGAGCATCTCTCTGCCTAATTCAGAGCTAACGCACGTTCGTGATGCTTTGGGGTCGTAAGTCAGTATTTCTCCCCTGAATGGATGCACCGCTGACAGTTAGAGTTTGTTGTACCTGATATGGCCGTTGACGTGGGCATCCTTTGCTGTAATCGGTCCATAGCTAACGTTGTATAGCCTCTCCCTAATTGCAAGAGCTTTTTCCCGCCTTGTCCTTGCTTTGTGCTGGGCGTTCACTACACGACGTTTACGGGCTATTTACTATCGTGCTCAAGACAACTTGCCTAACTCTCTACAGCGCTCTGACTTGTGTAGATGACATTGTTCCTGGTTGCTGGATACGAGCATGATTTCCCATGGCATGGCCATCGCCATTGAAGGCCCTACAAACGGTATAAATCAGTACTTCTGTGTAGTGGCGTCTTATATCAGGGCCCATCATGAAATCCGAATATCCCTCCGAGGCATCTGCAACAAGTCACAGTTCCGTTCCGCAGTCTCCCCCCACAAAGCACGACTATAAGCCTTCCATCACCACCCCTGCAGGGTTGGTTGTGGCGACAAGCTCTTCCTCAATCAAGAACCATCCTGCTCAAGAAGAGTCTATTGACCCACCTGACTACGTTTTACCAACATCATCCGCGAAGCACGGATACATCCCTCTTCCATCCAGCAATAGCGACCCTCCCACGTATACTTCTTCTAAGGCCCGTCAAGTTCCAGGGATAGTAATGTCGAGCCCTGGACTATCTGGATCCCAGTATCCGAACGAAGGAGGCTGGTATCCGCCGGCAGAATCCAACCAGGAAAGATATTCGCTTGATGAATGGAGTCCAGAGTATATCCTCAACAAACGGCGACAGGAAGCTCTTACGGAGGTCGACAACGCCAAATTCTCGTAAGTATATTAATCGAACTTCTTTTAGTTGATACATCCTAAACTTTCTTCCGAAGCCGATTCCATGCGCGGGTATGCTTGGTGGCAGGAGTTGGTTTCTTCACCGACGCGTGCGTAATCTGACTAAAACGCCTACTTCTTCGTGATCCTGATGTATGTTTATAGTTACGACATCTTCGCCATCAATATCGCGTCGACAATGATAGGGCATATCTACGGACCCGGTGAGGACCAAATCTCGTTACCTCTAGACGTTGATTACTGACACCAGTTTTAGCTGTGAACGGGCAGGGGAAGTTGAGTGATGCGCAAGACTTTGGAATCAAGATGGCGACCCAAGTTGGTACTCTGATCGGCCAATTAGTCTTTGGTTGGATTGCAGATATTGCTGGACGAAAGCGCATGTGTAAGCACGATCCATCTAATCCTTTCAGGAATACGCGTTGATATCTCTTCCAGATGGGATCGAACTCTTGATCATCGTCTTCTCAACGTTGGCTCAGGCATTGGCCGGAAGTGCTGCGACGTCGGGGTCCGTAACGATCGTCGCTTCAATAATCGTTTGGAGATTGCTGGTAGGTCCCGGCTTTGATATTCTGTTGCACTTAGGATGAATGCTTCTGCAGATGGGCATCGGTATAGGTGGTGATTATCCACTCAGTGCCATCATAACCTCGGAGTTCGCACCCTCGCACATTCGAGGGCGGCTCATGGCAGTTGTGTTTTCGACCCAGGGCTTGGGACAACTGAGTGTGTATACAGTGCCCTCAACTACAAAGTTACTAACCTAGAGACATTGCAGCTGGTACTATCGTCGCCTTGATTGTCATCGCGAGTTACGAGAAATCGCAGAATCTCGATTCAGCATGGCGTTTACTTATAGGACTCGGTTGCGTTCCTGGTGTTGCGGCCCTGTACTTTCGTTTCACTATCCCCGAAACTCCCCGGTTCACTATGGATATTGCGAGGAATGTCGCCCAAGCAACGCAAGACATACAAAATTACCTCAGATATGGTGTTTTCTTCGTGGACCGCGATGCTACGATCGAACGAGTACAAGCACGCACAGGTTCTAGACGTGACTTTGTGGAGTATTTCTCGCGTATGGAGAATCTTAAAATTCTTATTGGAACTGCGTATTCATGGTTTGCTATTGATGTGAGTGACTTGTTGTGCCCTTAGCTATCATATGGCACTAATTTGCTTTGGATGCCACTGTAGTTTGCTTTCTACGGGCTAAACCTGAACTCGTCCATCATTCTCCAAGCGATCCACTACAGTGACTCGATTGCGAATTCTGACCTTCCACAAGCATTCGCAAGTCTTCGCAGGATAGCCATAGGAAACTTTATCCTCACAGCAGCCGGGTTATTGCCTGGGTATATCGCCTCAATCCTCCTGATCGAGCGTCTTGGTCGCAAGCGCATTCAATATATTGGATTTTCTGCTTTATTTGTTATTTTCTTGATAATGGGTACGTGTACTATCTGGGTTCACTATCTCTCCCTTTGGCTGATTCCTTTGTATGATCAGGCGCTGGCTACCAACTGTTTGCAGGGTCAGCTGCAAGTTCCGGCGGGGCGGTCCCCGGTCGAGTTGTAGCGTTCGTCTTCCTGTATTGCCTGGCGAACTTCTTCCAGAACTTTGGACCTAACACGACCACTTTCATCATACCCGGCGAGGCATTTCCAACACGATATCGTTCAACGGCACACGGAATCTCGGCAGCGTGCGGAAAATTGGGTGCCATCCTGGCTCAAGTGGTTGTCTTCGCGACCCACCTTTCTGGTGCGGACTCTGATGAAGGTCTCAAGTCTGATAATCATGCCCTACAGATACTGTAAGCTTGTTGCGTTCACTAAGAATGTTACATCTGCGACTGATACGATGATTTCTAGGCTTATCGTATGTTCGGTGTTTATGCTAAGCGGCCTCGCATCGACATGGTTAATACCTGAGACGCAAGGAAGAACATTGGAGGATATTTCCAATGAAGACCAAGAGAACTTCATCACAGGTGCGAGTTGTTCCAAAGATGGCGTAACATGGAATTCATTCTGAAACTCTCTCAGGTCCCCCACCACCACGGATGGCATCTCGTTGATGGGGAGGGAAAGTTCAGAAATGACAATGACAATGACAATGTAAGGGCTGGCGAACGTTCGTAGGACTCGCAAATTTGAGAGAGAACGGACTCTTCAAGTTTCTGATTCGCCGCGGTGTCAGCGTACCAACGTTCAGACCTTTTGCTGCTGGTTTCTTCTTCATCTAACCTATATGAGTACCTTACTTCTAGTATAAACCTTGCATTGACAGTCTCTGGGACATTGTAGAACACATTGTATATTTATTTCATGGTCTGCGGAGTTTTGAGCGCTTTTTATCTGATTGCTGAAGCGCTGGTTAATTGCCTGGAAATTTCGTCAGCTTCAACAGGTAAGTAGTCTTGGACTCTTGAACAGGCTTCCTGATCCGAATTTCGGTATTCTTGCATCGTCCAATCTCGTTGGTGTCCCATCTAGCCGTTGGCTACGTAAATTGTCCCCAACTGACTATTAGTGAGGTATTCAGTCACTGACATCCGGACAGCTGTCATGTATTACTGTCGGGGGTATTACTACTCTAGGTATGATCCAAACCGACTAACGGCGAACGTTCAGGGTCCGTGGGTGCGTAGCGCTCTTTGTTGCAACTAAAGTGAGCGATCTTCGGTTTACCGGAAACCAAGGAACGTCATCTCTTCTGATCCTTTCCCACTACCGTAGACGTTTCTATCATTATCATCACAATTGTAGGAATCCCGACGGATGTGATGCTTGGATTCGTCGTTATCGCTTTGTTTCTACAGCTTAAGGTTCGGTTCCTGGTAGGCTATGGCGGTCTGGAGTGTTCAGCGTCCGTTCTGGCATGACTTCTGACTGTGGCACTAGCGGGATAAAAGAGCCCAACCAATGAATCTGCTAACTTTGAGCTTATGTCTGCCTTATGCCTGTCACCATATATTCTCAAAAGATTGACCCAGACGGCATAGCCATGCCTCCCAGTACACGAACTGGTAGCTTGGTACTTTTGTCGGAATATAATCCCTACGTCCAGGATGACATGTATGTGCCGGAGCTACCACAACCTGAGCCAGCTCCTTGGCGGCAGCATCAGTATTACAATGGCTCCCCTATGGCTGCAGGTCATATATTGTCGATGCATAGCACCGTAGTTGCTCTGAACGCAAAGCGCCGGGAAGCCTTGGCTGAAGTGGATGAAGCAAAGTTCTCGTACGTGGGGTTCAATAAAACTTTTCGCAGGCAGTTTCATGACTATTGTGCAACAAAAGACGGTTCCATGCCAGAGTGTGTTTCGTCGCTGGAGTTGGGTTCTTCACAGATGCGTGCGTTTCTCCTTCTCCGTTGTTTCAACCGTTTGTTTAATCCTCTCATAGTTATGACATTTTTGCCATCAATATTGCTTCAACTTTGATTGGTTACATATATGGACAAGGTATGAGCACGTCCTCTCGCTTCAGAACATGGGTTTACTATCATCTATCATTTGTAGGCCATGCATTGAACACTGCTCAGGACCTTGGCGTGAAGATTGCAACGCAGACCGGCATCCTGTTTGGGCAGTTGATCTTTGGGTTCCTCGCAGATGTCTATGGTCGGAGAAAGATGTGTATGTCGTTGCAATCCGAAAAGTATCCATTTCATTCACACTTTTCATCGTGTTCATCAGACGGAATCGAGTTGGTAGTCATAGTATTCGCTACGCTTGCGCAAGCGCTTTCTGGTGCCGCACCTGCTGTTGGAATCATCGGATCTCTCGTTGTATGGAGATTTGTGGTAAGGCGATTAGTTTGTATTGGCATATAGTACTCACTAATTGTCTTCATACACGCAGATGGGGGTCGGCATAGGAGGTGACTATCCCTTGAGTGCGATCATTACCTCAGAATTCGCTCCCGTACATCTTCGCGGACGTCTTATGGCAGCAGTCTTTGCTAATCAGGGTGTGGGTCAACTCGGTATGTAGCCGAACATTGTTAGCAGCGTTTCAATCTTAATTATGGAGAACAGTGGCTGCCGTGGTCGCAATGATCGTTACAGTCGTAGCTAAGAAGAGTGCCACTATCGTCTCAACGGATGTTGCATGGCGTGTCCTGCTGGGCGTTGGCTGCATACCAGGATTGATTGCAATCGGCATACGATATACAATCCCCGAAACCCCTCGGTACATTATGGACATTGCTCGGAATGTTGACCAAGCAAGCCAGGATATTGACAACTATTTGAAAACCGGGACTTTCTACGTCGATCCGGATGCGCCCATCGAACGCGTTCAAGCTCCCCGAGCAACTAAACGGGACTTTTGGTATTATTTCACCAGATTTGACAACTTCAAGATCCTTTTTGCAGCCTGCTATTCATGGTTCATTATCGACGTGAGGCAATGCATTCTAAATATTATACATAGTCACGAACCCATCTAGCTTATAGTTCGCATTCTATGGTCTAGCCTTGAACTCCTCCATCATTTTGCAAGCCATCAATTTCAGTCCAACTGTCAAACACGCCGCTACTCTCGAGGACGCATTGTCGGCTCTCACTCGCATCGCCGAGGGAAACCTTATTCTCACTGGCGCAGGTCTTCTGCCAGGATATTTGGCCACTCTCATATTCGTTGACCGCTGGGGACGAAAGCCTATACAGTACACGGGATTTGGTGCCCTGTTTGCGATTTTCGCCGTTATGGGTGAGTAACTCATTTCATGGTAAACTCATACTTCAGTCCTCTTATGTTGAACCGTCCAGGCTTTGGATACGACCGCTTTGTCGCAGGGTCTGACAGCGATGGAGGCACCAATCATCCCATCACTCCTGGGATCACAGCATATGTATTCATTTATTGTCTTGCCTATTTCTTCCAGAACTTTGGACCGAACACTACCACATTCATTATACCCGGCGAAATTTTCGCAACACGATACCGTTCTACAGCCCATGGAATTGCTTCCGCAAGCGGAAAATCGGGTGCTATCCTTGTCCAAGTTGTCTTCGAACTCTGGCTCTTCCGTACGAATGCAGGCGTAGGTGGACTTCAAGACTTCCGTAAACCCATCCGGACAATGTGCGTCGCTGTTTTGTTGGCTCATCTACTCGTTGTTTAAGTTATGCGCGATATCGTTGCAGGTTCATCATATTCTCTTTCCTGATGTTGACTGGCCTTGTCTCTACATGGTGTCTTCCGGAGACGAAGAACAAATCGCTGGAGGACCTTTCCAATGAAAGCCAAGAAACATTCATAACAGGTATGCACTGAATCTGTTCTTGAATGGCAAAAAGTTAACATGGATTATCTTCCTTTTACAATAGGTCCTCCACAGCCGCGACCGCCAAGACCACCACGGTACTGACATCTTCTCGCTACCAAGATTCAAACCACTCTAGTAGGGAGCATAGGCGTTTCATTTTTCCAGGGTCACTGTACTAGCTCTCGTGCTGTATTTTACCATCTCCACTCGCACATCCAGACTAGAACCATAGTTGGAGCTAGAGTGCTTCTCAGCTTGTCTGACCCACGTGTATGTTGAGTATATCGGGCAAATAAAAGATCAATGCTACTACGACGCCATCTCAACGTCTCCTGATCCAGCACCAGCAGCAGGTAACAATCCTTTTGCTTGTTTATCTCGCATCCTTTTTGCCCATTCAACTTCCCCACCAGGCATAGTCTTCTTCCGAAGACTGCTACCTGCCCGACTTGAGTCTAGAGCCATGTTGAGTAGCTCAAGGACGTGAGGGTTAATCGGATCGACGCTCAAAGCCTGTGAATTAAGGACATGTAAGTGTTAATTGAAAATCATAAGGCATACAGCATAGGAGGAAGAAAGGAAGGGTTACTGACTTCGTGGTACTTAACGATCGCAGCGTCGATATCGCCTGTCATATGGTATACGATCCCTAGGAATGACAGGGCAGACGTATTCCGAGGGTCCAGGCTAAGAACACGTTGGTAGGCAGTCTTCGCCTCCTCATACCGTCTGTAGGACATCGTGTCAGTTTCAAAGACACTACAAATGTACAATAAATCTCTTGACTAATGACTAACCCTAATTTTCGGTAGCAGGTCCCGAGGTTGACGTACGAGGGTGCCCACTCAATCTCCGAAGTCTGAGTTACTTGCGCTAGCTTGATAGCATCCTGGAATAACGTTGCGGCTTCCTCATATCTAGCCAGCAAGTACTTCATAAATTCCGAATGGAAGGAAAGTACAAAGGGAAGGACTTACTGTCCGCGGTTGAAAGCCATGACACCTCGTTCGTTTGACAACAAAGGGTCGCCATCACACATCGTATGTGCAGCGTTCAAGGCTTCGTCTGCCAGGTTTAAATTGGACAATATGAGGTGTTCCATGCCGATAAACATCAGAGGAAGATGCGAGCTACCGAAGGAGGGGAGAACATTTAATTGTTGCATTAGCGAGTAAAGATAGCGTTATTGAATGCTTACCCATTGAACATACGTGCGCACGTCGAGTACGCCGTGACAGCATGGTCGTGTTCGCCTTCCAACGCGAACGAATGTGCGAACGCGATCCATGCAGGTGAAAACCGTGGATCCATGATCGTCGCTTTGCTAGCCAGGGATGTGTAACCGTCGACAAAAACATCTCGAAGAAGTAAATGAGGCATACCTGAAGTACGTTCGCGCTTCCGGGTACTTGCCAACGCTCATATACCAAACGCCAACAGCATACCAGCTTATATGCGACTCAGGTTCTTTGTCAACTAGTTCATGTGCGAGTATGAATAGTTTTGAATGGAGATGGGATAGGTGATGTAGACAGGCAATGTGGAGGGGCATTGTTGGAGCATGAACGGCTTGTAGACCCAAAATTCTAGGATTGGCAGGATAAGTTGAGAGCATCAGTGGTAACTTTAGAGTAGTGGAAAACTGCACCTGGTTGTTATTGCAAAGCAGTCCGCCCATCTGAATGATATGTAGAGCGCTTCTGCGAAGCTGAACAACACATCCGGGTTGTCCGACAACCCATACTCTTCAACGAGTCGTCTCCGGGCGATGGCATGTTCTTCAGCATGCTTGTATTTGCGTAGTCGAGATGTGTACATCAGTCGTACAAAGTCAGCATCTTCAGGTGTCTGTTCCCGATATGCTAGCGACTGGACGAACTCCCACTCTATGATGAGAAGTCTCAATCTTGGTTATGAACGTGAGACGTTAGTGGCTTGACTTACCTTCTTCGGGGGTAAACATCTCGGTGTCAATAAGCTGTTGGAACGATTCATAACATTTCACATCTAGCGACAACGCTTCCATGAAACATTCCTTCGCTTGTACAGTCTTGTTGAGCTTCATCATGAGTAGTCCACGCAAATGACACATGGAAGCTTCAATCTGCATTTCATCTCGTCAACAACATGAATTATGACGTCAGCATACACACGAACTTTGATTCCCCCATCTACATTAGGGACTGCAGGCCCACTCTTGGAAGTCCCTCGAAAGGGATTCGCCTCTCCAAGCATCTCAGTCGCGTCCCTCCATTTACCCTGTCTCATTTGACACTGAGCAGCAAGGTAACGACATGCAACACTCATATCCACCAGACGAGAAACGCCCTCGTGGAATTCTACTGCCACGTCAATCATCTCTCCAGCACCTCCTGCAGGAAGTCGAGGTGGAAATGATGTTGGGTGTATCTTCGATGAGGGATCGTGTGCGACCTCCTTTCCCTTGCCTTTAGAGTCGGAAAATCCATTGAGGACAGGACCACCCGGAGGTTTGCGTGGTGCGGTGGTAGGGAAGGGTCGTGTGAGGAGACGTTCGGCTCGAGAATATTGGTGTGTGAGGAAAAACGTTTGCGCGAGCCAGAACGCGTCGTTTGGATCGTCTACGGCGTGTCAATTATGCCAAGAAATGACTTATGAGATGTATATGCTTACTTGTCCAATTCACGATCTTGTCCCCCCAGAACGCAGCCGTCTCATATAAATGTTGCATCAACGCATCATGTCTCCAGAGCCTCATTCGATCCACCATACTCCATTCATAGCCACCAACGTCTTCCTCCTCATCTTCTGAATCTTGAAACACGTCGGTGGTATCGTTAGCTAGCGGATGTCGACCTGTCAGACTAGGTTTCGGGCGACGAGGCACACGAGGTGACGATCGAAGCGGAGATACGGGCAGAATAGAGCGGTTTGGGTCGAGAGCAAAAGACTTTCGACTAGAAGCTACACTGCTATTACCCTCAGTATAGGAGTTCACCAATGACTGAGGCCCAAACGAGAAAGAGGTATTCAGAGAATGCCTTGTCCGAGAGCTAGAAGGCGTCGGCCCAGGGATTGTCGGAGGTACAAAGGCCATATGAGGTGTCCCAGACGTAGTATCAGAGTAATTGCGGCAGTCGTACAAAAGAAGTCGCAGTAAGGAGTGCGTTTGAGATTTCGAATGCGTGGTTGGCGCGTTGTGTCGCGATTGTTTGGATCAGAAGGGTTTGCCTTATTTGGCATCCCACGTGTGTCCAGATTTGGTAACCAAAAATTGGCAGTCAACGTTGGTCGATAACTTCACTGTTCGCAGTCTAGCATTTCTCCCGACCCTTCCCCTCTTTTACGACGATGGTCAAACTCGCGGAAGTCATTCTGAAGAAAAAGACCGAGTTTGGTCCTCTCTCCGGTGCGGCTGCCAAAAATGCCCAACCCAAACCCAAGGCAGATAAGCCCAGTACGGAGGCCGTGACCAAATCCAAGGGCAAGCGCAAGGCTTCAACCGTGGATGCTGAAGAAGCCATACAAGAGAAGAGTCCTGCAGTGAAGACACGTGCTAGGACCAAGAAATCAAAAGTTGCGGAGCCTGTAGAGAAGCCGACGAAGAAGAGGAAAATAGAGAAGCCGGCTGAGGAGGATGTTGATAAGAAAGAGAAGACTCCAGCGAAGACTCCGAAGAAATCAGTCAAGGCCAAAGAGACCTCAAAGAAGATGGATGCGAAGCAACCCATCAAGTCGATATCCAGTACCACTAAAGCCGCTCCAAAAGCCAATTCTTTGTCCAAGAAGACCAAAAAGGCTGCAAAGCGACCGACGCCGACGCCGTCACCGTCACAATCAGATGCTGAAGATGAGCAGCGTGAGGATGGAGAGGGAGAGGACAAGGAGGAATTCTTTGGTTTTTCAACTGACGACGATGGCGATTCGTCTGATGAGGACGACATGGTCGACGATGCATCTGCCTTGGACGTTGGTAAACTTCCTACTATTGCCAAGGACGACGCTGTTGTGAAGAGGAAACTCGAGAAGGCTAAACGGAAGCCGGTAAGCATTCAGTTCGTATTTTTGGATCGCCAGTGATCTTACGGCGGCGGATTTTCCCTCCGGTAGACTGAAGACCGAGGTGTGATTTATCTCGGTCGGGTACCTCATGGTTTCTACGAAGACCAAATGAAAGCCTACTTCTCTCAGTTCGGCGAGGTGGCTCGTCTGCGTCTCTCCCGTAACAAACGGGTACGTGTTTCGATTTCTCAAACGTGCCAGACGCATGTGGAACTCATCATAAATACACCTTCGTCCAATCTTTTCAGACCGGAAAATCCAAACATTACGCTTTCATCGAATTTGACTCTTCCGGCGTTGCCAAAATCGTTGCAGAGACAATGGACAACTACCTCCTCATGGGCCACATCCTCACTTGCAAAGTCATACCCAAGGATGAAGTCCATCCTGAGCTTTGGATTGGAGCGAATAGGAAGTGGAGAGCTGTCCCGACAACGAGGGTTGCCAGAGTAAAGCATAACAAGGTATGTGCTTTTCGGTCAGAGATCCTGTATTTATGATGAAGGTACTGAGAGATGATATCCCGTGTCGTAGTTGAGGACAGAAGAGGAACAGCAAAAAGCTGAAACGAGGTTGATCAGGCGCCAGGAGGATAAGAAGCGTAAGTTGGCTGATGCGGGCATCGAGTACGATTTTGATGCTGTGTCATATGTGAGTTCGCGATTCTCTTTTGAAAGACTGTTCAACTATTGACTACTTATTTCGATCAATAGAAAGTGCAATCCAAATCCTCGAAGGCATAACTCTCTCGATGATATCCCCTTCCGTACACTATATAGTGCTAGCACTCTTGGCGGTTTTCTTTTGCTTATCATAGATGGTCGAATTACTTCCTTTTGCTTTATCTCGCATCAGTTAGCAGTTGCAAAGCATCAATGGCAGTTATACAACAAAGGTAGCTTTGCGCATACGATCCCTCTGATATGGTCTCCACCGTCCACCTTCCGACCAAACCGCATTACTATTCTGATACCCTAACGCATAGCCCACACTCTTTCCTCCCCATTCTCCCATTGGCCGCCAAAACGTCGCTGGTGGTCGTGGAGGTTGATCTTTGGGCTTCCTCCGTCTTCGTCGCCGTGTGGTTGAGTGTTCCATTAATTTGGAAGGTAAGAGGAGTTCAACGATAGGGTGACGAAGCTTCTCCGGGTTGAGAATATGTGGTGAAGGTTTCTCTTTCTGAGGGATACGAGGGGATACTAGGTTATGCTTGGCGTTTTGTTGGGGCCTCTCCATTACTATAATTGGTGATGTGGGTATGTCAGAGGAAGGAAGTGTAATTTGGTGTAGTTTTGGTTCTCGGGGACGCGGCTGTACCGTGAGGTCGAGAGTGATATTGAGTCATAGTACATGAATAACCACAACACGAGCACTGACGCGATAAGGTCTTTGAGACTCTCTGAGAAGCCATGACATATCCACTGCTACTTCAGAGGCTCGCTGAGACCTAATTCTTGCCTCGTCTTCGTCGTCCTCACTGGCAGGTTCCAGGACCCTAGGAATATCAACGTATGAATCAATCTTAGAGTTCAAAGGTTTACTCTTCTTGAGACATGTACTTACTTCACAGGCGGTGGAGGACGCGGTTGCAACGATACCAGTGTTGGTTCCTTCGCGCTCGAAAGAAGACGGAAGGCTTTATGCATTATTATAATAGCGTATTTTAGCAAAGCATATAAAATCAAGAAGACGTTCAAACATACGAATAGCATCATTACCCATTGTCGATGCGTCCATATCTACATCCGTTGAGACATGCTTCGTCTTTCTCCGTTTCTTCTTGGGTTCATCTTGAATCGCATCCAAGTTGTTTAACTGTATATCACCCAGAGAGCGTTTGACAATGGACTCTAGAGATGCAAGCGCGGTAACTTCTAGTTCCGCATGATGGGTATGCGTGAGGTCCTCTTCAGGCTCTGCATAGATCTCTGCACGGGAGACATGTCGAGCTGTCTCTGTTAACAGATGTGGGTTGGAGAATCGCGGTACCATGCTGCTAGAACGGCAAAACGTGGGAGAGTTTCAGGGAGCTCTGGATAGTAGGATGTACGCAGTTCAATATATATGCCCCCACAGCAGAACAGGCTAAGTTCGCGGATAAGTTATATGCAAAGCAATTGAATGAGATGCGGCTTTGGAGACGAATTCGGCTTTGTTTGGCTCCAAAGCTCTTGCCAAACAAAACGCCAAATCAGGGTGTGGACCACCCGTTTTTGGTAATTAACTGTGATGGTCCCTGTGCGTTCAAGCAAAAAAATCGGGAGAAGCATTCAGAAGTCCGGATGATCATCGATTATCGCGCTCGATAATGTGGGAAACTTGAGGCCTTGAGAATAAACACACCAGAAGCTTTTCTAACCACATCGCCTGTTTTTCATGACTGACTTCCCCCGCACTTGCACCCCGAGTCGACGACAGCATAGGTACCTCCGGTATTGCACATCTGTACGCAATGGTTTGTCTCACCATTCACCGCGATGTGTTAAGAAAGAGCGAGGAAGATGGCCTCCAGTAACTCTGAATATTCGTCTCATCATTGGATCCATGGCCCTGCAATTCTCCATCCGTGAACAAAGAAATGGCAAATGAAATCCAGATGAGCATGCATTGACATAGGTACGTAACTATAAGTTATACAAGAGATAGAATAGGCAAGCAGTGACTTCGCCGCGACGGTCAACATCAAGCAAAATAATACAAGGTATAGTAGTCCCAAGAAACCATAGGAATCATAACGCGCTGATGAGCATATGAAAGTTACAGTCGCGAGCACAGCTTCGGTTAAGCATGTGAAGAGTAAGGTCGAGCGATCGAGAGGTTGGAAAGACAAGGAAAGTCCGAACGTTATTGAGGGTAGAGCAAGAGGGATGAAACTGTTGAAGCCATTCAAGAATCATCGATATACGATGCACGGTACGAGACCCTACCAGAGTTCACACGGAGGCACTGAGCCCCATAGCCCTAGCACCAGCACCAACTGCACCTTCCCACCCCAAGAACCTCTCCCCGCTGAGCTTCTCGGCAGGTATTGAGAAATCCTCCTCATCCATCCAAGAACCTATACCCCTCGTCCTCGCCCATGCCGATATAAACAAAATTCGCTTCAACTTCCTGTTCAAAAAGAACCAATGGGAACTCCACAAAAGAGCACCTCGCCGCTTCATGCGTATATGCGATGACGACGTCCTTGGAGTTTCATCGGAATCGGTGCTTGACGACGTACGTTTGCTGACAGTACCACGCCATGTAGGTTTGTGACTGGCCTCATCAACATCGTAGTCGTCTAGAACAAATTGGGTCTCTTCCTCATCATCGGACGAATCCTCATCACCAACCGACGCAACGTCCTCCTCATCGTCTGAGAAGTCGTTTGCGTGGGGATCGAACTCCATGTCAGGTGTGTACGAGTAGACCTCACAATCTGCGAGACCTATCACGTCATCGAGGATGCGATAAAGCGAAGGGTGCGTTCCGGTGACCGCCTTCGGTGGCGTACGAGGGCTGGGTTTAAAGTACTCTTTGGGCGAAGAGGAAGTGGGTACAGATGAAGGGAAGAAATCAGCAGAGGAAGCTGGGTATGCAGAATAGGTCCGCGGGGCCTGCATGCCTCCACGGTTGGGAGACGCCAAGGTAGTGCTCAATGCATTAAGGACAGGAGCACCACTTTCCTCGCGATTGAAGTGTATCGGGCGGACGTCAGAAAAGTCATGGTCAGGAAATGCGACGTTGAGAGTCGCTATGAGAAAGTAAAGTGTCTTCCGCGAGTGTTGATCCTTCATAGGACCAAATGGTGTCATGTCGGGTTCGTCGACGGTCATGAATGAAGGCAACGGAGGCGAATTTGAGACTTCTTCATTGTATGCTGTCTCCAATGAACGGAACAGCTTCTTGTCGCGCTTGATATTCTTGCAACTATACGCCTCTATGCGAGTGTGAACGGCACATTCGGGACCTTCGTGGGTAAGGGCTTGGGCGAGTCGTGACAGCTCTGGAATCTCGATGTATTTCATATCGTGAACAGAATGACTCGAGATACGTGCTGGGCGATAGATATGTCGTGGTGGAAGTCTTGAGGGTGGCCGTGGTGGTTGTCGTCGGGATTGATGGGCGGGAGGAGCACGGGCGGTTGCCTCGGGTCGCCGCTGCGCTGTAACACTTTGTTTGGGCTCAATTTGGCTTGAGCCGGATCCTCCTCTGCATGAGCACTATCCGACATCCCACACTTCATGCACGTTCCACACCTTCTCTGGAATAACAATGCTTATCATCGTAAGGAACTCAAGAGCAATGACATCGGTGGGAATTAGCCGGCAAGACGATTTGGCGGGCGTTCAGTACGAGGTTGATCCATGAATGCATAACCGCCTGCTGCCGAAGATCTTGAGGAACGTTCGATCCTCGTGCTTCCAACCACGTTAGCTTTTCATGAGCAAAGCCGTATATGCTGGATAAAGAACCGTGGATACTCTGTTCTTTCTTGCGTTGTTCTGAAGGTCTAGACTGTCTAGCATCGTAACCGAATGTTGCTTCAAAGTTCAACTAGCGAAGAGGAGCAATATGGTAGAAGTCAGTTGTCCTACATTAGAGGCCATGCGCAAAATGTGTCAATAGCATAGTAAAGCCAGGCGTACTTCAATGATTGAGGGTTGATACAGGTGAGTCATCGACGCATGTGTATTCGGTTTGTGAAGTCCAGGGTGTACTGATGCATCATATAGGAATTTTTGGTGCAGCAACTAGCTTCAATTTCTAGTTCGGTACAATAAGCTGCTTCGCCTGTCTATATCATAAGCCCTTTTCTAAGATCTCAAGCGGTTGCACTACCTCATCCAATCATGACTCTTTCAGTGATATACGTGCTTCACGTCTACATCGACTGACGGTCGATATAGCCGTGCAAAACGTGATTAGATCAGTTTGTCAATGTTCCCAGAATTTACTATATTGTCAGGTATGTTTCCGGCGGCTGGTGTTATGGTTCAAACGGCCTATCTCAACGAGATTATATAGTGAGTTATCCCCTACCTCACTAACGAGGATGCGGAACTTCTGATCACATCTGCAGGCTCTAAAATTGCCGGCTGAGCGAGGCCGCCGCTGCCTACGCTACCCTGCTGCCGGCTGCCTGATTGGGCAGTTGGATCGTTGGACTTCTCGCAAAGAAGCAACTCAGTCTTGCATGGGCTGACAGGAAACCAGCCTCACGTAAGCGTCAGCCGCGAATCCAACACCTATATAACACAGCAACTTACACCGATAGTCTTCAAGTTCGCGTTCCTCTCAACCATCATCACCTTCAGAGTCAAGCCAAAGGGTCCTCAAGCACATCGCCTGGAGCAATGTTCTACCTGCACCTCCTCTTCACGGGGGCTCTCACTCTGATGGGGGTGATCAACGCCCTCTTCGAAACCTCACTCAGTTTGTTCGACAAGGCTTCATTCGATCTCATCTTCGAGATCCCGGTAGTCGCCTACTTCGTCATCCAGGATTCCGCCGTCACTGTCACTCAGCCTCTCGACCTCACCGTTCACTCTTCCACTGATCTTTGCGAATGGGGAATTCCCGGCTTGTTGTCCCTCCGTCCGGTCACTCTTCCGCCCTCCGTCGTTGGTGGTTCAGCCGAACTTCAGGTCTATTCACCTGAAGGCTTGGGGTTAGTCAATCTTATGCCGCCAGCCACTACCACCTTCGCTTCGTTGGGCGACCATCCTGAAGCGAACACCTTCTGGCTTCCAGCCCCAGCGAACATAGACCTTACTGCCACTGAGCAGCGACAGGCCCAACCCACTAGGACGTTTACCATTCTCAGCGGTATCTTCCTTGCCTTCGCTACTCTCGTCTTCTACACACTGCTCGTAGTGTACTTGGCTCAAAAGGCGGTTTTGGGAGAAGTTCAGATTGAATTTCCAGAGGGATTCCCGGTTCCTTTGCCCACTCAGCCCAACGTAAGCGGCTGACTATACATATACACGTGTGTGGTATTCTGACAACCTTGCGTTGTAGTTCCATCAGGAAGTGCCAACTCTGGATATTGAGTCGCAGGTTGTCGAAGAACTCACGGTCATGGAACTTGCCACGGTTAACAACACTATCGAAGTTGACAATCTGGACAACACAAACTTGGATGGATCTACCAGCGAACCCCTCATGGAACTTCCCCTCGAAACTCCTACTGAGCTTCTCTCGGAACCCGCTGTTGAAGCCGCCGTTGATCCCTCCGTCGAGTCCTTTGTCGAACCCATCGCCAAAGACCAAGCAGCCATCGAAGATCACGCCGAACTCGCCATAGAACTTCCCATCGAATCCGTTACACCTCCCACCGAATTTTCCGTTGAAGATTGCACGGAACCTCATCTGGAATCCTCTGTTGAGACTAACACCGAGTCGGTCACCTTAAGTCCTGTTGCTCTTTCTGCCGATTTTCACGTCGAGCTTCCAATCGAGTCGGTTTCTCCTGATTCTCCTTCTTCGTTAGCTGTTCTATCCTGCAGTGCATCATCGTCAGAGTTGTTGGTTGCGGATGCGCCGGCGGTTCAGATGACGGTCACATTGGATGAGCCTCCAACAAGTACCACGGTATATGGAACACTAGATTCGTCTAGCAGTGACTCTGCCCGAGTTGTTTGCACAACGGATGAACAATCCGCTAATGCTACAACGGAAAGTGGTACTGAGGAGGTGCCAACAAGTACCATTGCTCACGGCACCCTAGATTCGTCTAGAAGTGACGTTGCCCCGATCGTTTGTACTACGGATGAACAATCCGCTAGCACATCGACGGGGAATGGTACCGAGGCACAGTCAAAGAAGTCGAAGAAGAAAGGTAAGCCCACTCGACGAAGCGGAACGTGGAAAAAGGTGGCGACTGCAAAGGTAAAGGCGGCTGTCAAAGTTGTCCTCTTTGAGGCTGCTGCTGTTGCTGCTGCACGAGCAGCGACGGTTGACTCCGATGAGGTACCAGAGGTTCCGCAGGAGCTTCCCCTAGAACCCCAACTGCAATCGGCGCAGGCGAGGAGGAGACTTTCGCGAGGGACGATCAACACCTCCATCCTTGGGCATCTCCAGCCCGGGCCATCGTCTCGCCCACGGAGGACAGGGAGGTCGTAGCGACCCGTTCACACTATTCTCCGTCTATCCTTTCATTTCCATTATGGACACCACCCGTAGTGTACGTAGTGTAGAAGTAGTATAGTTGGGCTCCGGTAGAGTAGTTGATCTTCTTTCTTGCGTGTGTACCACTCTTTGGTCACCTATCATCCACTGACGTTCCCGTGCTTCATGATCCCTCCATATCATAATCGGTTTCTTATAGACTTGTCTGTATTTATTTATTTATTGACTATTATCCATTTCATTTCATCTCCAACTTGAACGGTTCGTGTGTAGTGGCTCCGTTTGTGGGACATTTGAGCAAGTCGTCTAGCTTAGACTCCGAGATATGATATGCATGGGAAACCCACTCGACTCGTGAACAACTTGATATAGAACGGGGATCACAATGGGTGTCCATGAGCGTGAGCGAGTGCAAGGATTAACACGGGTATGGCTTGTGCTTAAGTCATCTGGCCAAGCTACATTGTCCCGTTCGATCGCGCAAAACCTGCGGGAACGCCGGATCCTGATATGCAAATGTGAATGAATGTTAGACAAAATCTGAAAATGTGTATTCTCCAAGAGAAGGTGAGCACTTGCACAATTACTTTATGAACCACGCTTCAGCACAGTCACTTTTCTTCATGAGTTCGTAGCCACCTGCGGACCACACTGGGCATGGGACATGCAGTAGACTCTCCCTTGTCATTCGTTTCATCGTACAGTTTAGCGCAACACTTGTACAAGTCACGCATGTAGCGATCGCATTTTTCGGGGCTGTATGTATTCTTCCCTAGGCAATCTTGCAGCGCACATGCTGTAATATTTAGCCACGTAAGTGCTGACTCCGATAGCTCAGAAGTAGAGGTCACAAACCTTCAGCTTGACATGGGGGCTCAGACTGAGCAATCGCTATGGTCAATCTGATATGTATGATGTAGAATGACCGACCTTCTTCGCCATCCTCAGGAACAGTAGATTTTAGCACTGTCAGTCTAATTAAGCCCATCAGTGAACTTCACTCATTTACGCTGTCGAGTACATAGGAACTAGTGCAGACCTTTTGCAGACAAGTCAATATGTGGAACCAGTGGCCAGTGACTGTCCGAACTCCGACGAGTCGCGATCCAGGGGTTCAAGCAACTTGTTCGTTGCACTCAATTCGAATATGGGAGCTGCATAACACATCAATGAATAGGGTCAGGATATCTTATGATAAATTTCCAAACACATTACCTTGCAAATATTGAAATCTAATGGTGCTGAACGCAGCGCTTCCAAGTCTGAAGACACTGACGTCGACGCTAAATTTAGTCTGGGAAAATGAGCGCTTAACCGAAACCGCCCGAAGCTTGAGCGCAGTCAAGCGCCGAATATCACTCCGCCCAATTACACCCTGATATCCAATGGCTGTCCGGAACTGTGCACCAGTCGCGATTCACAGCATGCCAGCGTGTGTGCTATATCCTCATATGTTTGAGGTAGCTCTCAGAGTAGGCAGAACAGACATTTTATTTTTAGTTGACCAAATACTTAATCGGATCTTCGTTCCAGTGAAGGTTTAAGTTCAGGTGATGCACCTGGCCAATGCTAGTATTGCCAGATCCAACCTCTGAAGATCCAGCGGCTTATTCGGCTGAAGCTGTGAAACATGCAGCGAATACAGCCAACGCCAATGCTTTCGGTTCTTTATATCCTTAGGGGTCATACCGTAATGATGACAGGAGTCAGGCGGTGCAACAGGCGAACCAAAGCCGCAGGCATTATATAGAACCTCCGCATCTGACTGCACGCAAGAAACTCTTTCCTTTCACTTTCATATAATATCTCTCCCAGAGGCGTAGGTGTGGGCCTGAAATCCTGTTAGTCATGTCGTCAGCTCAGGCAGATTCTCAGGTGTGTACACTAAGGTATCGAGTCAAGTGGAGGGATATGTATTCACATAAAGGATTAGGCACAAGGGCATGCATCGTCAGCAAGGACGCTAGCTATCGCCATTCCAATTGTTGCGGGTGTAGCGCTCCTCGTTGCAGTGCCGTTCATTCTCACTTGCTACAGAAGGCGTAAGGCTTCGCGTGCCAACGATGCAGAGAAGGCATCGAGGGGTCATACGCGGAATGTGTCTGATACATCACAGCCATTGCTTGGGAAACCGTTCCGTTCAGAACGACTGTCCTCCGTCTATGTCACGTCGGACGATCACCTGCCTTTGCAGCAGCCACAGCCAGTTGAGAGGGCAGCTTCGCCTGTTTCCCTACCCAGTCCTCTAAACACTCATCCAAATCATTTTTTTTCCGCGCCGAAACATGACTCTCCACCTTCCCAGCCTCAATCCATTCCAATGTCTACTTTGCCTCAACCACATCAATCACTTGAGCGCACTACCACGGTCGATCTTCTCCGGCGACCCTCTTATCTCACACATCCTCGACTAGCTCCGACGCTTTCTCAGAAGTCTCAACGAGCGAAAAACCGGGGTCAGCAACCAATGCTAGCCCGACTGGCGTCGGCGCGGTCAAAAAGGAGTTCTCACGCAGATGATGAATCAACAAGTCCTTCATCCGTGTATTCCCAGGCCTCTGCAACGACTTCCGTGTGGCACAATATTGAACGACCTTGGCATTCGGATGATGAAGCGCCTCCTGTTCCATCTCTCCCAACCATTCCCGCTTCGCCAGTTTTAGGGCATGATTATCATTCATCGCCGGACATGGATGATAATGAGGTACTTCTGCACCCGGACATCAAGATGGCGTTGCCATTGCACTATAACACCTATTGGACGAAGGTGTTAGGCGACGACCTCACGCCGACCTCGAAGGGGCCTACTGTTCGGTTGAATCCCGACTCAATCGATAGCCACCCTCCAAGACAAGTCTCTGATCCTCCAGCTACTTACTCCGTGCCTCAGTATGGGATAGTTTCCAAAGAAGGACGTACCGAGCATTGGGATTCCTTGACATTGGCTTCTCGGCGATGAGAGATTGAGCTGAGACAAGATTGCATTTTTGTACGATAACGACTTTAACGGACCTTTTACGAGTACGTGAAGACATTCTCCATTCTTGCACGATTTACTTCATAACCTCTTAATGGACTTGCACGTTTATTTCTTGCTCTAACTTATCGTCAGGTAGTATATAGGTTCCTTGCGAATATAATGCACTCCACCGACATTCATTACGACTCGTTTTCTCAGCCGTGACAGGGATTGGCTAGCGTTTGGTGTTTGGTTGGCTGTCCACTGTACTGGAATTATCAATAATGTCGGGCAAGTCGGTTGGCACTCGGGACGCGGGCATTGCATAGGCTGACGTTCAAGTTTCGTACATATAGCTATGTTCTGGATGCAGGAGAAGATCTCGGAAATCGCGGGCAGGATCATCATTACTAAGTTCGTAGAACACCATGATTCAGGTGTCTAGCAATGCTGGGATTGGGAAAGAATTCGTGGTGAGTATCATATCTTTTTTTGCAACGCCAAACTCAGTAAAGTTTTGACATCTGCATACTTGTGTTAGGATAGCATTCCTAATGATGAGATCGGAGCCGAGCACCGGGTAAGACATACTCAGGCCAATCAATCGCAGGCTCGTTCTTCGAGACAGTTCCCCAAGATTGTCATCATGTCGAGACAACTTCAGGGGAGGCTCTTCCCGTAGTATTGCCGTTGTCTCATGTTTGAAAGAGGTATGGTGAGTTATTTGCCTGCCAAAGGGTGCATTCATCAGTGGAATCTTAATAGTGTCGTAAGAAGAATCCGATGAGGTCATTTGGTTAATTATATGTTAGGTCCAGGCCGCACCAAGTACACCTGAACACCTGAACAAATGATGGATACTTATACTTCGACCTCGGTGTCTTTGGAAGCTACTGTTGGGCTGCTTCTTCAACCCTTAATCGACGACCGACCATTGGATTCTGTCCTGGAAGCTGATGTTGAGGTATTCTTGAAATCAATGCTCTTGACACTTCTCGGATTCCTGTTTCATTCCGTTGAAGGGGGATTCAATGCTCAGGCTCCACCAGTAGAACCTGATTTCAACCGTGACATTTCCGCTCTGCCGGTACTGTCCTGCGCGACCGATGAAGATACTTTGATCATTGTAGGTTATATACCCCTGGCTTCACCAATGAATTTGCCTCTGCAGGTTTGGACACCTGTGCATTGCGAAGTATGATTCTCCCTATTTTCGTTTGCATTGTTGCCTCTCTCCTTCCTTATGCCTTCGCTGCTAATGCGCCCACCAAGCGTGCTGCATGTCCTACCTTGCCTAGCCCTCTCCCAAGTGCCTCAGCTCTTCCAATTGTCCAGGAGCTCCCAAATCCTTTCGCTTTCTTCGACGGCACACCATTGACCTCACCTGATGACTGGGAGTGTCGTCGGGCAGAGATCAAGACACTCGTTCAAGAATACCTATACAGCTACCATCCTGACCACAGTCTCGAAAATGTGACTGCTCGCCGCACTGGTAATAACATCGCCATCACGGTGAAGGCGAATGGAAAGACGGCTTCCTTCAGCACGACTTTGACCTTCCCCAATAATCGAGCTCCGACGAGCCCTATCCCAGTTGTCATCAATCCTGGTGCTCTCGACAATAATGTTTTCTTGAGCTCTGGCATCGCACTTGCTACATTTGACGTCAATTCTATTGCTGCGGACAGTACGTCCAAGACAGGTGCTTTCTGGACACTCTATGCGCCTGAAGATATTGGCAGGTTTCTCTTCGTATTCTGAATATAATCAAGCATCTCTTACCAAAGAGTATCTAGGCGTTCTCATGGCCTGGGCTTGGGGTTTTAATCGAATCCTCGATGCCCTTGAACTAGTTGCTCCCGAGGTTGATCCAAAACGTGTCGGTGTCATTGGTTGCAGCCGTTGGGGAAAGGCTGCTTTGGTCGCCGGAATGTTCGATGATAGGGTTGGTTTCCACTAGACTCCCGTGGCTGCTGCTACTTATTCTTTCATACATGTCTATACTCACAGATTACACTAACGATGCCTATGTCTAGTGGGTTGGAGGGTATCAGTCAATGGCGGTTCCTCTTCCAGGAACGTAAGCATTACCGTTCTGTCTATTCTTGTTCGAACTCGTCGTGCTGATTGAAATCACAATAGTGGGTCCAAATGAGAACATCACCAACATATTTGCAGGTGCTCCTTGGTGGGTAACTTCGAGACTTGGTCAATTCGTCAACGACACTCGTCGAATGCCCTTTGATTCTCATCTGCAAGCCTCCCTCGTCGCGCCTGTAAGCAAGAACCTGCTCTTATGACTCTTGACTCACTAATTTATCCAGCGAGCGCTGATCTGGGACCAAGGTGAGCTACTTCGCTGTTGAAAGTGATTCTCAGGCTTGCCAATATTTCAATGCCATAGGGTTGACTGACATTCAAGTAAGGGTCGTGCCGGTGGCTCGTAAGCTATATACCATGTTCACACTTCATAGACCAATCCCGAGGGTGACGCCTCCGTCGTCTTCCCAGCTACGCAAGCTATATACGACTTCTTAGGCGTAAAAGACCAATACGGCGCAGCCCTTCGTAACAGCGGTCACTGCGATCCCAGCGGATAGTACGTACACTTCAAGCCTATCTGCGGTCGAGTCCTGATGATTTGCAGTTCGAATATCAAGGACTTTATGAACCGGGTGTTCTTCGGCACTCCACGTCGAGAAACTACAGTGACATTTCGCCGTACACGCCATACACTGCGGCATTTTCGAGTTGGATTGATAGCGCTCCGAAGGGTCGTTGAAGCTTCGCCGATCTAATGCCATTTGCATGGTTCCATGAATAGTGAAAAGAACAATGCTCTCTGTTTGCTTGGATATATAGGTAGGAGGATGACTGTCAGTACCGCTAGGGAATATGAAGCAATGCCATACCACGCCCAAAATGCGAGCTGGAACTCCTTGAGGGAAGTCGTTGGGGGCATTGAGCACTGTCACAACTACTGTCCTATTGCTACGATACATAGGTAGGTGTCAGTCAGGAGTACACAAGGTGTAACGCCGCTTCCGCCTGATCTGAAAAGAATGTTAACTTCTCGCATTTATTGTCCTATTGCTCCGAGAACGAAAGCAAGTGGTATCCAATTAGCTTAATCAGACTCGATGAATACATAGTTCAATAGCAAGAAATACAGAATACGATACCCGATTCTCCAATGAAAGCAGTCTCGCTCAACTACAAGAATCCGGCAGCACGCAGGTTCCTCGCCAGCATGATTTCAGCTTCATGCGGAACCTCCTGCGCACCTCTGCGTTCGTCGTTTTCATCCGGATCCGGATCATCGTAGAGAGGCATCAGGAATGCTCGCTGGAAGTTTCGTCGCAGTTCTGCCTCGCGTTGACGGTCTTCGGCTGTCAAAGGCGGTGCAGCGGCTGCTGAGCGGATGGACGTTTCCCATCGTTTGACTCGGTAGAAACCAACGACGGATGAGAGTAGAAGGAACCAACCTGGGAGATGATCAGATAGATGGTACTTCCAAATCTACGTTGTGACTCACCTAGGGTCATGAAGAGAAACGCTAGCCAATCCCTCGATGATAGATCGTATCCCTCAGGTAGAGTCCCATCAATCGCAGTACCATTCTGTGATAAAGGAGAAGGATCGAGAGGTGTACTCTGGGCCTGCGCTGCTTCCAACATTCCGCTTGTCGTGTTCCAGAATAGAATGGGCTCGCCATCCGTTGCACCCTCCATAACCTGTCTATTCCGCGAGTAAAATCCGTACTGTATCAAAGAGAGTCCAAGGCCTGCACGAGAACCATACTTCGCAGCATGGCTTGTGTGAAGTAGATATGTAAGGAGGAAGCCAATGAAGTTGAAGAAATATGAGATGAACAGGTTCGCGGCAAAGAGGATGACAGATCCCGTTGGCAGGTCGTCGACAATCATGTCGGCGTTGGGGTCCATATTGGCAGGAGCATGGATAGTGGTCTCCCAATATTGAGGGACAGCATCTGCCTGAGCTTCGCTATAGGACTGACGAGACAATAACAAGGGATATATAAGTATATGCAATTCGCAAATCGAACGTGGCGCATACCGGCGGAGCATCCTTCTGTGTATCCTCAGGTACCATATGAACATTTCCATCCTCACCATGGATCTCTATCGTCCTCCCTGGTTTCGCTGTAACATTGGCGAAGACACCATCGTTCTCAATGCCAGCCCCGACAGCCCGGGAACTTGCTGGTTCAGAGGGTACCCTTTGGTAATGCTGAGGCAGCAACGCTCCTACTGCCCTCCTGAAAAATGATGGTCGATTCGCAGGGGGACGAACAGGTGAATCTGGCAAGAGACCGTTGGAGTTTCCATAGTCGTTAGGCACAGCGATCGCAGACGGTCCTGGAGGTGAACCCGGAGGGGGATGATCGTAGTCTCTCTCAAAGTCGTACGCCCCGTGAGTGGTCACAGACAATGGCTCACGACGTTCTGTGGTCGAAATGAAAGGGGTTGATTCGGTGTGGGTATAATCCTCTGCATCCTCCTGGTCAGAACCGAATGCTTCGTCTAATTCACGATCTGCATCCGGAGAGGAACGAGGGTTTGGCAGAGGTGCATATCGAGCAGAAGCCATACCGACCGGCAGAGGGCTTTGAGAAGAAAGGAGACTAGTTTACAATGGAGGAAGAGGATAAGGATGGATGTAAAACATGCATGAACTGTTTGCGGTACAGTACCCGCTCGTGGCTGTTAAGCGGAACTCCTCTTATGAGAGGCGCCTATCTGTCCAACCCTGACGATGAACAGTTGAACTACACGGAAGCGTGATGTCAAGGCACCTGCGATAAGGCTGCGAGCTTTCCAATAATACGACAGTGACAAGTTATAAAAGCAGAATAATACGACGAAATGAGTAATTCCCAAAATCCAATGAAATAACGATATTTAAGCGAGTAGTCCCTTGACGTATCTCAATAGATCTCTACCCTAAAGAATATGTCAGGAAACAACATAGGAAACAATGGAAGAATCAAACTTACACCGTGCTTCTTGACACCGGTAACCATAGCCTGCACTTCATCCTCCCCCATCTCGACATCTTCCGAAGGCTGAGGCTCAGCCTGAGTACCTCGATCGGTCTTCCTTCGGGAAAGTCCAAGTCGTTGTCTCTGAAGAGCACCGTATCGGGTGATAACGGTCCATACAGCACGCCACCCTTCAACAGCACCGGGCTGACCAGACACATTTGGACTCGAAGAGGTACTAAGCACTGTAGGACTTGCCCGATCGGTCGGATGCGTAACGTTCGATGGGACAGGTAACGAAGGCACTATCGTCGATCGAACAACATAAGGGCAATATGAACGGTGCTCTTTAAGGATATCGAGTTGTCGTCTCGGTTGGGCAGAGGCTCCAGATGTTGAGTCTGGCTGAACGTTTGGCTGAGCGGATGGAAGGAAAGCCCACAGCCCAACTCGTCGTTGACACAAGCTGCAATGAAGTAGCGTTGTTTCCGGCTTGGGCTGTGAAGATGCAGACAGGCCACCGGTTAAACTATCCACCCTATGCGATAAAAACATTGGCCGACTAGCAGCCACTGGAGTGGCACTTCGGGCTCCTGGGCCTGCAGAGACTGAGTCACGACTGGACCGTAGCCCTGCAGATATTGAAGTAGGTGCGACTGAAGCAGCTCGCGAGATGGATGGTGTTCTTGGCCGAGGAGTCGGAGGTGCAGGAGGGAGGATGTCCCATCCAAACAAGGCTGTTAGGAGTGCAATCTCCGACGGCTCAGTCTGAGTGAACACGTCGGAGGGTGCAGCCTCCCCGATAGATGCAGATGAAGTTTTCTCAGTGGGAGGAGATAACTCAGGCAATTTGACTATGGCTATTGCCGAGGCGAGAGATTGGACTTGGGCCGACGTCTGACATGTACGCACATTAGCACAGGTAGAGTGCTACAATGTGGTGACTTACCAAAGGATGTTTAATCTGGACATCCTTCATAACTGGATTCAACTTCACTGCACGAGTCTTCACTTCTCTTGCCATTACGGAGGGTGCCTGCAGCGGGACTCGGTATATTGAATCTATGAAATATGAGCTTCGTACTTTGGAAGGTGTGTACTGTGAAACATACCATCGCACTGTTTAGACTTCCACGGACACCCGTCCTTGTGCATTTCGACCAACGATGTACGTTGCTTCTCGACTAACGCATTTGCTGATGGCAACCAAGGGTGAGTACAAAAACCTACCTATCACTTCACCTCTCACATACCAGCATCCCGACTCATACCCTCCTTCCCAGCGACGACCCAAGGTGAGTTACATATTCCACAGACCAGTCTGTCCTTCCCGTCATTGATCCAACCGCGCTTCGCCGCAGCAACAGCATCGATCGCAGGCGGTTTGTTCGCGTAAGTTGAGAGTTTGAAAGTAGCTAAGCGGGAGAGGAAGGACGTCGTTGACGACGGCCGGTATTCCGCACTGGTAGGTGACGAGAGCGCAGCGGAAGGGGACGGTTGGCGACCGAACTTGAAGGGAAGGGCTTTACGAGTTCGAGTGGCCGTACGAGATAGGATAGCTGCTAAGTGAGGAGCTGTTTTCGAAAGAGTCTCGAGCTTCTCAGCGTTGGACTCTATATGCTTTCTAGAGATAGTTCAGACCAAACTGAAAGCACAGAAAGTCAATGAAGCGTACGGTTTAGGTTCCTTCCTGATCCCATACTTTGCTAAGGTGGAATACAGCGATCTAGCAGTCTTGAACTTCTTGGACGGTGGAAGCATAGCTCCATGAGTGTCTCCTACAGCTTCGTCCAGACCGAGAATTGCGTCCTCATACTTGCGCTGTGGGACAGGGAGTTAGGGAGCTTGCGTGTGTGCTTTGCTTTGAGGAAACGAACCTTGATGCTGTTCTGGGATGGCACTGGAAGTATCGGCGTGCTCTGACCATTTAACACATCGTCAGGTACAATGGATGTAACATTTGTGGACATAGCTGCCAAGTCAAAAAGACAGTAAGTAATCGAGGAGGACAAAAGGAGGTTGTACGATCCAGCCTGCATCCCGAATAAGAACAGTCACGCTCATGCCGATCGTCACAAGCGTCACAGTGCTGCCTATGTTGCCTGCCTCGGTACCTTCGATGCACCTCATGTCTTTTCTGACAGTATGCTGTCCCATCTGTTGCACTAAGTAATCTCAGGACAACATGCGATAGAGAGTGGACCAGCCGTTCATGGTGCAGTTTTGATGTCGATGGCGGTTGTCGAGGCGCTGTATCATTAGTCTGAGCTTCCCTACTGGTACTCTGCCAGTGAGGCTGTACTTGATATGCCGCAGAACATGACGTGTGGGCATGCTTGTTGTGCTTCTTTCCAGTCATCCAAGGACAGGTCAAACCAACTCTATACCTTCGACCATACCACAGTTTTCTGGCGCACAGTGAGTCGATATGTCTGCTATTCACCCCGTACCTGATTGTTTAACGTCGGTTATCTCAAGAATTTGGCACCTTACTTGAGACGGAAATGACTTCTTCTGGGGGCTCTACTTCTCTATCTGGTTTGATCACTGCTGTAGATGATCCTGAACCTAGCAGGCGGAAACAGATTCTTTTGAGTTTCCTTGATACACTACATGAATTGTCCAGGGAGGAGGAAGTTGACGACTAGTGTATGAGCATTGCCTAAGGGAAGTATTACGCAACAGCTCAAGTGTTATAGTCAACAGGCAGCGTGCTCCTTCCCTTGATGACAAGGACGTTCGTAAGTCTCAAGGGCCTCTAATCATACGAATATTGATTCACATGACGACTTGTCTATGCCAGCTATTGCCGACCAAGAATTGCAAACTTCCGGAGCCATATCTTTCAATAGATTTCATAAGTTCGCTGTTTTTTTTTTCACACGAAAGCATACGCTAATGTTATGCGGCTTCTAGACGGATACTGTCTCTGGACAGAGAGGTTGGTAGATCTAGCCATCATTTCGAGACCTTGCTGATTTCAACCTACCTCAGCTTCGAGATTTTCGAAACGCCAGAGTGGGTACTGTTCTGGCTCAAACGATCGCATTTGGTGTTTCTGGTCTTGGCTATTGCTTGTTTCTCTGTGGGACTTGTTTTGTTCGTTATTCTTCTGGTCAGGTGTGTGAACTTACTTTCCCGCGTTCGCTGCAGTGAACACACATTTATCAGCATCATATAACGTCAATTATCACTACAATCACCTCAGCCTTCAGTTGTCTGGGACTTGCATCTGTCTTTGCCTGGTTCTTCTCGATACGCTGGGTTTTTGATCGCCATGATGGTGCAAAGTGGCTGGCAGACTCAATCTGTGAAGCTAAAGTCCAGTTATATTCCGCGACGGGAATAATTTGGCTGGCTCGAAAGCCCAGAATAGTTGCTCGCAAGCTATTTCATATATCAGTACTCTGCACGATTGAACGATTCTTTGTCGAAGGTAGCAGAAAGAGCATCCAAGGCGCTACGCTTCCTCTGTTTGAAAATTTCGCTCTCAATATCTTGACTCTGACGATTCCGAACATGCTCACATAGGTCCTGGCCCTATAATCGCGCCGCCAGAACTATCTCCGGTGCAGCCAAGCGGACGACGGCGCGCCACCAATCATCCGCCAGGGACTGGGGGCGAATACCCTTCCGCACTTCCGATACCTCCAGTTTTATAGCTCGACAACGGTGGCAAGATGCTGCCCAGACAGTTATTGCCTTGCAACGAGGAGCCCCATCCACTACCCCAACTGGCCCCATTAGGGACGTAACCACGCCGGTTCGTGCTGCGCATTTTGTTCCGGCATTGAAGGAGATGAAAGCAACACAAATGTTGCAAATACACCGAGGGTCAATTCGCGATTTACAATTTTCTCCGGATGGCCGAATGGTTGCTTCGTCCAGGTAAGAGTTATTATTTATATGCGTCATGTAGGAACTAATCATTTACTAGTGAAGCTAGGATCGTACGGCAACTATCTACAAGGTCGAGGTATGGTGTTATAGCTTCTCTCAGGCTGAGATATGAAGTGCTCACACTTTTCAAGGACCCGTTCACTCCCCATCGTGTGCTCGCACATCCAACAGGCTTTGTGGGAGTGGTCGTCTGGTGCGCACTGCTGCACAAGACACTGGTACCCTTCATACCTCATGTTTTTAAGGGTCTCCAATTGGAAACATGCTACTCACCAAATTGCAGCGCACAGTCAAATTATGGACTGAGGTAAACGGATTGGTTGCTTCAGGATAGTTTCGAATTAATACCATATTAGGATGGCGTATGCAGAAAAACTATTGATCGAAGGACACCTGTGCAGTCAGTTGCGTGGTTTCCAGAAGGCGAATGTGAACACTTCAGCGTTGTATTCTGCCTAGGCCAAGTCTGATTTATTTACCGGTTACAGTGTTCTTGTTGGTGGAAGGTAATAGCATTATCAATCTAGACTTAAACGGCGTCGTAAGTGGTGCGAACCTCAGCGTGATAACGTCTACTCAGTACGAAACCTCTGCAATAGGTTTTGGATCGATAACACTTCACAAGTATGCAAATCCATGACGTTGCGATTACGCCCGACTGTGCCCGGATGTTATGTGTAGGATCGCTAGTCGCGTCGGAAGAGGGCTTGCAACCAGACAAGTCCCGATCTGAGAAACAAATCGTTGGTATGTTCGTGGTTCAGACGCAACCCCTGATCGTCATTTCAAACGCCGTGGTTATTTCCAGTTTACAACTTATATACCAGGAGGAGTGAAAGGTACGTTCATCAGGCGGTCGTCGCAATTTCAGCTTTACATCCGCTTTTAGTCGAGCACCTGTTCTTCGCGATGCTCGTAATATCAGCCTGACAAAGGCCGGAACTATGGCACTGGTTAGCTACGATGATATGGTCAGGAGTATTTCTGGGTTGAATGTCTTATTCAGTCTAATGTTCAGTATAGGCTCCTCCCCAACTCTGGGAAATGCAATACCTCATAAGTCACTCACCTACACGCATACGTCGGTTGATTCTGTGTCATACATATGTGCCGAAAGGTGCTGTCGACTTTGCCGGTCCAAGCTCGTTCGGAGGGAACGAAGATCCACTAGTGATCGCTGTAGGGAAAAGTATGTCTATGATTTTCTCTCAATCCTGCTTTCCTCCTTAGCCGCCAGATAATGAAATTCATATTTGGGATCGGGACTCTGCCTTCCTGATACATTACGTTAGGCCTCAATCGGAAGAGAACGAGATATCTTGCATCGCTTGGAACCATGGCTATGATTCCCTGATGTTCGCTACTGGCAGCCAAGGTGGGATGGTAAAGGTGTGGACTGTACCGGATCCCTCATCTGCCAAAGCACCTGTGGGAAATATTCCTGAATATTCATATTCGACGCATCCGTCTCGTCCCCCTTCATTACGAACTCCAAATAGCCCAATTCATAGACAGGAACAGGGAGGCCACGGACCAGAAGACATTTCAACGGAAGTACAAGTTGCTTCACAAGCTCTCAGTCTGATCGGTTCCGTTATGTCGGATGAATCTGACTTCCAATAAGTAGCGCCCCCATGATAGCAGAACGATCCCTTCAGCGTTTGTTGTTCTGTGAATATTCCTTTGGTCCGTCACGATATAGACTGTTTCGATTTTAGGATTCCATGCCCTGCCCCTCCCTGCACTTTGCCGAAATTCTTCCGTCAAGCATAAGAGTCTTATATATATAGGTAGTTTCCCATGAGGATGTTGCGCTCCTTGAACGTCAAATAACATGTGCAATATCTATTTTCGACTGTAGCTAACACGCTTTAATATCGCATAGGGGCTTGTTTGGTTTCGTCGGCCACTGCGCTCGGGGTGGAATCTCCAATGTGCTAGCCGCTATTTTGTCACATGCTCTCCATCTCGTATGTACAGAATGTATCGTTTCTGAATCACTCACTCATGCTATCCCGATGCTCAGATGCACTCCGAGATCATCGTTGGTGATGTACTCATTGGTCATGGGTACGTTGGCATGCGAAGTTAACTGAGAACATATGTCTCTACTGGACGGAGACATATGCAAACGCATGTCAGCAAGCAGCATCTCATACGAACTTAAGTATGTCACCCTCTCGAATCGAAGGATCCTGACCGACTTAGGGATCGTGCGACTGACCTTATCGTTTGACATTGACTCTTCCGGTTCTTCGTCCCGATGCTGCTTGGATCTTCCCCATGGGTCGAAGGATTGTTCTTCTCTCGAGATATGCTCATGTAGCTTCGGATAACATACCACATGCACTTACCTTTGTCTCGACGACGTCAGATGTTTGGTATCACAGTATGCTTCAGCTCTTCTTGCCGGTGGTCGTGTGTCTCTCCTAAACTGGTTTCATATGGTCAGTTGTCTCTAGTCCCTGCATGCTCGCCACTGATAATCAACTCACATTCTTCCTTAAGCTTCCGATACAAGAAGGCCCCTTGTAATGAATCGTCTGAAGAAGAAGGGGGTGCCATATGTTTCTCAGTTACTATCGCATGGGTCCATGCCTTGCTCTCCCAATACGAGAAACTGAGATGCTTCAGGAGAAGAACCACCATGTAATCCCATAAAATGGCCTCGGATACATTCGCTCTAGTTGTCTTCACCCCTTACACCGCTGTGCAACATGATCTCCTACCACTCGTCCTTAGTATCTATTGCGAGTCTTGTTCTCGCGTACGGAGCGACGCGAGCCCTTGGTTTCGATAATTCACGATCAGACAACGTATGTCCCTTCTCGTTAAATCGTGTATGTTCTTTTTACAACTTTGCTTTACATAGCTCGCTGTGTACGTTCGCTCGTACGCTCCTGTCCTATGTATTTGACATTATCATGCAGTTACTGGGGACAGAACTCCTATGGAGCAACCCACAGCGATACAGCGAACTTTCAGAAGTCCCTGGCTACGTATTGTCAGGTACGTTGCTCATCGACATACCGCTCTACATGGCTGTACTAATGGAATGTTTCCCGTCAGGACGACTCTATCGACGCATTCCCAGTCGCGTTCCTGAATGTGTTTTTTGGTGCTGGCGGGCTTCCTTCCATTGACCTGTCTAATGTCAGTGTGAAATCCTTGATTTGATTCAGGAGTTTGTCTCAGTGTTAAACGTTGCAGATATGCAACGTAAATGATGACCCCGTGTTCTCCGGCTCGCAACTACCCAATTGCGGATTCCTTGCGTCCGATATTCAGACTTGCCAATCCAAGGGCAAGATTGTAACCCTTAGTCTTGGTGGCGCTACTGGCGCCGCTGGATTTACTTCGGATTCACAAGCTTCGCAGTTCGCTGACACCCTCTGGAACTTATTCCTTGGAGGATCAAGCTCCACGAGACCTTTTGGTAGTGCTGTGCTCGATGGGTCCGTCCTACTTCGTTCTTTTAATAATTAACCAATTCAGCTGAGTGATTGTGTAGCATCGATTTGGATATCGAGGGTGGTTCCACTGCTCACTTTGATGTTTTCGTCAACCGTCTCAGGACACTCATGAACGGTGGCAGCAAGAAGTATGGCAAATTTATAATACCTTCGAACCGCGCTGACCTTCCTTTTAGATACTACATCACCGCAGCACCACAATGCCCATTTCCGGATGCTTGGCTGGGCAGGTAAGTATTTCCTACTTTACCCAATACGATTTGAACCCATGCTTATTACTTTAGCGTTATCAATGCTGTTGGCTTCGACGCCATCTATGTTCAATTCTGTGCGTATAATGTCGCTATACATACCATTCATTGGCTCTAATCTTTGCCTTAGATAACAACTTTTGTGGTCTCACTAACTTTAACAACCCTAACGCCTGGAATTTCAACCAGTGGTGGGTTTCAACCAGCGGCAGAATATCATGGATGACGAATAACTGTTTCTTCGCAGGGATACCTGGGCAAAGACTGTTTCCCCTAACAAGAATGTGAAGATCTATATCGGTGCCCCTGCGGCACCACTTGCCGCAGGAAGTGGATACGTAGATGTCGGTACCTTTACCACTATCATTCAACAAACTCGTGCCCAATTCTCCTCGTTCGGAGGCGTCATGATGTGGGATGCCAGTCAAGCATTTGGTAGGAGATGCTGCCATTCTCCTCGTTATAAAATCTGACCTCTTCACTTATGTATTCAGCCAATAATCGGTATGATGCGGCAATCAAGAACGTCTTGCGATCTGGTACATCCGCCCCTCCTCCCAGTAACCCGCCTAGCAATCCACCCACTACTACCACAACCCAACCGACTACCACAAGCAAGCCCACCACCACCACGACGCAGCCGTCCACAACTACGCCGACCACAACTGCTGCCCCACCAACCTCTGGTCCAGGAAACTGTGCTGGAGTCAATGCTTGGGTCAATAACGTTGCTGTAAGTGTCCTTCCAGGCCTCCAACTACAGACAGAAACCCATTCAGCCAATTCTCTCCAGTATAATGGCGGCGATAAAGTCGTTTTTGCGTGAGTTATGCTCACTCCATCTTATCCATATACGAGTACGGTATATACTGAATGTCGTCTACAGAGGTCACCTCTGGACCGCTAAATGGTGGAGTTACGCTGATGCTCCTGGAGGTATGTTGATACTATTTAGACTGTGTGAACGACAATGTCCTGACTGTTCGTGAAGGTCCTGCCGAGGATTGGCAGGATAATGGTCCTTGTGTGGCTGCCAAGGCTGGCCAGATCATCAAACCAAAGTACGAAAGCAAGTCCGTGCCATTGGAGGTGCCTGTTAAGACACCTGCTCCATTGGGTCGCCAGGGCTCGAGTGCATAGATTTGAGCCCAGTTCCGTTCGTGAGGATGCTGCTAACCGGCAGCATATACGATCGATGATCCCTTTGTGTATTTTCATCTGTATTACTAGCCTTTGTTATGTCTGATGACAAGTCATCGTTGACGATTCTACATCAAACCTTCATGGAAGATGAGCCGCCCTTATAGATCTTTCAAGGGTATAGCTACCAATGACGAAGTGTCTGCAGTCATTCACTCATTGAAGCCCAAGTATAAGATCCCGCCGCATTACCCCATGGACATCGTCCAAGAATCTACCCCTGAAAGTGCTAATGGCAGATGATCAAAACATTCAGACAAACTGCTCGTTGGAGGCGAACGACCCTGGAATGCAGAGCCTGAGCTCCAGACCTGATTCAGCATGAGTACACTCCGAAAGAGCTGATTTATTGTCGCAATCATTGTGAGTCACTGAATTGCATACTTTGGTCCACCAACGTCACACACTTGCGGACATCCAGCGAGAGTTCCATAAAGTTCAGGTCGTTGCAGCTTTACAGGTCGGTCCGCCAACACATCGACATCATATCCAATTCATTTAGACCCTTTTCACCAAGTGTGCAGGTAACAGACGCAGAAAGATGGTAGAAGCCAAGCATCGAGACATTGAAGGTGTCATGTGGGGCGAAAGCACGGTATGTAACGCAAAATGGGGCGGCGCACGTCTTCGAGACATGCTCCTCCGAGCGGGGGTTCTTGGCCAAAACCAAGACAAACTGCATGTATGTTTCGAGTCTCATGTAGCCAAATGTCAGGAGGAGGATTGGTTTGGGTCGTCCATTCCTCTAGAAAAGGTTTTGGACGTCAATGGTAACGTTCTACTGGCATACGAAGTCAGCAACGAAGATGACGTCGAAAAAGATATGTGCTGATCGGCAGTTGCTTCAAGGTGAACGACGAGCGGCTCTCACCAGACCATGGGCACCCTTTCCGCATTGTTGTTCTTGGATATTCAGGTGTCCGGTGGGTGAAATGGGCTGACAGGATAAGCATCTCTGCAGAGGAATCCCCAAACTTCTACCAGAAGGGTTACAAAGTCCTTCCGTCATATGTATGTTCAGCTCTTATCATAATCAGAATCATGACTCTTGGAACTTACGTTTCCAGGTAATGACATATGAAGAAGCCGACAAGCAGTCGAGACTCCCACTTTTTCAAGCCAATCCACTGAGTTCTGTCATCGCTATCGCTGAAATAAAATCCTCAACGCTGCACGTGATGGGATATGGGGGTTCCGGGACCAGGAGGACAAGTCGCTCGCGTGAACGTCAGCATACATGAAGGTAAGACTTGGCGTCCAGCGCGTATCTCGTATCAAAGTCGATGAAGTTGGACGCTGTGGGAAACCACCATTGACCGGGGTAACGATGATAGCCACGGGAGTAAGGTCGGAAAGTATTGAGCAGGGGTGTTGGCGAAAACGGAGAAGCACAACCGTTGGAAGTTCATTGGAATTTGAGAGGCGTTGCGTATTCTGCTGTGGTAGAATATACGTTCCAAGCAGTCGGGGAGACTGAAGGTTGAAATTTCCAAGAACGTTGGTTAGGTTACCACTCCAGATAGTATACAAAGAAAGTGAAAAGATACAATATCGTGAAACCATATAAAGATATGTCCATCATGAAAGGCATGAGTACGAAGGACATTACAAGTCATCGAACCTGTATACACCAGCGTTAGTCCCCTACAATCCCTGTTGACGTCCAGAAAGCAAAACGCACCTATCAGGCATCAAGACTGGAGCAACAAGGCTCCAGATATACAATAGCATGCAAATCCAACTCGACACAACGCGCATCCACATCGCTACCTCTGAACGGCCAATGTAAACGTCGTCATCGGGGTCTGATGGACCAGAACCCGACACTTGTTTCACGACATTCCTAAACAGGATATAAATAACTGAGGGGGAAAGACACGAAAATAGAACATACCAGTCGGTGAGTAACATGGCAACATACATCGCTCCAATGGCGAAAATAACATGGAACCACGAATACTAGAGGGCATAAAGATGAGTTCTGTAAAGCGCAAGAACAAGTCGGAGAGGCGTACATTGTAGCGTGTTCCAGAACGTTCGTCATCTCGAGTCTCGCCAGCAACTTCATCTTCATCTTCATCCTCCTCCTCTTCCAGAGCCGAAGCAGGAATGGCTCTTCAAATGAATTCAGTTTACAGCTTTGTTATAGCAAGCAATGGATACGTACCCCGCCTCAACTGCAGCCAACAGTGCCTGATACCTCGGCGACTCTGTCCTACTCGGCTGTGTACTCACTATGCCCAGCTCTGCATGATGTTCCTCTGTTGGCAATTGGATGGTTCCAGACTTCTTTCCCCTGCCTACCAAGGCACGACTTTGGGTTGCTGCGCGACTAGTAGAGTACGCAATCGCCAAAAATGTGAAGATAGCTCCAAGGATAACGGTCGTGTTACGGGTACCAACAATAGTACCACTACCATTGCGACGGAGTGGGTTGCAGGATTCATGTTCGTGATTGGCGACAGCGGAGGTGATGAGGTAGGTACAGTACACTGCAACCATACTCGACTGTGCGAGGCCAGAGCGTGGGTTGTGTTCTTGAACCACAGGGAGGATACATATGATCGTGATGAGGATGCACAGAGCCAGGTTGAACGAGATGAAAAACCTGTTCAAACCGCACCCTGATTCGGCGAAGAAACCGTACAGGATACCGGTCAATGTGATCGTTGCAGCGTACATTCCTGCCGTAGATCCGATGAGAATCCATTGCCAGACATTACTATTGGAGTTCTCCCAGTTTTCTAGGCATGTTTCGGACCATGAATGTGCGAAGTCGATGAGCAGGACGAGGCCAAGTAAGATGAAGATTGTCGCGCCAATGAGTGCGACGTAGTTTCCCCAAAACATGAAGAAGCCATTTGGAATGAAGAAAGAAACGACGACGAGGACCAGCCAGAGGAGAACCTTGGGACCCCACCACCTAAACGCGATTGGTCAGAAGCCGCAGAAGCATGTATACAAGGGGAAAGCGTACCCATTTTGGACGGCAGCTCGTATGTCCTTAGTGTCTTTTACGCCGATCAGAAGAGTGCCAATGATTAGGTGGAACAATGATAGCGCAAAGCAAACTCGATGAACCTGCGTGTAAAGTCAGCGTGTGCATATCTTGAAAGCAGTCTGGTCACTCACAGCTAAGACACCATAACATTTCCCTTCTGCGCAGTCCATCTCAAGGTACCCATGACTCCATTTCTCAATCTGCTTTATGACTAGCGGTGTCTTCATGAGCCATGCCAGCATGGAGTTCAGGCAGAAGATGATCTACGCAGGACGTCAGCGACAGAACAGTACTTGAGGGTGCATCGACGTACCGCGAAACCAACACGAGTAGCAATTGAGGAATTACAGTTACATGATTTGAAGAACATCGACGCTATATTAGTACAACAAGAATGAGCTGATTCGTAAAGCAATCGACGGTGGTTGAACATTCGTTACCTGCTGTTGAAGTGAAGCAGAAAGCCAACCCGGCAATACATGATGTCGCTACACTTCCAAAGACTCCTGCAAGCGGTATAGAGAATAAAATTCCCATGGCGCGGGAATTTTAGCGTAACGCGACCTAGTGGTTGGTGGTAAGAACAAAGTGATAGTTGCACTGCACAGTGACGTTCAGGCTCAGCAGAATCATTACACATGGCCGGTCCGCCACAATCCGGACACTCTCTCATAGGTCCTTCCAGTCACTCGACACTGACAACTACTTCCTTCCTCAGAACATCTCGCTCAATGTCTTTTCTTCAACCAAACACTGACTACCCGCTCAAGCCTCAAAGCAAGTTCTCAATTACAGTTGCAGTAAAGTCTAGCGTCGATTTCCGCGTCGATAGTAAAGGCACAATCGTCCAGTAAACTTCATTATCCATGGCCGAGTCACAGTCAAGTACAGAGGTGCAGACTTCTTGCAATAAGGATATAATAATGACAAGCTCCTTCATCTACTCTGTTATCATGTCGCATCTCTCTTGAAGTATGCACTATTGACCACCGTCCCCTGTATCATATCGAAGATAGTCTCTCCAATACCCAGATATTTCTCTGCAACGGATCGCATAGTGTCATCGCCGATGTTATTCGTAGCGGGTCTGGAAGACAAAAATTAAGTTGAACTGTTCAATTCATTCGGGAATACTACGTACACAAAACCACTCGATCGTTTGACACCCGCCAGCACGGTGGATAACAGGACCGCGTCTGCGGCATAGTGGAACAGTCGTCCGAGAACCATATTGTTTCAATCGCAATGACAGAGGGAGTATAAGAACAACAAAAGACGGCAGTTGGATGGACCCTTATAAACACGTCGGATTCAGTCCCTCGGCTGCCGTCGTAAACACTGGAGAGGACGAATTCGGTCGGCCGCAGTGGAGAGATGTGTGATAAACTTTATTTTGTGACAGTAAGTGTCTTGTGAAAACTGATAACCTCTTATCCCAACAAAAATACATAAGGTTAGGGTTAATTCTCTCCACTGTGCAAGGTGCAAAAGACCTTGGTTGGCAAAGTAATGTCCACAGAAACAATCATGATCATAAGAGCTATTTGATGAGATGGATACGACTAAGTTCTGTGGAGGTCAGCGAGACGCAGCGATGAGTGGCATCTAAAGCTGAACACATATCGTGCGTCTTCAGCAAGCAGTCAGGTCTTAAACGCGACTTTGAAATCTAACAATGGCTGGGATACCATGGTGGAACACGCCAACTGCGAGCTCAACAAGAGCGAGGTGGATGCAGATGCTATGATGCAATGCGAGAGTACGATATCGATACAGCACATTATACGATACGGGAAGAGCGAAATTAATCGAACAATCCGAAACCCTAAATATTGCTTCTGTATAAGCAATCTCATTTACAGCGAACACGGAATAAGGATTACTGACCATGTCGCCCTCAGACTCCTCTTCTTCCTCCTCTTCCTTCTTCTCCTCAGCAGCGGGGGCAGCCTCAGCCTCAGCAGCGACAGGAGCGGCGGCGGCGAATGCCTCAGGGTTCTCGAGGTATTCCTTAGCCTAAAAGACAGAAAATGATTAACATTAGAAGCAGATGAGCATATGGATAGGAGAGAAACCCGTCAGTTTATAAAAATGGCAGCATACGTCCTTAAGACGCTCAGCATTTTCAGTGTGTGATATATGTAGCATCTTTGGTACGCATAGCCGCCGTATCAGATCAGTGGGAACAAAGAACTCACCTTCTCGGCACCCTCGAAGGTGTAGTCAGTGACCAAAGCGATAGCGATAAGATTCTTGTAGGAGTTGATCAAAGAGTGGGTGACGGAGACGATGGTGGGGTAGTTGAGGGCCAAGGAGATGGCAGCAATGGTGGTAACACCAGCGAAGAAGCGGTCCAAGAGCTCCTTGTCAGAGACGTCCAAGATATCAGGAGTGAAGACGTTGCCCTGATCGAAAATCTGGACGACGGTCATTCCGTAGGTGAATGGCGAAATGTTCAACATGTTAAGTAAAGTCGCCTCGGAAGGACCAACACGGGTACCCGCAACGACAACCTGGACGTCGGACACGATTTCAATCGTACCACGAGCAATCTTGGTGGGAATACCCAAAGCCTGGAAGAAAGAGGTCTTTCCGGGCTCCATACCAGTGTTACCAGCAGGAATGGAGACATCCTTGGGAGCGAGAGCACCAGCACGGGCGGGAGCAGCAACCTTGTTGGCAGTGATGATGTCACGGATCTCCTTGAGGTCGTCGCTGGTGAAGACGAAGCCAATGTTACCTTTGACATAGGGGAGGAAACGCTCGAATTGGGGGAACTCGGTGAGGATAGTACGGAGAGCACGTCGGACCATGGTGTTCTTGCCCATCACTACGATACCTTTGCCGCGGAGGGCGACACGGATTTGATGCATCTGGTTGGAGCCGACGTTGTCGACATTGACGATGAAGATAGAGGCTATGAATTAAACGTGATTACGGAATAGACCTTCTAGGAGGTGCGTGAACACCTACGGTACTTGGCGACAAGCTCCTTGAGCTTGACAAAGTAGGCTTCCTTCTGTGCGCGAGTAGCACCCATTTTGTGTTTTATCTCCTGAATCCGATCGTCAAAATGAAGACAAAGGCACGTTATATTGCATAGCTCTCGAGACTCACAAATGTGATGGGTTATGAGTTATGTTCGTGGGTCTCAGTGCCTCCCTATTGACCTCTGGAATCCGAATTTCAGCACATTACCTTCAAAAATGTCATCTGAAGCTCACCTGTTGTGCCAATGGATTTTTCAAGGCGACTGAACGGGATCGTAGGGTCGTCAAGAACGAATACAGTGGGCAGAATATTGCTTCGCGTGTATCCTGCCGATTTGGGAAGCTTTGCCAGTTCTTGGATTTGAGTTTGAGCTAGAGCGGCATGTTCCGGGATTCCTTTTTGAGTCATCGTCGACGTACGGCGTCTGCGTCAGAGTCTGGTTGTGTGCGTCCAGTCGTTTCGTGCGCGTTCGCTGTTGTCGGTCACGACGGCGGTGTTCTGCTCATTGTTGTCTTGGGCACTGGCTGCTTTCTGGGTTCACTTTCATTTCCTGTCTTCTTGGAGTAGTGTTTTCAGCAAGCCAAAACATCACTGGTGCTCACATCAGTACATTTCGATATTTGCTTGCCTCATCCTGGACGTGTATCGTCGTTGAGAGAATATTGCTCTATGCAATGGAATGTGGCGATGGTGTCTGCCGACTGTCCGCTCGGCAGGCGATTGTACGCACATCTTCAGGTATCGTGGATCGTATACGCCACTCATTCACCTGGCTGACTGGACCGGTTCAGCACCATAAGGACACCATCGCGCCTGTACTCGCTTTCTGCCAAGCTGGCCAAAGTCCATGACAATACCCAATGTCAAATATCTTCCTTTCCGGAAGTTGTCAACTCTCCCAATCAACATGTCCAGCTTATTTCCTCGCGGGCGGATGAACAAGTATCAGTCGAAGTACATACCCATTCGGACGCGCATGACAATCCAATAAGTCCTGCTTCGCCTGTGCAAGACCTGGGTGGCATGCAAAGATTGAGGTCTTTGGATGGACCAACGCGAGAACACCATCACGGTGTCTGTGGACGTTCTGAACCGTCTTCCAACGGTTGTACTCATAAAGCCTCGGAACCCACGACAAGGCCTACTACGAAAACAGCTACCGGGAGTATTGCTTCGATTGCGTCGAAGCACAGTACAGTCTTTTTGCTTCGACAGTTTCTTGCAGGCAGGATTGATATGTCCTCACCAACAAGGAACAGTCCTCGCGGTATTCGTGCCTTGTATCTCTCCCTCAGGCAACGTTCATTACTCCATCTACTTACAGAACAAGACATGAGTACCCTTATCGGTCTTTACGGAGCGCTCTCTGTCTTTCAGTCGTCTTCGAACTCTACAAATGATGAGCTTGTCGACGATTCACCGTTCTTAGCTCCCACTGTGCGACGCATCATCAAACATATCGACGTAGGCACGCCCAGGACCTACTGGACACTCCTTGCCATGATCGTTATTGATAAGAAAGGTCTCGGTATGAAGTTAACTTTGTTGGATAAGTACTGGATTATGCGAGGGAGGTTGGCAGAGGTGGCAAACATTACTGATTCCCATTCGCTAGCAAGAGGTAAATAATTAACTTCGCTGTATCTCTTCTTTACGCCTAACATCAGGTTATGTTTGACCTCTGCAGATGAGGCACGGATTGAATCTCTCCTGCATGAAACCCGTAGCCATTACCGTTCCCTCACGCCTCTCATCAATCATCCCAACCTTCATTTGCCCTTCCTACGCACACTCATGTCGGTTGGTTTAACCGATGAAGTCGTATTTCGGCTTGGCCAGATTTTGAAGCGCGATGGGCAAGTTCACCCAAGACTGCAGGCCCTTGTGTGGGAGCTTATTCTCAGTCGCGGGCATGAGCTGACACAGGATGGCAAGGAAAAGCTGCTCAATTGCCTCATTCAGCCACCTTCTCGCCTTTCCCCTTCTTCAGAGTCTGAGCCAACACCATTTTCCGAATCATCACATTCTTTCGCCATAGACAACGTCGTCGTTTCCGTTGGCAAGCTAGCCGATATGTTTGCAGCCCGTCTGTTCAACCCAACCAATGAACACATCCCTACCGTTTTGTGGGACTGGGTTACGTCCACCATTCTTTCAGCATTGATGCGGGTATCAGATTTAGAGGTAGCTTACAGAAACATGGTTCTGTTAGCTTTGGTCAAAGCGCCTGCCTCATTTGTCGCGTTGCAACCTTCCCTTCCCCTGTTCGACAGTTCTGCACCCGGCAGTTCTGATTGGCAAACCATCTGCGCGTTAGCCCTGCTGGAGCGAACCATTAGCCCCCGAGGTTATACCGCGGAGCCCTTGCAAGAGGGTCTTGCGAAGGATCTACAGCATATGCTGTCGTTCTTGTGGGACTCGTGGAGTGTTCTGGAAGACACTCGTCCAGCTGTAGTCGCCACTGCCATCTTGTCCTCATTCGTGTATATTGCTGGCCGGACGAAGGACACGCGAATTAGCGATGCTTGTCTCAAGTATGCAGCTGCAGCCAACCTTTTCGCTCGGTCGAATGGCACTGCACCCTCGTTGGATCTCTCCCGTTTGGTCGCGGAGTACACCATCACTCAGGTCACCAATGGGGTGGATCTTCGAACCGCTGTGCATGATCTGTTGAACCTTCTTCCAGACCTGGCCAATGCCTCCGAAGCCCTGTCGCAGGTCATCGTTCGTTTGTGCCCCACAGCCCTTCAAGTGGCATATCGCCTTCGCAACGTCGCCGAACATTCTGGCATGTCGCTGTCTAGCTACGCGCTACGACTGCTCGGAATTACATTTGCTCAGGCAGGACAGCTGGACATCGCGCTTACCTTCGTCACCGAACCATACACTCTTCCGAGACACAGAGCCGATATACTGGAAGCTATCGCTGCTACTATCGCCATCAACGAGCGCAACGCCCTCACGCAGGATCTCGCGGTGAAGCTGGTTACGAGCATGTCGCGCGTTTTTCGCAAGACCCCGCCTTCGGAGAAGTCAACAAGTAACATCGAGGAGACAGTGCTATCAATATTGAGCACCGAACATCCTACTGGCGCTATAGCAGTGGTGCTTGCTATACACGCCTCCCACCCAGGTTACTTTACATCGACCTTCCTAGACACGCTTTTTCGAACGCTCGTCGACCAGCGCTTCTTTCGACTCTCCAGCGTCCTATTCGCTTCCATTCACGAGAAGTACAACAAAGTTTGCACGCGGTGGTACGGTTTGCTCATGGAGCAATACTGCAACGCGGATGCACATCACCTCATGCGCCGTCTGAGAAAGTTCAGAACGTTCTTTCCAACGCGCAACCTCTGGTTGGATAGATTGCATTGCGGTCGTAGAACGACCAGAGTGCGGACGTTCTGGCTACAGCGTCTAGCTGACGCTCATCTTATTCCGTTGCGTTACCAACCGAAGGCGTTGGACCTGCTGCTCAGAACGTGTCGTCTTCGTGCCGGCAAACGACTTTTCTATCAGTACCAAAGCCAACATAGCAAGGAGACGAGCACGGTGATGGGGAATAGCCTCTTAACCTCCGTCTTTCGCCATAAGGACCGTTCTCCCCCTAAACGGCTGCGTCTGCTGATGTCTATCCTGGAAGAACTCACTTCTCAGAGTTCTTACGTTCCCGATCGTGTCACATTGAACATCCTCCTCAAGGCGTTCCTGCATCTGTCATATAGGCTCGATGCCAACGCTGTCCGCGCCCTCTTTGACCGTGTCATCCTTAGCGGTTATCCTACGGGTGGAGTCGTTCCCCCTGGCCGGTCAATCTTCAACGTGGAGCCGAACGCGCTCATTGACAGTATCCAATTTCCAGAGTTGGATCCGGAGATCTCTTTTGAACGGCATGTGAAGCCGTTGTATAAGATGTTCATTACTGCGTTGTTCACGAGGGGTGATGCACAGGGAGGGAGAAAGGTAGTTGGGATTCTGAAGGTGCTTCAAGAGCAGGACGAGAGGAGAAAGAAGCTGCAGCAGCAGACGATATCGTAAAAGTTCTTTCACGACACATTTGGGGTTTTTCATGATTATCTGGTGCTGATCTACTGTATATAGTGCTTTGGAATATGCAACGCAGTATCTTGTACAGGGATAAGCCCGTGGTATTCTCATTTGCCACGAATCAGAACGTCCTAGAGGCGGTGGCCAGCAGATGCATGACACTCGTTTTCATCTGGCTTCAAGGTTTTAAGAAATCAAAAACGCACGAACTATTACCTAAGGTTCCGCCATATTGGTTTCTTACTGTGCAACCTGCTGTTACGCGAAAGCCACATTCGTTCTCGGGCATAGGTAGAAGATATTCCGTCCATATTTCATTCCGCGAAGGCATAGCGTCATTGCGTAGCGTTGTCATAGACGGTTCGAGGTCAGAGTTCTCTACAGGTCACCGAGGGGGAAAACATCGTGCTCAGACGGGCGATGCGCGATTCCATGAGACCTGATGCTTACGAGGGTAAAACTGAAAGACCGCGAGACTGATTTGTAGTGGCTAAGCCTGCCAAATGGATCGGTGCCAACCTTGAGCAAACTCTGCAGACTGGGGTAATATCCGATCACTATATTGCCAAGAGGGACACTCGAGGACTCAAAACAACTTGAAACTGGGGCGCCGACATCCGATCACCAATCGATGTTGAGACTGGTCACTCGTTCGCTGATCGCGACTGGTTGCTTTTGCCACCGGTTACCACATAATCTCGGTCTGATATCGTAGGCCTGAGTCGTACGAAGTGATTGAGGAGCTTCGACTAACTAGCTTGGCCTTCCGGCGCGATTGGCTTTCCAAGTTCACCCAGTCGCATCCATGTGTCTCCCACTCTGGAGTACAGTAAGGCCCCGTGTTCACCGCATCGGAGAGATGTGGGTACCTGCGTCTCCGCTCGCAGGATGTATGGTGCTGGATATCTAGTCTTCCATGCCTGTTAGACAGACTTCTGGCGCCAGCGACACACCCAATGTCCTTCTGATCACGGCGTTTGATTATTATAGGCGTTACTTCAAGTGGCCTAGTCGGTTTCCCAGTACGCTCTCGTATCTCTGAGGTTGCAATCCTAGCTCTTTTGCGCTTTCTTCACCCTCTGTGTTCAAAATCATGCAAGACAGAGCAGAAATCCATGTGCAGCCAGTCCGTCCAACTAACCGGTCGCGCTCGATTCGCTCTCCCTCTTTACCTCAACTCTCACCTTCAGAGCCATCTTGTGCGGGGGTCTCTGAAGCAAATGCGTCTAAGAATCAACAGGTCAATGCTCCATAGAGGTTGTGAATGAAGACTCATATTCTGAATAGGCTCGAGAATCAACTCATGGGGACGGCGTCCAACGCGTCCAGGTGGAGCCCGAGCGCACAGGATGGGCGAGGATAGCAGACATGGTTCGCAAGTATGACGAAGACAAGATCAAGGATGTCAAGGAAGATATAGATACGCTTCTCGTCTTCGTGAGTCCAATCTTATGCTCTTTTTATTATTTTTATCGTTATTACTCGGTGCTGATCATTAAGCGATAATTACGAAGGCGGGTCTATTCTCAGCTGTCCTGACTGCATTTGTTATTGAATCGTACACTACACTGCAAGACCCGGGAGATGTAACTCAGCAGATCCTGATGCAGATGTCGCTGCAGTTAGCCAGCCTGACTGTAACCAGCAGTTCCATCAACTCAACCGCACCTCCATTCTCGACACTCCCCTTCAAAGTCACCCGTTCCTCTATACGCGTCAACACGCTTTGGTCCTGCAGCTTAGTTTGCAGCCTCATCACTGCATCACTCGGTATCTTCATGAAACAGTGGTTTCACGAGTACATGGCCCATGAGAGCCAGTCTCCTCGTTCACAGCTTCGTGTTCGATTCTTCCGAGCAGAGGGATTGGCTGAATGGCGGGTTTTTGAACTGGCCGCACTACTTCCACTACTGTTGCAGATGGCGCTGCTTCTCTTCTTCATTGGACTGAGCGAGTTCTTGCGCGAGCTCAATCCAGTGGTGGGGTGGATAACCACAGGAGTCATGTTGATATGGCTGGCGGCATTCATATTCACCACGCTTGCACCCGCGTTCTCCTCGAAATGCCCATATAAAACACCTATGCTGAAGGATATGCTGCGTACTATTCGACCTATAATAAGCTTCATTTTGCTCAATATCGTCGTCATCTCCTTGCTGATGGTGTACCTGCTCATACTCGCATTTCGCACGGTAGTCGGTCGTGGTTCTTCCTTCCTGATGACATGGACAGGGTGGATGGAGCGTGTTTCCATGGCTGTGATGCCCGCTATCTTTTCAGTCGATGAATACACGGTTCGTGAAACTGATGTTTCAGATCTTCGCATTCTTGCACTATCCAATGATCTATTCTTGGACAATAACCTGGATGCGACTCTATCTCAATGGATGTCAGATGTTCCCTTCTGGCCTGCTGCCTCAGACAAGAAAAAATTGCAGTGGCCGACCTGGCGTCCGGTTATGTCTTTGCACGAGCTCTTATGGTACCAACTACTCATAGATAAACTGCGGGATGGATTCAATCATGGGGGATTGCTCCTCATAGAAGATCCGAGCAATGCCTATTACGGTCTCACGAACATTCTACCATCCCCTACCTTTCAAGTCCCGCATTTGACAAGCTTTTTTCCAGACATTGTAACAATTGTCATGCAGTTGGTGTATCTAGGAGATGGTCCCACCACGGCTGCATTGCTTGCGTTGTCTGTTTGGTTGTGTGAAGTGCATCCATCGGAGATGACATCCATGGATGAGTCTGATCCCGTCTCAAGCTTTCTCGATTCGTTTTCATTCAAGTACTGTGTACATGATGACCGTGTTTGTGAGTCCAGCGTATATTCAGCGGCTCTGCGAATGAATATTAGGTTTATGCTGACCACTATCTTGTAGATGTTTCCAACCTTGTCAATGGTGCCAGAGAGCTACTACAAGCCATACAAATACCCAATTCCGACGGCATACCTTCCGTCCTGGAGCGTCTCAAGGTGGGACGATTTGACAAGTCACACGTTGTTCATCTTTGTGGTTCTTTTGCGACTCTGATCCAACCAGCACCGGAGAATATCGTCCGTGCCGAACAAGACAGCCTCAGAATATTCACCACGGAAGTCCTTCTTGTATTGCAGTCTCAACCCAGGCCAGCTAAATCCCCTCCCGAAGATTTTGATCATCGTGAATATGCTCACATGGTTCTTCATGGCCTGTCCACACGTGTTCCTGGATCAGTCGACCCAGAACTGCTCTCGGAGCTAGAATTGTATGGAGATTGAGAGTGTAATGGTCGATTGGTGATAAAAGTTAAAAGTATATGTTTCTTTCGCTACGAGTCTGACCTATCCTCTGATGATGCGTCGCTCCTCCCTCAGTTTCCCCCTCCCGGCAGGTTATGCAGAGGTCCTGGATTCAATTGCTTGAGTGGGTGACAGGGTACAATGTGTTTGCAGGTTAACCGGATAGTCCACGAAGTACAATCGCATCGTGACATGCTGCGAATGGAATCAATTGGTAAATAAAAATGTAAATAAATGAGTGAGATAACCAGCAATGTCGAAATGCACTTTGAACGGTTTCTATGTTTCAGGCCGATCTGTGGTAAGATTTCGGACACCCTGTCTACTGACTGCTGAAAATTCCAAGGGTTGACAACAATACTTCTGTTCAAGCACACAGGATCATTGACAAACTTCAACAGCCTGAGGGGCCATAAGCGTGTTCGTGACAGAGCGGATGAGACACACTCACGGCATTGAAAAATGGAATATGACAAGTGCCAGAAAAAATATGAATATATTGAGGTCGTAAACGGTGCAAGATCATACAGAACATATGGTCGGTAATTCCTTCTACTGCAGCGTGCATCGCGGTCAAGGCGACGTCAGTGCGTAAGCTCTACAAAAGTCAGCTTGTATCGCTGCAGAAAAATATTTCAGGTCTCATCATCCATCCAACTACAACTCCAGCACGATTTCGGAGCTACTAGGTTGTTTGTTCTCCATGATAGAAGGGACTGTATATGTTTCTTTGCTATGAGGCTAGCGTCTCCTCTGGCATGATCTTTCCTTGAGTTCCCTTATGTAGGAAGTCTTAGACTTGATTCCGGGAGTATCCGACAGGACAGGACACTGCAGCTGGGTTAGGTACACATGTAGCTCAACTAATGTAGTAATGCTGTGAAATGGACACAAACAAGACTTCGAAGTAGGATAGTACACTGTCGTACATGCGATTGAAAACAGAATGAGGAATGTGAGTTGCGGAGATGTGTATATGTTCAACAGCAACATAGCAAGAAATGATAACGTGAGTAATAAAACAATAATATGAACTTCTTCGTACATTCGCATTTCAAAGGGGGGCGGGAGGCACACACGTAATCCCCAGTCTAATAGTACCATTCACAATTCCATCCCCCCATTTCACCATCCACCATTATGAACGACACCTCCTCTCACCTACGCGTGTATAACGTTCCCATTCCCATTTACCGTTACTGAACCACCAGAAAGAGCATTCCCAGCAGGCGTCGATGGCACGGTACCTTCAACGATATCGCTACCCTTCGAGTCCTCCTTTTTCATCAAGAGTTCTGCTTGTCCGTGCTTGAGCTCGGCGATGTGGTCTTGATCGTTTTTCTCGGCTTGAGCGTGAGCGGCGTCAATGGGGACGTCGAGTTTGGTCATTTCTCGGACGAACGATGTTCCCCAGAAGGCTGCTGAGTATTTGTTTACGTACTGCGGACCAGAAGGGTGCGTCAGCAGAAGAACGGGATAAACGGCAAGCAGAACGAAGACAGAATGAAATGGGTGGGAGGAATGATATATACGAAGGGCGGGTCATCAAGGAACCAGACGAAATGACGAAGGCGAAACGAACGAGGGGAATTCACAACAGACGGAAGCGAAGATAACGAAAGAAGTAAAGAGAGAAAGCGAAAACATACCTTGAACAACTTCTTATGGTTCTCCGCCCTCGTATCCGCATCCATCGTAACAGCCTCAAAGATCGCATCTGCAACTTGCTGCGAATCCCAAGGATTAACGACGATACTTCCGTTCAAGCTTTGCGCCGCGCCGGCAAACTCGGACAGGATCATAACGCCCTGCCTTTGCTGCTGGCATGCAATATACTCATACGAGACCTATGTCAATTAACGTGTTAGCCATTATATCATTTCAAACGTGAAGAAAAAAAAAGATACTCACCAAGTTCATACCATCCCTCGTACTCGTCACTAGACAAACATCACTAACAGCGTAAAGGGCGCACAGTTCATCGAAAGGCAAGCTCTTGTGCATGAAATGAATTGGCATGAAGTCCACGGTTCCGAATCGACCGTTGATTCGGCCGACGAGTTCGTTCACTGTGGCTCGGAGATTTTGGTACTCTTCGACATCCTGACGTGAGGGAACAGCGAGCTGAGCTAGGACGACCTAAAAGTGCGAGGCGGAAAGGAGGGTTAGGACAAAGAGATAAAGAGAGGATAGAACGTGGTGAGCGAGGAAGAAGACACTGACCTTGCCGATCCACTCTGGATGCTGCGAAAGGAATAGCTCGAGAGCATGCAATTTCTGGGGGACACCCTTGATATAGTCCAATCGATCAACACCAACGATAACCTTGACATCGCCAAACCGGTTCTCGAGCTGCTTTATCCGCTTCTGCACGCTCTCCTTCTTCAAATTCTACAAAAGAATATCTCATTAACACCATACCCTTGGCTTCATTGACATGGACACGCAAAGCAGACGTACATCGATAAACGAATCAGGGTCAATCCCAATCGGGAACGTCCCTACATGGGCTAAACGACCCTCGAACTCGACTCCGTTGGGCATGGTGGGCAGACCAAGGATACGTGTACATGAGGAAAGGAAGTGGCGGGCATAGTCGTAAGTGTGGAACCCGATAAGGTCGCTGTAGAGGATACCGAGAAGGATTTCTCGGCGGACTGGGAGGATCCTGAGAATACGAAGGGTTAGATCGTGGACTTTGGGGGAGATGGGATAAGGACGAGAACAAAAGTGAGTATATGCGCAAAGACTGGAACGTATGGAACGACCGAGATGGAAACACGAAAAAGGTAGGATTTTAAGTGCGAGGATCCCAAAGTGGCGACGGCCCAGACAGATTCCAGAGCCTACATGCCAAACCTTTCTCGAACACGCGAAAGACGCGTCTCGAATAGAAACCGGACACGGGTTAAGGACCGGGAGAGTGGAGTTCACTTCGCAGAAACACGGAACACAAGGAAATGCCAAGTTAACGCGCATATAGTCACGTCATAACGGTATAATGTCATAGGAAACGTGATGGGAGATTCTATAACTGCAGATACGTTCAGAACGACGCCAATACACCAAGGCCATAAGCGTCGTCCTGCCCCGTAGCGTGTACAATGACATCGCAAACGCTAAGGACAACTCCAACAGAATTTGCAAAAGCCGGAATGGGCTGCCGGGCCGAAGCACATTCGTGACAATCATGTCGGAACGAAGAACAGAACGAAGAGACTCCGTTGATACATCAGCAAAAAGAGAAGACACGACCAAGGGGAAAAGAGGTCAAAAAGTTAAGACAGAAGACGTACCGGTAGATCTCAGAAGAGGGGAAGGGCGTATGGAGGAAAAAGCCGACTTTGATGCGAGGGATCTTGGGAGCAACGTATTCCTCGCTCTGAATACCCTCCATAATGCGCGAAATCTCGTCCGCGGTGGCATCACTAACGGAATCTACTCCTTCGTTAAGTGTGCGAAGGAACATAGGGAGGAGCATGAGATGGTAGTCCTGTACCCAAACCATTGAGCCCGGCACGAGTTGCTGCATAATAGCGTCCGCGAATGCCATGTTGGCTTGACGATATGAGAACCAGTTCTCCTCCTCGAAGTTCATTTCGCCAGGGTGGTAGTGGAAGAGCGGCCAGAGGATGGAATTGGAGAAACCATTGTAGTGTCGTTCCGCGACATCGTCGTCGAGGTACACGGCCTGGCACGAATACTCTTCCTTGAGACGTTTGTCCACGATGGGGCGATCCTTGGGTGGGATGAAGAAGCCGGGCCATCCAATCCAAGTGAAGGACATGGACTTTTTGCAGCCTGAGAGAGCAGAGACGAGACCACCGGAAGACATCTTGAAGTGAAACTCGCCTGCCGCATCCTTCGTGATGGTAACGGGTAGACGGTTAGAGACGACGATGAGGTGGCCTGTTGTGCCGTTCAGGTCAAGAACGGGGGAGGAGTCGGGGCGTTCAGCTGGGACGGGCATGGCGAAGCGGTTAACACGCGTAGAAGCGTGCAAAGTAGTGGGACTGAGCTAGGATGAGGGTGGGTGGTTGGGAGAGCTTGGAGCTCCGAGGAGAGGAGCGGGGAGGATAAAGAGGAAAGCCAAGAGGCGACGAAAAGGAGCGGGGCTGCACAAGATGGAGGCTTTGATAGGATGATGTCACATGCCGCGATCACCGATCGTCCTGCTTAGGTTGTCCTCCTTCCTCTTTTAGTGCTCGTCGTTCATTCGTTCCGTCTATTCCTACACACGGTCCTGCCTCGGCTCTTCCCATTGGCAGTTATCTCTTCTTTTTTTTTTGTCCGGCGTATTTCCGTTCCTGCGTTCGGCGAAGATGCTCTTATCAATTGCTCGTTGCTTTCTTCAAGCTCTCTCTCTACCCGAATTTACTCCTTGCTGACTGGCAACAAGGCCTAGAGCACCCTGCAATTAACGAACGTGGGGATAGCAAAGTCACCAGCAGTTTGGTCAGTAGCCTAATGTGTCAACTAAAAATGGTCATCGACTATTTAAATTACATGTGATCTCTTAAGCCGACATAGGACAGCTCGTTACCACAACCTGAGTTTCGACCGTGAACCGTCCTGGAGTCATATAATCATCCTGCGATTGATTCGCATACTGCTATATCTCCCAAGTACTTGGTGAGGACATGTATGATTGAGCTGAAACGTACGAAGTGTCTGTTGACTTCTCGTCCACAGCCCAGAGCCGTCCGGTGAGATAACATGGACAACGGGTCCAGTAGATTTGTTTGAGGAATCACGATAGGAAGCAGTCACAAAGACAAGGTAAATATACCGCATTATTACGTGTCTTCAAAGGGAAGAAGTTACGATGTATAGTCCCATGATTCCTTGAATTTGCATGATAGTAGTCACCCACAGATCCCGTATTCATCGCATCGGATTCCATCCTATGCCTGAAAATCTGTGATTGACTGGCGAACGCGATAACCTCTACGATTAGCATCTAGCTTTGATTCTACGGTTAAGTCTATCAGACGAGTGTGATCGGTATCTGTGGGAAGGCCATCCTTGAAGCCTTGTTTGCATCCCTTGTATACGGCAGCAGTTCCGGAACAACACAAGAAGCTATTCTGAATAGCTTACTGGGTCGTGCTGGAACCATAGCCTCAGGTCCAATCTCATCCTGAGTTAATTACGCGAAGGAGCATAGTGTCAAAAGGCGGCGTCAACGGTATTTGAACATTCTGTTTTACTAGTTCAGGATGGGATTCGATGATGTTAGCGGAATCGCTTGATACATTGCCCCTTTCGATATGACACATAGCTGGTGGATCAAGAGCGTTGCAGCTTTGCAGACATTTGAGACATCATAGAAGAGGTAAGGTGTCGGTTTATAACCGCCGAATATGGGAAACATCCAGCGAACTCTAGGACCAAAGTCAATAGAATGGGGGTAATATCGGGATTATAAAGAAGCATGCGGTGAAGTTGCCCGAGCTGCTGGTACTTGATTCCGCATCGTTTGCCTATCCAACCATACACCCACGGCCCCACGTACAGGGTTCTGACGTCCGTACCGCACCACCGACCATACGGCACGATACAAGCTTTAATGCAAGCTGGCGAGTCGTAAGTGAATAAGTTTGATGCACTATATCTGTTGATGCCACAGATGCGGCGAGCTTCGAGAAGAGGAGACCAATCTGCAGTATGGACGATCAATCGTAAGGGGAAAACAGGATCATAGGACCCCTTAAGAGCAATAGGGTACGGATGTCCTTTTTAGCGTCCGATCTGATCCAGTCCTCGTCGTACTTCTGCGCGAGATTGGCCAACATTCGTACTTCGGTCTGTATGCAATACCCGCCTAACTTGATGGAGTCGGGATATATCCCTAAAGCTGGCCTTTTCAGAATCTCGATGGAACTGAGGAGAAGGAACACAGGTGTAGATTCCAAGCTTTAGTGGGAAGAAGGAAAGAACAAACAAACTTGGAAAATCGCGTTACGTCACGCGTTGTCACACCTTTGACGCGTGTTTCGCGATCAATTTCGAGGGTCTCATTCTCAGACCGCGTTGTCCACTGCACCAGTTCAGTAGTTTCTCCATCTGTCTTCGCCTTGAAACATGTCTCTTTGGGTAGATTTGGTGCGTCTCCTACCCATGTCGCTTGCACATCCAAAGTCAACTAACGGTTGTTTCAGTACCGTCCTAAAACGCTAGATGATCTTCATTACCATGAAGGTCTTTCAAATCGACTGCGTTCACTTGTGCGTCTTATATTTACTCTGAGTACCTATTAGTTGTTCAGGAACTGACAGTCACGCGTATAGGCTGCGTCAGGCGACTTCCCACATATGCTCTTCTACGGTCCATCTGGTGCAGGCAAGAAGACGCGGATAGCGTGCACGTTAAGAGAATTGTTCGGAAAGGGCGTAGAAAAGGTACATTCTAGAGCCTCTCTACGCGAAATTTGAAACCTGAAAGTTATGGATGCTGTTGTGATTGTAGTTGAAGATCGACCAAAGAGTATTCATGACCCCATCAAGACGGAAGTTGGACGTCAATATCGTACAGAGCAACTTTCATATAGAGATCACACCAAGGTCTGTTTAGCTGTCTTTAACTCCTCTTATCACTGTTCTCACGTGAAGCGGTGTTACAGTGAAGTGGGGATATACGACCGAGTAGTCATTCAAGAAATCCTCAAAGAGATCGCTCAAACTCAACAAGTGGACATCAGCGCGAAACAACGATTCAAAGGTCTTTACATTCTGCACTATCATATGCTCATGCCCAAATTGATCTGACGGCTCATCCTTAGTCGTGATTATCAACGAAGCCGACTCTCTATCCAGGGATGCACAAGCAGCCCTTCGGCGAACCATGGAGAAATATATGTCCAACATGCGTATCATTCTATGTGCGAATAGCACGAGTAAACTTATCGCACCCATCAAGAGTCGATGTCTGCTTGTCCGAGTAGCCGCCCCTTCGGAAGACGAGGTCTGTGTCGTCACTTTTTTTCGTCCAGATAACATATGAACTGAGGTGGCACTTGTATTCAGATTGTGAAGGTGCTACAGTATGTCGCGAGCAAACAGCCTTTTAGGTCAATAGACCAAAACGTAGCACGGGAAATCGCCGAAGATTCAAATGGCAATCTAAGGAAAGCCGTCCTAGTTTTCGAAGCTCTCAAAATGCAGACGTGTGTTCTCTTTCTCCATTCACTTCAAACTGCGAACTGAATCGCGGTATACTTTGCAGGCCAGACCTAAGTGGTCCTCTTACAATAGCGAAACCAGACTGGGAAACATACTGCCAGAAAGTGGCGGATATGATTATTCAGGAACAGTCACCACAACGTGTCATGGAAGTAAGATCCAAGCTATATGAGCTCTTGGTGCATTGCATACCGCCGAATGTCATACTCAAAGTGTGTTCTCTCTCTCTCCGCGGGAATTCCAACGGAGCTAACTTTTTCGATTTTCAGACGATTGCGGACCACGTTGTGGATAAGGTGGATGAGAGTCTGAAAGCAGATATCATTCACTGGGCCGCGATATACGTAAGTAGTACACAACAGTGGAATTGTTTTAAATTCTGATACGTATGTGTGTAGGAGGTGCGTTTGCGAAACGGCAACAAGAAGATTTTCCACCTTGAAGCCTGGGTAGTGAAAGTCATGACATTGTACAAGGTACGTTCCCATGCCCGCCCTCTTATATATCATCATCTAACTTTGCGACAGCACTTTTTCTTTGGCATCGATATGGACGGGTTCGACTGAGTATTTTGTATGTTCTGCTTTCTGTACTTTATATCCCCGCTGTGTTACTTGCTTTGCATATCATACCACTCCCATTTTGCCCTTTGAAGGGATCGAAAGTGAGAGTTTCAATGCTCACACCCAATGGTGAGTGTGACGTCAGAGAAGAGGGCATCCGAATTAGGAGCCAATCAACGTCATGCAGTTCCCCCGCTCGCGCCATAGACCAGTTTCTCTCCAGCCCTTCAAAAGGAATCGACCTGCTCCTGACCACCACCATTTTGACCAACGACGATCCCATACCCCAGATATCCGGTCCAAATATCCAATTTTTCTGATTTCATTTACCCCTTTACGAAACTGGAATGTATTCACTCGCTACTCGTTCCGCTCTCAAACGGTCCGTTGCCCCTGTCTCGAGAGTCTCGGTCTTTGTGCCAAGGTATTCGAGTACTATGCACGATAATGATCCAGAGGTATGCTTCATGGCAGGCGCAAGCCCGAGAGGTGGCTCACATTACGCTCATACAGGTTCTCGAGCTCGAGAAGCAACGGAACCTGAGAAATGAGCAACACAAAACCTCTTCCCCAATCAGAAACGCACCAGGTTGGAACCAGTATCTCGCAACAGCATCCGAGGCAGCTGTTAAGGTGAGCTTTATCGCATCGGCTTTTGCCTCATTAATGTCATTTACTTAACGGAAATGATAGGCTGATCGCGATGACCTCAATCCAAGTGAACTCCAAGAACGTACTGTGCAGTATGTCAAGCAACGACACTCCGTCGAATCACCCAATTCGAACCCTGAGCGTGTACCTCCTACACACAAGAAGACGTATGAAACCGAGGAACGTATTGATGCTGCTGAAGCAACGTACGAACGTGACGAAGTTGGCGGACCCCTCAAGGACTCAGGAACGAAGGAGACCGACACAACGGAAACTTACGAGGAGACTGTTAAGACGGACAAGCGGGAGAGTGGCTTGGCTGGAGGCACGTAAAACCATGGACCATCTTTAGGCGTAATGTTGCGTATGATGTCATTTTCTTCCTGACTTTTTCGACAAGTTGCTTGTATTCGCCGGGTTCACTGTGTATAACTAGGACTTCGATTCTGCATTTGTATCTGTAGTGTACTTGATGTACTGCAAAGTTTCAATTGTAAGACCATTCAAAACCTTCGTGCATAACATGAATCGACTGACCTAGAATGATAACATTTGCCTTAATTGGAAATACATTCATCTTCACATCAGATGGAATGTCCGGGAAAGTATTTGGTCTATGATAGTCATGCTTCAGGCCTACTCCGAGAAGTTCTGAGCTCCCTCTTGAAGGAAGTGACTGAGCTTGACCCGTCGAACAACATCGTTATGGTCGTGGAGGCCGAACTGGCGGTGACGACGCCCACAACAAGATTCAAGTGAATTAACCGCATACAATATAGTCGTCATACTTCAAGAAGGGGGATCAGCTTTCGAATCCAAGGGGTACATTCGTTTCAAGTGGCGGTACTTCCGCAGTGAATATAATGCTAGTGTTTCTACGAAATTCCAAGTGAGTACGTGGGAGATAGGTAGCGCATACAAGCAACTCACCATTACGAATATACTCTCCAAGCTTGATAGCTTTCTCGATCTCAGCTGGGTCTGTCAGGTTCTTATTCTCTACGAACGCAAGGTCGTGCGCATATCATTGAGCGTGAGGACAGAGGTGCTTAGACGAAGAACATATACTCTCGAATAAGCCGCGTAGCTTTCCATGGAAGTTATACCTAACCGAACGAATTCAGAAAACCCCGAAACCTCATCCTGCACTTCCCGTACAGAGTCTAAACTGAACGGAAATGCGAACGTACGTAGGATCAGGGTAATCACGACCTAACCGATGAAGCTCCTTGTACAGAGCTAGGACTCGGTGACGAGTCGCTTGGCTTGCTTGCGGTGTTGGCATATTGGGTATTAAAGACGTAATACAGCCCTACGAGAAAGGTATTGAAGGTGGTCTTGCGACCTGCGCTAGCGGTGGTGGGTGTTCATGCACATGGAGTGAGGGCAAGGTGCTTGGCCGGCAAATGTGATTCGGAGGTCGGGCCGGGCGGATTGTAGGCTCTTGTGGATGGTACTTCGACCCCTCACGGTCTACTTCAACTTGGAGTCGGAGACTCCAGCGATTCACTTCACGACGTTGTCTTTTTCATTTATTCGAAGGTGCTGGCGAAGAGTAACGATGGGAATGATTAGGACCTTGAGACTGAGTTAAAACTACGTCTAGTACGCTGCATGCTCTGGTCTCGCCCAGCTTTCCAGTATACTGGAAGTACACCATGAATGTCAATCCTAGACAAACATGGGCACGTTGAACGTTGATCCCTGAAGCTTGAGAGTCAAGACTAACTTCTCTGCGCACATCGTGATGGACAGCGCCTGCTGTGCTGAACTATTATTTGTAAGCTTTGATCCTCATACTACGAATCCACCTTCAACGAATCTTCTTACTCAGCAGAATGATATCGCAAGAAGCTCGAATGTCCCCACTTCGATCACCGACGCGAAATTCGCTGACCAAGCTAAATGCAATGCGTTCTAACGTCTAATGAACACAGCATTCACGTCTAGCATTACCATGTACTGTGACACAAAGTCGCAAGTTTTCCACTACCTTCAGCTCATTAGCAATGACTTTGTCAGCCTACTATGACTTGAGTGGCATCAGACGCTAGCATCTGTCATATAAACATGTTCAAGTCTGCCTTCATACTGTACCAAACAAACGATACTCAAGTTTCTTTCCCTAAATAATGTCTAGCATCCCATCCAAACACCTGGCCATTGGGTTCACATCCCCCAACTCCGGCGTTGTCTCATTTGATCAACCTACACCCGAACCTAGTCATGACGAAATTCTCGTGCGCGTGCTCTACGCCTCTGTCTCCCAGTTCGAACTCTGGCAAGTCGACTTCGGACTGATCGTGACCGACTACCCACATGTCTTGGGTATCAATCTGCTTGGAGAGGTTGTGAAGGCGGGCGAAGACGTCGATGTGAAAGTCGGCGAGAAAGTTCTATCTTTTAGCTTTGCGCCTACAGCGGGGAAAGCCCTACAAGAGTATGCTGTACTCAGCAAATGGAAGGTCGGGAGGGTAAGTGAAGCTTTTGTGATAGATTATTGAGATGGCTCACTCGATTGTTACAGCTCCCCTCAAACGTTTCACCTCAGGAAGCCGTCTCTGTACCAGATAAGTATGCATTCTTGCTTTACTACCTCTTTTTTCATGGTAACTAATCCCAGTCCCGCAGCTTCGTGACAGCATACTGGTCTCTGTTTGGGAACATCAAGCTTCCAGTTCCTTCAGAACTTCCCTCGAACTTATCTCCAGCTGAGGCCACCACGCCAATCCTCGTCTGGGGCGCTGGAGGAAGCACCGGTCAATATGCTCTCCAGGTCCTGCGACTTGCGGGCTATACCAACGTTATCGCAGTTGCATCTTCTCGTCATCACGAGTTCCTCCGCTCTCTTGGCGCAGCTATCACTCTCGACTACAAATCCAAGGATATCATCGAACAGGTTCTGAAGGCCGCTGGTGGGCCAGTCAAATACGTCTTTGACACGATCGCCGATGAAGAGCATAGTCTCTCGCACATTGCCAAATTTGTTGCGGAGGGAAGCCAGGTCGCCTACCTCATCCCTGTTCGAGTCGGAGGCCAAGGAGCGGTACAAAGAGTGAAGCCTCAGACTGACACCTCATTCCCCTCCGGTGTTGAACTACTCCCAGTTAGAACTGCTTATTATCAATCGGTAAGTTTCATTATATTTTTTATAGCCCATGGTAAAGATTCTAACCTGATTTTAGAACGAGAAGTTCAAGGACGAGCTTCAGCCAAAGATTTTGCCCGAGCTTCTGGCTTCTGGCTTGATCACGCCTAATCGCATCCGTGAGATTCAAGGTGCCACGTTACTAGATCGAGTAAAGGAAGCCTTGGATATTCTTAGAAAGGGCGAAGTTAGCGGTGAGAGGCTTGTCGTTCGCGTTTCTGCATGAAGTATTTGCAATTTGGATAGTAATGTAAGAGGTAGTTCATTGACCGAGGATAGATGAAGAGGCATACCTCACATCACTTTCCCTCAGGCTCCTGAGATGCCGTCTCTTCGATTACTACCGAGGTATATCATGTTTCGGTTATGAGTCTTTTGGTAAGGATTGCTTTATGATGGGTATAAATAATAAATGTGAAACTTATACTTAAATGAATTGGAGGCCTGTAGGAAAGTGAGGCTTTTGGAAAGAGGACAATGCTTCGCCATGGCGGAATTGGTGAACGGACTACGCCAATCGGAGCTGGCACCGATAATATGCTGTACATGCATCGATTGCTAAAATTTACCTAGCTTCATATACTGCAGCATTTCCGAGATGCAAATTCTTTGTATATAATGAGGGTACAACGAAGGAATTGATTCTCCACACGATTCGATTCACCTCGGAAAGACTTGAGATTACTCTTAGGGTTTGGCCTGTTCTTCTCATAAGAGGCGTCTCTTTCGTCTCACCTCGGTACCGTTAGCTAGCCTCGAATGAGGAGAAGTCTACTTACAGTACTGCAGGCATGCATCGGGTGTGACATAAGCTGACAGTGTGTTATGCCCTGAAGCTCATAACTCAGGCAAGTTATGTCGTGCTCCTCATTGTTGGAATATAGGATGAAGCGGCGAGCGTCGCTGTGTGCAAGGAACGAGAGGAGCGGGACGGAGTCCCGCGTGCTTGGCAATTCTTCGTATAAAAGTAGTTACTTACTTTGTATGTACCCCATCCGTTTGCCTCAGAGCTCTACGAGGTCAAACGTTACGACTCGCTTTCCTCCCGCGCGACGTGTATTTCAATACTCATACCTGTCCATTAGTTTTTGTCATAATACTTCTATAGGCAGATACGGAGAATGTGTCTACAGAAATAGGAACATTCTGGCTGCTCTGCAAAGCGAGCGTGCAGCGAAGAAGCCGTTTGCCTCCCTGACTGGAGCAAACCTGCCCGATTAGGCAGGTCGATGTCCCAATATGGCAGTCTCTCCGTCTGCAAGAAGGCATTGTAATCGAGACTGTTGAACGAAATTCAACAGCAACCTCACGTGCATCAGAACATACACGACGTGCCGACGACATATAAAAGGCGGTCAATTTCGTGTTGAAAACCTCCGCCCTCCACCCCACCAGCAAATCCTCCAGTACTCACAGTCATGTTGTTCTTCAACCTCCTCCTCATGGGGTTCGTCACTCTGATTGGAGTGATGGACGTCTTTTTCGATCTTTCTCTTGTTGTTTACTCGAAAGCGGCATTTGATCTTGTTTTCGACATCCCCATCATCGCCTACTTCGTTGTTCAAGGATCTCCATCGTTCACCGAGCCACTCGACGCCGCCCTGCAATCCCCCTTTGACGTCTGCTCATGGGGTATTCCCGGTCTGCTGTCTCTCCGTCCTATAACTCTCCCGCCGTCGACGATCAACACCTCTCGCGAGCTTCAAGTCTACGACTCCGCTCAGTTCGCTTTGACCATGACTGCCCCGACCGAATGTTTGTCCGCAAATCCACAAGATGGTCAAGTGGGGGACGCCCCGCTTCACCTCTCTTCGGACTTCGGACCCGTTACCTCGGAACGTCGGCGTGCTAGAGCCAATAGCGGATTTTATAGTAGAGGCGGAATGTCCTACGTCATCGCCGCCGTGTTGTTGCAATCCGTTGTCCTCTCACTTATGGTACGAGCGATCTTAGGTCCGAGTGTGTACGTTCAGGAGACCACGTGCACAGTGAGTAGTTTGTCTCCGATCTGGCATGTATCATGTCTGATTTACTTTTGACAGGCTCAGCATGTAGCACTGGATCCTGAACACTTGGACTCGAGTGGTACCGTCACGGATACGCCTCAGAACATTCCATCTTCAGTATCCCCACGACTTACCGCTATTGCGCCAAACTTGTCCACTATGCATTCGCCTCCCACGCCGCCATTTGTGCAGGCACAACATGCGGCGGAGGCAGGTGCTGGAGTTTCGTCGATGGATGTAGAGCCTAAGAAAAAGAAGAAGCTTACCCGCCGCGGAGGACAATGGAGAAGAATACAACGCGCGGAGGGACATAGGAAGATAAGAGAAGCAGCAGAAGCAGCAGTTGCAAATGCAACTAACAACCAGACTCCGGTATGTGTGTTCATTCACTTTGAGTGAATATGCAACTCATCATTCTTTTATAGATACCTCGTTCGGAAACACCATCTGATCCTCTTAATTTGTGGCTTAACCCAGACATCTAGCCAGCTAGACCTGCCGACCTTCGCCATTGTCGCTACCCTGAAGGATTTCGGCGACCTCAACCACCAAGAGAAGTGGTGAACGCTGCCGAAAGCCCCAGTTATACATACTGTCTTTCATTTCGGAATTACCGGTACCCGTAGTGTTAGATATTATTTAGTGGTCTCATAGCCGGGGGAAAGCCACACCCGACCAAGCGCGAAGGTCGGACGTGGCCTTCGTCTGGGTAGGAGATCACAACACGGTGTAATAGTGTAGTGTCACCAGCCTTTGCTTGACAGACCTAGGGATTCGAGTCGCGCCGAATCCTGTTGGCCTGTTGGGTACTGGCATCGGTGGCTGGTTTCGGAGGAATGCACGAATCCCGAACTCTGCTTACCTCTTATCCGCCTCTTTTCCATTTTCCTTCATCTGCATCAGTAGTGTTTCCCTATCAAATTCTTGTGTTACACCGTCTCGGACTTCCAGCATTTTATAGATTCGTCGACTCGGACTTGGCCTATAGATAATATCCTTATTGATTGTGTATTTCTTTTCTCCCTTTTTTCTTTCTTTTTCTCATTGACGTCCGAATATATGGCCAGACAGACCTCGCACCTTTCGTATCTGATTGAATCTCATGTCATTAACCTTTACCATAGCAGGAAAGGACCTACAACCCGGCACCTGGATTATTCAACCCCTCATCTGAACGGGATTAGGACACCGTCAAGTATTCTGAACGGACACCATCTATGGGACTGCTATAGAGATGATGATTAGCACATGTAGAGAGGAAACTCAATAGCGGCACTCACGGCTCTACGAGAGCGAAGGACTTCTGCAACATGCAGCGTGTCTGAATCCTGAGAAGGTCTCTCTATTCTGGACAGCCATAGTGTTGCATCGGTCAGAAAAGTGAAAGACGGCCCAAGTGCCGGCTTTCGATTGGTGAAGGCGAAAACAGAGTCTGGATTTCGAGGGCTTGCCTTACTTGTTGAGTTAATGATCTAAATCATGATCGTTAGGCAAGACAAAATAGATTACATCTAACTGACCAGAATCGTCAGTGAATACATCTCAGCGAATTCGCGTAACCGTCGCATGAAAGTTGTCATAAGGGAATGCCCTATTGTTTCTCATAAGCTGAAGCTCAGATATGAATGAAAAACACGTATTTACCTTGGGAAGACACCACACTAAGAAGCGGTCGGAAGAGAGGAGTGATAGAATCAATCACAATACATCGAATATTTGCTTTGGGTTCCAACTGTGTTTCGTCAAGCATACAATCCAAGGCATAAAAAAAACACATACATTCAATGAGTATTGTGCAGACTCCAGAACTCCTTGAACGGCTTCGAGCTCGAAGGCAAGGGAGACCTGCAGTCGTTCTAAGGCTTCCAAGGAGCCATCCTGTGAGGGAAATCAGACGATGAAACTTGCATTGAGCGCTCTGAGTCTCACATCTCTCATAATTTGATGCACTCGATCTGCAGAGAAGTCGCCAGTGGTGTCGATCCATACTGCACTTGAGTTAGCACAGCCTGAGAGATATCGCAAAACAATTTGCAGCGCAAGGGCCTGTCTCAATTATACTCAGCGCAAGGCAAACAAACTGACGCAGTATTCATTCACAGTTTTTCCCGAACATCTGTCGCCAGATATCTCGAGTACACGATATTGACCGAATCCACCAACGAGTTCATCTAGTGCCTGCACACCACTGTACAGCGCGTCAGACGCGCGTTTCTTGCATCTTTCAGTTTCTTCTTGAAGAAGTACATCTCCTCGCATCATCGGTGCCGCTTGTTGTGCTGCGACGCGCGTCATAAGGTCGACCACTTCCTGGAGGGTGATGGAGTCATCGGGTAGCTTGCGCCATAAGTCCACTGCATCATCAGAGAATAGCAGGTCTGCGTCAGTTTTAATTCCAAGGTCCTCGAGTGCATCCAGAAGTTCATCAGGAAGAGGAGGTAACACGGCGCGGAGACGCATATTGTTATGGCCCAGTGAAAGTTCAAGGTACCCGGGTGTGACAGCTAGAGCGTGGGGGGTGCAGGATGAGTATAAACAAAGTGCAATGGTGGGTGCCAGAAAAGAGGTGTTCTGTGACAGTGCAATAAGGTTTCTAGCTATTCCGGTTGAAGTGTGTTTTAACGTTTTGAGCAAGTTGCGAGCAAGCAAGAACCATTTTTGGCTTTCCTTTCCTGGCCGATCTTCGATCATTGTTGATTGGCGCCCTCCAATTGTTCAGTGGACGCTCTCGAGCTCAGGCTCAGAAACATCATCTATAACCAGCACATGGAGACAAAATGACCGATGTTCCTCAGACAGATGTTTCCAGAAGAGTAGCTCTACCGACTGCGAGTCTGCTCTCCCGGAGTAGTCAACCGACCATCGACCAAAGCTCTGACCAATATCTGGATTCCATCGAGGAGGAATGGAACAAAAAGGTTGATGTCGAGGTGGATACTCTGGTGGACGGAATGGTTGACCTCGTTAGTTTGGCTTCTGTAAGCTATCCTAACATCAATGTATGCTCGTGCCAAATTGACCAAGTTCATTGTTTTTTTGAATACAGATCGGTGACAAGGACAAGTTTCGTGTTGCTCAGGAGGCGTTTCAGGCGGAATGTAGAGCAGAATCAATGGTATGCCGTCTTTTGCTCACGTCCTCATGTGTTTACCCGCTGCACATAGATTCGAGCAGCGAATTCGTTGCTCTCTATCACACACTCAATGAAACTCCTACTCCTATTGTCGGATGAGTCTCAAATTGCTAACCGACGCGACATGGAACAGAGGAGCTTACAAGCTGAGAAGGAGGAGTCCAAAAAGAAGATAGCGGATCTTCTTGACGAACTCCTTAACATGCGTAACCCACCGAACGGAGCTCCTCCGAGTCAGGACGTCGAGATGGGTTCATGATCGTGACTCGAAATGATCCCACTCTCCGGCGTGAACGACTTGACTCGCTGAGCTCTTGCTCAACTTCTGGTGTTGACTATCGACACAACGCGTTCAAGCGACAGGTTCAATTCCGCCCACTGCGGCTCTTCGTTCTCCTCACGAGCTTTTTCAGAGGCAAAGAGCAGGACTTCATTAGGTGCATACCGTGGTTAGCTTTCCACGTTGTAGCTCCGCATTCCGATGTGGTATTCTTGCTCTCGATGATGTCTTGCATTGGAATGCAACGCCATTTTTATGGACAGTCTCCGACATGAAGGGATGTACGCTCTAAGAATGGTGCGATATTGACTTACGTCTCAGATTTATATTGACAGTACGCCGAATCTGCATATATCCTTTTCTTCGTTTGTGATCTCTTTGCTACTCGCGACACGAATATGGTACGCAGGAGAAACATCCAAAGATAGCATTTGAGGCGAACATACAACCATATCATTCTAATCCGAGAGTCCTAGGTATCATCGTACGGGTATGGTCTACAGAGTTTTCTCTAACTCGATCAATTCTTCCAGCTTATCTATAGTGAACGCATCCAAGTTCGCTGGTCCAAGGGGCCCTCGGACAAATGGTTTACCGTAACCAAAATGCTTCGAAACGACAGCCTTTATACCAGCAATGCTTCCGACGTTTCCCAGCTGCCAGTCGGCATGTCCGAGTAAAGCCTGGAGCTTAGCTGCCTCTTCGAACTTACCCTCCTTGTATAGTTTCAACAACCTCAAGTGAGCCTTGGGTGCGACGTTTGGCAGGGCACCAATAACTCCAGCGCTGCCTGAAACAAGACCTTGGAGGAAGACATCAGACTTCCCTGGGAATGTCGCGAACTCAGAAGCGGGAACGGTGGAAGTCAGGCGCTGCAACTTTCCAATGTCGCCGCAAGAAAGCTTGGTGCCTACGATATTTGGGTGCGTAGCAAGGGTCCCAATCGTATCCGAATCAAGGTTAAGACCTGCGGTGACTGTGGGAAAGTTGTAGATCATCGTTGGTATGGGTGAGGCATCTGCTACCTACAAGTCCGTTTGAAGTTAATTCCATGGTCAATTAAAGGATGGTTGAAGTCATCGCACCTCACGATGAAATCGGATGATGTTCGGTTTGGTCATCTGGGGCGGCCAAACTCCAGGCGTCAACACTAGCGCATATGCAGCGCCAGCCTCTTTCGCGTCTGCACATAACTTCTTCGTCTCCTTGGTAGATTGACCTCCAGTACCAGCAATGATAATGACGTTCTGGAAATCATTGGCATCCAAGGTTTCTCTCGTGAGAGCGATAGTTTGCTTGCGCTCATCGTGAGACAGATGTTGCGCCTCTCCATTGCTACCTTGTACCAAGACACCAGTTACTCCGCCCTATTTCTATGATGAGCACATCGGACACCGCCAAGCACTTCCGATTAGGAACTTGACCTACTTGGGCAAGACGCAGGACATGGGCTTTGATGGCCTCTATGTCAAACTCTTCGTTTTGATCGAAGAAAAGTACGGCAGGGACATAGACACCTTGCGGCGGTGGTAAGGCGGATTGAGTCATTTTATCACCTACAAGTTCTTGTATGAGCTCGCCGACTGGGTCGAGGTCAATGTCAAGCGAGAGATAGTAGATCGATTGATTAATCGGAACCATAAACTATGGCTTATTGATTTGTCATCCCAAGAAATGTTGTTTTTCAAAGTCCGCCCAAGCTGCCGTGTAGTTTCGCCGATTGACAAACTTGAGTTCATGCACTCATCATTGTAACCTTTTAGGTTGCAGAATACTCTCTGCCACTCTCGGAATTTGTCCATGTACTCTAACTTCCGTAGAAAACTGTCTTCGGCCCTCTTTCTGAGCAAAGCTGTTACCTATGGACTGAAGAACGTACCCCGCACGAGGCGGGTCGAAGCGTCGCGACCAATTCGACGACACCTTTCTACACTTTACACTGCTCAAACTCTTCGCTTACGACCCCGTTACGCCCCATCTCATTCTGTTCGACATGTTCACGTTCGCGCTTTGTCTTACTCGTCGATACCCCGCTTTATGCTTCGCGCTTTCAGAGTACCAATAGGTGCTGCGACTGCCGGTGCCGGAGGACTTACTTATGCCAACTATAAATTTGAAGGCATGTCCTAGCCTTCTTCTTTTACTCTTTTGTATGCTAATGCGTGGAGCTTAGAGGTGAGGAAGAAATCAAGGGAATGGATAGATGCTGTTCAAGATACCGCGACCGATCTTTACGGTTCTGCTTCGGACGTCGTCAAATCAGTGTCTTCGCGTGTTTCCGATGTCAAGCTTCCCGAGCTACCAGACTTTGAGGCGCCACAGTTTTTGAAGGACTTATTCAGCTCTTCTAACAAAGGAAAGGGCAAGCAGAAGGACGGTGGAGAGAATGATGAAGGGAGTTCGAGGAATAAGCGACCCGACGGTGAAGATGCTGCCCTTGCTGCCTTGGTTGCCGCAGCCATGTCCTCATCTTCGGACTCCAAGTCGGAGAACGGTGGTTTAGATACTCAAAATGGCCTCATGCACCTCACGCGGAAACTCATCGAGATTCGGAGTATGCTCTTGAGCATTGATCAAAGCGATGCTTTGAAGCTCCCAAGTATCGTGGTTATTGGCAGTCAGAGTTCTGGGAAGAGTTCAGTATTGGAAGCCATTGTTGGACACGAGTTCCTACCCAAGTACGTATATATAATTAATCCCCCGACAATCAATACGCTGACTACGCATAAATCAGAGGGAACAATATGGTTACTCGACGTCCTATCGAGCTGACTCTCATTCACACCCCTCAGGCAAATGGTAACGATCCTGAAGAGTACGGGGAGTTCCCTATGCTTGGATTGGGCAAGATTAGCGACTTCTCCAAAATTCAGAAGACCTTGACGGACTTGAACCTCGCTGTTCCGGCCTCTGAAGCCGTTTCCAACGATCCCATTGACCTACGGATATACAGTCCCCGTGTACCGGATTTAACCCTTATCGACCTGCCTGGTTACATCCAGATTGCTTCCATGGACCAACCGGAATCTCTGAAGGAGAAAATCGCATCTCTATGCGAGAGATACATCCGGGAACCTAACATCGTCCTGGCCGTTTGCGCTGCCGATGTTGATTTGGCTAATTCACCCGCTCTCCGAGCAAGTCGGAAAGTTGACCCCCTAGGCTTGCGTACTATTGGCGTCATCACGAAGATGGATTTGGTCCCTCCAGAACAAGGTGCCTCGATTCTTTCTGGAAATCGGTATCCTCTGCACCTTGGCTATGTTGGCGTCGTATGCAAGACTTCTGGAATCAGAGGCAGTCGGGAGTCGACTACTGCAATGGTACAACGTGGCGAGAACGATTACTTTGGTTCACACAGACAATACTTTGGGAGCACATCTTCTTTGATGGTGGGTACCGATACTCTGAGGAAACGTTTGATGGAGGTCCTCGAGTCGTCTATGGCTTCTTCCCTCCACGGTATCACCAATGCCGTTCAGCTGGAACTCGAGGAGGCGCAGTATCAGTTCAAGGTGCAATACAACGATCGTCGTATCACCGCTGAATCCTACGTTGCCGAGACTGTCGATCTTCTCAAAGCCCGATTCAAGGAATTCACCACACAATTCCGCAAACCACATGTCAGAGCGAAGCTCAAGGAGATGTTGGATGACAAAGTTATGGACGTCTTGGAACAATTGTATTGGACAGATAAACGTGTACCAGAACTCTCCAGCCTCGCTGCGGACCCGAGAGTCAAACCAGAGGACGTAGAGCCCTACTGGAGGTACAAACTCGAAGCTGCTTCTTCCTTACTCACCAAATCAGGTGTCGGTCGTGATTCTACGCTTCTGGTAGCAGACGGTCTTCGTACTTTGATTGACTCTATAGCTGCTGGCGAACCGTTCAATCATCACCCCCGAGCATCTGAACGGCTCATCGAATTCTCGCATGCCATCCTTCGAGATCGTATAGGTGTCACCTCCGATCAAGTCGAGAATTGTATCAAGCCGTATAAGTATGAAATCGAGGTGGAACCTAGGGAATGGGATTCTGGACGAAATGAGTCTTTGACGTTGTATGAGAAGGAGTTGGTGCAATGTGAGGAAAGGTTGAAGGAGATCAGGAAGAGAGTTGGTGGGGGTAGGAGATTGAATGGTTTGGTTGTGTATGTGAAGGAGTTGGAGGCTAAGGAGAGGGAGAGGAAGCAGAGGGTGTTGGTGAACCCCGAGGCTGAGAATGAGGAGAGTGCGAGTGTGGTGGAGGATTATCGCTATCCTCCGGCTCAAATCCTTGATGGTGAGTGTCTACAGTTGCATTATCACACTTCCGTTACTGATGATTGCCATTTTGTTGCAATAGCTCGGCATGCGATGATGTATGGCAACAGACTCGGCGTCCTTAAACTTCGACTCGCTGCGTTGAAGTCAAAACGTTGCAAGGGTGGACCTGAGAACGATGTTCTCTGTCCTGAAGCGTTCTTAAGTGTCGTGGCTGATAAGCTCGCATATACTTCTGCTATGTTCATCAACATCGAGTTGCTTGACCACTTCTTCTACCAGGTGAGTATCTCTTCTTATGATGTATCAAGGGGTTAAATTGATCATTTCTTGTTCGTAGTTCCCTCGTGAGATCGATTCGAGACTTTTGTACGATTTGGATAGACGGGAAATCGTAGAGTTCGCAAGGGAGAACCCTGTGGTAAAGAAACATTTGGACTTGCAAGAGCGCAAGGATAAATTGGAAGAGGTACGTTTAATTTCGGTATAGACATCTAACCATCCGCTGACTGGAGTTTTTTCAGGTGATGAAGCAATTGAATAGCTTGGCCACCTTACGACCCGAGTCGGTACAGACAACACCACGACGTCAACGAGGACTCTTTGGAGGAATGTTCTAGTTTGTATTCTGTACATCGTTGTTATATTTCTTTCACCTCTCAGCACTGGTTTTGGAAGTATTGTACGCACCACTGTTCAGCACTTCACATAATTCTCCCTCACACGACCACTCTACGAGATGTTGCAAGCATTTGAACAGTTTCGATATCTAGAGTATGTATGCATAATGAAAAGGTAATCTACAGTGATGATACATACAAGTCAACAGTAAAGGGTATATAAGATCTAAAGCTTGGCCTTGGTCTTGGCCACCTATTCAAACGAATTAGGAACATGCAAGATGAAGAATACTAGTCAAAGCGGACTGACCTTCAAGACGCCATCAAGCTTGGTTGCGAACATCATGTTGCCTTTTGTCTTGAGCTTGCCAGTCATGAAAGCCTTCTGGCCATCAAGCTATCGTAAAGAAACCCGAAATTGAGCATATATGGAAACAAGGCTTGGCTTCGGACACGTACTTTGCCTTCAGCAAGTTGTGTGAAAGTCTCGTCCGACAGCAAGATGGTGACGTTAGCTTTGGACTTCGGCTCGCCCTTGTATACCGAACCAGTCGTCTTAAGGTCAATAGTCCAGACACCCTCCTTTCCTTCCGCGTTCTTCACCCGCAGCTCGAAGATACCATTTGTCTATAATTGTTACCTTGACTTAGCGACAGCGAGAGGGGTTCATCTTCAGTACAAACCTTCTTAATCTGACTTTTCTTCTCCGCTTCGCTGTAGCCTTCAAATACGGAAGCGAGTGCAGCCAAAATTTCAGAAGACTGACCATGGAGTCAGTTCGAGAGAACATCATCAACTGAAAGAGATGGAAGAGAGTTGCACTCACCTTGAATCCTTCGACCTTGATGTCCGACATGACTGTGAGTGATAGAGAGTGGAATGGGCGGGTGCAGGAGGATAAGCCGGGGTGGCAGTGATGGTGGAGACGTTGGGGTGGGATTCAGGAATATTAATATGTTCAGCGCGATCGGGCGCATACGGACATGTGAAATTCAAAGTTCGGAATCGGTCTTTACGAAATTTACATCCGCTCCATAAGAATCTCACTGTTCATTACTGCTTGCACAAGGCCACCATGTTCAAAAATTTCCTGCCCTTTTCTGAGTTGTCCTCCTTGGACATAGACTTGCATTCACTATTTTCTTAGTATCCTGTCCACGAGATAACGCACTCAATCTCCCCCAACTTTTTGTGCCTCGGGCTTCGGTGGACGGTGTCGTACGACTTGCGGCTTACTTGCGGCTTTGCTGGCTCTCGGATGTAGAGCTTGAGCTAAAAGCCAAAGGCTGGTTCTACGCGTACGAACAGGTACGAACCCGAGGGCTCAAACTCAAGAAGTTCTACTATTCATAGCCAGGCATCCCATATTCAATGTTGGATCACAATGAGAAAGATAGTCCGAACTTTTCAATGAGACCGAAGGTGAATCCTAATTTGATTCATTGCAGCACACAAAAAGTTGACACCGCGAAATGATTACAAGAAATAGGATTACAATACGCAAAGTGAATCAGACCTATTTACTTATTCATACCGCGCCCCAGCGAACTGAGCATCGCTGTCTACTCTGGAGGTTCCCTCCTCCCTTCTTTGACAATTTTTTGCGTGGTTCTGTCAACGTACTATGCATGGAATATCGTTGGCATTCGCTGACATTATATCGGCGCAGTCGAACACTTGGTCGAACTACGATGCTTGCCATACCCTCAACATGCCAGATTGTATCGGAAACTTCCGCTGGGTAATGCCGAAAACAAATGCACTTCGAGACTGAGGCCTGAGGTCCGGCTTTCTTTCACTTTCACAACCTCGTTCGCTTACTCTTTTGCGTATTATTATTCGTACTGAAAATACGCATTAAGATGCTACAGGTGCGTGAAAACAACGTAATCATTAGCATCATGCTAGACTCGCATTCTCTTAGCAAGTCACGATTCGCGGTACCATGCTCAGCAGCATTAACTCAAGACTCCCCGGAGAGATGATCGACAGAGTGATTGACCACCTGCATGATGACAAACGGTCTCTTTCTGCCTGCTCGCTTGTTTGCACCCTTTGGCAACCTGCCAGTCGTTTTCATCTCTTTCGGCATGTGAAGTTGTCCGACGCATTTTCAGAGACATCCGAGAGTCTATTTGGTTTGGTGTCTCGCTTCCTGACCGATGTAAAGCATCTTTGCTTTAATGTCGAACATCTTCATATCTCATATGAACATGAGACGCTTATGTATCCCCTCCTCGACAACATTCTTCGTCACATGCCCAGGGTACATTCCCTCGCATTCACCGGAATTCTATGGAGGGTTAAACACTCGTCACTTAACCCACTTGCTTCGTACCCTCTCATTAAATCTCTAACTTTTGAGACAGTGCATTTCACTAGCTCAGGTGATATTGGTACTTCCGTAGAATGTTTTCCGCTTCTTTCCCTTTTCCCTCACGCTCGCGAACTCCGTCTCTTGAACATAGAGGATCCTCTTGACTACCCTTCTGATTTTTTCCCCAACCATCTTGCCTTGCGTAGCTTCAAGGCGGACCACAGTTGCGAAGGGACCCCTGCCCTCCTTGCCGCTCTATCGATTACATCAACAGTCGATTCATTAACTCACTTGGATGTGGGGTGGATCGTGAACCCGGGGCTTTTTCAAGCCCTTCGAGAGCTTGATGTCCGCATCAAGAAGCATCTGGTCTTTCTGCGTATGGGACTGGACGACATATCAGATTTGATTGAACATGACGAGACCGGTGAGTCACTTTACCAGCCGTAGAGAGCAAGATAACATATAACCATGTCTGCAGGCGGTGTGCCTTGGAACCTTTTAAACCTTCGGGAGTTCACCTCGCTTAGAGAGGTCAGCATCCTTGTTCCAGAACCACGCAACCCGCTTTTGGATGCTATTCTCGCAATTGACTCCCTACCCACCCGCATTCACAACATAACGATCGAGTTCGAGGCCATGCGTTGGGACCAAGATATACCGGCATATTTCTCGATGGACATTTGGGCTGAGTTGGAGCGCATGATGTCTCGTTTCACCCAACTTGAATGCATGCGGTGCATAGCAATTGATGTGACAGGAAATGAGCCTCACCCGCTCTCATCGTCCGTCCAGGCTGAAATAAGATCGCATATGCCCTCACTGGTGGCGAAAGGCTTGTTGAAGTTCTGAGGTTATGGTTTTGCTCAAGGCCTTCCAACGGAGTACCCATTCATTTGCGACAAAGGAAGACTCTTCGGCAGATGGCCGCAAGCACACATTCCACAAGACGCATTCGAAGACCGATGCTACCCTTTTGTGATTTGGCGCATGTATCGCTGGTCCCTTACATCTACCGCATATGATGTCAACTCCAGCAATACCTATCCAAACAGGATGCACAAATGCCACTTCTCTTCACCCCCAACCGCGCTCTCGCCCTATCCACGACAGCACAAGCCAGGCAAACGGGCCACTCGGCATCTTTTTCCAAGGTGCCAGTTCTTTGATTCACGTGAGGAATGCCTTGCGTGGCGATATCAAACACTTGGTTCAACATTCCTCTGATTTGCTCAGGTTCGTAGGTGGTTTGCATAGTTGCCGTGTTAGTGAGCGGTTCTTGGCCGAGCGGAGGGGCCCCATTTGCAATATAGATAATGAGAGGAGTATGGAGTGAATGAAGGGATGTCGAACTATTGCAGCCGAAGAACGTCGGTCGCTTTGTGAGGTTGCGAGCTGCGAATTCAGATACTGTCGTAGGAACGGGCGGGAAGGAATAGACAGAGGGGAACAGCGAAGCTCGTTGCTGCGAAGCCTGTGTGATATAAATCAATCATCTCATTCGGTGATTGTGAAAGCCCTAACCCACAATTATGGAGAAGCCTTCAGCAAAATTATCCGCGTTATCTGCGGGCTAGAATTGTCCGTCGTTAGTTAACGGTGAGCAATAACAAAAGTTGGCGAATACGACTTACTGCATCAATTGCGAAAATGGTGTCCACTTCTCTCGCCTGGACTAGGAGCGGTTGTAATGGATCGATTTCACCATTTTCACCTCCATCGACCAATTTGAGGAACTTCTCTTCCGCATCAAGGTTTACGAAGCCTTGCGTACCGGGGACTCCGAAGAATGGATTGGGCACCGATGCCGCATCCAATTCAACAGCAGGTGATTGAGGTATGGACGCGTTTAGTAGCGCGATTATGGGGCCAATAGGTGAGTTCTGCAGGGCCTCAGCCTGGCGGCGGCGTGAATGTTAGATCATTCAGATAGGAAGTAGACATCACGCACAGAAGTATTGAACTCGTTGAACAAATTCGAAGATGCACTCTCCACGAAAGATAACTGATCGAAGTTTGTCACGCAAATGGAATTGTTTGGAGACCCTAAGAATTGAGTGGGAGTGAAGGCCGCCACCATTGGATCGAACGACCCGAATTCAACTTGGAAGTAATTTAGTGAAATGATGTCAAGAGTAGAATATTTTGCGAGAACATACACGGATTGAACTCGTATATGGTATTGCTGAGCGGCACGAAGATGCCAGTTTCGTTAAATATGTTCGACTTGTTTCCATTGCTGGACAATACATCCGCTAGCACAATCGGAAACGGCTGTGTATGGCTTTTGAAGGTGGATCTACAAGCAACAATCATTCGTCAATAAAACTGATCATTTGTAGTGTGTGGTTTGGCTCACAGTCCCGTCAGGCCAGATAATGTTACACCCGCTCCATGGGTGACATTTGTTGCAAAGAATGTCGATATATCATCGCCTCTCGTCCCCGTCACGAAATGCCGCGAGAGTGCCCTCGCCCAGACATCGGCGAAAGTGACCGGGAACCCCGTCTTGGCCTTCCCAACGATTTCTTGTATAATCGTAGATATATACGCAGCAGTTAGAGACGCATTTGTCCCTCCAGCCTGAGTGATATCGAACTGCGCGTTCCAACCATCGAAAGGTTTCGAACCAGGTTGCGAAGGACCGAAAACCAATTCTGGAAGGGGAGGGAAATCCGCCTGAGAAAGCGATAGAATGAGCCAGCTCCCCCCACTCAATCCAGTAATGTAAGACGCAGACTGCAGCAGCCCTCCCAATCCTGCCATATTTGACGTCGCATTCCGAGAATCAAGAGCATCCAGGACACCGGCACCGAAGATCGCTGCACGGTACCCTCCACCACTCGCAGCCACGCCAAGTCTTGGGAAGACAGAAGGAGCGTGTGATGTCAGGATCTGCGAGACGTAAGCAGGAATCTGACTAGAAAGACCGTGGGCACGTGAATAAGAAGAGACAGTATTGAAATAAGAAGCCCAAGCGGCAGGAAGAACAGTCGTGCCTCGTGTTGAGATGTATTTGCTTTCAAACGTGCTAAGAGATTGCTGAGTTGGGCCGCTGGATGACACTGATGCCGGACGAATGAGATTTGTCCCGGCAGGACAAGCTGTGAATTGCGGACTGTCGGCAGCAGCTGCCTGTAACTGTGCTGAGGTTTTGCCATAAAGCGAAACCCACAGGACAGAGTACGCCAACTGAAAGAGGAACAGCATGGGGATACGGAGTGAGGAGGACCGGGGAGCGAGGACTCATGGAGCGCAGCTTCGTTGCTCTTTATTTAACGGATCTGATGACGATGACATGGGACACATAAAGACGTATCATTGTCACCGCAGAATCAGGATAGGCCAACGCTACTACACGCTGTCACCGGAATGATATGCCGAGTGTAGCGAACGACGCCAACTGGAATAAGAAACGGAATGAGTTCAAATGCTGCAAATGTATGTACCAAACCTACTGTGTATATACATCCCTTTCAGGGCAATCATGATTGAGCAGAAGTAAAGACTTCCCAAGAAGATTTTTTAGCCGGGCTTGGGGTTACTGAGCACATGGTTGAACTCCCACACTTACACTGCGGAAAAACAACAAGGAGATCACAAAAGAGTTCTCAACAGTGGACCAGGGGCTCGATTTCGGGGTGTGCGTCTGAGGCTAAATTGAGATGAACGCGCGGCATTACGACGTGACCGCGTTCCTATCCGCTTCAGTTAAACAAGGGCCCTGTTGCGACCAGGATGACATCGCCCAAAGATAGCTTGAAGTTGGCGGCCTGAATTCAGCATCACTAGGCAACGGGTTCCCGCAAGCCTGCCTGATATGAGCGCCATCCGGTCTTCGTGATTTGTTTCCCATTGGTACGAAGTGATGCCATCAGGATCGTACTTGTCCTCCCCGCCACCTTCGCTTCTGTGCATCTGGAGTGGCATGCCAACTGCGGCAAGGAGAAAACGGTGACACTGGATACCGTCCACTTTAGCTCCCAATTCTGCTGTGAACAGCGCTTCGACAATTCGAGCAACTTCTGCTTCGTTCATGTTCCAATCCCTTTTCCACACCCCACTGTTGAGATGCCTCTCGCGGATTTCTCAACAGGCTTGATATCAAACAGGATCTTGAAATCACAATGATTTCTATCGCGGACGATGTATTGCGGGTTGTAGCTTTGCCCAGTTGCTTCGGTGATCGGATCGAGAACTCGATAGCGGAGGATGAAGGCAAAGTCCACATCGGACATGCCGGTATAACGTGCATGACTCCGATACAGCTCAACTGTGGCAGGTCAAGAAGGCGAGAATATCCGCGTGATAACATTGGCGTTGTAAAGACAGCACTGAGAGATGAGTGTGTAAAGCAATAGACGTGTAAAACGTTAAGACGCTCACTGGGCCAGACTCTTTCCTCTCGAATATCTGGATGTTATGCTGAAATTCAGATTTCAATGCTCAGACAGCATCCGTTTTGATCCATGGGGTGCATTACAGCCCATCGTCCAAGAAGTCTGCTAGGCTTAATCCTCGTGATGCACTTGCTGGCGGAGAGGGAGGCGTTGGTGGCCTGTAGTCTGCATCCTTCTGTAACGGGACGCCATACGCCTTCCGCAAGTTGACGCCAATCCAATCTTCATGATGCAAGTCCCATTTGATATTGGTTTCCGAGTCTCCTTCTATCTGTTCATCTTCATCCTCCTCCTTTCGGGCAATAGAAAGATTGATGCCCACTGCAGCGAGAAGCAGACGCATAGTTTAGATCTTGTCCAATTTTTCTTCCTCTTCGAATAAAGCTAACTGAATTTTTTGAACATCGCCGGCATCTAAGCTCCAGCTTCGTTGATCAATAGGTACCTAGTCACGTGTCGGTGGTAAGTTTGCAAGGGAAAGGTCGAAGAAAGATCGCTAACCCTTCTGACCCAGTCTAGGTTTCGAATGAGTATCGTTGAGTCGAGAGTTAGAGGCGGTGAGAGGGTCGAGAACTCGGTACATCAAGCTGCAGTACCACTCGACGTCGTTCAACCGCATGCGATGGTGCCAAAGCCAGAAGACGTCTACCGATACGGGTTTAATTGGTGAGTGAACTCGAGTGAATATCGTTGCATCTCTGATCTGTTGTGTTGAACATTAGCATACAGTCAACGTCCTGTCAAAGAATGAATTACTGACTGTGATATCGTCATCAGTCATGTAGAACTTCATTGGAACAACGCCATCCGCCAGAATCTTCTTTTCATCTTGACTAAGTGCAGTACTCGTTATGACTGATTTGATGCTCATTCGAATTTGGATATTCATGCGGTCAATATCTTGGCTGGGAAAGTCGGCTAAACGGAGTCCATCTCTCAACGCGTCCGCGAAGTGACGTTGTTCTAGGCATGTTTGCCAGTGTCTTGATGGCTGCGGGTTCAGAAGATGAAATGCAGCTTTGGCTTTCTCTAAAGGGTCAGGAGAATCCGAAGCTTCTATCGGAAAGTGTTTCCATGGGTATTTCTTGGGCGTGGTCGTGACGTATTCAGTCCACGATGTGTTCGGAACTAAAAGAAGTTCTGCGTAAGAAAGTGGTCAGTGTCAGGTCAAGAGGTAAAATCATAAATGAGACATATCAAGTTCATTCTTCTTGTGCAGCAAAGGATACCGCGACGCCAGGATCATGGTAGGGTCCAGAAGTTTGCCTTCGCCTGTCAATCTCTGCAATGCTTTGTGTCAGTTTTGTCTGAACATGGCATGAGAGAAGCAAGTACCCATGAGGCAAGTGGAATACGTATTATGGCTTCAAGACGTTGCATAATATGCAGCTGGCGTTGTTAGGACCAGCATGAGAGAATTCAACATTAAGGTGAAAATCCCGGCTACCTAATCTGCTCACCATTTTGTCGTTGGGTCCCCATTGTAATTCAATGCTTCCCTTTCCTTCCTCCTCCATGCATACCTTGAGGAGCTCCTTGGCCGTCTCGCCATACCCTACTACCGTTATCTTTCGGGGGTTATCTATAGGACGTTTATACGCGTCGCGATCGCGCAATTTGGCGTACTCCTTCTCCTTGTACATAGCAAACTCCTCTTCAGACTTCCGTGTAAATGGATAGTTTGAAGACTCGATAGCAAAATTGCTTGCGCCATCCATCATAGGCGGGGAAATGCCCATTGTGAAGTGATATAGGGGAACTGGAGGTCTTTACTCCTCTTGGCGTAAAAAGAGGAAGCCTGAAAACATGCGTGGCAGGACTCCATTAACGCGACATGTCACGGTGTGACAGGACGCGTCAGTGACACAGCCCGAAAGTTGCGTCGAAAAGGAGAGGATTCCTATCTACACAATGATACCAAGTGCTACCCTATAAACAGGTAAGCTTCATACTGCGTTTCTGAAGTGACCAACAAACAAGCTGTGAAGACTGACAAAAAGACGAACAGTCCGAAGTTCACAAATACACTGGTTGGCTAAGAGGTTGTCTGCTATATTGTGTAGAAATGCGCAATGACTAACGTACTGTAGGTCACAAACTCTGACTAGCACCAAGTGTTCTCACATTTCCAGCCGCAGTGGCCAGTCGCGAATTAGCCTAAAAGCACAGGTGAGTCTCAAAACAAAGAGCATTATAAAACCGTACCTCTGCCAGTAAATCGGCATCTATCTCCGGTAAGACCTCCAGAGCTTCGTTATTCCCTGTTACAATCTCCCACCTCGTCGGATGGTTCTGGACAAACAAGCACACATCGGAAGGAAGGTGTTCACCGTGGGCGGTGTTGAACTCTTCTCTGCGAAGACGTTCTTCTACAGTGCGAGAAATTGGGAGTGTGTTGTGATTGATTAGATGAAGCTACATACCTTCAGTAAGGGCCGTCAGTTGCGACATCATGCCCGCAATGATCTTCTCTGCAGCTTCCATGTATCTCCGTCGGCGCGAAAGCTCCATGAGTAATTGGTTGTAGGAATACTGGTAAGACGTGAAGCGATGACACAGCTCTTCAACGGAGACTAAGCTATTGTGCATCTCAGTCAAATGTTCCGAAACCTCGATCTGAATGAGTATCGTCCAGCTTATAGTGTGCAGAATATGTTCAGCCGGATAGTCCTCACCTGGACGGCCTCTTGTCGGTCCAACATCTCAGCCATAATGTCGCTCAGTTCATCCAGGTCAGAAAGTGCACCCTTGAGCGTGGTCAGATTACTCTCCGCTTGTTGCTTCGCCGCGACTAGCTGCTCGCTAAATATATCCATGATGCATGAGCTGTAGATTGCGATGGTCGAATGATGCGCTTACTGGGAAGACGCTACGGAAGAAACACTGTGCTCCAAATCAGCTATGATAGCTGGAAGTTCCTCCGTGTCACGGTTCATCTCTGCGTGGCACGTCAAAGTCGAAATCACGCGACATTCGCTGGAACTGACCTTGGATATCCTCTCTAGAAAAGACCTCTCCAGCCTCGTTGTCGCGCAAAGCACTTGCCATCTGATCGTAATGCTCAGCGAGACTGGTAAGATGTTTAGCCATCTCTGCCAATGCAGTCTCCTGTGTGGAGAATATGATGTCCAAAGACGGCAGCGCCAGATCAACAGGTAAGGTGGCTTGAATAGCGGAAATGGTGTTTGCAAGGGACTCTGGATAGTCAGAGGTTCGGGAGAGAATGTCCTGTGCCCCAGTACAGTTTCTGTATTAACGACACAGTGATTATGATACATACATCGAGAATATTACGATCGCCTTCTAAGCTCTCCAGTAGGTCATTCACAGCGTGTTCGTCTACAAAGTCTCTGAGGGTCTTCCACTTGGAACGGTCCCTCATGCGCGCAGCATGATGATTCGGAACACCATGCACGAGGACATTGCGGAGCGTCTCCGTGGGACTTCGCCCGGGCAATGAGTCAGCAAACGGACCAGAAATGTCTTCATCTCCATCGTCGGAGCCATCTTGACTTCCAAAGATCGAAGAGTCAGACGAGGTAGAGTGAAAATCTGGAGGAATAACTTGAGAGCCTAGGGATTCCAGTATAGAGTCGAGAGCCTCGGACCGTTGTGCTCGCGAATTGTCCCATTCCTATGAGGTATACAGTTAACATAAAACATTAGAGAGGGAATACGGCATACTTTGGCTTGATTCTCCAACTCTGTTCGTTTCAGCTCAATGCTTTTCGCTACGCTCGCAGCTAACTGCCATGGTCACCAGTCGTCGTATGAGAGCATTCTCAGGAAAATCTGCATACCTTCAATTGTTCGATTACAGCGCTGGTCACCCATCGAAGCTTAGCATCGAGGGCTATGACGTCCCCCGCAGTTTCGGCAGAGGTCGAAGACAGAGATCGTGCCCGCGAACATAATTGTTCACCATGTTGCAATGCCTTCTTCGACTGAAGCACCAGTGAAACTAGGTGAGGCTGCTCGTTGTCTGACCGTCCATTTATCATTGCCTTTAGATCCAGATGAATGATAATAACAGGGCCCGAGTTTCAGTTGTCCAGAGCCAGAAGTGAGCCTGAGAGATGAGGAGAAACCTGGATGGGCCTAGAGACGCCCGTGATTGAGGTCGGCGTTCAGCAAGTCGTCTGCTCTTCCGAGTTGAATTGTTGCTGGGCTCCACGTTGATTTGAACTTTCACCTCTACCGTTGGCATCAGGGGGAGGAGGTGGACTGAGGCGTATCATCAACGCCGGAGGCTTCACTTTTCTTGGTATGAGTCCAAAAATTGGATATCCAGATGTTACATTAATCGCAGAAAATATACGCCAGGCATGCGAGACACATGCAATGTAATTGGTCAAGCAAGGCCAATATCCTCCTTCGGCGAACTCTATTCAGAGAGCCCAATGAATATTATTCAAGATGGAGAGGTTGCCGGTCTGCTCATTTTCTATCCCTGGCTGTAAAGCCAAGTAGCAATCATTTCGCGCCAAGGACCGTCCTTGCACGATCCGCCACCCCTTGTCATGTTTCATTTCCTCACACCTTCAGGCCGTTCTCTTCATTATCTTCACTTGCAGCCTCGATGCAACCCATGCCACCTACTCCGGACAATTTGCCGTTGTCGTCTGAACATACCACGCCAATGACCCCGGCTCAAATGTCAAGAGCAGCTTCGCATGCCGTACGATTATGTGTTCGCAGCGGAGCAGTAATGGAAGCGTGCTATATCCTGAACTCTCTTCACGGTTCTATTGAAGATGGACCTGGCGGGCTTGGTCCTCTGGAAGACATCGGCCCAATGCCCGAAGGGCTCAAACCAATCACGTTCGGACAGGAGGTTTCGCCGCGACTTTCGAGCCATTGCTTCCTCCACGCAATGGTTCGCGCTGGGAGCGTAGGCAGAGCTGCGCGATTCGCGGAGTTGATGATGGCGAGAGGAACGCGAATGCGAAGTAAAACATTGGAAGCAATCATTCAGGGTTTATGTTCTGATCCACAATCTCAAATCAAAGCGAAAGCCATACGCCTTGCCGACATCGCGAAACAGGGTCGGCGTCCTCCAATGCTGGAGTTGGATGCCGACTGTGTAAACGACGCTTATACCCGTGCTGCCATCCGCATCTTACAGATTGCCCGCAAGTATAGTCAACGGCGAACGGAACGAATGTTTTCAACGATCATTGGGGCGTGTCTGCTACAAGGAGAGATCATCGTCGGTTGTCTTCTCTTCGTGCTTTTGGTCAAAGACTGGCAGGCGCGTCACGCGATGCTTACCCCCGTTGATTCGGGCGACGCGAACAGCGAAGAAACTGTACAAGGCAAGGACAAAGGTCGTCTTTACAGACTGAGACAGTTGGATCACAATCAGTCGACACCGAAGGTGTCATCCATGACCTCTATCCTCCAGGAGATCGAGGCCGTGCTAGCCAAAAGGCCTCAAGAACCTGAAGATCACGTCGCGTTTGAAGAAGCTCTTCAAGCGCTAGCTAACCTGGCCATGCTAGTGGAACAAGGACTTGCTCCTTTTCCTCAACTTTCTCCCTTGCTACGTGCGTTTTGGTCATGTCCTAAGGTTCCTCATCGTGTTTGGATTCTTCAGGACAACGCTGTTGTCCAGGTCAAAGCGTATGACTATTTCCACGAAGTTCTCTTGCGAATCATCTACTCGTTGAAGCACTACAGTGATCCACCCTTGCGTCTTCCACAACTGGATCGAGTTTCTTATAATTCCCTTTTGCATTACGCTCTTCGACATCGCATTTCGCCTGGTTTGGCAGACTCGGTGCTCAGGCACATGCTTGAACATCGGAAGCGGCCTCTAAAGCCAGACGTAGGGACTTACAATGTCCTGCTGCGTTCATCCACGCTTCTTCGGAACTCCGACATGGCTACAGCTGTGATCCATGCTTTCAGGCGCGACACTCGCAATCAGAAGCTTATGCCTGAAGACGAACCTTCCGTCCCAAAGACGAAAGAGTGTATTCCCTATCGAATGCGTCAGATCGTCAGACGTTATCCCGATACTTACGAGACCTCAACCTGGGGTGAACGTAGAGACAGTTATCGGGATATCGCTCGGACCGTTGTGGGTCTGGATGTCAAGCTTCCAGCTGACAATATCACAGTGTCGAGTTATATCATGCATCTTACTTCAACAGGCCGTCCTCATCTCGTTGCCCTCCTCATTTTCCGACTTATACCCGAGCTGCACATTGTGGATCACCCATCCGGAGCAGATGATGCTGAGCAAAAAGAACGTCGGAAAGAAAACCGCGAGGCCTGCCTTAAGCGCGCAGCATCCTTTGGTCCTCATTTCTTCGCAGCTGTGTTGAATGCTCTCGTTAAAGCGGGCAAGACTGGGTTGGCAGAGCGTGTATGGCTGTTGGCGCTTCAGGCCCAACGGGCAAGTTGGATTCCCGGTTTCGTGGAGAATGTCAAGCCGTGGTGTTTGACGATTCATTCGTATACTTCTATGATGCAGTGTTATGCCCGTGAAGCATGCAGACCCATGCCCATTCACATGTTGGACTCTGCTACAGTTCCAGATTGGACACCGAGGGATAACCTCCATGTTCGAGGATGGGCCGGCGTCGTCCATATGCGCCAAGCATTGCAGAAAGTTCCTCGTCGTATGGCTGGAAGGCGAATGGGAATGATGGTCTTTCGCTCATTAGCTTCAGGTGGCGAGGATGTTCTTCATGCGCTTCGGGACTTGCGAAAGTTCGGTCCTGAGATTGAAATTCCTCCCGAATCTCTTCCAGTTCCTGACGCCCGCTTCTTCAATGCTGCTCTCATGCTATTCGGTCGTGACCCATCGCTTGCAAAGCATCGCAGTGCAAATCAGTGGAGGCGACGCTTGGACTTCTCTATGCGCAGCTTCTCGCGTTATGGTACGGTGGCACGACTACCACACCCAGCTTTGCAGGAAATAGGCGAGGCAATGGTCGCAAATGGATACTCAATACCCCCCGCATTCCGACATTTCTTCGTTGGTCGCCTTCCTGTTGGTTTATTGGCCGATTGGAACAAGCCAGAATTTGATTACTCACCATACGCGTTCCCACCAACAACCCACTTACCCTACCGATCTAACCGAATTCCAGTTACTAAAACCAGAGGGCTTCCTGTCAGACGTCGCATACGCAGGCCCAGACGGACTAGAAATAATAGTAGTGCCAATGTATATTAGGATGTTGCAGTATACGGATGACTGGTCTGTAATTAGTCGATGGGTATATAATATGCATTCTAGTCGTCATCCTCTGTACCCGGCGTGCCGTCTGTCTTTTTCTCGCCTTGAAGGTAGACGATGGTAGTAGCCTTTTGGATATCTCTTGGCTTCCACTCTTTGCCTGCATCCAACAGCTGGTCAACGGTTTCCTGCACCTTCACAGCCATTCCATCGCTGTTCAGCCACGGTTGTCCCTTCCTCGGTGCAAAGACAAGGCTGACTCTGAGTCCTCTCCTCAGTTCGCGGCGGGCCTGCTTGAGTTTGGTACGGAAGTCATGAGGATCGACGCCCCACGTCATCTGGATCTCCTTCTCTTCCATACTCTTCAAAACCGCCTTCTTTTGCTTCTGCTCCTCCTTGTGTTTCTTGTACATTTCCGCGCTCTTAACGAGCTTAACAAGTGGCTCCGGACTGGTGCCAACCAGAGATAATTGGCATGTTTTACGATCCATGACGGCTAGTAGTGTCGCCAACCCAGCTGGAGGGTGTAGTCTATTCGTGTCGGGATCGACAAGCCTGACGAGGCGGTAAGGAATCTGTTCGTTGGTAAGTCCAATTTGCACAGTTTTTGAAGGCTCAGCATCGCTCTGGGTTTTATTGTCGTCTGAATTCCGCAAAGCAGATCCTTGCAAAGGTCGAGGTGCGACGGACTGGAAGCTACGGTGACATGACCGGCATACCGAGGCTCCGGCTCGTAGTCGAGTGTTTATGAGTACAACACTCATTTGAACTAGAATGACAAAACCTAAGCAAAGGTCTGCAAAAGGAGAAAAGAGAAAGCGTACCTACAGTAGGTCCAATGAAGTTGTGGATGGTATAGAGAAATGGCTGATTACTTTACGAAAGCGGTTGTTTACGTGTGTTAGAGGGTCTTGCCAAACACCGTCCACTACGATTACTAGAGTAGCGCCTTCCAGTTCATACGCAGCTCATAACGATGTCTCTCCTCGCCCCCATTATCTGCGATAACGGGACTGGTTTTTCGAAAGTCGGGTATGTAACATGACTTTGTATGTCGGGAATATACTGAGTATAAGCGCAGTTTTGCCGGTAACTCGGATCCATCCTTGTAAGCATGAGCATGTTATATGACAGTCATATTATGGAGTGTTCATCGTGACATGTTACCTTCAGCGTGTTTCCAACGGCAATTGCAACGAGAGGTCCAGCTTCACAGAGTACACGATCAGGACCTGCGGTACCATCCAAACCCGGTCATCTGGCATCGAAACGTGGAGTAGAGGATCTTGACTTCTTCATTGGAGATGAGGCATTAGCAAACACGAAAACCCCCGGATATGGCATCAACTATCCTATTCGTCATGGTCAGATTGAAAATTGGGACTATATGGAGCGGTTCTGGGAGCAGACGATCTTCAAGTATCTGAGAGCAGAACCAGAGGATCATTACTTCCTTCTGGTGCGTCCTGCTGATGTTATGATTAGACGTGGACTAATGCGGAACATATAGACTGAACCACCCCTTAATCCTCCCGAAAATCGTGAACAAACAGCCGAGATCTTCTTCGAGTCCTTCAACATCAAGGGTCTCTATATCGCAGTACAAGCAGTCTTGGCGCTCGCAGCATCCTGGTCATCCAGCCGTGTCACTGATCGTACTCTAACTGGAACGGTTATTGACTCTGGTGATGGTGTCACACACGTTATCCCTTGCGCTGAAGGATATGTCATTGGAAGCGCAATCAAGAATATACCCATCGCTGGTCGTGACATAACACAGTTCGTCCTGAACCTTATTCGAGAGCGAGGGGATATGGCCGTTGTTCCTCCGGAAGATCATTTGAAAGTAGCGAGCAAGGTCAAGGAGAATTACAGTTATGTTTGTCAGGATATCGTCAAGGAGTTTAGAAAGTATGATGTTGAGCCGTACAAATACTTTGAACGGTACGAGGGTGAGAACTCCGTAACTGGCAAGGTGCGTCCATGCACTTGCTCTACCGTCATTCTTTTTGACACAGGTACCAGAAATACAACGTCGATGTCGGTTACGAACGATTCCTTGCTCCGGAAATCTTCTTCAACCCAGAGATCTTCTCTTCCGACTTCCTGACGCCTCTACCCGAAGTTGTGGATACCGTCATCCAGCAATCACCTATTGATGTTCGTCGTGGTCTCTACAAGGTATTTCTCCGTTTCTACCCTAAGACAGACCTGTCTTAACACCCGTCTTGTTGTCATCAGAACATAGTCCTATCAGGAGGGTCTACCATGTTCCAACACTTCAATCAGCGTCTCAAACGGGACATAAAGCAAATCGTTGACCGCAGGCTGGATGCCAGCGTTCAAGCGAGCGGGTCTCATATCAAGTCGTCCGGCATAGAAGTTGACGTTATTTCGCACAAGCGCCAACGGTTAGTATCCTCTAACTCAGTACGATATACGGGCAACTAATGAATTGATCTTTATGTAGGTATGCTGTCTGGTTCGGTGGTTCGCTTATGGCGTCTTTGGTATGTCATCCTTCGGAGATCTTGTTTTCTGTCGTATTAACTACGTCTCGTAGCCGGAGTTCTACTCGTTCTGCCACACGAAGGCACAGTATGACGAGATTGGCCCTAGTATCTGCAGACGGTACCAGATTTTCGGAAGTGCCACCTAGATCGCCGGTTGGATTGTATTCTACAGTAATTCGGACGTTGAATGTAACTCGTATGGAAGACATGGATATAATACACAACATAAGTTGACACATCTAGGGAAGTCGTGTATATATTGCGCTGATGTTCAGTTCAATTGAGTCGACACATCAGCACAAGAACATGGAATGACAACATTTAACTTCAAAAAGGGTAACATGCACCTGGGCTGTTGACGGAAAATGCTTATATTTGATATCTCAGAGTCACTAAGTGAATGGAAAGACGGATCTTCTGACTAAAGAGAATCATAGAGAGTCACAGGTTGACTTCGAATGGTAGGGTGACGTTGAGCCCGAATACAAGCGGCCGTGCAACTATACTTATAGACATAGGCACATTGAAGTTGTGAATGGCATACGATGTCAAGAACAGTGAGGGTGACAACGGCTGTCACAGGTGCGGTCAAGATACGCAGGTATAAGAGGAATTTCCATGCCGCCGTTTATATGATGTGTGTGGAATTCAACCCCAACTGACATTGGGGCGTCGTCGACGGGCATTAGCCAACCATTACGATGACAAACCTGACATATGGAATGAGGAAGACTTACCTATCTGAGAAGATGTGGAAACAACCCACATCGAACAAGGAAGGCATAATGAAGAAAGACACCAAGGACAGAAAGACAGGGGCAACGACACGGAATACATGTATCTGAGACACTACGCTCCTTGTACGTTCTCCTTGTACGAATAAGAGGCTCGAATATCATCTTTAAAGCTTACATTCGGTTCGAATTAACAGGCGCTGAATGGTATACACTGGAGGTAGGTATTGGACAATGTCCACACAGGACCCCCGCTAATTCCTATAGGTGTCTCATCCCGGTCAGCCCGAAAACTACAGCTGTCGGCCGGCATGTCTCAGGGCTGCCAGCCTGAAAATGGCACTGAACTGACCGCCCCTCCCCGGTGCTCAGTCGGCCCGAAACAGCAGCTCGTGGAGGTATCCCTCATCCCGGGAGCCCGAAGCAGGAGCTCATCCGAGATGTCGAAGGGCCTCTCAATGTCGAGCTCGCTGAAGCCGTGTGAGAGTTCCTCAAGTCGTCTCGCAAATGCAGTAAGCCTGAAGAAGTGGATGCGGATGGAGTTGCGATGCCGGACAAGCACGGCGAAGGTTGTATAGTGTAATAGTATCTGCATTCAATGTACGGTAGAAGAAATGTATCTTACATGCCTGGTCAGCCCGAAAATCGACCGTCTTAGGGCATCCTACATGCCGGAAGCCCGAAACAGCCAAAATCGGCCAAAATTCCCCAGCCCGAAACAGGCCCAAACTGGCGATTTAGGGATGAGACATATATAGGAACTAGCGGGGGTCCTGTCCACACATGATCGTACACACGGGGTGATCTTCTCAGCTTGAGCAACTGCACTGGAACCCAAGCATTCTCCTCTCGCCCATCCCACAATACCTTCTCTCCTCCTTCGTCTCAACGTCTAGCTCCGTATCATCAGGCATATCCTCTGCACCCCAAGGTTCGAACGGATTGCAGGCCATCTATAACATTCAAAATGAACTAGTGATTCATCTCGAGATACGTTGGACAACATACCTGCAAGACCTTCCTCAGAATTCGTTTTCCACTATCACTATCCCTTTCAACAGCTTTGATGACTTCCTCCAAGAGCCACTGTCGCAACACGAACCGAGGATTAGCTGCTTTTGTAGCTTTCTCTCGTTCCGCGTCAACATCTGTCCCCCCATTGGCCCTTGTCCACTCGTCACGCTCGCTTTCGATTCTTGAGGCGTACACATTCAACCATTTCTTCCAATCCTCCACAGCCCGCCCACGCTCCAACCGCTCAGGGTCTGGTGTAAGTGTAAGAAGACTTGAAATGAAGGTTTCGAGGGCTTCCTTCTCGGAGGGTTGGACCATGCTAGGACGGAAGTAAGCTAAACGGCGGAAAGTCGAGTGGAAATCTAGTTTATGGTCTGAGAGGATGTTGAGCATTGGTCGACTGAGTCTACTTTCGTCGTCTTTGTCTGTCCTGCGTAGTGCCAGTCGCTGAATAAGAACCAATGAAATGAGTTCGGCAAGTGAATTAAAGATATGGACATAAAGGACTCACTCGCCGCATCAATCGACCATACTCGACACCACAAGTCTCTTGAGTAAGTATTTCCATTTCTTCCTTAGCAAGCTCGAGACCCTTCTTTCGCCACTCATCCATCTTCTCTTTCGACGCTTCATCTGCCCACCCCGGGGAGACTGCCTTCCCGAGCTCGGCTTCTGCTCCGATAAGAGGTGCGAGTGAGGTCAAAAGCGACCGCAAAGCGTAAACTCTAAGTGAACGAGATCCCTTCAGAAAAGTTCACCTAGCCAAATGAGCATGACAACATACATCATAGATGGTTGAGCCTACATAGAAAGGTCAAGTGAGCGAAAGGAACGAGAGTAGGAGTCCGACTTTTACAGACCTGGTATGAGTACCTACCCTCCCCGTCAGTATGATTACAGATGTGATATTTATCGAATACGTCCATGAAGGCATATGGACCTGTGTGTGCCAGCGTCAGACTGATCCATAAGTGCATAGCTCGTTCGAGAGGCCTACCATAGTCAATAGTCAGGCCTAAGATCGAAACACTAAAAAAAGCATTCGAGTTGAGCATGGTAAAAAGCCATCAGAATGACGGGAGATGAGAGACCTACTTATCGGTATTGATGACTCCGTGCATAAAGCCGTACGCCTGCCACCCCGCAACCATCTTCGCATTTCTCCTGGCAACTTCTAACACTAACGTCTTCCCCCATGGATTCCCGTCTTCGGCTCCATCTTCTCCCCTCCACTTAATATTCTTCAGCTTCAGAACTCTCCTCCCAACCCACTCACCCAACACCCTCAAAGCATCCCAGTCACCATCCTGCTGTCCACCACCAAAGAAGTACATATTTGCAGGCGGGTTTAGAGCTTCAAAGTTGCCTATTCTGATGAAAGATGGAGCCATTCGCGTGAGGACGCACGCAGATTCAGTGCTTTCACGGATGACGGGCGTTGCAGGGAGAGAGATGAGTGAGAGGGAGCGGGTTGTGGGTATTCCGAGGGCATGCAATGCTAAAATTCAAGCACATAAACATCCAGTTGAAGGGGTATTGGATGGACAGATGTACCTTCACCGCAGAGGAATTCTCGAATGGAAGAACGTACGACGGCGAGGCCGTCTGCGCTTCGAGAGAATGGGGTACGGCCAGCACCTTTGAGTTGGAGCTCAACAATCTGCTCTGCATCGTCTGGATGAGGGGTGGCGACTGTTTAATGCGAGTCAGAGGTCATGGATCAGTACTAAGAGTAATAATTTATAGCTCAACGAATGGATATAGCTCGTCCATCGCCTAATTGGCCAGCCCAGACACCAAATTGATGACCGCTGTACCGAAGGGACCATGGGGCCCAAGATATATCAGAACCCTCGTCGACATTTATTAAAGTAGCATGTCCGCTCAAGACCTCGATGAGTTCTTGACGAACGGCGATGTCCTCGACCGATGCGGGCCGTCTATCTTCGTCTTCAAAGGCACTAGCAAGTGTGGGTCCTCCAAGGCTATCGAAAGCGTTGCCTACGTTCAGATGGGGAACACAATCCCGCAATCCCGTTTCCGACAGACCGATCAGCTCGAGATGCTGGTCCCTCTTGCCTTCTTCTGGATAGTACTTCTTCAACACACTCTGTACTGGAGAAGGTGCATTCGGCCGCTCATGCAACGCTTCCCTTTGCGAAAGCCATCTCTCCACTAACGCGGATTGGTCCTCAACTGTCTCGCCTTCCTCGGGAACTATCTTAAACGGGAACGCGATCGGACAAGGAGAGACATGGCTGTAGTGTGCGGGTGAAGCTAACAATCTAGCTCGGCGTTGAATACTAGGTCGTTCCTTCTGAATTGAGCGAAATGCCGTAGGCGAAGGTGTATGCGGATCTGGAGTGAGGTTCTGAGGGAGGATATGTGTAGACGGCGGTAGTGGAAGGGCGGATATTGGAACCTTGACAGCGGTGGACATGGCTCGCGTAGTAAATCCTGCTAAGGACCTCAGGCTAGCAAGGACCTTGGGGTGTATCATATATTATTCGACCTGATTGTCTTATGAAGCATTGCGTAGGAACATGTGATGAGGAGTGAGAACTTGTGTCGCCATTGGACAGACATACCTCTGTCATCCAACAATACGTCACGCACATTCGAAAGTTACTCTACAAATGAATTCTCTGAACAGAACAACTAGTAAATGGCTGAAGGAGAGGCGAGTGAGAGAGAGCTGCATGCTGCGAACGTTGGAGCCAAGGTAGAGGAGTGATCGACTAGATCGAAATTACTGGCGATCAACTGGGCCGCCAATAGCAATAACGTACGCGATACGCCAGCCGTTCTTTACCAACAGGCGTGCTGTACATGTACTGGGCAAAGGAACTACTGACGATCTGACATTCGCCGTCTGAAGTCACGGTAGCGCACGGAACATCTGCAGCCTTTTGGTGAATCGTTTGATCGAACTGTTGCAACAGGCCAATGAGTATGAAGAGCCGTGGTGAACGAGTGGAAAAAACATGTCCCAGGAAGGATTCGAGCCTCCGTCTTCACAGATTTGCATTACCACAATGTGACGATGTAACCACTAATGGACAAAGACCGAGATATCAAACAAAATAATGCAAGGTACTCAGGATTCGCCGAAGAAGCCGAAAAAGTGATCGGATCGTTGAATTCACATGCCCCACAGAGGGCAGTGGAGGAGAGTCTCCTGGGGCGGGAGGGGATTCATAAAGTCACCAAACAAGACCGAGCCACCATCAGTCTTGTCTTATCCTACCTCTTCTTCCTCCCTCCATCTCTAAGTCGCCATGTCGACCAGTTCCACAAATATCAAGCGATTCACAAGGGAGGAAGTTGCAAAGGTTAGTATCGCAAATTCGAAGCATATCACTGGTCGAACCACGCAATGACGCTGATATCGGTGTTTGGCAGCATAACACTGAGAATGACCTCGTACGTTTGCCATTTTAGAGTTTGTTTTTAAGCTTTTAACTCTTTTGGAATATCAGTGGATTATCATAGACTCGAGAGTGTACGACGTTACACGTTTCAAGAACTTGCACCCTGGAGGGGCATTTGTATTCCTAGAAGAGAGCATCCGTGAGTTCTCCCCAATTATTTGTGGCGGGTTCGGTATTGGTGATACGCTTGGCTTCATTGCAGCCGGGCAGGATGCGACTGATGCTTTCTTTGGCCTTCATCGTTATGAAGTCCTTGAGCGTCCGCAGTATAAGCGATTACAGGTCGGGTTGATAGAGGGTGAAGAGCCTGAGATTCATGGCAAAATAAACGGAGAGCTCAGCAAAGTACCATATGCGGAACCCACATGGCTAGTAGAGGGATATCATAGCCCGTACTTCACGGATGTGAGTTTTATGTTGACAAAGTACCGTACGAATGTTCTTGACAAGTTCCGCAGAACCATAGACGTTTCCAGAAGGCCATTAGGGAGCTCTTCGATGAGTATGTCTACCCAGATGCCCAAGTAAGTTCAATTGTCGTGATTCTACCGGTCGTGTTTCTTATATGCATGACAGGCGCGAGAATTGGATGGTAAACGTCCCTCACAGAGTGTTATTGACAAGATGGCGTGAGTATCACACTCAGAGCTGTTGTGCGAATTCGTATGGTATTTATTCACCTATTACAGGGAACTCAATATTCACGCGATGCGTATGGGACCCGGCAAGCACCTTAAGGGCCTCACGCTTATGAATGGATTGGTTAAACCTGAAGAGGTATGTATTTCAATGTCACCTAGCCATACCTTGTGTCTAACTTTTTTCCCCCAATAGTACGACTATTTCCACGAAGTGAGTAGCAGTATCTGCCACTTAAACGCAATGACGGAGATGTAGAACATGATCTCATTTTTATCCTTTTCTTCTAGCTCATTATCTCACAAGAAGTCGTTCGCTGCGGCGCCCGTGGGTATGGTGACGGTCTCCTAGGAGGTTGCGTCATCGGACTTCCACCTGTGCTCAACTTTGGCTCGCCTGAGCTTAAAGCCAAAGTGGTTCCTGAAGTTTTGAGCGGGAAGAAGTTCATTTGTTTGGCCGTGAGTCTTCACCGTCCATTAGCGCCATATAGGCGGATTGCTGAGATGGAATTGGGTATGTTAGATCTCGGAAGCACACGCAGGTAGCGACGTGTTTGGTTTGCAGACGACTGCAACTAAGACTGAGGATGGCAAATACTGGATCATCACCGGGGCAAAGAAGTGGATTACGAACGGAACGTGAGTTGCGACGCCTCTTATGAGTGAAAGGTTCATGAACTAATGGCACTTCCAATATGACAGTTTCGCAGACTAGTAAGTCGACATTGATAATTCAATGATTCCCAAAGACTAACAACTGAAATTTTACTAGCTTCACAGTCGGCTGTAAGACAGAGGTATGCCTTCTCACTCATAATCCACTGTCCACAACCCGTCTGACGTGTCATTTCCTTATTTCAGGACGGCTTCACAGTGATTCTCGTCGAACGTGGCGAAGGCGTCGAAACCAAGCCCATCAAGACGTCTTATTCTCCCACGGCCGGAACAGCTTACATCACCTTCGACAACGTCAAAGTCCCAGTTGAGAATACGCTTGGTCAAGAAGGCGGAGGCATTTTCGTGATGTTGAGTAACTTCAATCATGAGCGATGGGTTATGTGTTGTGCGAGCGCAAGGAGTCAGAGACTGTTGATAGATGAGTGTCTCAAGTACGTCTTTTCTATCAGAATTCTTCAATGGGTGGTTGTTTACATTGCGAGATAGATGGACGTGCCAACGTAAAGCCTTCGGAAAGCCTCTGCATTCTCAAGCCGTCGTTCGAGCGAAGATGGCTGGAATGATTGCCAGAACTGAAGCCGTACAAAGTTGGTTGGAGAATATAACTCACCAGATGTGTCATATGGTAAAATCCATAATCTCCTGCTTATTTTTTCTCCCGCTTGACCCTCGTTTGTTTGCAGTCATACAAGGAACAAGCGAGCAAGCTCGCAGGGTACGTTGGTTACGGTGCTTTATAGAAAAGCACTATATTGACGCGACTCGTTCCTTAGACCGATAGCCCTGTTGAAAATGTTCAGTACACGTTGCGCTCAACAGTCTTCCACCGATGCCGTTCAAATATTTGGAGGTCGCGCTGTGACACAGTCAGGCATGGGTCGTTTCATCGAACATGTATGTTCATATTATTTTCATGCTTTCACAACGCATATACTCACCTTTCTGGGAAGTATCACCGAGCGGTACCCTTCGACGCCTTGTTGGGTGGGGGTAAGTATATGGGTTTTCGTACGAGGTGGCCAGTACTGAAGGATTTTTCGCAGCCGAGGATGTTCTTGCAGATTTGGGAGTCAGACAAGCCATACGAAACATGCCCAAGAATGCTCGTCTATAGAAGTTCATGCCAGACATTTTTGTCATCAAGAACGTTACATCATATCTCTTACATCCGGTTATATCGTATTTATCTATCGTTATCGTTACATCTGTCATTACTCGTCAAGATCTGGTATAGATGTCTATCAATCCGTCCATTCCGCTGAATCAACCACAATTTGATTCCTTCATCCATTCATTCACGCTCAGTCTTTTGTCGCCTTCGCAGCGTACAGGATATCGTCGAAAGTGATGGAAGACCGGTCACACATCCCTCGGAAGATGCTATCTGTTTGCTTGTACAAGTTCTTGGGGGTGTCAAACTCTGCAATTTGGCCTGCATCCATGACGCATATCCTGTCGTAGCCAATAATCGTTCGAAGACGATCTACGCGTCAAGTTCGGTCAGTAATGAGGAGGGATGTGGTGTAAAGTGAACGTTCTACTGACGTGCAATGCAGAGGATTGTCCGGTCAGCGAACTCCGTCGCAATGGTGTCTTGAATCTTTCTGTCAGTCTCATAATCGACAGATGCTAAAGGAATAGTAACATTAGTGACAGTACCTAACATGAGTTGGGTGACATACCAGTAGCCTCGTCAAGAATCAAAACTTTGGTATTGATAACGAGCGCTCTTGCCAGAGAAACTAGAGATCTCTGTCATATCCAGTCAGCATCCAGAGAACAACTCAAACGAAGGTAATATTTTACTTGTCCGACTGAAAGGTTACCGCCTTCATCTTCCACCGGACTGTCAAGAGTAAACCGGTTAATGGGTGTACTTGAGCCCAAGGTTGCGTCGTCGTCTTGGTCTATTGAACCCAGTCTCCTGTCTTCTACTAGGTATGCACGCTTGAGAGCGTCCCATAACGTGGCGTCATCGTGTTGACCGAATGGGTCAAGATTACTTCGAAAGGTGCCCGAGACTACGTCGGGGTTAGTGTTAATCAGCGGTAATATTTGCAAGATACTTACATAGGAGCTAGAAAAGGATTCTCTACAAGTCAGTGAAAAATGGACTCGGGAACATGAACGAAAGAATGTTTACTGGGTCCTGAGGAATGATAGCAAGCCCTCTGCGAAGATCGGTCAATCCAACTTTGGAGATATCCACACCGTCGATGGTTATCGTTCCGGACGTCAACTCGACCAGTCGATATAAAGCTGTCATAATGGAACTTTTGCCGGCACCAGTCCTGCAATGGATGAGCATCAGCATTTTAAGAATTCCGGAATGTTAAAGAAATCATACCGGCCAACGATGCCAACCTTCTCTGCTGGCCTGACACTCATAGTAAGGCCTCTGAGAACGGCCGGAAGTTCTGGGCGGTATCTGAGGACCACCTCCTTGAGCTCCACCCGACCCTCTGAGGGCCAAGGAGACGGTGGTTTCGCTTCTGGAATCTCATGAGGGGCCTCTTGCTCCAACTGGCGTGCGTAGTGGACCTAAAACAAGGAATATTACTTGTCAGCGAGAGACGCCATGAACATGGGTGGAAGTACATACGATACGTTCGACACTGTTCATGTTGTTCTCAACCTCAGCACTCTGACGTACCATCCACCCAAAGGCTTGCTGGACGCTGATGATGTAGGACAGAGTCACGCCAGTTTGAGATGGAGAAATACTGAATCTCGTGCCGACGGTCAACATTGCGACCACGAATGTCAAGAGTATGCCGAGGAAATCCAAACGTATACCTAACCATCGCTAGATATCACAGCATGAACATGCGTTGAGAGGAAGAGTGTAACTGCAGTAACGAACCTGATTGGTACATGTGAGCCAATATGCCCTACAACATCATTATGAGGATTGTTCTTTCTTTGCAACAGTGTCAAACATCACAAACCTGTTCTCGATGTCAATCCGCTTCTGGTTCTCAACCAAAAAGCGATCGGTTTCGCCATACGCACGAATAGTGGCCAAACCCGACAAAGACTCCGAGAAGTGGCTGTAAAGTGACGAACGAAGGATTGAATCCAGCCGCTGCGGGGATACTTTTTGTGAGTGACGAATAAGAAAAGACTACAGACACATATCGTACCTTCAATTCTCTGGCACTTGCGCGATAGAAGATTGCAGCCCAAACGTAAGCGATCGAGACGACGAAGAACGCGATCAAGAACCAAGGCAGAATGATTGCAATGAGGATGGCCGCTCCGAGAATATTGGAAAACGTGTTCATAAACATTCTCAGAGAGTCTGATAATTCGTTAGATAAACACTAAATGAAAGGCATAGTTACATACCACCAAGCATATTGTCGACAGTGTCGATGTCTATAAGACATCATGAATTTGGTTCCCTAAAATCAGAAGAGAGAACAAACCTTTCGAAAATCGGTTCATGATGCGCCCCAAAGGCTACTCAATGTGTCAAGTAAAGTTAAAAAGATTGAATGAAAATAACTTACAGTGGTCTCGAAGAAGGACATGGGTGCATGCATAACGCGCTTAATGGCATCCTAGATATGTGGCTTCAACTCGATTCTTCAGACTCTAATATGTTGATGTCGAACATACCTTATGAAGCTGCCGAGAGGCGAAATAGGTGAGAAATGAGAACAGAGTGCCCATGATAGCAAAGCCACCTGCTTGAGCAACGCCCAACCCGGCATAGATACCCATCTGTCAATTCACGTCAGCTCTGTTGAGCAGGAATTTAAGCTGAATGGAGACATACGTAGAACCCTGCGGGTTCATCCCATTTCCTGCAATGATAGTAGATGAGCTACGTTCACATTCCAACAAGCTGAATTTACATACAGCTCCTGCCAATATACGAGCCTAGATTTTATGCATCAGCATGATAACTTGAATGAACAAAGCAGTAAGCTCACCAGTACGAGGACATGACTTGTACTCCTTGCAAAAACACAATCGAGAGAAGTAGCAGAGGAAGGATAAGAGTGCCATTTCCCGCTTTCAGATATTCCTTGTAGATGTATCCAGGCACAGCACCAGTATTCCGCTCTTCTGCTTGCATAAGAGGCGGAGCTGCACCGCCAGGTTTTTCTTTCTTCGTCACTTGTTTCTCGTCTGATACAGCAACATCTTCAATCGCCTCTTCCTCCTTATCTTCCTTTTCCTCCTTCGAACCGAACTCCCGGATGAATCTAGCGAAAGCACCTTCGTTGGTTATCAGTTCTTGATAGGTACCGCGTTCGGCGATCTTTCCATCAAGGACAGTGTAAATGTAGTCCACTTGAGGGAGGAAGTGGAGGGCGTGGGTGACGAGAATCCGAGTCTTGCCTGCAGCGGCATTCAGGAAGACATTGTTAAACACGGACCTCCCGACATGGGCATCCAAGGCTGAAAGAGGGTCATCGAATATGAGGATATCAGCGTTGACATAGATAGCGCGACATATGTTGATACGTTGCTTTTGGCCACCGGAAAGTGAGATCCCCTGCGAAGACATAGGATCAGTACCGATCAATAGCAGAGGAAGTGAAAAGAAGGCTTACTCGCTCGCCGACTTCAGTAAGGTCACCATTGGGGAGCATCTCGAGGTCAGTCTCGAGACATGCATCCTTGACGGCTTTCCAGTATCGATCTTCGTCGAAAGCTCGTCCAAAACAGATATTCTCTCGAACAGTTGCATTCTATGCTATTTTGTCAGTTTACAGACAGAAGGCAATTTTGAAGGTACTCACCTGGATCCAAGCTGATTGAGGACAGTATGCAACTGTTCCTTTGAATCTATGACACACGTTAGCATACGGCCATATGGTATCACCAGTCATGAGACAACACATACTTTACTGTGCCAGCTACCTTTCTCATTTCGCCAATCATCGCCTCAAGCAACGACGTCTTCCCTGTCCCGACCGGTCCTATAAGCAATATCAGATACACTCTTCGACTTTCGCTAACGACAAGTATTCACGTACCAACAATAGCCGTCAACTGGCCTTCTGGAATAGTCAAGTTCACATCCTTCATACTAAACACCTTCATCTCCGAGCCTGCATTGGGAGTAGAAGTTGATTGTCTCTTTGGAGTCTTAGTGCCACCCAGAAGTCCTTTCTTCTTGGTACTTAGGGCTTGTGGAGGTGGACTGTCCCATGTGAATTCTCCGTGTTCTATGATCACTGCATCTTTCATGTCTTCGTCAATGGACTTGGTCTCGATGAGTGTTTCGGCCTCGAAGACATCGTGAAGACGTTTGACGGCATTTTGGGCGTCTGCGATCGAGCTGAAGGACATAGCTGATTGCACCGCGGCGCATTAGCGTGCATGTGGTGACTCAGAAAGTGAAAGAATACTCACGAAGCAGCATCAGAGGAAGACGAAGAAGCTGGAAAAGCGTTAACGAAGAGAATATGTTCGCGGGATCGAGACTGTGCCCGGATAGAGAGTACGCCACGAAGGAGAGAACCGAAGCCAACACCGGTAATGAAACTGCAACCGCGTTATTGGCAGATCGAAGCATTAACAGAGATCGGATGTATCTAGAAGTGAAAACATAAGTCCCTATTCAATTGACGAACAACGGAGCAAACACATGAACACACTTGATCTCATGCGACCGGTAATCTGCGATCCTCTTCAGATACGGCACCTCCCATGCAAAGAACTTGATGATTTTCATTCCCCCAAGAAGCTCTTGTAACAACTTCGCTCTCTTATCTGTCCATGCCATACTCTTCTGTCTGAATCCCGTCAACCGTTTCATAACAATCGTCTGCGCCGGGGTACCCAACACAAAGAAAGCGAAGCCAGCTAATGCTGACGGACCTAAGTTGAGCAGTAGCAATATGAGGCAGATAGCCATCTGAACTGGAGCGATCAGAGAGAGGTGGAAGAACCCGCAGCAGAAATCTATTCGCGAGACATCGGTTGAGATGTGGTTAACCAGCTTTCCATTGGTGAGTGTCGTACGAGCACGGGTGGTCAATTTGAGTGAGCGATCGTAGATGGCGGTAATAAGACCTCCGCGGAGGAGCACACCCGTCGTCGTGCTTCGATAGAAGAAATGATGTTGGCACATCGAAGAGAATACCTGCATTGCGAACAACCCGATGGCGAGACCAATACCTTTACCAATGGGTGGGGCCTGCTGGCCAGCAAGATGCGCACTGTAAATAGAATAAAATCAGTTTCTGTGATACAGCACCGAATTTACCAACACACTTGTAAGAGACAGTCGCAAAGACGATGAGCGTCTTGACGACCAGAGGTGTCAGAATCGTCGTGACGTCTCCAATGAGCTTCAAGAAGAAAGCGGACCAGAACCAAAACTTGACGCTATCGTTCATAGCCAGGACGAGGCTCGGCCGCTTCTTGCCAGCCTTTTCGCGCCAATGCTTCTCGCGTTCTACTCTTTTACCTTGCAGAGTCCACCATATAGCACGCCAACCGGGCTTGATCTTGCCGCTCGCAAGTCGAGCATTATACTCGTTCGCTTTCTCAACACGAGCGGCAAAGGACGCTGTGATCTTGTCCCCGATGATCTTCGCAGACCGTTTATCTTGGAGTTTGTATAGATCAGAGGCCTCTAACGGTCTGGCGTATCCCAATGCTAGAATATATGTGATCCAACCGAACGTGAGGAAGCTAAACCATCCAGCAGTTGCTTCAGGAAGGAAGTCAGCGTCATCGAGTGATGGCTTTGGAGGTGGTACTTCCTTCAGAATGAAGGGTGTGCGGAGGTCTGGTAACCTACCAAAGGCAAATGAACTTTATGAGCATTAGATACAAGGGGCTAGTCAAATGTAAAATAGCGCAGAATCGAATATTTTATGTATTCATATGATAGATTATGGATCGCCCTCTACAGACCATCTCTGCAGCAGGTGGCATGAAAGTTAAAACGCTAAAATCCACACACAACTATCTCATCAAAGGGGTGGCTCAGTGACGCTTTAGCTACAAGCTGTAGCCCTATGTAAGCTGCGTCAATATGACACCACGGTGACATTGTGGCGCAGGTTGATCCATACATTCCTGAACGCCGTCAAGATATGTGAAACCGCTCCTACCGAAGCAATCGATAGTGAGGGCAATAAAGCCTATCCGCGTATTTCCAGTTTGCAAATATTTAAGAACACAGTATGCTATAATACGGATTGGCACAGACAGCCAAGGTGACGCAAGGTACACTGACTATGATGACATGATCTGTGACAAACTGTATCAACCAAACTGAGGGCACAGACGGATATGTCTACAGATCCAAAGAAATGACGAAAAGATGTAAACAAAAGAGGTGCTCACCAAGAGCGCGTTTTGGGCTTGGATTGTCCATAATCCAGATCCTGGGAAACATCCTCCCTCTGCGATCCAGCCTCGAGATCTTTCTCGACAGACGCTTCCTTGTCCATTCTGTCAATTCTAGGATCCTGTACGAAGGCCGGGTTCACAACAACGAAGCTGGAAGGGGCAAAAGACAAGCTTCTGGTCGCTCATATGCACAGTCCGTGGTATATATCTCGCTGAGAAATCTCTCAGCCATGCGGAGTGACCCCAGGGATAACGGGCCTCAGCGCTTCTTTCGATTGACTCTCGGTGTTCGAGTTCGGCAGCAGCGGCATGCATTACGGGGTTGACTCCTTTCCAGCATTGCTCGACGCTCCTAGGCCGGAAATCGTAAGCACACCTACGCAAGCATGAATTAATGACTTTGAGAACTGGTATGAGAATGACGCATAGCAGGCTGAACGAATACACCAATATCTGGAAGTGTACCGAGATTGATACGCGCCGAAGTCCGATCATTCCAATGAAGCTTGAAAGTGCTCGCCAATCCTAGCAAATGTTTTGGTAGCATCAGTCATCTTTCTATGCACGAATGCAGAGTACTTAGTATTTTCAACCATGGCGGTATGTTCCCCACCACTCGCACCTGTTCCTAAGATACTCAGATGCACGTTTGAGGACCACGAGTCATAGCTCGTCAGTTTATAGATAAATGCATGTGGATGCAGGACGTCTGTGTTCAATTTTTCTTCCTAAAAATGCAACTTCCTCGTCAGTTTGTTGTATGGAATCGGGCCCACCCTTCGTACAAGCTGAGAGACTTTGCCGCGTCTTTGCCTCCTGATGACTGGGATTGGTATTTTGGCAAAGTAGAAATTGACTATCTAATTCCTCTTTTTTCTTCGAATTATGTCTCTGGAAGTTGCGCGATAACACGGGGTCTTTGTGAGTCTTTCCGAAATATGGTCATGCTGATTGAACTGTGTAATATGTCAATATCTTAGGAATCGAACAAGCGTCGTGGTCTCCGACGAAAGGCTCTGGATCTTTTCTAGCGGCGACCAATCTGAAATCAATGATTCCGCCGCCTGCATCTTCTAAGGTATGAATGTGTTGCCGATTTATGTATCTTGTGTAGCTTCGTCAATATCCCTCTCTATTCCGCCTTTGGCATCCTTCTGGCCCGTCGTTCTCTCATTCGAAGGCCCAGGCCGTATTCTTTTTTGAACTCTTCTCACGTCCTCCGATAGACTCGCGGATATGATGGAGAGGGACTCTTACCAATGATCCGAATAGCATTGTACTGGATGAGAGCACAGCTCTGGAGTTATCTACACAAGTTCGAGTCAATGGTCACCTGCATCAGCACAAATCGTGGTTCGTCATTATGCGGCCTGGGTTATCCATACGTTTGATTCCCCTCAAGGACGTTCCCTCTTGTTTTGACTCGCAGGACATGTACAGGGAATATTCGCTTGAAACAGCACCTCGCACAATGCATCCAATACACATGCAACCAGCAGCCTAATTTCGAGCAACTCCCGACTTCCCTTTCAATCTCTTGCATACGTCAGATCTACTAATTCTCTTCGAAAACCAGAAAATAATGGCACAGAACAATGCGGAGAAACCATAGTAGTCTCACCTTTTGTCACGATTATCAACTAGCACGAATACTTTCTTATGGTGGCCAAACAGAGGCCGTGTAGTCAATACATTCGGTGAGTAGAGTTGACCGACTCTAAACAAGTACAGCTGGACCGAGAGACGAGCTGTGCAACAGTGAAGGAAGTCAAGGTGGAAGCCAAGCCATCCCACTATTCAGGAATGCTAGGTCTAACCCAAGACGAACAGTGAAAGTGCATCTGAGTATCAGACAACGTCATACACACCGTCTGATGTAGTATCTGTGAGCAACGAATCACCAACGATGACAGCCATAAAGAAAATAAATAGACAAAATAAACAAAGACGGAACCCTGGCGCACAGCGCAGGAGATACTATGTACACAATCAAGTACGTATATACCTTCAGCTACTTGTGGAGGAGGATGGGGCGGGGAGCGATGTGCGGTGTGCGGGTCTAGTAGTGCAAGTTCTACATGCGTACGTGTGGGGGATGACGGGGGGTGCCAGTGGTACTAGTACTAGAAATGAAGATAGAAGATAACTTGAACAAGGAAGTTTTAGAAAGTGGGACGGGGACAGGGGAGAAGGGGGGAAAGAGAAAGCGATCCAGAGTCCGAGGGATCATGAAGCAGTTTTTGGAGAGATCAGGAACGAGAAGGGGAAACTGGAACGGGGAGCTGGGACGGACTCGACAGGATACAAAAATTAGCTATAAAACAAAGCGAGAAATCAAGGAAAGCTTGAGCTTGAACTTAAAGCAAGGTCGGGTGAGGAAAGCGCGACAAAGCAAGTGCGGCACGCGAAAGGAGGGAAGCGAACAATTCAAGGTGGAAATCAAAGGAGAAGAAGAAGAAAAAACAAGAGCCAGAATATAAGATTAAAGACGGCAAATGGGAGACTGAAAGAGGCGGAAACGGTTTTGCGATGAGACGTGCGCATACAAAACAAGCATGAGGGCATGGCTTCAAACCAGGGTCCGAGACCAACAAGAGACAAGAGAAAAAAAGGCGATAGAACGTGAGAGAGAGAAAGAGAGAGAGCGTGGAGGCGATGATGAGACTGGTAAAGCGCAGTAGTTTTCTTCACGGACGCATAACTGTGATAAACCATCAAATCGAGAGAGCGAGGGAGGAAAGCGAGACATATAGAGAGTGATCGAGAGGTATTCGTGACAAAAAATAAATGTGTGCTTGTGTGTGCTGTGTGTAATGAAACAACGTGTGGATGATCATGATGCAAATGCAAAGAAAGTGAGAAAGAGAAACGATATGCAGAAATAACGATGCAAACTGGGTGCGGAGATATGGAAGCCATGACTGGAGATGCAGCGGACATAGGGGCAACATAGGAAGAGCATAGGTAGAACATAGACGTACGATCCCCTCATTCTTCGAGGACCATGTTCTCCATATTGCCTTCTTCCTCGAAGTTCGTCAGCGCCCATTCGACAGCGAAGAGAGAGGCCTTGAGGAACTTCTTGTGGGCATATTTCTTAAAGACATATTGCTTCGTGAAAGTCTCCTCGGTAAGCTTCTGCACCAGCATGGCATGACCAGGGAGCAGGTGTTCTTCCGTATAACCGGCATGGTAGACGAATGCTTCGTTCTGAAATAGTCAAACAATGGAAGTTAGTCACGTGAAAGTTACGGGAATACATCCCAAAAGGGCGAACAAAAACGTGATGGAGGCATGTTTCCCACATGTACACCCCTCATATGAACCCTTGAGGTTCACAACCGAAGGAAAGAGTCACTTACCCAGTCTCCCCCCAGCATCCTTCTCGCAGTGTACATACCAATGGCAGCGACCATCGACGGCTTCACGCGCAGGAAGCGGTAGTCGAGAAGCGTAACCTCGGTCAAGAACTTACAAAGCGTCCGGGTGTTGAGGTCATACGCATCTGCCTTGCTGATTTTGCGCATCCAGCTGTACGGCGAGCAGTAGTGGCTAACTTTGAACTCGAGGGTCTGCAGCATAATGCGCTCGCCCTTGAGGATCTCCTCCTTGGTGTACCCCCTTTCGGTCATGAACACGAATTCGTCTACTGATGGCGCTAGGATTTCCTCATATTTCGCTGCAATGAACATTGCCGTGACGCCAACAAGCTGCAGTTTGACAAGCGAAACTACTCTCCGCGTCAGGAAGCGGTCGACGATGTTGATTGCAATCCATAGTGTCTCGGGCAGCATGTGATAACGCAGGTGTACCTGGAGTAACCAATCCACCAGTGTCTGTCGCATCGGCCAGGTGATCTCACTCTGACCAGTCATATACTCTGGGTTGGGCATGCACTCGTCCTGCGAGATTGTCAGCTGATGGTAGACTGACGGACACTCTCTCCTCACCTCAAGTTCATTCATGTAGTCAAAGATTTCATTGGCGTACTCGGACACCATCGTTGCGTCTTCATCTTCGAGTTCATCCTGGAACACCTCCCGTACCTGGTCGACGGTTTTCCTGTACCGTTCCGCACGGTCGGTGCCCACCTCGGGCCAGTGACGCACAGGCTTTACTCCGTCGACTGGCTCCTGCTCTTCAAGCTCAACACCCATCATGGATTCAATGTCATCTTGGCTGACCAGCTGGATCTGAGTATCGACAACAGTAGGTTGTACTTGAACATGGTGATCTTCAACATCCATCTCATCTTCTTCCTCATCTTGAGCGATAGCAATGATAGGTTCATGGAGGACAGTGGTGCGCGTGGGGATGGTCGGTCGGATGCGTGCAGTGGTTTGTGCAGTGGTTGTCCGCGCTGCACGAATGGGCACACGCTGAGGACCAGTTACCAAGGCAGAACTCTTGCGCTTCAGGCCAATCTCAGTAGGCTCCTTGCCGGCGAGTTTCTTGGCGGCATCCTACACAAAGCGTTAGCCTGAATGAGAAATGATGGAGGGCTGCCGCCACAATTCATGCAGAATCTTGAGCGCGACACAAGACTTTCGGCAAAGACCAAAACTAGTCTCTCCAACATATCGATAGGGCGCTTTTACCCCCATGTCAACATGGAATGGTTCTCACCTTGCGGTTGACAGCGGTGGTAGTGACCTCTCCCAGGGCAGCACGTTGTGGACCAAGACCGTTCTTAAGAGCTTGTACGTTGACCGTGGGGTGAGAAGGGCGGGTGGAAAGGGCGACACTGGAGGCTTGACGGACATGTCTAGATGTGGCGTTTTCGTCGCCATTCATACGAGGGCGGATTGGTCCTGGTCGGTTTCGCATGGGGATCTGTATAGATATGTCAGTGTTGTAAAGCTGATCATCAAGTGATGAACCCTACACGGGCGTTGTTGTTTGTCATCGTGTTCAATGCGAATATCTACGTTTGAAGATTATGGTGGAAGTTTGGAACGCTGACGGGAGGATAGCAAGAGAAAACTAGCGGAAGAAAAAGATGTATGTGTGGGGGTATAAAACAAAGAAAGCCCACAGATGCGGAGGGGGATTTACACGCAAGAGATGCTGGCAAAGGTAGTCAGCCGCAAGAGACCAAGGAGGTTCAACTTCGCGACTTGAACCAACTTTCTCTCCCGCCACGTGCAGCACAAGCGCACACAAACAACGCGTCGACGCGTCTGAAACGAACATGCTATTACGCGAACCCCGCTTTTGGCATCACAACTTGCTAGAACGGTTGACAGTCCAAGCGTTCTAAATTCTTGGCCCACTATATTTCTTGTATTTCACGCACTCAACGCGACATTTCAAACTTGGTGGACACATTGCGGGGCAGCATGTATGATGTTCAGGTTCACAGGCAAAAGCATTAACAAACACACGTGAACGACGCGTTATTCTACCGTGAGTAAACTTCTCGAAGTTTGACCAATGCTTTCTGCAAAAGCGGTCAAAGCTTAACCAAATGTCAAAGAGGCAAAGGAGACTACTGACCTCGTACGTGGGCACATATGGCGCCACGTCCTTCTCCGATACTCTCATTCGCTTCACCGGGTCAATGTGAGCTGCGGCCTTCATCATGTTCTTGAAATATCTCGCCTGACGACAAACAATGAGCGCAGGCAGCGCAATTGAAATGCAGAAGCTCGTACCTCTTGCTCTTCTACCAATGTCCAAGCGTCTCCTTTCCTCCCCGCACGAGCTGTTCGGCCAACCCGATGCACATACTTCCGCATATCAACGGGCGCATCATAGCTCACGACGTGAGAGACATGGCTGATGTCAATCCCTCGAGAAATCAGATCCGAACAAACCAATCTGGAAAACAAGCCCAGATTTAAGCGACAAAGATCAAAGCGAGAGTAGAAGTGGCATACATGTGAATTTCCTGGTTTCTGAATTGTTCCAGTATGGACTTCCGGTCACTGGCACTGAGGTCGCTTGAATATGCACGGATGGCTGCTTGTTTGTGCATAGCACCGTTCTTCTCCTGTGCCCATATCGACTCGAAGAACTCAAATAGTCGAACAAGACGAGTGGTCGATTCTGCGGATTTTGTGAACACCAATGCATTCCTCACGTCGTGCTGATGGACAAGGAAGAACAGCATCAACGGCTTCTGGACCGTCTCACACACGATCATGTGTTCCTAGAAGGACCGTTAGCAATATGATCTTTGCGCTCTATGCATCATTCATCAATACTTACTGTCAATGTCGCTGGCATACTGAACTTCTCCATGACGATATCCATGACTGCACCCTCTTTCGTGGGTTGTTCCTCAGCAGCACTCTGCACGACGAAATACTTTGGATTGCGAAGATTCAGAGCTGATATCTTGGAGGGATCCCTAGTGAGCGTTGCGGAAAACAGAAGCTTCTGACAGGATGACTCTTTCTTCTCATCGAGGTCCGTATGAACCTGTGCAACTTCACGAATCAGATGGTGATAAGCGGGCGCAAGCGCGTCGGGGTATGGAAGTCCATGAGAACTCGTAGATAATGAAGGCGAAGCGGCGCTCTCCGGGATATTATCGGGGCTTGATGGTCGAGTGGCTGCTAGTACGCGAGCGAGCCAATCTTGGAAAGACTGAGCCAAGAGCCTATCCGCTTCGTCAATGACCTGAGATTAATCCGTATTGAGTTATATTGAAAGGTGTTAGGAGAATGGAGCTACGTACCAGAAACCGCAGATGTTGTAGCGAGAAATTTGGTGTTCCATTCAGATGGTCGATCAAACGACCAGGAGTACATATCAATATATCGACTTTACTGGAACCTCCTTGCAGGCTATAGACACGTTAGACTGACAGTGGCGAATATGTTATCGATCGACGTACTAAGTGGATGTGTCACCAACAAGTTGTACTTGCTCGTGTGCGAATGAATGCTGCCCAGTTGCAGTACCGATCTGCCTCATAACGTAGATGAATACTGACATTGCCAAAAGAACAAAAGCCTTAAGTAACATACCTTCAGACCACGGCCTTTCGCCACAGCTTCGAAGGTTTCGCGAACCTGGTTGACCAAATCCCTGGTTGGAAGCACCACCAGAGCCCGCAGACGTGTAATGATTCGTGCTGACAGGATCTGTCGTGCATCGTAAATTATTTGTCCTTCAAGGGAATTATAGACTGAACATACTTCAACAATTGGAAGCACATATGCCAGCGTCTTCCCACTTCCTGTCGGTGCCGATGCGCAGATGTCACGAGGCGGGTCATATGGTAGATACAATGACCGTTGTCTGTTATCAGCCAGCAAAAATGGTATCACAGCTGTCTGTACTGCGACAAGATTCCATGAAGGTTCTGTTCTACTCGTAACCGAGTATAGACATACCTGCGAACAGATCTGCTATTCCCAAATCTTTCAGCCTCTTCACAGTCCTCTCACTCAAGCCAGACTCCTGGTCGTCGCCACTTTCAGGCAGCGAATGTGTCTTTGCGGGATCAACAAGTTCTGCCTCCATAAGAGCCTTGTCCAGCCCTTGAAGTGCCAACGTGGATTTTGAAGGAGCATCTGGTCGTTTTGGCAGTGGAAATGCGGGTAGAGCAGCAGGAGGTGTGAGAGAGCTTCTTGCACTTGTCTCTTCCAAGACTGGGGAAGGCTCTCGAGATGGACCAGCAGCCGATGGCGTAAGCTCTTGGTCTAGTTTTTGTCGTTTCCTGGGTCGTTTTTCTTCTTTATGGTCCTTCTGGGATGATGGGCCCGCCTTTGGCTCTTCTAGTACTTGTTCCCGATCATTCTCAACGTCTTGATTGGACGCGGCCCCTTCGTCCTCAGACAGTTGCTGAGACTCGTCCTGTTTCGAAACTTTGATATTTGTACCAGCGACATCGCCAGTAGACTGCTTCTTCTTTCGTCTGTCTCGTTTCGCTTTCAGGTATCGCTTCTTCGCCTTGGTCTTTTCCTGTTTAATTCAAGGCTCAGCATGACGGTGTTCAAAAGACATGTATACACACCTTAGGTTTCCCTTCTGTAGCAACATTTGAAGCAATAACTGTCATATTTCAATAGTCAAGCTTCACCAACTTGAATGTTTCGACGGTAAAGCCATTATGGACGTCTATTACTTATTTTATTAGGGTTCGTAGACGCCCATACGATCACTCCCGTGCTGCTTAAGCGCCGCCTTCAGCGGCGCACAACCCTTGGAATAACCCATTTTCCACTTGAAGTCCTGCCGTGATCACACCCGGCCCCGAGTCGTGAATACTTTCAGAGCCCTTTCGCCCTTTACGAGGTTTGCAGCCAGGATGCTGGCATCAGTCGGACTCTGTCTGCAGTTCAGAACGTGACTCTTTTCATTAGATGTTTTACTATCTAGACAATTGCCTTTCCGTCACGGTGGTCCTCTGCTTCCTATGGCACAAAACTTAAGAAAGATCAGAACCACGTCTGCGTCCAAGGCTTTCCGACATCCGAGCGGTGCAGTACGTGTCACTGTTACATATGCATTACGTCTATTGTAGCAATGTCTCCTTCCTTCCCGTCAGCTCTCAACTGTCAAAGGGCAGTCTTGTCCCAGTCCTGTCCTGTGTGGCATGCTTCCTATGGAATTCTCTGCCGCGTTTCGCGCAGGGAAGCCTTGAAGAGATCCTGTGATCCAATACGATTAGGAAGGTTCGGACATACGACCGTCACTGCATTCGGAAAATTCTCTCATGGCAAGGGGTCTATAAAAGTGTCTTCTTCTGCCGCGTCCCATGACTCATGGTCCTTAAGTTTGTTGGGCAGATTCAGTCCTCAATGTCCTATCATGTTCCTCAGATTGTGATGTCAAGTGCTCTCTATACCGACCGATTAACTATCTTCGCCTGAAGCATCATTGCTGTATTCCCAATCTGGAATGAGGCTTCTTTCATCAAGTCTTCTCACAAGATACTTTCAGCGCATAGACTGAAGACGACTTCTCTCGGACTTAATGGTGGCCTCTCACGGCTCAGAACTCCCCCTTTTCAAGAGGAGGCGTTAGTTTACTCACTCTTGTTCAGAGTTCAGAGCGAACGGGAGAGTTATATGTACTGAGCATGAGCGTCATTCTAGTACGTCATATTGAATGCTTACTTTGATATCTTGCATGGCATACCAGTCTCTTCACGCAACACAGTGGCACGTTGGCTGACGCCATTTGCACCCACTTGGCTGCAGTTTCATCCTGACGAAAGCCTCACTCATGTCTGGGGCGATAAGCAGTCAGGACGCGAGGCTACAGTCTTGTCCCGGTTCCCAAGACTCTTGCACCAAAGATGTCAAGCAGTCACGGATACTTCTGTTCCATGGTACGATATTCGGCGGTATTAAGAACTAGGAACAATTCCCCTGCTAATCTGCCCTGCTGCTATCACCTTCCACGTCTTCTCCAATACGAGGAGGCCCACTTTCATGTAAAGGATACCTCATCCCCCTCCCCTCCCTCCGAGGTACTGCGATCTTGAAGACCGGCGCTGTGTCGCCGGTTGTTCTCCCAGTTTCCTAATTCATTGTGTTTACAGCGAATGCGTCCCACCCACCGTACCTCCGCAAGTCCATTCTGACAGCACGGAAATCTTGGCATGCAATCTCCTGTATTGCAGTGTTATCCCTCTTTCTCAGTGGCGCCCTGGCCGCGGACCTACAACGTTGCCATAGATAGGTTTTCACCTTGATGTCCTTATCAAGCAGCCATCTTCAAAAGAGCTTTCCGAAATGCCGGGTCTATGACACTATCCAAACTGCGTTCATGGTGCTTCATTGAACGACCATTTGCTGGGGCGAAACCTGCCAGTGCCAAACTGATAATCGCGATGCTCGCTTGATGAACTCGTGATGTTGTACCTCTTGTTGAAAGAGTCTCCCGAAGGTTCCGTTCCGCTCATCGGAGCGAGACTAGTTCTAGGATCTCGTGTTCTTCGTTTTCGGTATAAAACTCAGGCACTCGCGGTCACTTTCGTAATCTTTCCTGCTCACCTTGCCTATCCGTCGCGACTGGTATGTGGTCCGAAGCCTCGTCACTGTGCGCCTCGGCGAGCTAATGCTTCTGTGTAGAAACAATATGTGTTCCGAGGAATGGTGGGTAAACTAAACCTCCATTATCAGCGCATTCTGAGACCACAGGTAGTTTCGGCAACCAACACCGAGGATGCGGGGTACGTTGGTCGACGTCGATTGATTTTGTGATAGTAAACTGACTCTAATTCACAGCACTACGTGATCCTATATTACTCGGGCCACAAGATTGATTGTGGTCAAGCTAACTGTGCCCTGAGTCGCTCGCATATGTCTCACCAGGCTGGACAGAGATGTTATTGTAACAGGGTACTATGCCTTCTTCTTCGCGTGCCAACACGAATTTGACGGTCATTCTTCCACAGGAGTACAGCGACCATCGGAGGGTGGTGAACCTCATCCAAGAACCGTGCGATCTGTGCAGAGAGAATGCGTTCGCGGCGCGAGTGGGTCGTCGTCGCTAATCACTGAAATTCCACCTGTCACTGTCATATACCCAATTGTCGCATGTCTTCATCTGCTTTCGTGGTTCCAATTTCATCAGATAATGAATATACTCCTCTCTGTGAATACTTCAAGGCCGAATAGTCATCCACATGGTAGACGATTTAAGTTCCAGTACAGTTTGCCCTTAGCTGGACAATAGCTGAAGGGCGTTTCTTGGCGTCAACGTATTCTTGGAACTCAGACGCCTACTCGAGGTTCTTGATGGATGAACACGATGTGGGCACGATCCATGAGACAGATTCTCTTGCCTCGAGTAGCTATGATACATCCAGAGGTGCAAGTAGAATATTCCATTTGCGGTAGCAGGGCCACGAGTATATACACCCATCAAAGAAAATGGGGTGGACTAGAAACGTTTACCTCCACGTTTGATCGGTTGTTTCGGCCCCCTAGAGGAGCCGCTTTTGAGCTGAGCAAGACGTCGTTTGCGCTCGGCCTCACTGTCATCTTCGCTGGACGAGGACACCCTAGATCGCTTTGATTTCTTCGCAGGGCGGGCTGGAGAAGGAGAGGTGTCGGAAATCGGTTCGGACACAGTCAGCGGCGCGCTCTCAAGAGTAACTGGTCCTGGCGAGGGCTGTCGAGAATGAACTACGCTGTCACGTTTCGGGGACCTTGGGCTGCCAGAAGTGCGTGCGGCTCTACCGGTTCTTTGGGGCCTGGCAGGTTGTAGATCACCCTCCTCTTCTTCTGTCGCGGAATCCTCATCGACAGCCTGAGCGAGAGCCCGAGAAGGTTCCTGTGAGAACTGTCTCGGCGGTGAACGAGCTACCGATGCTTTGGTCTTTGACAAGTGTCATTCAAAATGAAGTCGCGAGAAACTGCTATGTTCTTACCGATGGACCCGGGGAAACTGAGCGGCGAGATCTGCTTAGGGGTGGAGCTGCCGTCGGTAGCGGAGATTTTGGACGGATAGCAGGCACATGAAGCTCTGGTGGCTCAACTTTTGATATTATCGGCGCTATACAACTTGGATTAGTGGACCAAAGGACGCCTTACTTGAGCTCACTCACGCGAATCAGGAAGGAAGTTGAAAACAGCGGACATTCGTCGCATCGTCGTCGCTAGTCTTGGCCGAGAAATAGCGTGTTTCACATGGTTATCGACCGTCCGCCTCCCTGCCCTGCCTGCCTTGTCTACCGCCTTTGGCAAAAAAGCTAGTCAGCATGACCAAGACGCACACGGTCATGGGTCGATATTACCTTCTCTAGATTTGCTTCTGATAGCTCGCTGACAGAATCAGAGGACGAGAAGGCCAGATGGCTTGCACTGATAAGAGGCATGATGAGATGCTTGGATATAACGTCGGCAGACACTTTGGGTCCTTGAATATAGGTTTCCCATCTCCATTTGAACTCGTTGTGTCCCAGCTCAAAGGCCAGGTCCTAAGGTACTCAATTCAGACGGTGCATGTAAGACTGAGGGTGGCATTGTACTGACAGCGTTCTTGGATTGCACGACCTCAAAAGAAAGATCTGCAATTGCACCGAGGCTGTGTGCTGCGGTCAGAAGGTCGAGGATCTGCTCCCTCCATTCGTCTTCCTCACTTTCAGTGACAAAAGATGGTGAAGGATTGCAGTCACGCCAACGACGTGCGAGCAATTTACTGGATAGCACTAAATGGCATTGTAAGTAAAAATAGGCTCAGAAGATAGCGTCTGAGAGAAAGGCTCACCTTCACCCCAGACGGTCTTGGTGTCTGTAATCATGAGACAGCAAGAAAGGTCTGCCGCTGAAGCATAGAATTTCTACTGACATGAAAGAAACAGTGAGTGCATATCATATCTAGGCACAAAGACATACGAGCAAATAAGGCATCGATTTCTCAATATCAATCTTCACCAGCCACTCCTTGGCAAGGAGCAACTGGAAGTGATTCTGAACGACAGGCGTCATTATGGATATCACTAGTGAGAAAAGATTCAGCGCACATCGGAAAGATATTCCATATGGTGCGTCGAAGAAGAGCAGTGAGTTGTATCTATCAGAAAAACAGAGGTAACGTGAGCGTCGTGCCTGCCTTCTCAGACGTCGTGTGCTATAATTCCAGAAAGGACAAAGATAACCTTTAGGGTCTGGCAGTGAGAAAGGATGTGCAGTAAGGAGAAACTGTGTCCTTCTCTACGGGTAAAACAGCGGGGATCTCTGCCTATAAATCAACCCCTCGTAAGGCGTTGAGACACAGTACCCAGTAAGTTTGTTGAAGTAAGTCTATGGCGTATGTGCAACTTGGTGGCCAACGACGAGCACAACGAGGTTCGGGCTCTCTTCCGCAATGCTCACGTGGATGTATATTTCCTTTCCTGGATTTCGCAGATCACAGATTAGCGCCCATACTTATTCACCGTACGACACCGATGACTGTCCTTCTGTCCTGCCGCCATCGCGTTACGTCTTTATCTGGATTTACTAGATGGAGGACGGAGAGATTCAGGCTGAGGATTCGTACGACCCAAAGTACGAATGGCCTGGCTCAGATAATCCTGCCATATATGACTTTGACAATTATGGCGTCCTCACACCCACAGAACCCCGCGTCGATGAACCAGCTACCTCTGACACAGGATCGTCGTCCTTGGCTTCTTTGCGCTTGTTGGTCCGCACAAGTTCCATACTTCCTAGTGAAAAGACGCTTGCTATCATTGACGGCTTCCACGAGGTCCAGATTGGTCGAGATGTTGCACCTCCCGCCAGTGAAACACCACGGATTCGGTTGAAGGAGATGGAGGTTTCCAAGATTCATGCAACCATTTACTGGGATGGCGGGAGAAAGGAGTGGTCTGTCGTTGACATGGGTTCGAAACATGGCACATTCTTGCAGTCATTTGCATCCACTTCTGCTGCGAGAGCTATTCGCCTCTCTTCCCCTCGAGTTGCTAGCATTCCGCGCCGTTTGCGTCACGGAGACCAATTAACTGTAGGGGGCACGACATTCATCGTACATATTCACGAGAATCGTATGCCTTGTGTCGATTGCTCAGCAGCAGGTGGAGATGAGATAGAACTGTTTGACAATCGACGAAGGCAACGAGAAAGGGAATCTGCTCAGAAGCGTAAACATGAAGCTATGGAGTCGCCTTCCACTGCGCCAGTCCCGACAGAAAGGGATCCTAAGAGGGCTATCACCATGTTGAAACGTAGTTTGCTCTCAAGACATGATCCATCTTCGCCAGCTTCATCGTCAGGATCGCCAAATGCGTATCTCGACCGTAGTGCACGCCGTCGTGCATTTCATCCTGACACGACCCCTACCCCTTCCAGGAATTCAACGCCCTTCATAGATACGAGGTTGCCCATACAGTCATTACCAGCGACGCCGGAACCTGTATCCGCGCCTGCTGTGCCACTTCCAAGTAGTAATGTTGGTCACCGACTGCTTATGAAGCAAGGCTGGCAACCTGGAACTGCTCTTGGTACACCAGATGATTCCCCAGATGGGACAATTGCATTGACGGAACCTCTTGATTTGGCCGGCAATATTCGTCGTACCGGTCTGGGAAGCAGTAAACCGCTCGCACCACAGGATTCTCGCGGACCCGAAGACTGGAGAGCGGTGGGAAGGATGCGCAGATGGGCTACCATGCACTCTACGGATCGCTCTGTGACATAGCTCGTCGGCAAGTCGATTTCGTCACGGTGCGGGCGCACAGACGCTGCAGTCGATTGTTACAAGTGTTGAAGGACTAGTCTTCCTCGCCCGGACAGTTCCATCCACTACAACTCTCCTCAGTGAAGAGGGCTTGATCCTTGTGCGACGACGGCCGTCCTTACCGGTCGTTCAGTCTGGAGTCCGGGCAGCCAATTTCCAACATCGAATTGGGATTTCATATCAGATGCATGCAGAAGAATATTCGGAAGACGTCAAATGCACATCTTCTGCATGTAGGTTTGAACTCCGGTAGCCCCCACAGATTCTCCGTTGTCAGATGAGGTCTGTCGCTGCCCTTCTATGTGTATGGCTGTATTCACTCAGCAGAATTTGGCGTTGTCCAACATAGCGATCGAGAAGGGGGAGGTATACTTTCATAATGATACCCTAAAGCTTGGGTTGGAAAATATGACCATCAGTTCAAAATATCCGCAAGCGTGTCTGCTAATCTTTCCAATAATTCGAACTGTGCGTTCATACCACGTCTCATGGAGTATTGAAAGAAGACGCGACATCGAACAGTAATGATATTAGTCAAGGGAATGACGGACATTGTCTGGAGATAAATATGGTTTTGTCCGACTGGCAGACAGGTCAGAAGAGTCCAACCACTATTACTGTCTAAGACCACCCGCATGGGAACCGAAAGACATACTTACACTGGTTAGGAAGGCAAGCGTCGGCAGGTAGGCGAACATCACACTGGACCCAACCCGGCAACTGAGGTCCTGCATTTATGAAACTGACGTGAGTGTCAAGCACTTGCCGCCCTTTCTTTATTTTTCAAACAACCTTTGAAGGTACTTCCGGGTGTCCTCGTCTCTGTTTACATCCGTAATATTCCATACCGTCAACATGAGAATGATCAAGGAATAATCGCGATTTTTTGGCCCGCCAAAGGAATATTTGTGAATTGGGATGTTTGGCTCTATATAGTATACCGACAGGACCACACCCATTATTATCATTGCATCAGGACAATCGGAACCGAACGAGACACACTGACTAGGAGGGCAAAGCGGTGGATTCTCCCGGCACCTAGGGTCCCGCTGCACTGGTGAAACGGACAGGCGTGTCAAAGAGAGTCCGATCTCTTCATTTATCTATTGCTACTCCAGCGAAGAGCTGTATTAGATGAATGTCTTCGAATGCCACCGATTTTTTTGTGTCTAATGTTTTTTTTCCCAAGTCTCGTTCCTGGTTGTGGGGTAGAAATCGGTGATTGGGGAAGACGCGATCGACACCGATCGCGCCTGCACGTGAAGTTGGTGAAGGGGCATTCCCCATTCGCCCGGAACCATCAATCCAGTGAGGGGATTTCACATGCCAGCGTCTGCCTCGGGCACCTTGTCGGGAAACGCTCTTAAATACGCTCATCGTCTCACTCCCTCTGGTTCGATCCCCCCCTCCAAGTCGACCTCCTTGTCTTATTAGTCTTAACCGCCATGTCCCAGTTATCATTCAAGGGCCACACTGTTATTGTTACCGGTGCAGGTGGAGGTCTCGGCAAGACGTATGTTCCGAAACACTTTGGATTTGAGGAGTGCAGGATTCTGAGAGCATTGATTCACCAACAGTTATTCTCTCCTTTATGCTTCACGGGGTGCGAACGTTGTCGTCAACGATGTCAGCCAAGCGGCAGCACAAAAAGTTGTGGATCAAATCACTCAGGGTAAGTTATCAAACTAAATATCAATGCCGTGCGCTAAGTGCTTGTGATGTCACCCAGCCGGTGGCAAAGCGGTTGTAAATACTTCTTCTGTAACCGACGGTGAAGCTGTTGTTAAGACTGCTCTTGATGCTTTCGGCGGTGTTACCATTCTCATCAACAACGCCGGCATTCTCAGAGACAAGGGGTAGGGATGCACATGTTCCATTTAAGGAGACTTCGACCTGAATCGAATTGCGTGTTATCAGCTTCAGGAATATGACGGACCAAGAATTTGACCAGGTCCTGCAGGTTCACCTGAAAGGTGCTTACTCTTGCACCAAAGCCGTCTGGGGAATCTTCCGCAAGCAGAAGTTCGGCCGCATTGTCAACACTTCTAGTGCAGCGGGTCTTTATGGTACACATATTTCTTATTCAAGCTATATATACAATATGATAAGTTCTAATGTTCGCGAATAGGCAACTTCGGACAAGCAAACTACAGTGCAGCTAAGATGGGGTTAGTTGCATTCACGAAGACTCTTGCTCGGGAGGGTGCCAAGTACAACATTAACGCTACTGCAATCGCGCCGGTATGATCCTTATTCATTCATTCAAACCATTTCCCCTCACCTTCCTGTTTTCCAGATTGCTGCTTCGCCTATGACGGAGACAGTTATGCCTCCAGAGCTTCTTAAACACATTCAAGTATGAATTCTGTTTCTGCGTGAATTCCTCATATATTGAAAAGCGTACTTTTAGCCTGAATTTATCGCACCATTCGTAGCAGCAGTCACCCATCCAGACGGACCCGATGCTAATGGGAAGGTATTCGAGCTCGGTGCTGGCTATGTAGCCGAGATTCGTTGGGAACGAAGCAAGGGTGCGATTTTCAAGACTGATGCTTCATTCACACCTTCGGCAGTACGTATTCCGTTTACTTTGGCTCCAGGATTACGTTGATCAACCTCTTCAAAATAACAGGTGAAGGAGAAATGGTCTGTCATCACAGACTTCTCGAATCCAGACTAGTAAGTGCTCTCCTGAACAAGCAGCCCGTTTGTATGCCGAGTCTCATTTCTCGTAGCCCGCAAAGCGTTACAGATTTCGATCATGAGGTTTGTACCTATCCCGTATTCTGCCTTTCTGTGACTGATCTGACGGTCCTTGATACAATAGGCTGTGCTTGAGACTGCCAGGAAGCTCCCGCCTAACCCCCAATCAACCCCAGAAGTTCGTTTCGATAGCAAGACCGTCATTATCACTGGTGCAGGCCAGGGTCTTGGACGTGCTTACGCACTGATGTATGGCCGACTCGGTGCAAACGTTGTCGTCAACGATGTCAGTGAGAAAGGCGCCAACGCTGTTGTCGATGAGATCATCAAGGGTAGTCTTCACTTTCCATTCTCCTGACGTTTGGCGTTTGGTGTTGAATGCAGTTTCTATTTCTTTTATAGCGGGCGGAAAGGCAGTAGCTGCCGTATCTTCCGCAGAGGATGGTGACGCTATCGTGAAGGTCGCATTGGAAAAGTTCGGAGGCGTGCATGTTCTCATTGCCAACGCCGGTATCTTGCGGGACAAGAGTTTCGCTGCTATGACGGAGCCGGAGTGGGATGCTGTACTGGCTGTTCACCTTCGGGGTACATATAAGGTAGGCATCGAATTGAGAACCGGAGAAAGTTTATTTGACGTCTTTTGGTGCATCCAGTGTGCCAAGGCCGTCTGGCCCATCTTCCTCAAGCAGAAATATGGTCGCATCGTGACTACAGCTTCGCAAGTCGGCATCTGTAAGTACTTTGCCTCCCTCCATATCTGCATAGCCCTAATTCTGTTGCTTTTGACCAGATGGAAACTTCGGTCAAGCCAATGTGAGTCTGGTTCAGGTGCGCAAAAGGAATATTTAAATGACCATTTCGTGTAGTACTCCACTGCCAAGGCTGCTATCCTCGGTATGACTCGGTCATTGGCCATTGAAGGCAAGAAGTATGGCATTATTGCCAACACTATTGCTCCATCTGCCGGTACAGCGATGACTAGTACTGTCTGGTATGTTGTTGCATGCTCCGTTTGCTCTCAATAGATGGACCCTAATTTCTGTTCATAATTAGGCCACAGGAGATGGTGAACGCTTTCAAGGTACGTTTCAACAGAAACATAACGTAACATCGGCGGTTCATCCAATGACATCTATCGTAGCCCGACTACATTGCCCCTATTGTAGGCTTCCTCTCTAGCGAGGCTAACACTGAAACCTCTGGCAAGCTCTTCGAGATCATGGGTGGTTGGGCTGCTCAAACTCGCTGGCAACGGGCGGGTGGACATGGGTTCCCCGTTAACAAACCATTGACGCCTGAGGCCGTCATCTCGAAGTGGGATATTATCACTAATTTCGGTCAGTGACTCCACTTCAGACTTATATATCAGCAGTATGATGTTGGTAACTAATCACCCCGCGATTTTGCAGACGACGGACGGGCCACGCACCCTTCGACGACTCAAGAATCTTTCCAACAGCTTGCAGAGAACTTCTCGAATGTTGAAAACAGTGACCCCTACGCTGACCCTGAGGACTCCGAGTTGGTAGCAAAGGCAAAGAAGAACGTCCCAGAATCCGTGGAATTCAGCTACGCTGACAAGGATGTCATCCTGTACAACCTGAGTATCGGAGCGACAGAGAAGGAGCGCCAATGGACGTTCGAAGGGGACGAGGAGTTCTCTGCGTTACCTACATTCGGTGTTATCCCTCAATTCCAGGCATCCGGAGGGATCTCTCTGGACTGGTTGCCAAATTACAACCCTGTATGTGGCTTTTGCATTCATCATTGTTGGATAGATGGCGGAAGTTGATCGCTGATACATAACGCTATGTCAGGCAAAGCTGTTGCATGGCGAACAGTACCTAGCAATCAAAGCACCAATACCAACTAGTGGTAACCTCGTGAATGAGGCAAGGTATGCCTTCCTCTTATGATATGCGTTTACCCCTCACTTCCTGACTTTTCGGATCTAATTGCGAAATAGGATCGTCGAGGTCCTTGACAAGGGCAAGGCCGCGGCAGTGACTAGTGTTGTGGAGACCAAGGACAAGGATACGGGCAAGGTCATCTTCGAGAATCAGTCCACTGTCTTCATTCGTGGTGCTGGTGGATTCGGCGGCAAACGGGCAGGCAAAGGTGTGTTTATTATTGGCAATTTCGCAAAGCAGTCAACGAGAAGCCCGCATACTTACCGCTATATCTGCGTCGTGGTGATGATATTCGACTAATTGATATTTGTCCTTGCAGACCGAGGCGCGGCGACAGCGGCTAACACCCCTCCTCAGCGCAAACCAGATGCTGTCGTTGAGGAAAAGACACTTTCCCAACAAGCTGCACTGTATCGGTAAGATCCCAATGATTTGTCATACCAAACTTCCGTCCATATATGAGCATCAACACACTGACTCTGTGCCTCGTTGTATCGGTTTGCAGACTAAACGGTGATTTGAACCCTCTACATGTGCGTCCTAGAGCCTCCACTTTCCTGTCAAGTATCCTCACCTGACACAACTCTTCTCATTATCACTAGATCCTTCCTGAGTTCGCCGCCGTTGGAGGCTTCGATAAGCCTATCTTGCACGGTTCGTATTGACTCCGCCTGACGGAAATGAATCTAAATGGTCTCACCGTTCTCCCCCTTCATATAGGCCTTTGCTTCTTCGGCTTTGCAGGGAAGCATGTGTTCAAGTCGTTTGGTCCCTATAAGGATGTCAAAGCCCGGTGAGTGGCTCATCGTCTCCCTAGAATTTGAAATATTAATGGACGGTTATTAGGTTTGCGGGTGTTGTATATCCTGGGGAAACGCTTGTGACTGAGATGTGGAAGGAAGGTAATAAGGTGATCTTCAGTATGTGTCCCCCTCTACAATGTTTCTCCCATAGTGCAGTGTCCTGACGAAATTTGCAAATAGCTACGAAGGTCAAGGAGCGAGGCACCACTGTACTTGCTGCAGCCGGTGCAACCCTGGTGGACCCCACTGGTTCAGTCAAAGCGAAACTATGATTTATTTGACCTATATGTTGTATTAGTTGCATTTTATTCTTCTCATTGTCGGAATCAACTACCATGACTGGTTGTCATGAACGAACGCGTTGTTCTTTATCACAAAAGTTTGGCAGTGTTTGATAAAGTCGACGAAAGCACACCAAGCCGTCAGTGACAAGGGCTCAGCTAGTACCCTTAAGCACTTCGAAAAGGGATTATGTAGGGGAGAGGAGATCGAGCGTGATGTTGGAGGTCGCCTGATGATCCACGACATAAGCTTCGTTTCATTACGTCCTCGGTTGTGTCAGTTGAGTCGCCATGGTCCCGTCTCTTGCCATGAGATATACCCATCTTATTGGGCAGCGATGGTCGCACATGCGTTCCTGTTCGCGTCCTTCCTGAAGCCAGGCATGTACTTAGTATCGATTCAAGAAAATTGCCTCAGATGACTCGCAACCATATGCAGTTCGAACTTCGATGATAGGCGTACGGGGAATTGTACTCCTCGAGGAATCATGGCCCCACAGGGTCATAGGAAAGTGAAGGCCAACGTGCCATCATTCGAAGTGATGACCTCAATGTGCGAATGAAATTTACCATATTGAACTCTTTGGATGATACAGAAAACCAGTCACACACATTTGTGTCGCAAAAATGGTACATAATGACAAACGCTTGGGAATTATGGACAATATGCTGGAGTGCAGGCACCAACAAAATGAGAGGAATGCTCAAAGAAACGTCATGACGAGCAAATTGGGAAATAAGATGGTTTGATTAAGATCGAGAAACCGTGTTGCAAAGTGTTGCAGATATTTCAGTAGTGAACCTGTATACACGATCACTGGCACAGGGCACCGGTATAACATATTGTATTATGTGTAGAATACGTACAAAGAACCTGAGTCACGAAGTTTCTACGCCGGTGGATCGCAGGAGAAGGAGACCTTGAAGCTTTGACCGATCCACTAGGGCAAATCTGTAACACCGTTGAATCATCTAAGACGATGAATTCACAACGTCAGGTGCAATACTTACCTGGCAGTGAGAGTAAGCCAGCTCTCTTGCTAGTAAAGGAGGAAGAATCCTCGCGATCCCGGTCCCCGCAGACAGAGGTCAAAGTTGTCATATATGAACGTAATCCGAGAACTTAGTAGAATACACTAGAAAAGTAGGTATGCACTATATGATCCAGTGGTATAATGAAGGGGATGAGTGAAAAAGAAGGGGATATAGAGGAACCGGCCATGTCCAACCAGATAAAGTGAAACAAACCTATTTAAATGACGAAAGATTCAATCTTCCCGTTCTATGATATATATAATAAAAACTGAAGTGATTTATCCATTCATGAATCATATATGCAGATATTCAATTTGTGCAGCCCTGTGCCAGTTGTTCCGAAATGCTGACACCTGTGATAAGGAGAAGGCATGTTAGCAACTGATTGAATGGCATAACCTCTGATAAAGATTCAAATATACCGGGGTAATACCAGAACACGACCGCAAGGATGACGTAAAGACACATGAGGAGCATCCCCTCTAGCCAATTTGACTTTCCATCTTGTACGACATAGTTCACCACGATGACTACATGTGGGGAGTTCAAGTCAGCCTGAGAATCACATTGCTTCCATGTGGAGATGAAAGTGGGGTCAAAAGTCCACGTTGAAAACACACCTGAAAGGAACATGACGATTGACTCGAATGGATCAAACAGAAGTGTCAGAGGCTTTCCAATAATCCACCCCAATGTGACGATAAATCTGTCAATGTCAGAAGAAAATTGTATCAGGGACACACTTCTCCAAGTATGACGTGAGAAGGGGATGAAGGTACTAACGGAATGACGAAAAGCGCTATTTGCTATAGGGTTGAGAGGATAGGACTGCATCAGCCCCCACGCGTCACGTGTACGAGATAAGGAAACTCACGATACTTGAACCAACAGCAACGCCTAAACTCAGTGTAAGCTTGTCCTTCACCGACACAGTAACCGCAGTGACATGTTCTACAAATGACAAAATGATTGGGGTGAGAAACCGTCGTCACTGCGGAGAAGTAACGACAAAAATAGCGAACCTGCGGCGTTGCCGACGATGGGAAGTAAAATCACGCCAACGAATTCTTTACTAATGTGGCCGCTTGCTGTGAGACCATCTATCGACCTGACGAGGAATTCCGCAGTGACAGCAACGAGCTATCGATCGGACGATTATGTGGGTTCGATTAAATTATTCCCAAAATTTGGAAGGCGGGAAGGACCTACCACAGTGACGACGACCAGAAGGACGACTGTCAGGGTAACACTCATGGAAGGTTTCTCTACTTCGTCTTCTTCATGCACTTCTTCATGCGCTTCTTCATGCACTGACAGCGTTCTGTTGGACTCGAGGTCCAAAGGACGAGTTGTTACTATGCCACCACCCTCTTTCGGCGTGAGCGGTTGAGCGCTCTCGCTCGCTGCTGCACTGGGCTGCACCTTCGCCTTCTTATCTTTCTTCACATATCTTGTTGACTTGAAAGCGTCCCCTTTCTCGTCTCCATACAATTCCTTATGTGAGAATAGTTGGAAAACCAGATAGCATCCGTAGACTGTGAAACGAGAAATGGAAAGGGGGCTGAGCACATTCTGGCATGGAAAATCTGATCATGATGAACACTTACTGAAGAGAAGAATGATAGCGGCCTAGAAGATGAAACAGTTGAGTGGCATGAGAAACATTCCTAATAGTCCAGGAACGACATAAAGCACATACGCCATGACTGACTGCCAAAATGTCACGTCCCTCTTTCGGATCCTCGATTTGATCTCCGGCAGTAAAATGGAATGCTGCTGGTAGGAGGATAGCAATTACCGAGATAATTAATAGCGACGAATTCAACTGCGTTGCGCCTGTTCAAGTGAAACGAAGATAGCTCTTCAGTTCCAGAACAGCATTACAGTTTGATGTAGGACCGGAAATACGTACTGACGCCGAATCCCTGCTCTGAGAAGCGAGTACCACCTGCGAAAAAACACATTCCAAGTACGAGAACTAGTAGGAAGATAGGCGACCGCGCCCACAAATGAGCGATCGTTCTCATACTGTCAACAAACACTTACGAAGATTACTCAGGATCGAGCCGACCACTGGAAAGGCGGAGTCGATATAGAGATCAGAAATAAATAACGAGCACGGGGAGTGGGAAAACCGCAGTGATCGGGGATCGAATGGAAGTGGGGAAACTTGGGAAAGTTGACGTACGTGAGGATTGGACCACTTGAAGTTCACATTGTACTAGTGCGATTATCTGATAGAAGCAGAAGTAACCTGAGTTCCATTTGTGTGCCAGTTCGAAATCAGTGTACTAACCGCCACTATGAGTTCAACACTGACGAGGAGGGGGGAAGTATCAGTACTGATCATGCATCACAATCGAGCTACAAGTCACATACGCATTGCCCTGTAGTGCGGCAATTGTCAGTGTCAACAGGAGGTATCAATGATGTTTTGAAAAAAAAACTACTCACGAGTGTCGCGTTGAGGAGACCAGCCAAGGTTTGGCCCACACGCATCGAAAGTTCATCTGTGGCAAACGCCAGTAACTAGGACGTGAAACCGGATCAGTGGCGCTGAATATGCGGGTACCATTGTAAACAAACAACCTTCGCGAGGGGGATAATTGCAAGGAAAGCGACTTTCAGTAGGGCACAGAAGTTAGAAGCGAAGGGAGAGGTTGTGGCGTAAATCAACTCACAAATAAAGGTGATAGTATCATGTGTGCTGGTCTTCGGAAGAGCAAGATATAGTGACCACTGACAGATCATTAGCCAAAGGGTCAATTATAGTGGTCTAATAAACGCACAGAGATGGGGATGCACACAAGAAGTAGATTCAGCCCTAAATAACAAGCTTAGATCATGGTCGAACGAAGATGGACCAAACGTACATGAGGCGAAAATGACAGCCTTTACACCTTGTAAGAAACTTGGAGGCTGGCCGAGTTTGTGATCTGGAGTCATGTTATGTTTCAATATTGTACGAGTTCGTGAAATGGTGCGGGCAATGGAGGAGCCGGTTCCTCGTCGAGGTCGCGGTGGTCTAGGTTCCGAGGAGTTCTGAGAATGAGGTTCTTGAAAGGTAGCTCTCCGTTGAATTGAGGACGTCTGGGCTTCTGGCGATTGCATGTCGCGGTCTGTCGCGGTACTCACTTTATAGCATGAGCAGTTAATTCGATGTTGAAGGCAGTGATATTTGGATACGTACTGGTATTATGTTATGGGTGCTGAGAGAACGTCAAGGGATGCAGGGGTTGACACCGCCGAGGGAAGGCTGCCTTTAAAAGAGATAAGGAAAGTGAGCGTGCAGGTGTCCACAGGATAAATATTAATGTGAACTTGAACTTCGTGGCCACCCCGGCGGAAATGTCCATGACCACCGCCACTGCCACCGTGTCCAGGACCGGTGACTAAAAATAGCCACGCCGCCCTATTGTTTTTTTGTTTTGTGTTGTTTTTTCAGAGAACCTGTGCACACTTGCATCGATAGAATTTACATGCTCGATAAGTCATTTCCTTGTGCGTATCGAGTCTACTACTAGTACAGAACTTCTAATTCACCTTTGCTGTGTCGATCGATCTTTCAGATCCTGACTGGGCCGTTGACTTCACCTGAGTTGCGGTGCAGGTCTTGAAAATTCGCACAGGAGCTATGTCCCCGATGAACTGCGCTAGACATAAGAACGTCATTAAATAGGCATTCCGAGTCAGCAATTAATTTCCTGAATAAACACACGTGAACACGAGTGAGTGATATGGAGCCTGAGGGTCATGCAGTCATGGTGAAAGGTGGTCCTGCCATTACTCCAGTAGGACTCCTAGAACTCCTAGATCGCCGTTCAACGTTGTTCACGCATGTCACTGGAGATTCAATATTCAGTTTCGAACCTGAATGAAATGGTTCCAGTGGTGCGGTCTGTCGTCATGCCAATCAAAGTGTGGAACTTTGCAAAGCAGACCCCGCGTGACTTACCATTTTACTTCAAAAGTAGCCAAACGGTGGTAAGGTAATCCGGAAGGCCGAAAACCAATTCCGGCTATAGCAACAAAATATGCAAATGACTTCAATTTAGAACAATAAAATAAGTACAATATGTAGCATGCATGACCAGTCTATATATGTGTTATAGTATTGTCCGTGGACAAGATTTGTCCCTTTTAGAAATACAATAGGGAAGAAAGGACACTGGACAACCCAGCAACCAAAAGTGAAAAGCTCTAAAGATCTCCCAGAGTGCTGTCACAGTAAACCATATACCCCTGAGGCTCAACAATAATGAAAACAGAAGACGAAATCAGCCCTGATACGCAAAAGCCACGGCACCGTAGAGCCCAGATTCGCGTCCCAAGAGCCCATAGCCATGAAGAACCTGCAGATAAATCACCGTGAAGTCAATTATACGCCACATCTTAACGCCAAAAGACGAGTCAATCAAACTCACCTCCATCTTCCTCGCATGCCAACCAATTCCACTATTCACATTCCCATTAGCATCCGCCAAACGTTCGAGTTCGTTCCTCCAAGGATGACCCCTCGGCAAATCCCTTCTCAGTACCGTTTTCCCATCACAATCTTCTGCCTCACATAACTCAGCAATCCAGCCGCTTGCGGTATCCGCATACCACCCCCGACCTCCCTTACTCTTCACAATTCTCCACGAATCTGCGCCCATGCCTAATCCAGCCAGAAGCGGCGGCGCAAGTTCCACGACTCTCAATCGAGTTGGAGGCTCGGCCTTCACGGTAGATGTCGTAAGACTGAACGTAAATGGCGGTGTACAAAGAGGTCGAATAATCTGTGCATGTAGCGCGATCGTCGCATGGCGTGCTGAGACATGGTCATTGCCATAGCCTAATTCTGGTGACGTGTTTACCAAGGTGAGGATTTCGACGTAAGGAGCTTTGGTACGGAGGAATTGGGCGATGGCGGAGAGTTCGAGGTTCCGGATGTGTGATAAGCCTAAGGAACGAAGGCTGGGTTGCGCAGTTGCAACTTCGAGTAACATTTGCCTCGTCACGGGTGAACTTGAGAGATCTAAGTAGGTCATCTCGCCGGAACGGAAGCAAGGTGCGCAAGCGAAGATATCGCGCATGTCATCTTCGCTCAACGATGAAGGGAAGGTTCCGTCTCCATAAAGACTCAACTCGCGAATTGTGTGAGTACATGGGGAATCGATAAGGAACTCTCGGATGCTCTCTCCGGTTAACCAGTTGCAACGTTCAAGTGCAAGGGACTGGAGGTGAATTGTCTGAGACGATCCGAAGGCAGTGAGCAGGTCTGGCGTGATACGTGTACACGAAAGATCTAAATGCGTAAGACTTGGGAATGCAAGGGCGAGAGCATTCAGTATTTGAGGCTGTACAGACTTCACGCCGCGCAGTCCAAGTCTTCGCAGGCTGGGAAAGACTAAAGGATCTTCCTCCATTGAATTTCTTGGCCTGCCTCGACTGCGGGGACGCGAACCTTCGTCATCGCTTTCGCCGGAGTCCGAATCGGCGGTATTTTGGATGAGATGGGTATTTACGAAGTCTGTGAGAGCTTTGACGAAGACTGCGCTAACACAGCCAGTCAAGTCCAAAGCCTCTAGTTCCTTACATTCGCGTCGTCGCTCACGGTCTTCTTCTTCCGGGTTAGTTGGGTCATGTACAACGACATCTCGTCCTCGTGATGGTCGACCACGCCCACGAGAGAGCGATCCGCGCAAGAACAGCTCTTGGATCACGGAGAAGTTCAAGGCGCCATCCATGTACTCGGTCGCGCCAAACGCAGACAGATTCGGCATTTCCTAAGGAAATGAGCAATGAGTACTAATACAGCCATCAAAGTTTGAAATAACACACCTTCAGTACTGCTTGCAGACGATCGCCGGTCACAAATCTGTTAGTGAAGCCTTCTTCTACGGAACGTCTCATGCCGATGGTACGGAAATGGTTGAAGTCTAGGTGACGGATGAATCGCCCCGGACGAGGATCATGTGGGACAGGGACTGAAAAGCAAAACACGGTCAGTTCTCGAAATGAAATGAAGGGCTGAATGATTCAACACATACTGTAAAGTCCGGGATGATCCTGAAGCATGACATTCTGTACAGCGTCGCTGATGGACCTCATGAGTTTCCAACGAGCAGGAGACTTGCTTTTCGCTCGAAGACGTCTAGGGCTAGGGTCGCGAGTCGCAGGAGGGGACAAAAGTTCTGGAGGAATGGAACCATCAGGGCCGCTCAAGGTTGCGATGAGCCTCTCATGAAGCTCCTTCGCCAGGTCTGCCTGACACTGCTCTCCGAAGATGTTTCTCGTAGCCAAAGCGGCGTTGGTAGCCTCCTGAATGGTTTGGTCGACGAGGAGCGCCTCATCTAGCTCCTCGTCCTCATCGCCACTAGCGATTTCCTCTACCAGGGATAACCAATCGTGTGGAAGTCTTACCTCGACTTTCTGCCAGAGCCAAGGTTTGGCGGCCTCGTCCCATGCATTGTTAACGAGACAGAGGTTGTGCAGTGTCTGGCGAATGGTGCAGTCCGGCCAGTATGATGGTGGATATGAAGAAGGTAAAGCGGTTGGTACGAGATCGCTTGAAGTGATTAGGGGGTCAAGCGAAGACACTTTAGGTGGTAAACCAGCGGCGTAGACATGAGCACAGATCAGAGAGAGCAGTTCTGGTGGAAAGTGCTGTACTGCAGATATCATTTATGTAGAATCAAAGAAGTGGAGCCTTAGGTGAGATACAGAGCAGGTGAGGGACACGAAGAAAGTGCACTATATGTAGAAGGAAGGTGAGTCAGTGAGAGTCTTATAAAGTCATTGAACGGAAGAAAGAAAAGACAAGCCGGGTCACGCAAGGTCTTGCATAGTTGAGCCTTTGGCTCCATCATCGACGTGATCGAGGCGGCTGTAGCCCCGACTGCCAAGTGAGCCCGTTCCGAACTTACGAGAACCAACGGATACTGTCCATCCAGTGTCCATCAGCCATCCTCTCGGCGCTTCCTCACAATCGCAAACGCCACTTCGAATCATGGTTACATCCTTCTTTGGTTCACAAACGTTGATCACTACTTTCCCTCGCTGCCTTTTTCTCGACTTCTCATTTGAACATGACCCCTCGCGTTCCTCGCTAACGACAAAATATTGCAAGGCTTGTCATCGCACGTGAGCGGCTTAGAGGATATGCTCCGAGGTTCCTCATTCGCTCCGGCTCGTGCAATGGCAAATACCAGGGGCCGATGTGCATGATTCACATCGCAGCTTTCAGCCCTTTCTCCATTCGATACGTCCTACTATATGCTATTGACGCACTCATTACATACATTTTAGTTTTGACTGTGCGTTGTGGCGCTTTGCACCATCTTGAAGTGATATTTCGTTCTTTCGCTTCTCCGGTCCTCATGCAACACTCGAGCCAGACTGTTTTTGGCACGTTTATGATTCTTTTTTTCCGATGACTGAGTTCGCGGCGACTCTAGGAATACCCCAGGGCTTGCGTTCAGACGGTACGAAATGTCATCATTTGCTCCTTGTCTCAATGGGTCACCATAAATACCACCGGATCGACCAGAAATTGAAACAGCCTGCGAAGCCGTTCGGCTAAAGCGCATATGAAAACTTCTCTTCTACGCATGTTTAGCTCTACGGACCAGGTTACAACGGGGAAGGAACCCCACGGCACCTCGCTCTCCATTGGACCAGGCAACCTTACTTTGTCTTACGTTAATTTTTGCCTCTCATTGCCAACCAATTGAATAACCATTCACGACGAATGTGTGCATCGGCTCCGTCAGCTGAGTGATGCTGACTATATGTCCGTCCAGCTGACTGTTATAGACGCTCCGAATCTACCCCCGACTGGTGGGATGGATGCAAAGTTCCTGAACGCAGTCCGTTACCAGCGGTTCAGGGGTGGGTGAGGCCTAGGGCCTGACTGAAGAGCCATGTGGCTGCTATCCTTGTAGCGCTTTCGTACTTGTCGCAGGTTTTGCAATGCCTTTCTGAACGTCGTCACGCAGCCGATCATCATTTTCAGTGAATGAGGTCTCCGGCATTGGATCAAGTTCTTCAACTGCCTTTGTTTATAAACTGTCCCCTTCACACGTCTTGGAGTCTGCGCCGTTTCCGCAATACTTACTCCTTAACACGACCTGCGCGGTCCCCATGTGTAACTGGCTCAGAAGCTGATCAACGTTTGATTCAAAACTCCGTTGACAAGGATACACGTAAATGTAAATGACAGCATCTGCCACTTACACCAGAGACTCAATATTGTCAGCCTTTGTTTGTCTTGTACAGATGTTGGTGCTTCGAATTCTACTCGAAGTTGTAAGAATAGGAATGCGGTGCGTCTTTGCCGATATCTGCAGATCATTAATATTATAAACATAGCCCCCCCCCCCCCGGGGCTATACATAAGCTGTAGTAAAGTCCTCTAGTTCGAACATGTGAATTGTTCTGTTTCTGAGACGAAAATGTCAAAACCTCACATGACTGATGTAAAAATATACAGCGTTCTTGCTCTCAAGACCACTTCCCTTTGTGACCAGGAATAGTATGTGGGGATGGTGTTATAATTAGGTTTCCAAGCTCCTGCCAGACTTCTGAGTCGAAGTACATACGTTTCTTGAACTGAACAATGCCATGTAGCACGTTGGTGGCATCATCGCGGGAGAGCTATAGGGACGTGTTACATGGCGTGAACGTGGGCCAGTACAACATGCTTGAGATGACATTTGCGCGGTTATAGAATCGACAACGTGTATTTGTATCATCTTCCGTTGATATCGAAATGTTCCTCCTTGATTGCTCGGTTCCATGCAATTAGTGTTGCGAATAGACATCGAACCACTGACCAAGTATGAAGTCTGAGACAGAGGAATGTACGATATGCCGTCAGACATGCTTGGAATGATAGGCCGTTCTTGATGTAGCTGAAACTACGAAGGCAAGTCCAACTATAAACAAGGACGTAGAAACAGAGTCCATTCTAGATGACAGCAAGCTGAACCATAACAGATAGCAGACGTAAGATAGTGTTCTGATAGTTTTGGTCATAGACCGAGGAACAGAGTCTAGGGCTTCACGTAGAAATCATACTGGGTGAGCATCCAGACCATTGATGTGGCTAGGGATCGATTAATTAACCAGGAGACTGCGTGCATCAGGTATAAGGAATACATACAGGAGACGATTAAGGGACTGAGGGATGGGAACTGGGTTCCGCCCGTCCCGAAGATGAATAGCTCCGAAGTGATATGACCAAAGGCAATTAGATAGCTAATGAGAGTTATGTCGTAGATACTGTCGGGAACAAAGGTGTGAGTCCTTCAGCGCTTTATCCAGGGAAAGCATGAGTCAAAAGCGCTTACGACTTGTCATGTATATGGTACGCAGCGTAGAAACGCACAACGGCAGACAGCAAGGTCCATACCGCAAATGTCCGTGCTTGGAGTGGCGTCACTGTCCATAACAGCCTTCAGCAATCCATTTCGAACAACACGCGCCCCCAGATCTCAACACACCCTCTGCTGGTTTCTTGCAGTACACTCTTCGGGTAAACTTCAACGTGGCGAAGTTCTGCACCGTGTTAAAAGCGGCTACGACAGCAATGAACAGCTGCCATTTGGGAAGCCACCCTTCGCTTTGTGGTAACACTGTGCATCCGATTTAATTACGCGTGCATATGGTCAATGACAGGCTTACGATTGAGCGGAGTAGAGGCCATGGTGGTAAGGAAGAAGAGGACCCTGCAGTTGTGAGCGCCGCCAGCGGCTTCGAACCACTGAGAGTTGCCAAATGCGGGAGACGTCGGGTGTCCGGCCGGTGGCGGTCCGGGAGTTCCCTGTGCGGTCTAGCAGGATTGAGTGGGTGATTCGAAGGTGGGACTTGTTCTGCTACCGTCCACGGTGAGCTCAAAGTGTTCCCCCAGCAAAGTCTCTCCTTTTTGTCTGTCTTTACCGCAAAGAACGTTCTGTATCTACCCGGCCGACCTTGGAGCTCGGTGTGGGCGCATCAAACACAACGGCGCTAGACCGCTTCAGGCGGCGGTCGCGAAGAATTGCCACTGGTCAGGCTGGTTGCACTCTCACCGAGTCTCATTCATCGGGATTCGTGTTTCTCATTTTCTTTTCATGCTATTTCACAGGCCCCGATGGCCCTGTCCACCTCCTCAACGGTGTCCGCAAGTATTCGTTCTGTTCCAACTGCCTCTCGTTCAAATTCCTTGGTCAGTAACGCAAGCACGAACAGCGGGACTTCCTTGAAACGTCGAGCGAGGACTAGGACAAGAGCACTGTCAAACGCTCGGCGTGGAAAGAGTACGGGTCCAGGGGAGGTTAGTTCGGCTCAAGATGGCGAGGAGAGCGGCAAGTCATCGTCAAGACTTGCTGAAGCACCTCCACTACCTCCTCTGAATATCTCCGAGGCAGCGCAGATGCTCGTAGTTCCTCAAGTCGAATCGCCAAGCGTCATGGAACCTGTAATACACAAGGAGGGAACATTGAGTTCTAGCAAGCAGGCCGAACTACCGATCCGAAGTAGGGTTGGTGGTCGTCAGCGGGCGTTGAGTTCCGTTCATATTCGCAACAAGTTCGAGGACACTGGGAGAGAGAGACAAGCCAAGTCAGAGAATGGTTCTGTGCGAGGAGTATGTGAAATATTTCCAGTTGTTTTGAATGTTGCTTACACGATATCTAGGCGAAGACGCGTGCGCGAGGCCTCAGTGTACCGCGACATGTCACTTTCCGTTCAGCGACAGGGTCGTCCGACTCCTCGTCGCTTCCGAGTCCATTGACTCCGAATTGTCCTCCTTCAGACTCTGGTGTTCACATATCGCAGGCTGATCGCGACAATATAAGAGACTCGCTTATCTCGAACAGCACGGCTACGTCTTCATCTGTGTATCCTCGGTCAACTTCAACCGAGTCGGCAGCCGAATCGTCGTTGTTTCCGCCTTCTCTTAAGGACAGGGATGAGGACCTTTCATCTTTTTCTCCTCGCATTGTCACACAGGACGATAGAGACATGGAGTTCAACATTGACGATGTGCAATACCGCCTCAAATTGCTGGTCAAGAATAGCTATTTCCTGCCACCTGCTCATTCGAAACCATCTCCAATTTCCCTCGCCCCTCCACCGCCGTCCTCCAAGCCAAGTTCTCAAGGCTTCCTCGGACTTTTCGGACTTGGAAAATCGAAATCGAAACCCACCACGCCTGTCACATGCAGTCCGCCTTCAGAACCTGGTCCCATTCTCCGAACTACCTCTGACAGCACGACAGCTGGTGGTCGTGTTCCTCGTCAACACGCGCATACAGCCCCCCAAACTCCTTTAGCAACACCCTTTGCACATGCACGCATAAACCCTACTAGCAGTGCTAGCAGAGTGGTTGTATTGCGTGAGAAAATGGACGACCTCGAGACAGCTGCGAAGCAAGCGGAGAAGGATATGAAAACAAAGGTGGAAGGTCGTAAGGCGAGAAGTCAGACGGCACCCAAGACCGATTACTTCGACGACGTGATCGACCCTACTGACGCTGTGGACTTGCCGCCGCCGTCACAGGCTTATCCGTTTGCCGTACAAGCTTCCATGATGCATGGTCTGGGGATTCAGGAGTCTTTAGGCGCAGCCGTACTTGCGGAGCGACTGCCTCCCAGTTCGGAAATGTGGTCAATAAGTTCTGAAGATGATATGTGGCGAAAGGCACTTCTACATGAAGCTGTTAGCCATTCATTGCACAACACACCAGACAACTCGTTCATGACTGCGTCTCCCCCATTGCCACCCGAACCTATGCCTTCCTTTCGGGACGAAGATCTTGAGAAGTCTCTTGAGGATCGTCCCGTGTCTTCGACTCCCAGACGTCAGATAGGCAAGTGCATTGTGGATCCTGACCAGCTTAGTAAGGAGGATGAGTCTTTGCAATTTTCTCCTGGTTCTTCGCTGTATGCTATTCCTCTTTCTGCTCCTACGATGGGAGGGTTGTCGCCTACGCTCCATTCGCCATGGATCGCCACGGTGGATGCGCCATATAGAGCCGAGACACCTGGTATTACCCATGCTCTCGCACCACCACCTCGTCGGTTCAGTTCGACCTCGCAGCCTGAGCTTCCGCGAACAATATTCAAAGACTCCGACACAAGTAATGCTACATCGGATTCCTTGTATTTGCGCAAGGTTGCTTCGGATCCTCGACTGTCCGCTGTACACGAACAGGGAGTGGACAACCGCCCCCTCTTGGTCATGACTCCCCCTCCAGTTCTTCCAACATCCTCAGCGTCAACTTCCGCATTGCACACCAGTAACAGCGATGCGATGCCTTCGTTCTCTTCACGCCGGCCTTCGCGTAGTGTTGTCTCGCGTTATTCGGACGATGAGTTATCATATGCTACACCTGCTGGTGACATGGATGACCCTCCCAGACCGTCGATGACCATCTCGCTTCATACCGACGACAATCAACTTTCGCTAACGGACTACTCTCAACCGTCGCCTACGGTCTCTGCATTCCAGGACGCTGTCTTCGGAAGCTGTCGTACACCCTCTCCGCTATTCAGACGAAGTCACACTAGTTTATCGGATGCAGCTCCCGAAGCAACACCCCGACATGCAGCTATGTCGCCGCCTCCACGAGTATCCTCTTCACTGGGACCTCCTCCTCTGCCACCTCCACCACGCTCGCCAGCAAATAAACCCGTCTACCGTCCGTCGACTTCATCAGGGGCATCCGGACGTTCCTCTCACTCATCCACTCCTTTGCCTTCAGTTACCCGTAATCCAAACCCATTAATAGATTCACAATCCTCAGGTTTACCTTCTTCTGAACAGCGGAATTCCTCATCTACCATTCCTCTCGCCGAGCGACGAGGACATCCAACTTCTATACTGTCTTTACGTATCCCTACGGACGCTTTTTCACCTGCCATACACTCGGCGCCGGCGCCGGCGTCGCCTACTGATTTCTTTGACAGGATTCAGTCCCATCCGAATGCCATGGATGATTTAGAGACGTCTGATGAAAGCTCTGAGTCTGAAGACGAAGAAGACTCTGGTGTCGATGATAAATACGGCGAGCCCATTCAGCAGCAGCCTAGCGTCTTAATAGAAGCTCGTTCTCGTGCCATTTCAATAACGTCGACGCCGCCTGTACGAACTCCGATTATGCGTCTAGGAAACCATTCTACGCCGCAGTTGACACCTTCTCCAGGCCTTGAGAGAGCTTTCGACCTGGCGTTCGATCCCTACAAACCTATCTCTAACATTGCCCCTACTGATAGAAGCACCTTCTTTGCCTCAAAGAAGAAAGGCATGCAACCTGCTCATTTCCACCTTCCGATAGGCGGTGAGCCATTGTACAGACGACCGTCCTCAAAGGCCGGCAATGCAGTGGCTGGACCTAGTAAACCCAGAAGACCTGCTACTGCTGATGCCGCCTCTGGAGAAAAAGCTCGAAGGTGGCAGCGGGAGTCCCTGCAAAGGTTCGATGGGATGTTGCTTCAGCATATGGCGGCGGAACGGGATACACTGAAGAGAATTACGACTAATCTTTCACAAAATTCCTATTCTCCGAGTCGCAATTAACGTCGTTGGGCTGTTTGCACTTTCTTGCGTTGTACATATCTGGGTTGATGTCCTGGTTCCTGCGTTCTTATCGTCGTTGCATTGCTTACTTGCTTTCTGATTATGATTATTACTTATTCTGCTTGCTCCTGGAAAATACGGCTTACATTGATACACTTGCATTACAATATTATACCTTCTTGCATTCTTCCCGTCGTACATACATACCCTCGTTTCACCACTGACTCCGTTGCGCTTCACTTCAGCTGTATTGTGCATATTTCATCTTCAATGCATGTTATGTTACTGCCATTCTGATTTGTTCACCGGAATGTACAAGTGTTTTCCCGAAACGTGTGGGGTCATGACATTGTGAACATGAAAAACTGAGTCGTAGAGAGGTACAATTAGTCAGGGCTTCAGATCATGATCCCTGTCCCTTCCTCCATGAAGAAAAAGATAAAAACCCCACCACCAGAAGCGCAGTGCCTGCTCCCACCAAGCCCGGCAAATATAGATACCACGTATTGTCGTCATCGTCCGAGGTGATACGCTTTTCGACCAATGACGTCGAGCTAGCATTCGTATCGGAAACATCATCTTTCCTAGACCGTCTCCTCCGAACACGTTTCTGTGCATCGTCATCAGACTCAATTTCGATCATAGGCATTCTGAATTTCTGTTCCTCGCCGCTGTCGACACCGCTGCCAGAGCGCCTGCTGCCACGCGACCCTGGATCAGAGTTGGCATCTATATCTGACGAAGAAGGGAGGAGTGGAATGTCTAATGAAGGATCAAGCGAGCGAGCGCGCTCAAAATATCGCCCTGCTGTCTCGCGATCGCGCCTCCAGGCGTCAGTACTGTGACCGCCATCGGAAGGATGAGAATGAAGAGGGTGCACAGAGGCGCGAAGTGACGATAACCCGGCATACGAGGAAGAAAGAAGATTCGTGGCTGTTCCTTCAAGGTGCAAAAGCCCTGCCTCTAGGTAAAGCTGAGCAAGATATGGCGCCCCGCCTAAGTAATGCAGGTAGTAGGATGGTGTACCGTAAGCACGCATGGAAACTCTCCCTGGTGATGGAGGCGATGCCCGTGAGGACGTCGGAGTGCGACATGGTGACGCCGACGGAGTAGACGACGCTGAACCAAGCTCCGGTAATGAAACAGTCAGGGGAAGGTAATGGGCAGCTAATCGCATGGTGGCAGACGGAACATGTGCTTGGTGCCAGGCTCGACTGAAATACGGCGTAAGGATATGCCGTTGCGAAGTCAGATTTCCACTTACACAAAATATTCGAAGGCCTCAGGTTTATCCTCCCGGATGTCAGCGAGATCCAGACCAATTAAAACTAGGCTAGTCGGATCTATGTTGTACTTGACTTCAGCAGCGGTGGTAGCATCCCAAGGGTAGACAGAAAGGTTAGTCGCCGAAAGCGCTTCCGGAACAGGACCAATTATCAGGGATGGCCAAATCATGGACTCCGCCTTCTCAAGATGCAATGTCAACAATCTCGTTGATCCAGAGTGCAATGACTCCATGGATGAGTAAGAGGATGCCATGCTCATCGAATGCACCGTGGAATGTGGCGAAACGGGATGAGAGGTGGTAAACTTGTTCCTCCTTCTACCTGATGTGGTTGTTGGGAAAACATGAGTATCTTCGGCAGAGGAAGATATTGGTGAGGACAGCGTAGGTGAGGTAAAGTCGAGCTCATCGGTATCGGATGTGCCACTCTCCAGTGAAGCTGCAAAGCTACTCGAAATCTCGGGATCCGTAACCACCGCAAAGGATGATTGAGTAGAAGCGGTTGATGTTGCAGAGGTAGTCCGTTCCCTTGCAGAAAGGTGTGATGAGTGTTGCGGCTCTAGTTGCCACGTGCTATTGGCAACATCAATACCACCATATAAGCGACCCTGTGGCGCTCTGTCAGCAAATAGACTACGTATTCTAGATACAATTCAGGCTTACCTTGAGAAGCGCAGGTTGCCCCCGTACACCAGCTATGATGAGGTTGCGTTCTATTCGGACCTATAGCGGCGTTAAGCTATTGAGCAACCAAGCAACTGCAGCACGGATAGAAAGTCGCCTACAAGTACGTCATCCTCAAGGGTATCATATGGTACGAGTAGGAGAAGTGTAGCCTATTCATAAGGAATACCTCCTTAGACCACACCTTGTCCGGTTACGCAGAAATACTCGCCTGGTCGTGAGACTAAACATGCAATGTCAGAGTTTTACAAGTCAATGGTGCTAGTGAATACATACCTGATGCCATGAATACGACTGATAGTGGTCATAAACTCTATTCATCCTGATTTACAGAACACAACACGGTTAGGATCAAGAGGCACTATAGACGGGATAGCCTCAGAAAGTCTCAGTTTCCTTTGAGCACCCAGGATTCAATAATTAGTCTTTCTCTCGTTCAGTGGTATATGGTGGCAGGAGAGCACTAGGTGGTGGTTAAAGACGAACAAGCATGGCTCGCGAAAGGACGTGACTCTGACAAGGCACTTCCCCACTGTAGGGACGTTCAGCGCCCATGTATTATGTCTTAACGGGGATAGCCGAATGGTGAAATACCTCGATTTGGGAAGCTCTCAGGTTAAGTTGAACTAGTTATTGGTCAATGTCTCGCTCTTGGTCTCTTCCCTTTTTAACTTCTCATCAAGGTGACGAGAAACAGGGTAAATATGCGCTCATAATCCTCAATCAACCATTTAGCTTTGCACTGTTACGCCGACTGTGGAATGCCAGTCAATGGCGATGTTGTGCAGACGGTGGTGCAAACAGACTGCATGACACTCTGACTGCACACAAAGATATAGAAGGATCTCAAGACCTGCATAAAAAGTAGGTACTGCTGTAGTTTTAAACTGTGTGTTATATTCCGACGCGACAGCTCAGCTACCTGCCAGATTTGATCAAAGGAGACCTAGATTCTCTAAGAGACGACGTAAGAGTGTACTACGAGACTACGGTAGTTTTTATCTTCAGCTGCATAACTTGCGACATTGTCGTTGATTCGTTGTGCGAAGGGCATTCCTGTGGTACAAGACCACGATCAGGATTCTACAGATTTGATGAAATGTGTAGAAGCTCTAACCGAGAAAGAGCGCATCGAAGGTGGAGACGTATGTCCTGTCGTCCGTTCGCCTTCAACTTACTCTGACTGAAACATTTTTAGCAATATGATATTATTATTCTAGGTGGTCTTTCGGGCCGTCTTGACCAGACGGTCCACACATTGTCATATCTGCATAAACTTCGCAAAACTCGCCATCGTGTATTCGCAGTATCCGATGAAAATGCTGCATGGCTTCTAGATGAAGTATGTCGTTCTTCCTTCGGTCGTGCTTCGCTTTAACCAGAAATGTTTGAAGGGAGAGCACCATATTAACATTGATCACGACGCATTCGGTCCAACATGTGGTCTGCTGCCTGTTGGAATAGACTATACGATTCTTTCCACTAGTGGTCTGCGATGGAACCTTAGTAGGTCAACCTACTCTTGTTCTCGTCCGTATGCTCAATGGTATTCGCAGCCGACACGAAGTCACACTTTGACGGTATGGTTTCCACATCAAACCACTTGGTTCCATCAGAGCCAGTTGTAACGATACAGACAAGCAAACCCCTCTGGTGGACGATGGAATTACGAGCGAAGAACCTTGAGTCATAGCTGTGTCTTCCTTATGCAGCTAGGTATCCCGTAGATCGCCATTAGATTATATCATATCTATGTCCTGAGTCTTGTCACTACTTTCGCACTCTAGTCATCGCCTTTCTCCTCTTGTACCCTTTACCCAATACACCTTTCGGAGCATACGCAGGACACAGGATGTCTTCTGAGTCAAACATCACAGTGCTTTACTTCGCAGCTGCTTCGACAGCTACAGGACTCACCGAGCAGAGTATCGCCCTACCACAAAACCCTTTCCCTTTATCATCATTAGCATCCGTCATCATATCGCAGCATCCCAATAAAGGGTTAGAGAAGATCCTCGGAACGAGTCAGTGGAGTGTCGATGCTGAGATGGTAGATGATCCAGAAAAGGTACTGCTCAAAGGCGGGCAGGAAGTAGCTGTGATTTGTCCTGTATCTGGAGGTTAGGGGGGATCCCTGAAGAATCATGCATATCTCTGCTCAGATCAGAGTGTCAGTTAGAACTTTCTACCAACGACTGTATAGCTAATAAATGGGTTTGCACAGGTATAGGACATCTAAGGACATCTCTTCCACATTGGCCAAGGCTATTACAAGCCAGGCTGTGTAACAGACCGCCATATGATCGTTATCAAGCTCGGTGCCATTTACAGATCATCCAAGTTAGCTAGCTTTCATTGATATCAACCAGTGCAAAATGCCTTCGGGTGAACGAGCTGCATTCAAAGCATCACGACTCAGCCCTACAACCTTCCTAATCGTCGAACATTCCGACATTTACGAAGAACATCCATTCATCTACGCGAAGATCGTTCCTGATGCCAGTACGATCCTTCTACTCGACACAGGTTGCGGAGGGGCGACTAAGGACGATGAGATTGAGATCAGTAGTTTGAGAGAATTCATTGGGACAGTGAAAGTTGACGATAACGGCGGCCAGCCGTTGAATGAAGGAGGAAAGATGAGATATGTCGTTGTTTTGAGTCATTGTCATTACGACCACATCTGTATGTGTGATACAAGATGCAGCATATACAGCGTATACTGACAGGGACTGTGTCATGTTTAGTGGGTATAGAACACTTTGCTGATGATAGTCCTGTGTACGCGTCCGCCCATGCACCTGAGTTTCTTTCTCCCGAGGTGCTACCCAGACATTCGCTATGCGAAGACCTCGATATCCAGACACCAAAGTATACACCCACTCTCCTCCCCCACAAAAGTGGTATCCCTACTCCAGGCGGCAGCGCAGCATTACCAGACGTAAAGTTGCTTCATACACCAGGTCACATACCAGACGAACTTGCGTTATGGGACGAAGCCGAGAGGATGCTCTATGTCGGAGACACATTGTACGAATGGGCTCACCTTCCCCAACGAAGGGTCCATCGTCACCTGGCTTGACACAGTGGATATCCTGTTGGAAGTGGTAGAGCCCCACGATGATGCGAAGATTAACTGCGGGCATGTCACCGCCAGCAAACCTGCGAAAGGTGTCCTCCAAGGAGCCAAGGCCTTCATGCTGGATGTCCTGTCAGGCAAAGAAGAAGTTCGAGATCGTTTCGAGAAGAGGGGTGAGATGTGCGTCGAATACGTCCAGGAGGGGATGAGGTTCAGCCTGATATGTCCTGAACGACTCGTAGAAGAGGCCCGGCATAGAGTTGGGAATGCTCGGACTCCATCATCACATACAACGGAGAATACGAGGGATGGCCAATGACGTCCTCTAACGGTTTCCGCCCTTCAACATGTCGCGTTCCAATGCTGCAAGGAATGCGTCAGCGGGATCTTCTCGCGTGTCTTTCTGTTTCTGTTTTCCCTTCGCACTCGAACTTGATGCTTGAGCTTCCAAAGCTGCGAATGGGTCCAGAGACGTTGAAGCCTCGGCAATCTGAGGCTTCGCTGATTCAGGCTCCTCCCTTGGGCTCGGTGAAGGGGCAGGTTCTTTCTTCCGCCTTTTCGCATCTAGCATCTTCCTCCTCTCTTCCAGTTCTCTCTTGCGTTTCTCCATTGCCCGACTCTTCTTCAGCTGCCCGCTCACGACCTCTCCCTCATGGACCATTCCTTCCACTTCACCCGGCTTCACGTTCACCGCACCCAACTCCACTCGAGTCTTCTCAGTTTCCTCCCGTGCCTTTCGTAGCTCCTCCATTTGCTTCCTACGAGTCTCTCCGTCTGCAGAAAACTGGTAGAAGCCTGCACCCTTCGCACGTACTTCACCAGCTGCATCGTAGTGAATGTTGAGAGGATTGCTTTCTTCTGCGAGCTCGGCATTGATTGCGGCTATGCGATCTTCTGAGGGCTGATATGTAGGAAAGTAGTTCACGGGGTTATCTGAAGGAGAATTAGTCTGAAAGTTTCAGGGGCTTTACTATGAATAGACATACATATCACGTAGGGACTATGCAAAGACAAGTTAGCTTCAGTTCTTCAAGAGCATCCAAAAATACGCACTCGAATTCTTCTTCGGGTGGTTCAGCGTTCGGGTCTGGTGGCAATAAATGTCTTGGAATCTCCGACTTGCGTGCTGTACGAACACGCCCGAATTCATCCTCGTACTCGATCACAGGGTCATCCTGCTCAGACATTGCTATAAGTTCAGGAAGTGCATAAACAAGCACGCTATTACGTACCTCATTCTCCAAAGGTTTGGGGATGGTCAAGGATTCATCTACTTCGTCACTATCGGATTCATATGAATCAATAACTTTCGAATCGAACTATATTGTAAGAACCGTGTCAGCTTCATTAATGGAGGATTGACAGATCACTCACGTCAACCAGCAACGTCTCGTATTGCTTCTCACTGAGCCCTCCACTCTTCCCTTTGCTGAGTTTCTCATATACCTGCGCCTTCCGCTCCAATATAGCACGAGCAGCATCCAACGTCGGCTTGCTAACAGCTTCAATCTCGATATCCCGGGAGGCACGGCCCTGCACGCCTCTATTATGCCTGGCCCATACCGTGGGTTTCTATAAGAATCAAGCACAACCCATAACTTTAGATAGAGTTGCGTTAAGTATCACTTTGTCACACACCTTGTCTGGCCTCTTCACGCCTCCGACGAGGGTAGTTTGTCCCGCAGCCTTATTCTTTACGAACTCCTCTTCATGCTTCGCGATCTCCGCACGTAGGTCAAAGAATGAACTTGTGCTGACTCCAGAGGCTTTGCCTTTGCGTGAAGTGGCCATGAAGTCGGAATTACCAAGTATATGGCTGATGCCAGGCTTTAACAGGTACTCTACACTGTACTCGTAAGGCTGAAGCTTAAGCGCTGAAGGAACGGAAAGCCGGCGCGCAAAGCTTTTGGGCAACAATGACAAACAAATGGCTCGCTTCAAATTCCTGCTTACTGGGGACACGCGTGGAAATGCAATAGTGAAGGTGAGGTAAAAAGTCAATAACATACATACATTGGGCTCGTCTATCATGTATGCACGTCTCGACAGAATCATGAGAAAGACTAAAACAATTTGTGTACTATGTGTCTGTCCGAAGGTCACAAGACAGGGCTACTATCCCAAACTAAGGTCCGTAGAGGAGTGATGTAGAAAGAGCGACATAACGCAAGTGACTAACGTCAAGCCAGTCACAGTCTATGCTCAGAACAAAGCAGCACCGATGAGACCCATGAGTCCGGCGATACCGAAGGTGTTGGCTGTGATAGCCAATGCACCGCTATTGTCAGCACCACCAGTGGCAGCCGCGCCGGATGAAGAAGTCCTGGAGGCTGAGGTGGAAGAAGATCCAGTGGAGGCAGGTTTCGAAGCGGGAGCAGAGGAGCCAGTGCTTCCACCAGCAGAGGTGGTGGCTGCGGGAAGCGATGCAGGTTGACTAGCACTGAAGACACCATGAGTACATGCAACTAGTACGACCACAGTACAAAACGTACCCGCTAGTAGCAGCAGGACCAGAAGAACCAGTCTCGGACAATGAAGCAGAGTTGTTCAAGCAACTATAATAGTATACATCAGCGAACCATTCCTGCCTCTATTGCTCGAAATTTACCTGTCGTCGGGACCAGAGTTGACAGTCTCGATGTCAGAGAAGGCGGTTGCTCCACTGCTGTCCTTCAAAGAAACAGTGCTAGAAGACAAACCCGTCAATCTCGGCACCAGAAACACAGTTCCATACGTACAAAGTGCTGCCGGAGGGGAGATCGACATTCCAAGTGAAGGAAGTTCCCTCCTGGGTGGGGAATTGCTTGATCTATAACGTGGCGGGCGTCTGAGTTCAGTTATATGCCGACTGCACAGGTATTCACTACTTACGGCAGGAGCGGCGGGTTGTGCAGCTAGAAAATCAAAGTAAATATGACACAGAAGCCTACTGACAGAAAGTACGCACCAGGAATGAGGGCCAAGAAGTAGGGAGGAGTTCCTCCGGACCAGGTAAACTGAATAGGCTCTGAAAAGAGTCTCAACGACAAGCGAACGCCATCGCAAAAGCCCACTTACGGCACTGAACGATCCCAGTACTACGAGAGGATTAGCGGGAACATTCTTAAAAAATAAACTTTCAAGTGGTACATACGCTGTGTTGATGGTCAACTGCTGAGCCATGGCAGGCACAACAGAGACGAGAGCTGCAGCAACGGCGAAGAACTTCATTTTGTTAAGCGTAGAACTGAGCGTTATGCAAGGAGCGTGAAGGATGCAGGTAATACGGTGAGCCTAAGGGAGAAAGTCGTCCGACGAGGCGGTTGAGATGGCGTTGCGGGGGAACAAGACACCAACCTTCTTATAAGGGCGGAGTTCGATTCGCGGATCAATCTGCCCACGTTCGGCAAACACTCAAGAAGGCACCCTCCAACGACAGTTGCAAAGTCCGTCCATCGACGAGCGAGGCTCGGGCCCATGGAAAAATATTACATGAACCGAAGAGCATCATACAAGAAAACGTAACCACAACGATACAGAAGAAGTATATAGCAATCGTCTTGCTAGAGCCCAATCCAACTACTCCGACCCCGAGGGTTATGCAACGCCGTCTGTCCTATCTTTATCAACCCAAAACGTGCACCACTAGGCTCCTCCTGAAGCGGTTCGAACATGATACGGCTGGGAGAAGAGACAAATAGCGTGTCATCCGCATCAGCAAGGGAGCTGGCGGCTATTGACGGAGTCGCAGATAAGGATGATGTGCCTTTTCTCCTCCGTTCCTGCGAAAGCTCCCCATCCAACAGCACAGGCAGTGGTAAGAAAGCCTCAGCATGCCATTCATACCAGACATGCCGTTCATTTGTTAGTCTCCAAATGGACACGTGCAGTTCGCAATTGCTGGGCAAGTATAGTGGCTCCTGATAGCACAGCGTTAACTGGGAGCGCAGCTGGACAGCATCGGGGATAGCTGACCTTCAAAGGGAAAAACAACGGAAACCAGCTGAGCATGTCTTTTGAAATTTTGTCCATTCGCTGAGGGTGTATACTCAGCCCTACGGAACCATAGAGCACTGCTTCGAAGTAACCTCCGAAGCCATGTAGGACACTCGCATGTGGTATGTGAAATGTCAACTTGGCAAATCTCGTGTTATGGCTATTGGTAAACGGTAAACCTACGTCACAGACGTCATCGACACGAGCAAAAGACTGAAATGAAATGGACGCATACCTTGCGCATTCAAGACAGCATCACGTCTGGGGTGCTCAAACTCCCAGCATTCTTGTACTTGAGGTCCACATTCACCACTGACACCACCACCATCTCCACTCAGGATGTTAATGGATTGGAACATGACGACATAGGGTGTCTCCACTGCCTTCTCGTCTTTACTCACGCGAGTCTCATTATACAACTTCGAAGAAGACAGTGGAGCTAGGTGGGCAGTATAGGATGCCGGTATCGAGATACCGTCCGCTATCACGATGGTAAGCGTACAAGGATGGTGTCATAGTTTTGAAATTACATACGCTTCAAGAACCTCATAGCACCGTCGAGGCATTCTGGACTGAGTTCATTATCACCGAAGGATCCCAAGAGCTCGCTAACAAGGATATCGACCTGTTCTGGGACTTCAAGCGTACGCATATCCCCAAAGAGAATCTTAACTTTGTCGCCCCATTCAAGTCGCAGCCGGTCCTGTAACCTAGAAGTAGCTGAAATGAGCACGGGTGAAGGATGGAAAGATTAAAATGAACTAACGTCACAAGTGCATTTGGGTTCTTCTCAACTGCATAAACGAACGCCTCTTTCTTGGCGCGCTCAATAGCCGTTAGACACCTTGCAACTAAAGGACCTCTTCCTGCACCTGCAACACAAATGACTCTAAGGCGAGGTCGGAACGTAAATCAACACAGGCAGTATGAGAGAACTAACATCCGTCCGGGTCTGGGCCATTCGGACAATGCCCGGAAGATAGCCTAGTGAGAAGTTGTAAGCCACCCTTTCAGCTTCAGGCGCAGATGCAGGGTTAGTGTGTACCTCTTCATAATTCCGATATTTCACAGGATCTTGTTCGAATGTTTGATAGGTGACACTTTGCAGATTATCCATCAAAGGCTATGTCATCATTAGTTCAAACTCTGAGTATCTATGAACTCTCGTAATGCGGACCTGAAGAGGAGCTTGCAAATAATCCTGGTATCCTTGAGCAAAGTTCTCCACTGTACCAGGGGTATGGGCGGCCTTCACAGAAGGACTCGTCTTTTCCAAATGTCGAACATACTGTGAATAGGCGGCTTCGCCGCCTTTGGCATGTCGTCCTGAAGAAGTGCCAGAAAGGATAACGTTTGGTTGAATCTGAGGACCACGCCAATGAATATGACAAGTGCGCGAAAAGGAATAATGAACAGCATACCTTCATGATATCGCGAGTGAACTTTTGAGTGGGCTTCGGTAGCACGGGGTATCCTTTCGCGTTGGCAATGAATGTTGACACAGGTAGAAAAAGGAACCTAGTCGGTTCCGCCACCCATTGTCTTAACACAGCCAGATCAGCAGGTAACGGAGGTGTAAGATCCAAAGCTTTAGAGTCATATCAGCCATTCCATGATACGCTCGCTGATGACACCAGAACTTACTAAGGCTTAATCGAACATTGTATTCACAAATCGTCCGAATAGTGTCCCACATTTCCCAACTAGCAATAGAAGGCTGGTCTGAAACTTCACCTGCCCCAGATCCGATAAATGGGTTTCCCTTTCCACCATTCGGAGACGAGGAGGTTCCAGGGGAATTCGGTGAAGCCACGCCACTGGCAGCAGCAGCCAACTGCATTAACGAGCGGTCATAAATGGGTATCCTTACACTCAATTGCATATATGGTATTGCTTTGAGTGCAGCATTGACTGCCCTAGCAAATGAGGCAACATGGGCACGATTTCTAGGTGAGGGTAGGATAACTGCGTGAACGTTTAAATACGATGCGTATGCGAGTTCTTGGAGGAGGGCCTAAGGAGGGGTAGGGAGGGATATGAGACACTATCATTTGCTTCGTTGAAGATGGCATGTGGAAGCTGGGAAGCAAGAACACGTACAGTTTCGGCGTCATGGCGAACCCAGTCGTCTGAGGCGTCCAGTTCGAGCCATTCGGAAGCGAACGCAACAACTCCTTCAGCTTCATCTATAACGATCACAAAGTAGCGTGAGTAACCCAGGTTTGACCACTCTCAAGGGTCCAGGGAAGACTATCATTTAGGTTCATAACGATAATCCCTTCTTAAATAGAGCCTGTCCCTTCGGCTGGTTACTCCGTGCTAGTAGATCTCTTTCGACTATCCTTCGTCTGTTGGCTAGTAGATTGCATGCGTAAACCGAAACCACAACCGAAGCAGACACTTTGATGATAGGCCCATCGTTCTGCATATAATGCTGAAAAGTTTAGACTCACCTAACCTCGTTATCGTAACCTCATTCCTCATGAACGCAGGGTTACTCCTCCAAGCTTCCGCCTGTCCCTCCAAACTCTGTCGATCAGGGATATCGCCCGTAGGCAATAAACACATCTCGCTCCACCTCGCTTTCCATTTATCATTGGTCAAAGGAATCGCGATGGCTTCGTAGCCTTTTGATCGTGCGTCTGAAGCTGCTCTTAGCACGGGTGTTTCCCCAGTAGATACGGTGGTAGTTGCAGATGCAGATGATGCTGGCGATGAAGATGGTGGTGTCGTGTAGACTGATAGATCTTGGAGGCTGACGTGAGCGATGAAGGAAGACATCTTTCAATCACCAAATGTTGCGCTGAGAGTCTGAGAGGTATGGGAACAGTCGAAGTCGGAACAATCAAGGCGTGGACGTCGAAGAACGCATTAAATAGGCAATTCCAGCCAATTTCGAGGAACAGATAGGTGATAGTGGGACGAGACAAGCACGGAAAGCACTCGTGAATCTTGTGAACTCAGGCGATGATCGACATCAAAAGTTTCACCTTCAATTCAGTTGCAAAATGATCATGATCATAAAAGACGGGATCACGATCAGAACGAGTATCGACTGACATTCGCGGCAAAAATCCAAATTGCAAATGAAATGAATCACATCTTTCGCTACTGAAACTGCAGGACGGCTCGGCCGGAATACATTGAACGCGGACACCAAAGACAAATGTTACAAAGGACTGTGTAACAATTATTCGCCACCATCTGTTCTCGGCCTCTTCGAACCATTACCCACATCATCTGTTCTCCTGTCCTGATCACCGCTATCATTGCTCATGCCATAGCCCGCAACTACACCCTCCAAGACGGTCCTACCCACAGCTTCCCTCAACTCCTCGTCGCAATCCCGTCCCTCAGCTTCAGCACGTTGCATGATATCCCCAACGGAGGCTATAAGATCACTCGTTAGTTGCTCCGACGCCTGGTTTTGTGCGTGTTGAGATGGTAGTTGAGAACCAATTGGAGGGACATCTCCTGAAAGATAAGTCGCTGGAGTAGCGGTTGTGGTGGGGTGCAGTGACTCCAGGTACGCAGCTACTTCAGGAAAGTCTTCCGATAGATAGGCTGCGGGCTACATCGAACAATTGTGAGGGCTGTGATGCATATCAATGCGCCCATAGCATAACTCACTGTCTGCCCTTCAAGATTTTGACGGTCAATCACAGCTCCGTGGTCAGTGAGCCACTTCGCCGTCTCGATATTCTCAACAACATATAGCGGCGTATCGCCATCGCTGTCAGTGACATTTACATCTCCACCTAGATACACAGATCGGAACAGCGAAGAAACCAACGTTCAATGTACATTCCGGCTATTAGACTAGAAGCAGAGGCGCACCTTTGGAAAACAAGTACTCTAGGACGGGAATATGTCCATAAGACGCAGCCGCATGCCTAAGAATGGCGTTGAGTGGTCCACTAGTAGACTATGCACGAAGGGATTGGGCACACATTGGCGTGTATGTGTTCAGATCTGGTACGTTAGGAGACATCGCTGCCGGAGCAATCGGTCTAGTCAGACCGGGAACAGATAGGTGTGCATCAGAATCAGCACATACATTCATTCTCGATGAGATCCTAGGGGAAAGAAAATATAATCATGAGTTCCGTGCTGTCAGTTGTCGCGGCTGCTTTGACTTGCCCGAACACGATCAAGATCTCCATCTCCCGCTGCGATCCAGATATTTTTCTCGGGTTGTACTCGTGTTGGGACAGGCATCTTGTTTCCCTAATTCAATTCTTTGCTATATTAGTGTGTTCGGGGTTTCGGGGTTTGTTGTATTCTTGGCGAATTTGACGAAGAAGATGGGAATAACGAATTTGGAGAGATCATTTCTGAGAAAAGGGGCAATTGACGGTAATTTATCCCCAGGAAACCAGGGTTAGGGTTTGAGTATTGTTTACTTTGCTCAGACCTGAGATCTGAGAGCTCGAAATTTGCACCACATACGTACAGTATATTCACATATCAATCTTGCACATTCACCCAGGGAAACAGGTACTGAAAAACCTCGTATTTTCACTAGGGGTGTGTCATTGCTCGCCTATTCACAGGATTGTACAATAATCCTGAATCTCATAGAACTAAAATGAGAGCTACGTGTTTCTATATTTTACGATGTACAGAGTCAACTTAAGATCCCCCGCATTATACGCTCATCATACATAGTGATCTGAAATCAACAAGCGATAGCGTGGGAAGACTGTATCATGATCAGAGTGAACGAAAACCGATCGGACGCCTACTTGACCGCTTCGTCCATTCAGGATGACTATGGAGTTCACAGATGTGCCCGGAGTTTGTACTAGTAAGCTCTCCAGACTGTGCGATCATGATCGCAGTAGATTTGCAGGCATTCCATGGCAGAATTTTGACTAAATGTTTACGATAGGAACGTTGCCTTTATGACAGCTTGACACAGTCTTACCTCAAATTATGGTGGGGCATCAAGTAGGAGACTCACAGACAGGCGGCACTTAGCCACAGCATTATGGTCGGAGCTGCGATTCGAAAGTTTCAAGACAGAACATTGAACGCCATGTAGCAGTGTATCTGGAGAAGCAGATCTCATGATCGGGTATGATCTTCGTTTACATAGGCTTGTTTTGGGAAGGTACGAACGGCAAAAAAGCGAAAGGGAATCGAAGCGGGAGAAATGAGGGGGCGGGTGTTTGTGCGATCCCCTATTCAGTCCCATTCCTCCTCGATTCTCGCGCCAAAATGGTCGTCTGAAATGGCGTGTAAAGTGTGTGATTTGGGTGCTTTCGGCTAGGCACCGGGGCTAGTCGGGCGTAAAGGGGTAGTTATCTACAGGCTAGACGTAGTTTTAAACATATTGTAGGCTAGGAGAGGGGTGAGACAGCTCGTCCACGGCCATTGTCCCTGCGCTGCGGGGTGTATTGTGACAGCGCCCTTGCCAAGGAGGTGGCTCGAAAAGGCAGGGAGGGTAAATAAACTTTGGTGATCGACCGAGGCGGGCGGCTACGGTCCGATTGATTCGTGTTCACTTGGGCCTCGACGTTGTGGTCTCCTCCTTCCCCTGTTTGCACTTTGCCCGCCCCCGCCAGCACACAGGCCCAGCCTCTTGTCTCTTGACCACCATCATCTCGTTTCATCCGTCGATCACTGCCGCGAGTCCTACCGACTCACCGACACCCAAAGTTTCTCAACTAGTTCACCAATAATACATAGCCTAGTCGCTTTCGTTCTTGCCGCTTTGCTATGAGCATCGTCGCTGCACCGCAACGTGCATACGAACACATTGCCTCACCAGAAATTCCGCAAAGGGGAGTGCCAATGAACACTCTTCCACCTTTCGACCACCTTACCACGCCTCCTATGCCCTCTAATCCACTCCCGCCGACCGCCCCCATCGGCCCACAACCAATGTCTATCACGGATCGTTCACCCATTGCCCTCCCCAAGGTCGGCCAAACTCGTTGTTGTGAGTCCACTCGCTTTACCTCATGACGATCGTTCATCGATCGGTCCTCGTCGATATTCTCTCATGACCATCAAACGCATATCAACTTACTTCTCCTCCCGCCAGACTGGTCTCTCCTCACGCCCGAGCTCACGTTTCTGTATCTGGACCCTGTGCTTGCAACGCATCTGCAACAACAGGCCGAGAAACTTATCGGCAAATCCCTGCTTACCTATGTTCATCCCGAAGAGCAGTCTTCGGCTGAGCGTGACCTGGGTAGTGTCTTAGAAAGTAGGACATTACACGGCAGCGTTACTCGGTATGTAGCTATTAGTTATTCGGAACTCTCGTTTCCTGACCATCGATCTCATTGTATGCAGTGTACGCTATTCCCGCTTGCCCAGCATCCGACGCGAGCTCGGATACCAGGGTCCCGACGAAGAGTGGGCAGATGCGCAGAAAGTCGCTACTGACGATAACTACATGCCCATCGATATTGTCATCAATTGGGCTGCGGAGGGCCTCGTGTTATGCTTCATGCATGCAGTAATGGACCTTGAGCCACGCGATAATGACGAAAACAACAAGACGCAGTGGACCAACTGGTGCGGAACACCATACATGAGCGTGGAACAGGTACAGCTGCTGTACGACCAGCTCATGAAAAGGGTGCATCCTTCGCCAACTTTGCATCGTGTATTCCAGATCCTGCTGAATCAGCCGGATCGTCCTCTATGGTTCAGTTGGCCTCCGGATCCGCCGCTAGGGCAAGGGCCCACTTCGAAAGAATTTGCACGCCTCGCGGCGGAAGTCCAAATCGGGAACTCCGCTACGAACGGCACGGACGCTAAAACGAGCTGCACAAGACGGTATAAGGCGCTTCAGACCATGCATATGGGTCCGGAAGGTACTCAAGAAGTTGAAAGCATCTTCATTCCCTACGGTTGAGTCTCTTTTCCCTCTTTCTCACTTACCCCCATTTCCTTCGACAAAAACCGCTGACTTGGAGGATTTGTCAGGTTCCATCATCTTCGCGTGTCATCGAGTGAATCATAGGCCAACCCCTATCGTCCCGCAGTCCATGTACGGCGCCAACAATCACCATGGTCAACACTACAACTCCCAGTACTACGACCAGTCATACAGTGTCCCCGCCGTGGCTCCTCCAACTCACAACAGCGCGTATGGCCCACCCCAGTCAGGATACCCCTCGCAGCATGGGGGGTGGCCGTCAGGATCTGAGCCGAGCCCTCCTCCTCACGGGCACTGGGGGCCTCAGGGACCTACCCAAGCTGTGAGCAGTGTTCGTTCCTCGTCGTATCCGCCACCTCCTCAACATCAATGGTCTTCGCAGCCCCCATACATGGAGGGACAAACACCCTACTCGTACCCTCCGCCACCCGGACATCAGTATCAAGGATCCGGGCGTGCATCGCCACCTCACGAACCTCCTTCACCTGGCAGCGACGTCGTCCCTGCATCGAGGATACCGCGGAGGGGTAACAGGGAGCGAGAGTCTTATGCTAATGGACGGGGAACGGGGAATCCGCCTACCGGAGTGGGTAAGTGCGCTAGTTGTAAGGTGACACATAGTCCGGAGTGGAGAAAGGGCCCGAGTGGCAAGAAAGATCTTTGCAACGCGTGCGTCTGACTTTTTCTTCTCTATACCGTATCTGTCTTAACATCAAATGTACGCTGCAGTTGTGGTCTCCGTTATGCCCGTTCAAGAGCGAAGAAAGAAGGAAGTGCCCATCGCCGCCGCAAAGAGCGAGTGATTACCATGGCCACAAGAGACGACTCGCCTTCCACCTCAACAGCGGGAGGGTCATACAACAGCAGTCGTCGGGCAGGGACATACGAAGAGGGCCCCTATTCCGCTGCCTCTGCTTCCCCGAGTGAAAGCTATGCTCGTCACCCTCCGCCAGCGCACAATGGTGGCCCTCCAACGCCCTCGCCTGATGGAAATTTTATTCCCTACTCGTACGCTGGTCATAACCAACATACTCACCCGCAGTCATCCTCATCTCCTTCTTCCTCATCCCCTTCTAGACAACATTATGCACCTCCACCTCCGCCACCTCCTGCCCCAAACGCATTCTATTCCATTCCTCCCCCGCCTCCACATGGTGGGAATGTGCACCATATGCCGACTAGCTCCCCGACGTCGGCCGGGTCACATCCGAGAATAGATACTCTAGGCTCTTATAGCAACACTCGACATTCACCCGCGCATACACCTTCCTCGCCTGCCCACTCACCCGTAAGCACAGGGTTCTCAGCAGCTTCGTTTGAGAGGGAGAGGCAACATGATAGGGAACGTGAACGCGACCGGGAGCGCGAGAGGGATCGAAGCGGATTGCCTCCTACACCCGACTCTGTGGAAGGTCGAACAGGGCTGGCGAAGCCGGGCTACTGAGCTCTAGTATGAACAAAATGACTTTTCAGCGTGCGCCTCGTTTTACTTGTATTTCTTCTTCTGTCGCGCTGGGAATTTCCTTTCTCTTATGACTTCAGGCATTGCCTCGTGTTCCATATGATTCGATTCGGTCGGCTTGGTCGTCTCGCTCTGCATGCCATGATTCATGATCCTTCATTCCCCTCTGTATCGTATGTTGTGTATTGTTTCGAAGCGGTCATACACTCTTTGTCCCCGCCTCTCCACCTCTCCGTATGTCCAGGTCATTCGACTACTAGGCTGAGATTGACTTGCCTCACCTCACACTCTTAATCCTAATCTTTCCGCTTCTAGGGCTCATCGTGTCTATCTCTCGCCTTTGTCATTCTTCGTTTCTCTCCTACTATTCGTATCCTGTACTGTACTAGTTTTAGATAAAATGACGTCTTTCGTAGTACCAGATATGATATTTCCTTTGTCTATCTCCATTTGTTCTGTCCCTCGATCTCCGTCTGGGCCACCCTGAATTCGTTCCTTCTTCAATCTACATCGCACAGCTTGAAGCTTGGCTCGGTTGATGCAAGATGCCATTTAGAAGATGGATCGATCATTTATTGAGATTTTGTTGAACGCCGACATCGGGATGAATCTCCGTGAGACACAACTTTGTAGGGCTCTTTTACGTCTTCGTGACGTTTTGGTCGATCATATGTAGCAGTTGTGGGTGCGCATGGAAACTAAGTATCAATGACATGGTCGAGTATCGATTCTTGCGCTTTGGACGGGGTCCAATGCGCCAATGGGGAAAGCGAAATTTGGAAACTCTGAATTAGTTGGATAGTGATACTCCGTTGAGTTAGATTGGTTCGCTGGACACAGAGAGCACAAGAACGTGTATCTATTCCGTTGTCATTAAGAAAATCCGTATGTCGTGTACCTCTGGCGGGATTGTTCATAATTAATCAAGGAGCCTGGAGCACATCCACGACATAATACGACGACGAACGTTACAAGAGCAACACGGAGCAGCTTCAAAGGATTCTCTATGACGTCGGCTGGTCCCGGCCGGACCGAGACTCCAGTGCTACGGTGCATGCACTGTGATCGAACATCCATCCACACGACTCTGTCATTCGAACACCCATCTCGGCGCATTATTACTACCTTTGTGATCTCGCTTAAGCCTTCCTATACGAAACTGCCATGAGCGAAGCCGATCTCAAGACTGAGAAGCAACCAGAGGATGTCGCTAGCACAACTAACGAGAATAACGAGAATAAAGAGGAGTCAAAGTCCGCATTCATTTTAGATCTTTACTTGGAATGATCTCAATTGATGGGCAGCATATGAATAGGGAGAAATCCGCTCGTGTTGTAGCTGTGAACACTGTACCCACGCAGTCTCATGCTGAGATCGATACTACTGATGAGGAAGCGGAAGCTGAGGAACAAGCGGATATTGACGATTCGGAGATCCTTGCAGATTTGCCAGACGACACCGAGGCAAGTCTTGGGATCTTAACGTGTAGCTCATTACAAACTTATTCAGTTTATGGGACTTTCTACAGGAGATCAATCTCATTCATTCACGCCTCAGTACTGTTGGCAGCCTCGGACTGTCAAGGTTCACACAACTCAAGAAGCTATGCCTACGACAGAACTACATCTCCTCATTAGAAGCTGCGGACTTCAAGGATCTCAAAGAACTTGAAGAGCTTGACTTTTATGATAACAAGATCAAGTCGATTGGTGATGCTCTCAATGCATGCACCAAATTGGGGTTAGTAGCTATCAGCCTGCTTCTTGAGTATTTGGTCAACTAACCAACAATATCGTCTAGCGTGCTTGACCTTTCCTTTAATCTTCTTCGACATGTACCGGACAGCCTATCGCATTTGCCTTCGCTGCACACGATCTACTTCGTACAGAATAAGATCACGCATATTTCGAACCTGCAGGGCGTAGGTGGGAGTCTGCGAAGTCTGGAATTGGGCGGAAATAGGATACGAGTACGTTCCTTCTTCTTATCTGGCGCTCTCATGGTCTTGACTCCCTTTATATGGCACAGAAAATAGAAGGACTGGACGCACTTGTGAATCTCGAAGAGCTTTGGTTGGGGAAGAACAAGATAACGAAGCTTGAGGTAAGTTGATTCACTATTCGATCTTATTGGACGTAGCCTGATATGAGCTCTCAGAATCTTGATAATCTCAAACGTCTCAAAATCTTGTCGATACAATCAAATAGAATCACGAAGATAGAAGGTCTTGACGGTCTGGAGAATCTAGAAGAACTTTACCTCAGTCACAATGGCATTGAGAAGATAGAGGGTTTGGAGCATAATGTCAGTGCCTTTTTGCTTACAGGCTCCGAAGTTCGCTGATCAAATTTCTCGTGTCAGACAAAGCTGCGTACGCTCGACATTGGCGCAAACTTCGTGAAAGAGCTGGAGAATGTTTCCCAGCTTCATGAGCTTGAGGAACTGTGGGTGAGTAGAATTTACTTCCTCAGGCTACTTGAAATCTTGCTAAGGAGATTTCAGATCAACAACAACCAGATCTCCACTTTGCAAACAGTGGAACCCCAGCTGAAGCATATCGAGACACTAGAGACAGTATACTTGGAAGGAAACCCGGTTCAGGCAAAGGAAGGCGCACACTATCGTCGAAAGATTATCCTTGCTTTGCCTCAACTTAAGCAATTGGATGCTACGTGAGTCTTGAGTTCCAATTAGGACTTGCATATCTTGATATTGATGCTGGTCAACAGATACGTCAAGCAAGTATAGTTGTCAGCAGCAACGGACCCATGTTTCGAGTGTGACATTTCCGCCTCTTCTGGATCTCTTCTGTACATGTTATCCACCAATTTAATGTATTCCTAGCGTAGTGTACAGTACGAAGGTTGTCTGCAAGTTCATCTAGCCTTAATCTGGCCTCGCATCAGAGTCCAAGACGTGATGCAGCGCGATGCGAAGGTGAAATCCTACCACGATCACGTGGGCGCGTCTGTTTTCTGCGCGGTAGCCGGACCCGGTACGACTTTTGAGGCCACCTCAAGGGAAGGTTATCTCTTTCCATTGTCAAGCCCACTCTCATCTCTTTATCATTCTTGGTGCGCAGGTATGTCAGCGGAGGACGTCGAGAGGGCTACTTTTGTCCAGTCCGCGGATAACGAACTGCATACTGCCATTGACCAAAATGCCAATCATCATGAAGCTGAAGTTGTTGACCTATTGCTTAAGAACTCGGAGGCTTCCACCATTCTAGGGGGTGGCGTAGCTTTGGATGACAAAAATGACGAAGGGCAGACGATCTCGTCTACGCTGGCGAAAGACAGCCCTGTTGACGCGTCTCCCGAAGAACCATCAGTAGTTGCTGCAGATGAGAAGACTCAAGCGGATGTGCGTGTGCTTATAATCGAGTCACGATTTCATTGTGTTTAGATGTCACTTAGTCGACAGCCAACGTATCGTCTGACGCTACGGAAGCCTTGTCTCAAGCCATCAAGCTTGTTCAAGCAGACAAAGTGTTCGGTGATGTCACAAATCAGCAAGTCGAGGAGGTCGCTACAGCTATCACGAACAAAGACGCATATGAGTCTCTGCATGAAGACTCTATACATGCTGAGAAACTTGTGGATGCCACGCCATTGGTATGTCTGAATATACTTATAGTTATGGAATCTGCTTATCATTACATCTTTGCCAGGATGAGCCTCTCGATACTGGTGCTTCATCTGAGACACAAGTTGCTTCTCAGAAAGCCGAAAATGATGAAAATGTTGCGCTCGAGGAGATCGTCGTGGTTGCTGAGAAGCCTGTAGAGTCTTCTGAGTCACCAGTGGCTCTGATAACAGAGGAAGAGGCACACGCCACGGCTGAATTACCGGAGACAAAGGATGACAACGAGTTTATTGCTTATGCAGTGGATGAACCTACGTCCAGCGATAGCCCGGCGGCGGAATCCGCACCAGTGAATGATCTTGTTGATGCATCCTCATTCACTCAAGACGCCGCTGCCGCTCCTGAACCTGCTAAGGCCCCTGCTGCTGATCCCGTAGAGGTCCCTTCGTCTTCTTCAGACGCTGTCCCGGTGGTCGAGCCCATCGTCACTGGCACGGATACTACCGGTCTTGGCAACGATCTGATCTACCTTAACGCAGGGTCAGAAGAGATCTGCTATCCGGACCAGTCAACTCCTAATAATGAAGAGGTCATCTCAAAGACCGATGTGGACGAACCCGAGCAGATAAAGCCGATCGCAGAAGCTCTTGAATCCGTTTCTGACCTTCCTGTTCCAGTCGATCCAAAGGCAGACGAGACCGTTGCTTCTCAGGAACACGAGACTCTGAAGTCGGAGGAGGATACCGGATCCACGAAGGCCAACGGGGTGGCTGAGCCTGTTGTTGCGGAGGTTATCGTTGAGCCTGAGACTCTCGAAAAGCCCAAAGTAGAGACACAGCATACCGTGGACGAGAACGTTACTGAGCCTGTGCAAGTCGGCGAGGAAGTTGTGCCAGCGAAGGTTGAGCTTCCAAGTGACGAAGAGGCTGCACCTCAGCCCGACGTTGTCGAGGCCAAGCAACCAGAGCCCGTTGCAGACACGTCTGATTCCGTTTTCGGATCTGCTCCTCCTGTCGATGCTAAGACCGACGAGGTTGTTGCTTCTCAGGAACATGATCTTGCAAAGCCCGAAGAGGACGTTGTTCTCGCTCAGGCCGAAAAGACTGTTGAGGCCGTTGTAGTGGAGGAAATCGCTCAGCCTTTGAAGGAATCTGTACCTGAGACCGCTGATGAGCCGGAGACGTTGGAGACGAAAACCACCATCGGTGAAGTCGTTCCCGCACCTATAAAAGTTGATGTGACAGCTGAGCCGGCGAACGACCAAGGGGTCGAGCTAGTGCAACCTGAAATCTCATCCGAGCCTACGAGAAGCGCGGAGGCCTCCGGGGCCGTCGACTCAACGAAGATCGAAGATGACAGCCAGTCTGGCGAGTTCGAGGATCCTGACCTTTCGAAGGTTGCAGACCGCTCTGAAGTCGCTCTCGCACAAGAGGTGACTGAAGCCGTCAAAGTTGAAGACGAGACGGAACCTGCACAAGCTGAACCAGTCGTTGAAGCTGAACCTCCGGAAGTGTCGAAACCAGTCGCGATAACTGCGGAAGAACCTGGACTGGCAAAGCCTGAACCTGATGTATCTGAACCAGCTGCTGCTGAGCTCGTGGAACTCAAAACATATCTTCCTGAGCAAGTCGAACCCGCATCTCTGCAACTTGAGGAAGCTCCTGAGCCAGCGAAGGTCGAAGAGGTTGAAGTTGCGGAGGCGCAAGTACTGGAATCCGCTCAGCTCAATCAGGTAGAAAGCATCGCTGTTGAAGAGCCCAAGTCGGCAGCTGAGCCTATCATCGAGGATACTCCTGTTCTTGACGCGAAGACTGAGGTTGATGTGGTAGAGCTAACATCTGCGCCCGAGGCAACATCAACTGTTGAGGAGGCTGTCGTTGAGGATGTCAAGACTGAGGAACCACTTGTCACTGCAGACTCTGTCTCTCAGCCCCCTGCCCATGCGGAGCCCCCCGCCGCGGCTGTCGTAGAAGATGAATCAGTCACTGAGCCGGCCAAAGAGGAAGAATCTGCTTCAGAGCACGTTGACGTTGTAGTATCTGGCTCTGAACCAACTGTCGAGGCCGTTCTGGACGTCCGCGTACCCTCTCCCGCTCCAGTCATTGAAAATGCTGAAGTGCCTCAAACGAGTGAAGAGCAAATTCCTACGGCAAGTCCAGTCAATTCTTACCTATATAGCTGTTGCTCAAACATTCCATGTCGACAGGTTGACGGGATCTCTTCTACAGGGGCTGTTCCTGACACTAACAACACCCAGGTGGTTGTGGATGGTGAAATTGTCCCCGTCAGTGAGGAGATCAAAGATGGAGATGTCGCACCTCAAAATGACGCGGAATTAACTGCTGCAGTCGAGCATGTTATACTTGAAGAGCCCGCTGTTCCAACTGAAACCCTGGTTGTCGGTGCCGCTGTTGAAGAGCAACCGGAGCCTGCAAGTGCGGAGGAAACTGAAGAGAAAATTGGTGGGCCCATCGCAGAACCATCCGTGAGTGTTGTCGTGTTTTGCACGTGTAGGCAATATCGATATGAACTTTACCTCACTATTTGTAGATCGAAATACAAGAGGCTTCGGTCCCCGAACCGGAGGTGGAGATAACTAGCGTGGAAATTCCTGTGGGGGAAGCGCCAAGTGGGGTTGCTTCTGACGAACGTGTAGAAGTTTTGCATGTGGCCGACGAACAACCTGCGAACGTTAAGATTATTCAGGATGATGTCATTGCGGTTCGTGTGAATGCTTTTTCGTGTGCCTTTGAATTCTGCTAATAATAACTTTGCGGGTCGCAGAGCGAAACTCCTGTTGTGCTTTCTGAATCGGGACAACTAGCGGTCCATCACGAAGACACGGTCCAAACAGCAGAGGTCGATGTCTCAGAGCTTCCTGCGGTGAACGAGCTTGTCGATATTCATACGACGGAGTCAGAGCAGCCGTTTGAACCCGTATCAGAGCCGGTACCAGCAGTCGAAGCAACACTGGAAGGCATCCTTGCGGAGCCCGTTGCCACCACTCATGACACTGAGCTCGTGCAGGAGCCTGTGACAGAGGTTCCAGATGCGGTAACAGCACATGTCGCTCAAGATGACGCGAAAGAAACTGAGGTTTCCGGCGTTACCGATGCGAATGTTGAGCTTGAGGTAGCTGTTCCCTCCGCCACGCAGGATTCAATTGTAGAGGAATCTCCTGCCCCTGAAGCTCAGGATGGTGTTGCTGTGGAGGTTCCTTCCGTTGAGACTCAGAATGCCGCTGCCGTCATTGATGGAAGCAATGACGTTCCTTCTACAGCCGAGTCTACTGAAGACATCGCCCCAGCTATCTCTATCACCACGGATGCTACCGACGGCGACGAAGTTGCCCCCACTACGCCAGTAATTGTAAACGCTGATCATCCAAAGTCTCCTTGGACACCCTCTTACAGTGTAGTTACTCAGGGCCCAGGCGTTGTGGACGACGATGCTGCCGAGTTGAAAGAACTGGAGCAGCTTCCTCCCGCAGACCAAATCACACCCGTTGAGGACGCTCCCGCTATTCAGGCTGAGGAACAGAACGGTGAAGCAGTTGATGAGTCTCAGGTTTGCTCTATCGTTTTACGCATTTACTGCAACTAATTGTGCATCTGTCACGGATCAGGAGCTCTCTAAGTCATCTTCCTGGCCGGTGTCTTACTCAGTCAGCTCGCAAGGTGCCAGTCCTCTTCATCAAGCTCAAGATTTCGACAATGCAGAAGTGCAACATGCTGAGCCCTTGTCTGAGTCTTCTGCGGAACCCGCAGAACCTGCTGTAAACGTTGTGGAGCCTTCCTCCACATCTGTAGTTCCTGTGGTACCGGAGGAGGATGTTGAGGCACCGTCCTCCCAAGAGTCTGTCCCTGAGCCGGAGCAGGAAGCGATCCACTTGAACAAGCCCGTTGAAGCTGTCGCAGTCGAGGACAAATACGTCGGCAACACGGATCTACTTCAAGAGGTTTGTCGCTTTATTTCTGCATCTCCTTGTTTCTAACATCTTCATTCAGACTGCTACGCAGGATACTGAGGAACTCACCGCCTCCATTCCAAGTGTGCAGGTGGATGTCGAGTTCGAGGTATGCGCTTGTGTATTGATCAATCCAACGCCTCTCTGATTGGGCAGCAGGATGAACAGAAACCTTCAGAGGAACCCATCCCCGAAAGGCCTTGGACCCCATTGTACTCCGTTGTTCGGCAAGGATCTCTCAGTCCTGCTCAATCTGCAGAACCTCTTGAAGCCGAATCCAAGGAGGCTGCTCCAGAGCGACCTTGGACTCCGTCATATTCTGTTAGTCAACAAGGTGCAAGCCCTCAGGCTTCTCCTCGAGTCCTGGCCCATGTTCCTTCCATCCAGTTATCTGAGGAGGTCCCATCAATTGCTGAAGCTGCTTCAACCACTGTTGAGGAAGCCGTTTCGGACGAAGTTGTTGCAGTGCCATCTCTGCGAGTAGAGGATAAACCAGTTGAGGTGCGGTCGTTATCATCCACAGTTTGACTTGACCTGACCTTAATCTAGGAAACTGCAACTGCCACGGAAATACAAGAGCCTGTCCCCGAGCGACCTTGGACACCTTCGTACTCGGTTGTGCAACAAGGCAACAGTCCTCACGCTTCGCCCAAGGCTCTTGAGGATGAACTGAACATTGAAAACGTAGATGCGGCGCCAGCGAGACCGTGGACTCCCTCGTACTCTGTCAGTCGACAAGGGTCCAGTCCTTTGCAAACTCCCGCTTCTCTTGAGGATGTGCCCCAGGTTGCGGCTGAAGTACCCGAAGTCAAGGAGCTTGAGACACCTGCTGTTGGAGGTCCGATAGTTGTGGAACAAGTGGTTGAAGAACCAGCTCAGCTGACTGAAGTCGTCCAACCGATTGAGGAACCCGCGCCGACCAAGGAAATTGTGCAGCCCGAGCCAGCTGAAGAGGTTAAGCCTAGTGTCAATGAAGATGAAGCCGAAACTGAACAGACTCCTGCGGTTCCCGAAGTTCCTAGGATTGATATTGCTACCGAGGTAGGTCTTGTAAGCGAATCTGTATGACGGGTGCTGACACAGCTGTACAGCCTGCTGTGCAGGAGGTGCCATCCACGAATGGCGTTGAGATTGAGAGACCCAAGTCACCTTGGACGCCTTCTTATTCCGTCTCTCAGCAGGGAAGCAGTCCGTTCGGCACCCCCGCTGTCAACGCCAAGGAATTGCAAGACGAACCTGCCGTTGAACTGCTTGCAGCCATTGACCAAACTGCAATTGAGGAACCCACCAGGACCAATGTTCCCACCATTGCTGTTCAGTCCAGCCCCGAAGACAAAGCCACTGTGTGTATAGCTTTGTTGTCCACGTCGTTCGCTTATTTATAGCGTTTCATCTAGGCCTCTGGTTCCGAAGCTGTTGAGGACAGACCCGAGCGACCTTGGACTCCTTCATACTCCGTTGTGACTCAAGGATCTGCTTCCGGCACTCACACACCTGTTGAGCAAGAGCCCGAGGCACCAGTCGCTGCCAACAGCATCGCTACTGAAGTTGCCAAGGAACCAGTTGTCCACCCATTCCCCAGCACGGAAGAAGCGGAGCCGGCGCTCAAGATCGCCACCAAGTGAGTTTTCATGTGTATGCAATGACGAGACACTATTAACCCCTACTAGGCCTAGCTTGGCACGCCTCGCTCCTTTGAACGAGTTAGAACCGATCGATGTCATCTCACCCCCAGCACTTGAAACTCTCTCGCCCACAAGCGGTCGTACTAGGTTGGAATCGACTACATCCTCTCGTTTCTTCCCAGGTGGATGGTTCTCCAATCCCACGAAGTCTCCCGAGGCCAACCGAGCTTCGCTGGACCACGCATCCGGTGTATTCACCAAGACGCCTGGAACCTCTGCCATTGAGGTGCCTGCCAATACGCCCATCGATGGTATCGACGAAAATGAGGACAAGAAGAAATCTAGGTGGTGCGTTATCATGTAAGGTCGGATATCCGGAAGCAATTTTTGCTGGTGGGATTGGAATGATTATGAATTTATGACTCCATTATGATCTATTTGGTTTTGGTATCAAACTCTTCCTACTATACCCCCCATGCTCTGGTCCTTCACGTATAATCTGTTAATCGGTCTTTACCCCCACTCCGAGCAATTGTCTGTCTCATACATACCTGCATTGTCAATGTGACTCGTGTTGATTACATTTCTTGGCCTCCTTTCTGATGGGATTGAGTCCTCCCATCTGACGCTTTCTCTTCGTGAACGTGAGTTCTCTTCTTCGTCATGAGTTTCGTCGACTTCTTCTCGCTTCTTTCTCCAATGCGCGCAAACGATATGTTCGAGGCATACAGTCGTCGGCATTGGTTCGGGGACTTTCGATCTTTCGAAGCCGGTACGCTGGTCACCTGTTTTCCCTGATATATTGATATTTACTCTTCACAGTGTCTTCACACCTTCCGTTCAGGTCATGAGCACTCTAGTTGATGCTAGACATTGCGATGTTCGTAATGTCCGATATCATTTCCCTCGACGGCGTCGGTCATAACACTCCGCTCGTTGTAATTCATGTTCTCGAGCTGCCTTCTGGGCCAATCTTTGCTCCACGTCCTGGTGGACGTCTGAGGTTTGTCCTGCTATAAAACCACTTGCTTGAACGAGAATGGTCTTCAGCTTCGTAGCTAAATCTCAAACCAACTTCGAACAGTATGAAATACACTACATTCTTGACCGCTCTTTTCGTCGTGCCCGCCGCTCTTGCTGCTACTGTCAGCGTATCCTATGACCAAGTTTACGACCAAAGCTCGAACTCGCTTGCCACCGTGGCTTGCTCTGATGGCTCGAACGGCCTGCTAACGAAGGGTATGATTCGTCCCGTCATTCCTTGTTATGTCATCGCTAACACATCACAGGATTCACCACCTTTGGGTCCCTCCCCTCCTTCCCCAATATCGGTGGAGCACCCGCCGTCGGCGGGTGGAACTCACCTGCCTGCGGCACATGCTGGCGGCTCGCCTTCAACGGCACCAGCATAAATGTCCTCGCCATCGACACGGGAGCGGCTGGCTTCAACATTGCATTGACCGCATTCAATAAACTGACTAACGGGCAAGGGATAGCGATTGGAAGGATCAATGCCAATGCCACGCAGGTGAATGCTTCAGTTTGCGGTCTTTAGTAGGCGAAAGATTTCAGGTAAGAAAAGTCGATAGGCTGAACTGACTTTGGTCTTTTTTTTGCTGACTCGGCGAGCTGTTGTTTCGCAGTAACTGAACGCCGGACAAACTCACGGACTCTTTTCATCATTTTCATAACGTACAATTAAGGACTTGGGCATTCTTGTAATGGACAGTATATAGATACGTACTGTTGGACTGTGCGCACGGACGATACCTAAATCAACCCAATGTGTACTTGTATATAGATACGGCTGGGTGCAGGACGTGATAGTGCGACGGTAATGTCGGAAAAAAAAATCCGCGGTCACGACCGGTTATGACCGGTTATATGGTCGGAATTTACTCCATTAGTTGTGACCGGTCACAAGCAAGATGACTTCTTATGACCACTGTCATGAGCATGGTCACGAGTCCGGTCACAATCATGGTCATGATCGTAGTAGCAACTGTAGACCTCAGTCACGACTTCAGTCACAAGCATAGTAGCAATTCTATTGTGACCAGCTGGTCGCAGTCACGTCTCTGTTATGATGGATGGAAAAGCGATATCAACACTACTACTAGCACCCCTCTTATCATTTCTATCACAACCACTTTTACTTACTTACTTCATATCTACTATTTACTTGCACACTTACTTACTATTCTAGTCTTACTATGCTTACTTCATATTACTACTATTCTAGTCTTACTATACTTCATATTATTTGTGACACTTACTATTAAAGTCTTACTTTTTTGTATTTCCTTACTTTGTATCAATTACTACTTTACTTGCAAGATTACTCTACTTGTGCGAACTTACCTCAGTGTGTTTATCGCTTTACTTTATTACTTATCTGTTTCACTTTCACGCTTACTAGTATTTATTACAGTTCATTGTTACAGTAGTACAACTATTCACTTATCCAATGACCTTAAGGAAATTCAACACTGCGAAATTAAGCAACTAGTGGGAGTCGAACATGCACACATCAGAGATCTCCAACTTACAAAGATATACAAATGTCATTGACAGTTTCAGCAAAGTGTCTTCAAAATATACCAAATGTACATTATCATATAGCATTTTTACTCCTATAGAAAAATGCGCACTACTGGCAACATTCCTGCCATTCAATGGTTACGGAAATCACTATAGTAAGAATACATGAAACCATCTCACTTCTGACCAGTCCTTCGTCCACTTCCTCGGTGACCCTGCCCTCTACCACGGCCCCTGCCTACACCCACAGTGTCCTCATCTATAATTTGCTCAGAGTGAGTGTGATGAGAATGACGGGAGTGACTTGGACCAGCTTTGTCCACGCTTGAGGCCATATCCATAGCTTGAGCTTGATCCTGAGGCTGTTGTAGGACAATTGAGTCTTGAACAGTGCTCAATTGTGCACCATAATTATCGGTAATGACAGGATCTATCGGGTGAACAAAGATCAGTCAAAAATTATGTCAGACTTAATGAGAGCATGTACCATCATCTATGTCATCTGCATTGAGGTCATCATTGGCCATATTATCACTGTCTTTATCAAAACCATGGATAATGTCATCAACACCTTCATCCAGAAACAATTCTTGCATAGTGACATCCACTCCCATAACAGCTTCATCTCCAAAAATGAACCTATTGTACAACAACATTGTCTTCAAGATATGTCTGTTGTTTTCAGAGAGCAGACTTGAGATAGTAAACTTGTAGTAGTTGAAGTCATCCCTATAATGAATGCCAGTTCTTTGACTGACTTCGGCCAATTCATTATTCAGTGAGATCAAGAATCGTGCCTATAGTCACAAGTTAGTTATTAAAAAAAAGAAAATAGCTGAATACGAAACTGACAATGACTGCAGCAAATGCGATCACACCTGGCATAATAGCAGTGATACCCCAAAGTGTACCGTTGGCCTTGGGCTTTGGCACTTTGGGGTTTGTGAGGGATGTCGCACTGTGGAGAATGACCTTAAGAATCTATTGATATCACTGCAATAGAAGATCAGTATAGAAATTGAGAGTAGAGAATGATGATATCATACCTTCATTAGTATCTCATTTCAGAACAATATGGCCTTTGTTCCAGAAACTATGCAGTTGGGATACAGAAGAGGCGGAAGATGAGAATATGCAGTATGACCAGCAGAATTGAGCTTTGCACCAAGGAGAACTTGAAAGTGAGCCAGTTTAGAATAATCTGAGTTGGCCTTAAATTGAATGGCCTCTGACTTCGGGAATATGACAGTACAGGCTTTGTCCCTGAGATTGCTGACATGTGTGGAACATGCTTTCAGGCCTTCAATGAACTGAAGAAAATATCGTCAGAATAGTACAAGATTGAAAGGGTAATCTTACTTCATGTCAAAACTTTGGCTGCTTCTCAAGCATCTCATGGAACTCCGATGGAAGGAATTCATATAGCTCTGCAAGGACACCAATCTCACAGTTCTGGTAGCTTGCATAGCACTCTGCAATGGTGAATGTTGGAGGTCGAGGTCTCAAAAATACGCTGGAATCAACCCAGAGCTCATAAAGAACTCCAAAGTGTTTCTCCAAATGCCTTATATGAGCATTAAGGGGTACAAGGAGTGGATCTGCACTAGTCTCTCACTTTCAATATCGCTTGCAAAGTTTCTGCTTTATGTTCGAGTTCTCTGCTTTAAGACCATTGACCATATTGACAGTTTTGCCCAAGGTGAGCTGGAGAGATCTGATATACTAAAAACATCATACATCAGTAATACAATCAAATTTGCCATATCCGAGAGGCATACTGACCTTCTTAGCATCAATCTCGCTACTTTGCCCTTTGAGCTCGAGTCGTTCCAATTCTTGCATGATTTCTTGGTAGTTCTAATCTTCAGATTCTTCACTAGAATCGCCAGAATCGTTAGGATGCTCAGAAACAGTACTCAATATAGAGGAACTGCCTGGTGCTCCGCTGGATGACATATTGGATAGTAGGTGAGAAGATGCCAGAGAGTACTTGGGTCAGAGCAGAATGCATCTGTTGACCAGGCCGAGTTCCCAGTGATGAAATATATAGCAGCATTGAGCAAGCCATGCGGCAGGCGCATGTTCATTGTAACCCTGAAAATGTGACTACCATATATCCGATGAGATAGACTAATCAATGCTGGAATAAACCGCAAATTGAAATCGCACACTCACGGTTGGGGTTTTTATTGTATTCATCCTACTCGTGGCCCTTGCGAGCCACGGATTCTTCAGCCCTTAGTGAGCAATCTACAACATATGGCTGTAAAATCAAATACAACCATAATGTTGATTCACGCACAGTCGATGCAAGGGCGGAATGCCATCATGAGTCATGTGTTCCAGATATGCAACATCAAAGATTACTTGGTGTGCCCAGGGTGTTTTGATGTACAGTGTATGGTAGTTACATCATGTTGCTCAGAGCAAGAATGGAGATATCGGCATTGAGGCATGGGGTATTTCTTACACCGCTCCCTATTATTGACATGCAGCTCAATGCATGTCACCGCCTTTGCATCATATGGGAACAGTGATCATATGGTAGCTGTAGATTTGTGCTGTGAATAATGATGTTCATGAAGAGAGGAAAGACTTGCCCACTTGCAATATAGACTATAAGTGTTGCAGTTCTGCTTCAATCTGGAATATATCGCCAGAGAAGAGATAGATAGCACCACAGTTCAAGCATTCAGCCTTGATGTGAAAGCTGTTGCTCACCTAGATGCCTGATAGGGGTGACGCTGGATTCCAAGTTACAAGTGAAAATTCACAGATGGCTGCTCGTCATTGGCCTGCGATGGGTCAGGACTACGCAAGGAGGTAATACCATACATGGGATGAAGTCTTGAATAAATTCATTGAGAGCTAAGTTGTGAAGAGGGTTCTTGAGATGAGACTGGCCATAGTGATTGTTAACATCACTGAAGCAGTCACCGTGTAAAGTCTGGATGCCCACAATTTCTCAAGAGTTGAAAAAATAGTATCCCATTGAGAATGAGTTGGATGGCAGGTAAGACAATAGAGAATTCATCAAGGGAAGGGTATCGAGATGGATACCATAGCCATGATTCATTGTGCTCGTAAGGGTGGGCATCAGATACAGTGGTGCACCTGCCTGGGGCCCCACCATATGGGTTTGACGTCCTACCAACATGACGAACAGACATCCATCCAGGTATTGCATGTCCAGGAGCAGGGGTTCAGGCAGGTGTACATGCACCATAAGGCATCTTGCCACCAAGGCCACCTTTACCAAGGTTTTGTGACTCGTGCAGATGTCTAAATAATTGTTACAGTTGAGAAGAGAGAGCAAGTCAGGACAGAAGATGAGTATGTACCTGACTTTGAATGCATCACACAGTTCGGGAACATCAGCGGCTGGCATCTCGAATAGGTAGTAAGCTTCAGGCATCACACGAACAGGCTACAAGGATAATGTCAGTACTCAATCTGCTTGTAAAGCATTATTACTTATCCATGTCTACACCGTTGAGTTCTTGTTCACCAAGAAGCAGAGACTGAAGTGATCGGGTCACTTCCTATTGAGGGTAAAGCTGTACACACTCTTTGCAGGGTTGGCAGTGATGAAGTTCTTCAAGAAGAGATCTACAAGCAGTGCAAAGATGTCAGCAACTATGTACAAGGAAAAGTTTCATAAGCACTTACAAAGTTCATCCTCGGATCCATGCTTGAACTTCTCATGTGCCATGAGTTCCTCGACTTTATGAGTCATCACCTGAACGTGATTCACGATCAGTTCATCCAGGTCGAAGAACTGATGTTGATTGTCGACAATAAGCTTCATTCCAGCAGTTTGACCAGATGGGTCCGCATTGAACTCGACAATGTCGATATATTGGTATAGTTTGTTGTCAACCTTCCAAGTAATAGTCAGATGGTTAGCACCCTTGGATGAAGGCCAAATAACAACATCGCCACGTTGTTGCTTGTCGAGGTATTGTTCAGCCTGACCTGCATTGAAGTTGTAAAAGTTGGAATGCTTGATAACCCGATGTGTTTAGTCCACCTCTGCTCACTTCTTCCTGGCTTGCATCTCAGTATCGCGATCATGCTGCACATGATCCCAATATTTATCATGCTTAATGCGGCAGAACTGCATATCGCCTGCACTGACATCTGAGGGATGAGATGACAACTCCACTGAATAAGAGTCATTTGCAAGATTCATCTTCGCATCAATGATGACCCCTTGGATCGATTGACCTTTCTTGACTGCTTGCTTAGTAGGAGTGGCTTGATCAGCCAGGTACTGAGCAGTGATGATGCCCTCGATGCCAGAATCCAAACAGATGACAATGAAAC